GGGACCTCGCTGCTCTGTATTTTATGTATATATAAAACTAGCCAAAGATCGCCGTTCCCTCTTCCAGCCACAGAAAGATCCACCCGCTTCCCATCGACGGGCTTTGACAACGTAGAGCAGGTACGAGGTGCAGAGCGCGGGACAGAAGCTTCCGCACCCCACACTCCGTCCGTCGACCGCTGTAGCCATGTCGCCGCTCCCTGACCGTGTCGACTTTCTCGTCGTAGGAGCCGGTCCGTGAGTAGTCGACAGATCGTGCATGTTCCGTTGGACGCTGCGGATTGGTTGCCTGCTGATGCGCTAGACACGTGCCCTGCCCATCTTCCTGTCTCGCAGCGTCGGCCTCACCGTTACCTGCGCCATCCTCAACAACCTCCCCGCCGCGCAACGCTCGGAACGGAGCCTGCTGCTGATCGACAAGCTGCCGTCCCCGGACCATGTCCCGCAGAACGAGTCACGCGCGCTCGCCCTGCACGCGCGCAGCTTCGAAGTGCTTGCCGACGTCGTCGATGCGCCGGAGGAGCGCCAGAGATACCTCCGGGCCGCCGTCAGGGGCCGCGACAGCGCGCCACTCCTGCCGGACATCACCGACGTGCCCGACAAGGTGCAGAGCGTGACACAAGCGGTGAGGGATCCGAGTGCAACACTGCCCGCCGCCGGTGCCGGTGCACAGCGATACAAAACCCTTTTTCTTACCCCGCATTGCACCCCCACGCCCGTCCCCTGCGCGCCCGCAGCTCCTCGAGCGCGGCGAGCACATTCAGCACGCCAGTATGCGGTTGCACGGGCGCGTGCAGCCCGTCCTGCGCGGTGGCTTTGCTTCACTGCACGACACTCAGTTCCGGCAGGTGTGCGCCGTGCCGCAGCGCGTCACCGAGGCGGTCTTGCGCGCGCGCCTCGCGGACCTCCGCCACGCCATCCGCAGCGGCTGGTCCGTCGTCCATCTGGAGAAATCACCCGGCAGCTTCGCCAAGGGTCAGCCAGTCGCCGTCACGCTAGAGCATGCCCAGCTCGGTACGCACATCTTACAGGCTGACTTTGTTATCGGCGCCGACGGCGGCCATTCAAGCGTGCGCGCGCTGTCCGGCCTTGCGTTCCCGCGCAATAGCTATGTGAGTGCGCTGCTTGACTGAGTTGTCTCCACGGTGACCAGCGCCTGAGCGCATTCCTCCTCTGGCCCGGCCGCTGCAGGATCGTCCGCTTCTGCTGGGCGAAGTGACGCTCGCGGACCCGCGCTGGCCATGGCAGTATCCCTCGGCTGGCTTCAACGGGCTCGAGGCAACGAACATCTTCAGCTCCAACGGCTTCCTCCTCCTCGTTCCCGTCCCCGGCGGGCGCATCCGCCTCGCGGCCAACTTTGGCCCGCCAGGGTTCGACCCCAAGACAGCGGGGAAGCGCTCTGAAGGCGGCGGCCACGTCGAGGGCAACCGTCCCACTATCCCGCACTTGCAGTGGATCTTGGACAACTGGGGCCCCGCCGTCCCAACCGAGTGGATCGACGGCGGGAAAGGCGACCGCACCGTCAAGCCGAGCACGATGTGAGAGATGCCCCAGCCCCCCTCCCCGCGAAGCGCTGCATGCAGAGCCACCGTACGTTACTGACGCGCACTTCTCTCGCGCTCCCCCGTCTCACCCCGCAGCGTCGACTGCTACTGGTCCTCCACTTTCCGCATCCACCACGGCATCGTGCACCACTTCCTCGATCCTGAGTCGGGCAGCATCGCCCTCATCGGCGATGCTGCGCATTGTCATAGCCCCATGGGTGGCAAGGGCCTGAACACTGGCATCCAGTGAGTGTACCGCACCCTCTCCCAGCGACACTGCCAACAAAAGAAAACGAAGATAAAAAGTGAAAGATCTGACGACGAATGCCGTGCGCTTCCCCGCTCACACAGTGACGCGACGTCGCTGGCCATGACGCTCGTGCGCAACCTGGACGCCAGCCGCGATGCGCGCCTGCGTGCGCTGCGCGCTTGGGCCGATGAGCGGCGCAAAGTCGGGCTTGGCGTGCTCAAAGGCACGCACTCGCTCACCGTCATGGCGTCGCTCCGCCATCCGATCCTAGTGCGCCTGCGCGACCTGCTCTTCCGCATTCTCGCCTGGGTCCCGGGTATCGCAAAAAGAATCGCCAGGGAGACGGCATGCCTTAGCGATCGTCCGCGCGGCTGGACGCTGCCCAAGGAGGTCTGAGCAGCGTGTAGGCGACCTGCGCACGTGAACGCAGTACTATATTCGATCCACCTCTCTACTTGTGATTTGTTCGATAAAGGATCGAGCAAAGACGCAGAGCTCGGCATGTTCAAATCAGAGAAAATGACATGGCAGTTTGTGCGCTGGTATCAAACGATATCTGTCCTCGGTATCGCCAGCAACGCTCGCGAAGACGATGCGCAATGCACAACCTGCCTGTACTGATTAGCGTGTTGAGGTTGCGATAAATGTAAAAAAACATACAATGAGTCTATTACGAGAGTGTGAACCGACTTCTAGCTCGGATGGCTGCGCCGTAGCGATAAAACAAGAATGGCACCGGGATCTGTGTGCATAGTGAGTACCAAGTAACCAGTCAGCAAGGGGCGACGGCCGAGCAACACATAACAGGGGTTGCTCACCATTAGCACATTCAGCCCTGCGAGCAAGCACGTGGCGCCCATGGTCCCGAGGCGGTGATACATCTAAATGGACAGGGCCATGCATTTGGTCACCATCAGCGAAACCCATATTGAGCACTGTCGTCTGCGATGCAACTCACCTGGGTCGAAAACAGCGGAAAGGCGGCAGCAAAGGACGAGCGGAGGACGCTGTTGCATGCCATCGCTGAAGCCGCGACCGCTGCGGGCGCGCAAGTTGTGTAAGAGGCACGGAGGTCAGTTCAAGATGGGGGAACATGCACTAAGGCTCACTATCCCAACTTACGTCGATATGCATCAGCCGTGAAGGAGAATACTGAGATGAAGATCTGTAGCCGAGCACGATGTGAGTTGCTAGTGCATCGCACAGGTCTCGGGATCATAGCACTCACAAGGATGAGTCCGGCACCAAAAGGCGCACCGGCAATCACCGGGGCGATCTGTTCGTCGATGCCGTCCAGTCAGCACAGGGCACACATATGCATCGACGAAGCCAAGCTGCCATAGTCGGCACTCACCCAATGCACGTGCGGGGAGGTGACGAAAGAGAACGTGAAGAGTCCAATGACCGTGAGGAATGCGCCAGGCATCGCCGGTGGTAGACGAGCTTCAGGAGGTGCGACGCCTCCGTTCTTTTCGCATGCTTTGTGGTAGAGACGGGACCAATATGGCATGGATGCCAGCCCGAATGCCATACCCACAAAGATGCCGAGGAACGTCTATTTCGCGCGAATCAGATTCAGTATACGCCTACAGGTAAGTGGGACGGGTGCATTCGATGCTCACCAGTCCAGTCTGCCACACGTTGAAGCCGCGTCCTTCGACGAAAACGACAGCATACGCCTGGTTAAAAAAGGAGCAAGCCAGCACGAGCTGGCGTCAGCCTCGGATCGGATTGCTGCTTCCTTATCAGGCAACGCACTCCGAAAAGCAGGTAAATGATGCCGAGCAAGAGGGCGCTCCACAGGCAGAGCAGGAGAAGCATCGGCTCGAGAACTAGGAGCTGCGGAACACGCATCACGCTGACTGCGAGCGTCTGACAAAGGCTTCGGTCGGCGTTCTTGCACTCGTGCTCCGAGCGCCAGAGATCATTGCCCGTCTCTTTGCGGAGCGCGCGCGCACGCTGCGTGAGGATCATTGGCGCGTACGTCTCTGGCAAAAACATCAGCTGTGTTGCAAGAGTTGTGCGGCGTAGGGGGACAAGGTTGTGATGCATTCGCGGTCAGCGATTACGTGGCGAGCACAAGTAGCGACTCGCGACCTGACTCACAATGAGCACCCACTGAATCGCGGACCAGATTGCTATCACCACGAATGACCATCGGAATGACTTGGTGAAGTAATTCGCGAAACCACTGTACAGCGGGGCCAGCTCGGGGCCAGCAAAGGGTGAAGCACTGTAGATGGCCATGGGTAGGTAGACGTTGTGCGGCTGATACAGATCTGTCACTGTCCCACCGGCCACGCTCAGGAACGCCGAACCGCAAAAGCCCGTGATGAAGCGGAAGATGAAGAGCACCTCCACATTATTCGCAAACGTGACGGGAAGCCTGCGAGGAATCGTGTTCGCGGGAATCAGCAGGCGCAACGATGTGGACTCATGCATACTGAAGGTACACTCACCCTAGAAGGCAGAAAGCTCCGAAGGAAACCAGATAAATGGGCCGACGTCCAAAGAACTGAGAAAGCCCAAACTCCCTCTTTCAGCCACCGCACAATGTAGGTGCATCGCTCGAGAAACGACTTCTCACCTCTGATAGTGGCGCAATGAAGATAGGCCCGAGCCCCAAGCCCACGACGTAGAGCGAGAGTGCCAGAATGGCGACTCTCTTGCTAATGTTAAGCTGCCGCTCCATGTTATCGTAGGACGACGCGACGATACTGGACGCGCATGTGACGCACAGCGAACTCGACGCTGTTACTCCCAGGATCATCATGCGTCGTGCTAAGGACCAGCCTTGCGGGTTCAACGGGTCGGCGAGCGGGTCTGCATCGGGAGCAGGAGCAGGAACCGAAGCAGACACGTTCCACTTTACGATGTGCTGGTTTTCTCGATCCTCCGTCAGCGCCGCATAAGGTGCTGAAGCAGCTATTGCGCTCGTTTCGCTCGCGGTCGGCTCGGCCGACGGAGCGTATTTGGTAGAACAGGCCGCCTCTCGACACGGCTGCGACTGCTTTCGGAGATCCATATGACTGGCTTGATGTTTGATGCTCCACTGTAGGCCGGAGTGCGAGTGGGAGTACACCGTGCTCTGCGCACTGGACACACTGTCGGCGCTGTGCATATTTTGGGGCTCAGAGCAGATATCACCAAGCTCTAACCACCCGTGTCGACGGGCACGAGTTGTACCGTTTGCGTCGCCGCCTTCAATTTCAGGGCGGATACCACCAAGCTCTAGCCACCCGTGTCGACGGGCACGAGTTGTACCGTTTGCGTCGCCGCTTTCAATTTCAGGGCGGATACCACCAAGCTCTAGCCACCCGTGTCGACGGGCACGAGTTGTACCGTTTGCGTCGCCGCCTTCAATTTCAGGGCGGATGCCACTAAGCACCGACCACTCGCGTCGCTGGGCACGAGTTGTACCATTTCCATCGCGGCTTTCAATTCCAGAGTGGATACCTGCCGGCTCTGACCACTCGCGTCGCTGGGCACGAGTTGTACCATTTGCGTCGCCGCTTTCAATTTCAGGGCGGATAACTCCAAGCACCGACCACTCGCGTCGCTGGGCACGAGTTGTCCCAATTCCGTCGCCGCTTTCCATTCCAGATAACCCACTCATTCCTGCTATTGTTTCGTCTCCAGTATGCGGACATTGAGGGAAAGGCGCGTCGGCAGGTATGCTTGAAGGGAATACTGATAATTAGCCCTTCAACGCGACCTCAGCTGTCTGTACGTTGAGATCACCGCGGTGCAAAAAAAAACTCTGCTGAAGCTCCCTCAACCCGGAAATGCACGTGTTGGAGTATGTCTACACAGCCTCTGGTTGGTGGTGCTATGATCGGATCTTGATTGTGGAGGCTTGCAGCTGTGGGTTGGTGATTGTGGTGCACAAAATTTTGCCTGACATTGCTGCAGTGCCAACGATTGGATATGGGTTCCGTTTGCGGTTGGCACTCGCCCATCGGCTGTCGGAGACATCGGGCTTCGGCTCCAAGTATCGCCTTTGCTCCTTGTGTTTCTTTCTTTTTCTGGTGGCTTCCCTTGACGCAGTAAAAGAATGTGCCATTCTGCTTGGTGGTCCCGAAAAGACGCCGAGGAGCGTGCACACGCCAACGGGAAAGGAGTTGCCGATGACCTCACCAATATCCAGATGGCGATTCTATTACGTATTGGCAGACACAGCACCATCAATCGATCGAGTAACCTGGTGGCCTTGGGTGCTCTCCTGCACTGTAGCCTCCAAAGTCCAAGGTGCAATTGTTCATTCGACGGCGCTGCGCGGGATCTGACTGTTTTCTCCCGGGCATACGGGTTTGGAGGAGCTGCAAGCCTCTTAAACATAGCCTCTGTTTGCTACGAATGCATGGGAGTCAACTCACATCCGTTGCATTCTCATCAGTCGCCGCTCCGCTCGCTAGAAGCACTTCCGAACACAGGGTGAATAGCGATAAGACAATATTCACATCGGTCAGTTCATTCTTACAAAGATGAGCAGCAACCAGTCAACTTCTCCTACAGCTTCGGAGGATACTGGCAGCAATGTTGGTCAAGCCATTGGAGGGTGAGTGGGGATCAGCTGCGCACTCTCCTCGTCTGAATGAAGATTGGCTGTTTTACCAAGGTGCCGAGCGACTGTCGCTCCTGACTTCACTCCCTCTCCGTGCCTCTGGGGGCACAGTGTCTTCCAAGCCATGTCAGGTGCTGGCGAGGCAGTTCGCGGCAACATCAATGCTTTCCTTGACAGTGCGTCGCCTTTACGCTTCGCACGAGGATATTTCCTGCGTACAGCTCGCTGAATCTTACATGCTCTTCTTCTTTGAAAACGCTTCTCTTCTCTGGTTGCATTGGCGATGTCGATCGCCGCACGATCACCTTTCGGCGTGCCCGCGAATGGTGTGCGCCCTACGACTTTAGAGGGCGGCGAAGCGCTCGTCGGCAAGAAGAACGTTGAGCCCCGCAGCTCTGATTACACTGCTGCCGGCGGCCACGAAAATATCGCACAGAAGGGCATGAAGGACCTGAAAGACGGCTTGGAAAAGGTTACAGGACCCAGCCAATAGTTAGCAGCTCGAGAAAGTCGCAAAGAGTCTGTGACGGCGCAATTCGCCGTACAGGCTGCTTCGAATGTCGCGGTGCTCGTTGGCTTTCAATCAATGGGTGCCGCTTGATTTTTTTTCGGTTGGCTAAGGCTGCAGGCTGCTATAGATGACTTGTTTGTGCTGTGCATAATGAATGTCAAGTGCGTACCATTTGCATGCTACGCAGTGGCCAGCATCACGGATTGTACGGAACCACCAAGGCCGGTGCTTCAAGCGCGTGGCATTCTTGAACGTCTGCATTTGCAGTATCCTTTGCTATAACTCCTTTCACGCATACTGACATGACATATATCCAGATATCCAGCTCCAGCTCGTAGACTTCTCATCCGGTTCTTTGGGTCGCGTGGTGGCTATGGACACCGCTGAAAAGGTAGCCCACCTCGTAGGTCCAGCATGGTCCAGACTCCGCGAGTGCTAATGTTGTATGGCCTTTTGAGGTCTATACAGCTCCTCATTCGATGAGTCGAATCTCTGTTTATAATTTGTAATCGGACGTCAAAGTCGTTGTGCTATTTTCATCACGCGATGCGTCGAGTCGAATGACTACACGTTACTTTGGAGGCTCCAGATTGGTGCTTGGAGCGCACTGCCGCGATAAGCGATAAGCGCGTGGCCCGCAAGGCGATCACATTCTGCGCTGCAGTCGGTACTCACAACAGCATCGCATTGCAGTCCACAGCCTTTCAAAGAGCGAAGATGCTATGGGCAGATATTGTCCAAGTCCGCCGCGTTGACAGCCTCCACTCTGTGTGAACTGTGCTTTGAATTGGTTTGGCGTGTTGATGATAATGGAACGAGCACGAGCACGATCCAGATACAGATATTTATGGGTTACTTCGACCAGTATCCTCTATGTACCTTTTCTCTTCATTCAAATACGACGCTTTCCTGTTCAGCCTTTCTCGCCCGAATCGCGCATCAGGAAAGGCAGGCCAATCCACGAGCCAGTTAAAATACCTCTACACAGGCACTCTCAAAAACAAGCGTTGCGTGGATGTCGTCTTCCTCGCAGATTCAGATGCCCACCATCCTGCAAGGGCTGTCGCCCATCTTCACGAGTCTCCACGCCGCCAAGGCGACGAAGGATCTGACGTTCGAGAAGATTGCTAAGGAGATTGGGAGGGACGAATGGTACACTGCTGCAATGTGAGACTGCAAAGCAAACGATCGTATCGTTGCTGTGCACTTCCGCGTCAGATGAGCTTGATTGTCCCAACACGATTTCTACTCTGTCCGCGTGCAGCTTCTACGGCCAAGCAAAACCGGCACCGGAGGACCTGAAAAAGTTGTCTCGGTGCCTTGATATCCACTGAAAGGTCCTCGAAAAGTCATTGGGCGAGAGCTACTGGCCGCATCGTGGTCTTGGCGAGTTTCCACCTAAAGGTGCGTGTCTGCTGGTGCATGCCCATGCCCCCGCATCGCGAAAGTCTGTGCTTGTCGATTCTGTATGCTTGAATGAGCTGATCGCTAACCTTTGTTGAACCCTGCGGCTCCCCACATTGCCCACATGTACACGTCCACCTCAGAGCCCGTCCTGTACCGCCTTTATGAAGTGCTTGTCGTCTACGGCTACCCTCTTGAGCACATGATCCACGAGAAATTCGGCGACGGCATCATGAGTGCGATCGACTTTCAAGGTCACGTCAAAAAGGTTGAAGACCCAAAGGGAGACCGCGTGAAGATCACGCTCAATGGCAGGTTCCTGCTGTACCGTCGTTGGTGAAGGCTTTGCTCCCCGCAACAAGATCTGTCGCACAAGAAAGTGATATAATGGCGTTAAGCGCGTCAAGCCAGCTTTCGAGAGCCCCTGCAAGCATCAGTCGTGGCCTCGCTTTGCATCAAATGCTTCGCGCATCTGCTTGTACTTCAGACAGTTCATCATTTTCGAAGACCACTGACTCGGTAACACGTCAACAGCAGAGGCAGCGAATGACATGGTGATTTTCTGGGTCATTCTGTCTTGGCTAGCTTGGGATTTGGCACACCGTTGCCCTCCCCCGCATGACCAAAGGCCTGAGTAGCTGCAGTCCAAGCGCTACCTACTTATATACGTGTCCGGAAATACAGGAAACGCTGTTCGCTGTTCAGGCGTTCAAGCTCAATGCTCATTGCTCAGCGCTCACTACGCCCAACATCTCAACAACGTGGACAAATTTTCCATCGTGACTCGCGGGCATTCTACATGCTCGTCGACGCGGTAAACATTCGTCGGGACTTCACATGATTAGATGGGGTAGAAGGCAGGAAGCAAGCTGCTCAAAAGATGCGTGGCTTGTCACCTGCAACGCGCAAAAGCCAGAATACTGTACGGGTCGGGCCGTTGGACTTCCAGATGAGGTAGAAACACCAATGAAGCCAGTGAAATATGAAGGGTTCAACAGAAGCCTGATATTCAATTAAACATTGGCCAGTGGTCGGACACCAGGTGCCATGACTTGAACGTTCCGGAACTCACATCCTACACGTCACTACCGGACCAAGGACGGACGTCAGACGTTAGACTTTCATCTTACACATCTTTGAATGCAGCGACATAATTGGAAGAACAGAACATTGGAGGCATAGAAGATTCCGAAGCCACGCGATGTGACTTGCACAGCTGAGTTGTGTTAGGCAAGCGCGCTTCCTTCTGCAGCTCTCTCACCCTTGATGTGTTCATGCTTTGATGGCTGGATACTCAAATACGCTTGTAGTGAAGCCTCGAAGCTTGGCTGCGAGCTGGGAACGCTACGGTGTACGCTGCAGATGCGAACAACTTGCCTCTACTCGGACAGATCTGGACAAACCAAAACACCACCGAGTACTGAAGCCCATCGAGGCGGGGATCCAACAAGCACCAACACCTACGAAGTTGCCAAGATGAAGATCAGAGATGAGTCCAGTGGCTGGCGGGTGGAATTTTCGAGTGGCACCGCCGATTTTGCGTAGCGCCGCCCGCGAGGGTGCAACAGAACAGGTTGCCACAGGCCATTCGATGTTAGAACTGCATCAACCGACAGATGCCGACAAAGGTTTGCAAGCTGCCAAGCAGCAGGAGCAATTTCCCAACAAGACAACAAACACGTCCACTCAATGGCAAGAGGGGACGAGGATCCAAGAGATGAAATCGTATGATCGTGCTTTGTGTCGGCTGGAGACCTGAGGCTAAAGACTCGGTTCGGCTGAGACTGACGACGGCAATGCGGAGCTCCCTCCAACCATGTGAGGCTTTACCTTTTGTAGACACAGGATGACACGAACCCGATCCCCTGTCCCATCTTCCTAGCTTCCTCCCCCGGACGCTCTGTGGCTTTGCAGTGGCTTTCTCTAGACCTTCTCTGCGTCGTTCCGGCGCGCATCGATCTTGTGTGCATGCCTCAAAATCAGCATAGCGAAAAGGCGAGCGGAGATCAGGTAACAGTATGACTTTGGGGCGGAAGGTTTCCATGGCAGTCGCCAGCAAGCTCGCGCCATCTGTGCTGCACGTGTCGCGACAACGACGGCGACGATGAATCGCATCACGAGGTGAAGACGGCGACGACGGCATCCAGGCCTGGCCGAACGATGCTTATCAAGTTAAACGACCTCCTTGTATGACAGCTTCCAAGGCCACTTGGCAGAAATTGTCCAACATAGGAACCAAATCTGTGTACACATGTGGAAACCCTATGGATTATTGACTTCTCGGCCAGCGGCCCTGCCTCCGCCTCCGTGCCTGAGTTGGGAGAGGGGGGAGATCGAGTTGGGTATCCAGCCTGGTCCAACATGACGACACTGAAATACTACTCCCACAGGGTTCAAGCAAAAGAACAAATGTTTCACGCGTATCTCTGTACCACACATTTGACTACGCCCTATAATAACGTCCTGGGGCGTGGGGGTGGCGTGGGTGAGATGAGAGGTGCCGCGACAGGACCTGGGGCAGTTCAGGGGCCGCCCACTCCCGAGTTCCTGTCCTATTTCGGTAATGGTCGATGATGCGATGGATTTCCAGCCGTCTTGCGCCCCTCACCTCGTTAGAGCCGGGGCGCCAAGCTGTTTCTACGTAGGTATACATGGGATACATACGCGTCGTTTCACTTTAGCGCCTAGCATCGGTTTGTATCAAGCACTATCTATCCCACAGTCTGCATCGCAGAAGGCGGAGCAGGGTACCCCAGCACTACCCCCGACAACACGCGGCCGCTGCTGGGTACCTGCTGATAGAATATGGGTGAACTGTGGAGATGAGAGTCAGGGGATGACAGCGGCATGCTGCCTGCCGAGGACGAGGAGAAGCGTTCCCAATCCACTCTCACTTAGCTCTCCCCTGCTGCCGTATGCATCTGCCAGCAGCGTGCGGACGACTGCCAGGGGGTGGGGGTTAGCGTCAAACACCCACAGCATCAGCTGCCTCGGCCACGGCGCTGACTGCCGCCAGAGACAAGCGACATCGGGGGCAAGCGATCCTCTTTCCTGCTGGGCAGCGACACATAAATACCCCAGCGACACGCTCTCTCCGCCCTCCTTATCCCTCGCCCCACAATTGACCGTCCTCAACCCTTTCGCATCCGCTTCCCCTCCTTTCTTCTCCTTTGTTGCCACCCCGTACCCCACGGCGGCCACAGAGACGAAGATCACCAGGATGAGTCACTCAGAAACCGAAAAGGACGTCGCCAAGGGCCGGTCGTCCGATGGCAGCGGCAACGGCGTCAAGCTCGCCACTGAAGAGGTGGACAAGTTCGAGATCGCTCTCGACGCCAATGACTCGGGTGAGGTCAAGAACCCACTGTACGGCGTGCCACGCAGCAAGCTCTTGCGCGACGCAGAGCAGTTTGCCCATCAGCACGGCCTCGTAGAGCATGTCGAGCTCATCCAGCGCGGTGCGCTGGTCGCACAGAACCAGAGCGGCTTCCAGTCCATCCCCGACCTTTCCGACGAGGAGAAGGCGGCGCTCGTGCACGAGGTCACGCACAAGTGGAGCCACCCGTTTGTCATGTATGCCACCATCTTTTGCTGCTCCATTGGTGCTGCCACGCAAGGGTGGGATCAGACTGGTAGCAACGGTGCAAATGTGAGTCCCCCCTTTGCTTGTTTCCATATAACAGACGTGGGAATTTGACACACTCACACTTTGCACAATACTCCAGCTCTCCTTCCCCAAGGATTTCGACATCAGCACCGAGAAGGGCAATCCAAACGCGTACAACAATACATGGCTCGTCGGCGCCGTCAACGCGGCGCCTTACATTGGGTCGGCGCTCTGCGGCTGTTGGCTCTCCGATCCGCTGAACAACGCATTTGGCCGCCGCGGCTGCATTTTCATCACTGCCGTCATTCTCGTCATCACACCGATCTGCTCAGGCTTCACGCGCAATTGGTGGGAGCTGTTTATCGTCCGCTTCCTCCTTGGCATCGGCATGGGTGCTAAGGGCTCCACCGTCCCCGTCTTTGCTGCCGAAAACTCACCCGCGCGCATTCGCGGAGCGCTCGTCATGGGCTGGCAGGTGAGTGCGCAAGCCTAAGCACGAGTCTCGGAGGCAGGGCAACACCTGTTTGGTTTAGCATTCTGTCTGACGCGTTTATCTTCTCGTGGTCCTCACGCAGCTCTGGACCGCATTCGGTATCTTCCTCGGGACATGCGCAAACGTTGTCGTCAAGGACGTCGGAAAGATTGCCTGGCGGCTGCAGCTCGGCAGTGCTTTCAGTGCGTATCCATCGAGATTTTCGACTGTGTGTATCTATCAACGAGGGCGCCGCTGACGCGCTGCACTTGCTCCCCTTCCTCGACAGTCCCTGCGCTCCCGCTCGCGATCTTCATCTACTTCTGCCCCGAATCGCCGCGATGGCTGATGAAGAAGAACCGATACGCGGAAGCGTTCGAGTCGCTCGTCCGCCTACGCCACAACAAGATCCAGGCCGCGCGCGATCTGTATTACATCCACACGCTGCTCCAGGAAGAGAGAAAGATCATCCGCGGTACCACGTACGTACAGCGTATCGCCGAGCTCTTCACCATTCCGCGCGTCCGCCGTGCAACAATTGCCTCTGGCGTTGTCATGCTTGCGCAGCAGATGTGCGGCATCAACATCATTGCGTTCTACTCGTCAACAATCTTCGAACAGGCCTACGGGTCCGTCGATAAGGCGCTGTACGCATCGCTTGGCTTTGGCGCTGTCAACTTTTTCTTTGCCTTCCGTGAGGATATTGTTGCGCAATTTCGTTGACCATGGAGCGAACGCTGACACGAAGGCTTGAACACAGCCGCTCTTTTCACCATTGATACCTTTGGACGCCGGAATCTGCTTCTCTTTACCTTCCCGCAGGTGTGTTTTAAACAGAGTCTTTGACTGGGTGACCCTGCCTGCCAGCCGCTCTGATTTTATTTGTTTTCATTCTTTCGCCGCACTTGCAAACCGAAACAACAGATGGCATGGTGCTTGCTCGGCGGAGGACTGTCGTTCCTCATTCCGTCGAATGCCGACGGCACTCCGGGTCCAGGCCGTGTCGGTGCGATCTCCTTCTTCGTTTTCCTTTTCGCGGCGTTCTACTCGCCAGGAGAAGGCCCCGTGCCATTCACGTACTCTGCCGAGGTCTTCCCCCTGGCGCAGCGTGAGGCCGGCATGAGCTGGGCGGTAACTGTCTGCCTCGGCTTCGCTGCCATTCTCTCTGTCACGTTCCCCGCCATGCTTGACGTCATGACGCCGACCGGCGCGTTCTGCTTCTACGCTGGGCTCAACGTCATCGCGTTCGTCATGATATTCTTCCTCGTACCCGAGACCAAAGGTGAGTCCCTTCGGTGCTGAACCTTAACTCGACACGTGCTTCCTCCTGAGCCCCGAGTTGTGCCACCGGCAACGCGCTGACGCACCCGCCTCCTCTCGCTCGCAGCGCTCACACTCGAAGAGCTGGACCAAGTCTTCGCAGTACCAACCGGCAAGTTTGCCGACTACCAACTCAACAAGGCCTTGCCGTACTTCTTCAAGCGCTGGGTGTTCTGGCGGAAGGACGCCAAGCTCGAGCCGCTCATCAGAATCGACGACACGCTCATCGTCAAACCCGATGCTTCCAAGGTCTAAGGAATGGAGCCTTCGCCCTTGTCAAGCTCAGGCGGCGCACTATGATACGATACTACACGCACGATACATGTGAGATAGCTTACACGATACATGTATACACTCATCAACATTATATCTACATCTTCGTAGAGCAAGGAAAATCGGACACACATTCTTGTTCCCCTTTTCCATACCTTCCTCACTGGGTATCATTTTTCCACCGCGTCACGGATGGGCTTCTCGTCGTGTCAAGATCCCCACCTGTATTTTTCGCTTTCGCACCCTGTCTATCCTGCACAGTGCACTGATCGTTCAAAACTGTATTCCCTATTAGGCCCGCCTTTGCTTGGTGTGCTGTTTGCTGGTGCTACCTGTTGCGGGCATGGCTGAACGTCGAGACTGTCTCGATTTCTGACATTTCTGCCGTGCGTTGTCTTGCAGCATGTTCGGCTCGGTTCAAGGAGAATGAGCGAGTAGTGACTCCTGCGCGGCTGCGCCTGCCGCTGTGGCATTCGTGCTGGTGACCAGACGCAACCACATGTCGTCTGCGGTGTTATGTTACACTTCGACGTGCGCGTTTTCCGCCAAACGGGCTTTGGCCGTCAACGATCCAGTGCCTCACAATTCACTTCAACTTCTCCTGCTCCAGTTGAACAGGCAAAAAGTTGCTCGCGGCAGTTAATCCAGTGTACTGCCCTCTTCATTTCCCTTCTTGTGACACCTTGGGATACGATCTACATATTTCGACTATCCTGATTGCTCACAACGCACTCCCAGCACACCGGAAGGGCCTGTCGACGTCAGTTGTTGTGAAGTAGCGACGGGAACAAGCACGTGACCATGCATTCAGCCATGCTCCTGTGTAGGCCGCACAAGCAACACACCCTGTGAGGAATGGGAACTATTCAGGGAAGCGAACTAACCAATCGTCGAGAACCAAACCTTCCCCCCAATGTAGAGGGCCGAACGTGGATGGTGACTACTTCAACGTGTAAGGATCGGTGCCAAGAGACGAACTCTTGGACAAGCCCGAGACAAGGAGAGATTCAATCTGTTGACATTGGTAAGATGCAACGCTTAGGGAATACAGGAAACAGATAGGGAAAAGAACATGGGAGCTATTTATGTGGGCAAGAGATGGTGGCAAATTTGGTGCCATTGGCGGAATGAGAACAGGGTTCGGTCCGGTTCGAAGTCACGAATTCTGTCATGTAGTGTGACACTTACTCGGCTACCACTAGTCACTACGCCTGCATTCGTTGCGTGACTCGGCATCACTGGGGATGGGTCTGCTGGGAGCGCCGGCGGTAGCAACAGCATTTATGAAAGTATGAGGAGTATACAGGTGCATACATCACAGTCGAGCATGAGTGATAAGCGAAGAGAGATAGAGAGAGATGCCGGTGATCTTTAACGCCAAGCTCGAAAAGTGCTACCGCAATTGCTGTGAGATGATCGTCAACCTCATGATGAAATAGTCCCTGCATGGCCGTGCTGTCGGTCTAATAAAGGACGTTTAGCGCGCCTTTGATGAAAGGCCGCATGCGTTTGACCACCTTCTTGAGGGCGACTTCTTCGCAACATACTGCACTTTGGGCGGGCTGTGCTCGTTCCCATTTGCGTGATACAAAGACCAGCGAATAGTTGGCGGTCGCGGTGGGTGAACAGTCACCAGTCCCACCCGATGAGCGAGGCGTCGCTGCGGACGACTTGCTGCTCGCCTGGGATGGCGAATTGCCTTGCGTGGGAAGAAGTGCGCTCGCAACACTGTTGACTGCTCTCGACTATGTTTTACTCGTTGGGGGGAGAGACATATTGACTCGTCGACATTGTCGACAAAACGTTAGTTGAAGCAGTCGACAAAGCAGTCGACGCGTACGCCCAGGTCATGTATAGAAGTCTGAACGCGACGGACTTCAGGGATAGATGTTAGTGAACTTTGTAAAGCCTCGGAAGTCGAGGGTACCGTTTTGCCGGGGCGGCCAATAATTTGAAGATTGAAAACGAACGCTGCACCTTCGGGGGAAAACGTTCACTGCGAAGTCGTCGGTGCATTCGGAGAAAGTTAACGACGAGTCATTTGCATGTATGTATATACAGGCCAGAGGTTACGAAGTGTGGCTGCATTTGGCATACTAGTACGTAGGAGCCGCGCTTGCACGACGTATGCACTTTGGGGCCAGTTGGCGTATCTGCACATGTGTTATCACTATTATTATTACAAGTATTTGGCTAATCTCGCCCTACTGGGTCAACGCTTGTTTTGTTTAGAAAACTGTCTTGCCTGGCCGTCCAACTGGTGGCCTGACGCACCGAGGCGCATAGCCTGGCGTACATACATATACAATCCCTTCCCACGCATTTGCTTGCACATTATGCTCATTGGCCGCCAGAAACTGCCTTTCCTCTGTTGCAGGCGACCGGAAAATGTCCACGCTTTGCATGTAAACGATAAATTGCTGCAAACTATAAAAATGCACACAGCATGTAACATACATATAGAAAGGCGGGGTCTTCGCTGGCGCCGCAAAAGTGAACAAGACTTCCAGTGATTGAGTATGTATACCCGATTCTGCAATTTCAAGTTCCGTATTCACTACGTAATACGCCTAAATATCAAATCATATGGACTATTTACCCTGGCTACAAAGATCGATTCAGCTTTAGCCGCTATATATGTTGCCTTGAGTTTCAAGTCACACGGACAGCAATCTCCGCGCATTGAGTGGAGAATGGCTTCCCATGAACATTTTCATCTCGGGATTTGACGGGTCTAGTGCTCAGATCACAGGCTGCAGGGCGTCAAGCCTCAGCGCGTCAGAGCCTATGACTTAGTCGGAGTGTTAAGCAGTGATTATCGAGTCATGCTCGGGTCAAAGGTCAGCCAGCGGTCAGGTGCCAGCAGCTGAAATCTGCAATTGGGGCGCAATATGCCAACTACCCAGCACCACCCTCGCCAGGGCGCGCATCCGGCGTTCGGCTCGGCCCCTGCAGCGTGAAACCAACGGTGGATGCAGTGAGTGGCTTTGTCGTTGTCGGGGCAGCCCAACGCAGCTCGAAATGTCTCGTTTCTCATGACACCCTTTTCATCTTGGCAACACCATCAAGATGAAGCTGGATGAACGACCTGGCCACAATTTCTGCGATCAAGGACGTAAACCCGCCTCGGTAAAATCAAGGAGCCCATGACCAGGCGTAGTGCAATGCAGACAGTGATTCAGTGATCAGCAAACGCAAGCCTGAGCAGGAAATTGCAACGTAGCAAGCTAGATTGATGATCAAGCCAAGGCGACGGTTGAAATGCTAGGCATCATTCTGAACGCTTCGGGCCAACTGGCTGTCAGACCCGTCACAAGTGGAAGCCCGAAGGGCCGAAAGGGAGGGAACCCCTGGAGAAGTTGGTGACAAAATAGCCTAGCGACGATAAACGCAGGCGACACACTTCGGAAGTCCAACAAGTCAGGACTCCAGGAGACTATGATAGTCGAAGGAGGTGCTAAAGACAGCTAAGCTAGTATAATATGAGACCTCAATAATGGATACGAGGCATGGGAAGTTCGAGTCTGTCTTGACGCGTTGACGTCTGTGACGCAAGTGTTTATGTTCTATGGGTTGCAAATACTAGCATGTAGATTGTGTAGAATGTGCGTATTGTATGTTAAATACTGTCATAATAAACCATAAGCAAATATAAACAGCAACATGTGCATGAAAACAGACTGCGCCTGTCTATGTACTACCTGTACATACATCCACGCAATATTCTTCATCATTTAATCCATTCATCGTTTCTGTGGTTGACAGTTCTATATAATTTTTAACAAATGTGAGCACAGGATTACACATATACACCTGCGTCGTACGTACATGCACCTACACGCTTATACTCACGCATGGATATATCCTAACACTAACCAAATATTACACAAACATGTTTGCGTAATGTATGTTTATGTATATAACAAACGTTACATACTTCCAAGTTGGAGCGGTACACCAAGTATGTAAATGGGTCCGGTTGTTCAAGCCACGTGGCCCAAGAGAGGGATGAGCTAAAAAGTGTCAAGTTAATGAACTTTAAATCCTTTCCTAACTACATCTCAAAAAAGAAAGGTTTTCTCTCCCCTCCTTTGCGTATGTATGAAACGTTTACATATGTAGCTCCATTTACATCATTTACTGAATCCGCACACATTCACAAGCACTAACCTCCGTAGTACGACAGGCGACTTCACCAAGCACTTCCAAGGCAGAGGGAGCAGAAAGCAACGTATTACACAGCACGTCTGCAAATGTCTTAGTGGCCGGCCACACGCATGGAGCACCGTAAAAACGCTATTGCACCGTGCACAGCACCCAGCACAGGCGACATGGTAGAACATGGACTTGGTCCCCGGTTGCATGGGCAACTGGCAAGAAGCTCGAGCTGTCAATACACACATCCGCTCCTAAACCCCGTGCATCAAATCAACTAACTATAGACTCCGCCCCCCCCCCTTTTTTTTACTTTTGCAGCCACCATTCATTGAATCGGATGCAACCTTGAGCGCTTGAGCCTAGTTGATAATGATGCAACAAAGCAACACATGGACTGAAGGACTTGCACAGGGGAAGGAAGGATGAGCCGTGACACGAAGATCAAGTCGCGTAATGCTGGGCTGGAGAACTGCCAGGAAGAATCTGAAATTGTTCACTTCCCACCAGCAATGACTGTATAGATGGTGACCGGAAACTTACGAGCATGGGTCGTGCGAAGTCGCTCGTGAGTAGGCAGTGACGAGGTAGCGCAAGGCGGCATTGTGTCAGCGAGGCCAGCGTACCGACTACATCCGCGACCACGTCCACGATCGGCTATCTAGCGTCCTGCTTCCACAAGCACATGTCTCCGAGTAGCGGCACACGAGCTTCACCCTGTACAACTAAGCTAAATAAATTACAAGTGCGCTCATTATCGTATTTTAAGCAGGATACGCCGCACATCATATACAAGAATGGCCTCTCTGCGCAAAATAAGCCGGTTGAACAGATCCGTCACCTTCTGGTGAAGATTTGCTAGGGACCTTTGCGGCTTGCGCGCGAATGCAGGCCACCATGCCCACTTGGACGCTGCGAGCTCTAGGAGTATCCTCGATGTTTTGTTTCATCAAATATCCATGACTCGCCGTGTCTTGAATCTTCTTTCGAAGTGTAAGTAATCTTCACTATCTTTTAAGTTTCAGCTTTGGTCTTACGGATATTATTACCTCACATCGAAATATGAAATATGTTGTTATGGTGCTTTCAAAATACAAATTAAACCCAGGTTCTGGCATATTCTATCTCATTCTCGCACATTTACGTCGAGGCAGGTTGAGGTCATGTGCGAGCCTGCGAGTCGTTCCTTGTGAGAACATCTAACCTTCCGGATGTCTGACTCCCCGGACGCCTGCATGAAGGCTTCAGTTGATTCTCCGCAGTCTTCCGTCATTCACTGACCCTCTGTGGGTCGTGCCTGTGTGACAGCCTTTGATTTGGCTCTGACAAGAAGTGGCGAGACCTGTTGCCCCGATCTAATCTACAAACACCATCTTGTGTGCGGTGAATTGTGAAGCTGCTATGAGACTTTCAAGGTGAATCAAACTCCCGTTCGGTGAAAAGCTTTGGGGTGCTTGGAAGATGTTTTGTGCGGGAAAAACTGCATTGCGCTTGGTCGGTGAAAATAATGTTGAAAGAAACGAACAACTTGTGTCACCATAACCCATATCTCCATTCGCTGACGTACCTTACAGGCACTCCTACTTCCTGTCTCCGCAGCAAGATTCATGCAGGCTGGACCTGTTATCAGAGCATGATGATGTTGATGATGATGGCGGTAAGGTATGACGTGAAGCCATTCCCTTTTTTGGATCTTGATCTCCAGTTTCAGACTGAATAGTCACATTTGTCTAAGCATCAATTGCTGCAAAAACAGGGTGGAAATGCGAACATACTGGTCGCATTGTCGTTCTTCATACACCGTACAAGTTCAGAACTGAAAAATACTTGCAACAATTGAAAAAGGGCATTTTTAAGTGTTAAGAGCACTTTTTGGCGACCTCACCATTTTCACCACACGGGGACTAACTAGGCCCGTATTTGATTCAACACATTTATACACAATACACCGAGTGACGTATGTACGATGCACTATGCTGCATAATAAGTACTGTGTGTAGTGTCTGCCATGTTTCCCAAAGAGGTGTGTATGTGCAAGTTCGGTATACCTATGTACAAGTGTTCCCAATTTCAACGAGCTGTGCTCGGTTCAAATGGCCCCCCCAGAAAGTGTGACGGGCTTCCAGCATTTATGGGCAACCGAGTGACAGACTGTCCCAGTGCAAAATGCAAATGGGTGCACTGCCAGTAGTCTGGACCATTCCTTTGCCTGCCAAGCTTGGCGGCCTCTGGAAGCATGCTCTCTCTGACTGGGGTTGTGATCCTAAAAGCGTTGCACTGCGCCGAGAGGAACAGCTAAGACAATTTGTGAGGTACTGCAGTGCGAGTTATGATACCTTGGGCCTTGCGCTTGTGAGACCAGGCCACGTCCCTGCCATATGAAGAGGTCGGCGCACTGGCAGAGGTGGAAGCGGGTGCATAACAATGACGAAGTGCGCGGTCCTTTATGATATTGCATTGCGTGTACAACTGTGTCGGAAGATATTTTTGTACATACAACCCATGTTTCAGGGTCCTTTTGTTTAGACTTCGTCTACGTTTGCCAAAAAACGTCCGGGACCAGGACTGCACAGGCTGGCAACTGGAACAGGATATTTTCTAGATCTTTCCTGCTTCCCAGTGCCTACTTTGTCCATACATACACCACGCATGTCTGACTTACAGCATATGAGAGCACTCTGCAATCTGCATGCATATAGAATATTTACGATATGCACGGATGCATGCTTTTGCATGCTTGTCTTCGGCCCTTCTTGGCCTCGATTAAACACAGCTTCCCCATCCCGTGTCCATACGCCCAATATCCAATACAGTATGTATTCGGCACCCCCATGATGGGAAGGTCACTCAATCCATGACTGGTCTTCATCCAGCCAACATCCCCCGCGTCCGCGGTGACAATGGTTAGAGATGCATTTATACCATACTCCAACACCACCACGACACCGGGCGCAGAGATGTCCGCCGCAACGAAACCCTGCTCGGCGTGATGTCCTCTCGCATGTTCATGCCTCTCCAAGCATCAAGTAAGATCGATGTCGATGAGAGTGCCGCCGTCGTAGCAGACGCCACCTGTCCGTGCTCAGCAAACCGTGAGCCTCTACTGTAGTTGAGTCACCCGACTACTTCGACGGTATTCTTCAACACGTCTAGACGTTCCCCCTCGCGAGCATCTCCCGGCATCGACAGCACGAACGCTCGCCACCCCACTGAGACGCACCTTGTGAGTTACAGTGATCATGGGGTTGATGCTGAGAAGGACAAGGGCAGGATCGAGATTCGGGGCAGGAAGCTCGCATACTGCGCTGTCGCGTTGCCCCATATGGTTCATTCAGTGACGCTTCGCGCGCCGTCAACTCCCTTTGATTCACCCCGTTGGGCGAGCTTAGAATTGAGTCGGCGTTAGGAGCTCATTTGAGCCAGCACAGGCATCATCAAGAATGTGCCACGCTTCGCGTTGGATGGCCACGCGTAATGGTAACGGAGGCCAAAGGCCAGGGTTGTTCAGCATCGAGGGGCAGCCCAGATATTATGTGTGTGGGGGGCGAATGGCGCCACTGTTTCATTTGGAGGCATCAGAAGAGAATCGATCCTATATAGCGCAGCATGAGGTGCAAAGCATATGACGGCTTGGTCATCGCCATGCTGCAGCTTGCTGATCAATTCTTAAAAAAAGCTGGGAATGGTGGGCAAGCTTCCTTGTTTGCTCCAGCAAAGCGATTCGCTGATCAAGGGTGATCTCTAACGCAATTAAGTCGTTCCGCGAGTAGCTGAGCAACAATTCAACCTCCCCAACCTTGGTGAAACAAGCAAATCGCAGAAACAGAGGTACACGTCACAATCTGTCGACCACGCCAAATTACATCTAGGACATAACAGAGTCCAAGGGTTTGTTACCGGCAGATGCTGGCCTCACCGCTTCCCGTCAACCCGCCGCTGTCGTCCATTCTGTGGTTTCCGCAGACCACGACGACATCCACCATAAGGCACAGGCGGCCCACCGTGGTCATTATGGACCAAGATGAAGAGTGCTCAACGCATTCGTCCAACCTCCACTTGAAAGGCACGCCATTCGAGAACACACAGCGCGCACATACAGCATCCATTGTCAAGGACGCAGCAAGACATTTACCGTACCCGCTCGTGATGAATGCTGAAGATCATGGGTTCAGGCCACGGCCACATATTGCTCGTGACGATGCATCTGTACCTAGCAGTCCGAGCAGCAGCCGTCCATCTTCGATGCAGTACTCGCCAAATCAGTATCCATACTCAATTCTTCCAGTCGCCGCTGGTCACGATACCGAAGTGACGGGATGGACCTCTATTGCGCCAAGGCGAGAAAGCCATTCAAGATCTGGACAGTCAGCCACGCTGAATCAATATTCAAGTAGCTCCTGGGATGACGCAACACATCGAAGTTTCGGTGACAACCAGCAATATCGCGATCGAGTATTCGCCATTGCGACTGGACGATCAGTCGCTCGCCCGAGCCGCGAGACGGACGCGCAATACCCCTGGTCACCAGCACCATCAGCACAACCGCTGGACGAATCGCACAAGAGCTACATGCCTCACTTGCATTCAGTTCCAGCGTACGAGACCCTCCCATTATATTCACACATGCCGCCACCAGTCTCGCCTACTGTGCCTCTTTCGCAACTTTCAGTTTCAGAACGACACATCCCACCAAGCATGGTTGGTGCATGGACCAGCACGCATCCCAGTGCTGAAGTCCAGATCAAGGCAGCGGCCTCCGCCCAAGACGGCGCTCACACCGTGAGGCTTGTGCGCGATCTTCTTCGCAGGGCATCTCCACCGCCTCTGCCGTCGGGGGAAAACAAACTTGATTCAACACTTCATCCTTCATCATCAACGTCTGCCAACGAACGAGGGTCTGCTCCTGTACGCAAGCGGCGGCGTCCTCCCTTCAGCTACTCGACCCTAATTGCCCAAGCAATTTCTTCCTCGCCAGAAAGCAAGATGACGCTCCGCGAGATCTATAGTTGGATCAGCAACGCCTATCCAGACCTTTATCAGGTCGACGGCCCCGACAGCCAAGGCTGGCAGAACACGGTGCGTCACAACCTCTCGCTCAACAAGACCTTTGTCAAGGTACCCCGTACCTCTGGCGACATGCATGAGGCAAACAGCGCACCAGCGTCGCGCGGAAAGGGCGGCTTTTGGATGATCGGTCCTTCAGCGGCAAGCGTCGCGGGCACAATTGGCCTCTCGCGTGTCCCAGTCGCTCCGACGCACACAATGAAGGGTGCGGACATGGGCATTTCTGGAGCTTCTGCCGATCTCAGAGGTGAATTGCGCTCCGAAAGTTCAAGGTCATCAGCATCTTCGTCTTCTCCGGGTAATTCTCTTCCTGGGTCCGGGTATCTCAATGAGACGCCACGCTTGCTCGCCTCACACCCCGCCGCATTCCCCGCAATGCAAAGTGGAACAGGTCGACCTCGTACGCGGACGCTGAACAGCATTTCTACCAGTCCAAGCAGCAGCGATGCTCTACGCCCAGCTACTAGTGACCCGGCCCTGCAGAGTCCCATTCAAGATTTCAGCACGATACTATCCGTTCCAACTCCTTCCGTAAGAGGAGGGGCACTCGGTCTCACCATGCGTGGACGGAGTCGTGGCTACACGACAGGAGCAGCTGACTATATGCGCATGTCTGCGGCGCGCTTCGACGCTGAGGAAGCTCAACCCGACATCGACGAGATGGTCATGCGGCACAGGCGTCCGTCGATATCGAGCTCTCCCTACTTGCGACCTTTGACATCGAGCCGATCTGCATCATCTCCGCGATTCAGACAGCTCGAACGTCTCCCACCTCCATATGCTGGAAACCGACCGCCACACGCGACCCTTCCGCCTTCCTTGGCCTTGCGCTCGATGCCCACGTCGTTGCTTTCCGATGGAGCCCATCAAGGTGCTCTCTCAGCTGTCGGGCCTTCGGTCGAGGACATGATCATTGACCAGAATAGCAGAGACCCGACAAGTGAACGCAGCGAACCTGAGGCGCCACATTTGACTTCACGCATGTCCATCAGCGGCCTCCTCAACAATTGATGCACCAAATTCTTCTGTGCGGAAACATATCCATTCACCTCTTCGGCTCGCATTGCATAGCATCGTATCGTAAGCACATGCTCGCCCCAGGGCTTGTGCCCTCCGTGAATCTTGGGTTAGGGTCTACCGATTTGGAGATGTATCCTCACAGCTTGTGTAGATACCAAAGTGTATTGGGCGCGCTACGTCATGATTTCCCTCGTGCGAGGATATCTCTGCGTCTTGCCTCTCGCATGCGTTCCAGTCGTTTCATCATGGCACGCCCGTTCCCGACTATGTCTTCCCCCTGCTTGTCGGAAGCAGAGTGAAGTGTAGCTCGCTTACCAGTGGCCTTGTCGCGAGATGCGCCCGCCGTAGCGCCTCCGGTAGCGGAGCTACTGCCACTGCTTGAACCCACGCGATTCCATAGTTCGTATGACGAAAGAATCTCTTGCACGATCTCCGCGACCAACGGCATCGACACATTCAAGGAAGCAAGGACGGTGAGAGTGTCTGGTGGTGGTACCGGTGGCTGATGAGGAATCGCTACGGTTGCAGTCGGCTGTCCAGCCCCTAATTGAGGATGGGTGGCCACACCGGGCGTGTTGGCAGGAGTGTTGCCAGACGACGTAAACATGGAGCCTACAGAACCTGGAGTAGATGCTACAGGACTTGTGGTGGAAGGGACCTGAGCGGCGAATGAGCGTATCACAGCCCCGTTTGAGGCAGTGTGATCTAATCGATCGGATGTGATGGGTGTAGCTTTGTTGTCGATACCCAGACCGACAATTCGGGAGGCCTGAGGCGATAGGGCACCAGGATTTCCAGATGCATCGGATGTAGTACCATCCTGTCCTGGTCTTATAGCTTGATTATGCAATTTTGATTGTTCCCATGCGTTTCGCGCCGATTGCATTTGGCTAATCGATGCTTCAAGCTTCTCGCTGGCAGGTGGGTGCAAGACGAGAGCCAGCAAAACGGAAGCGATGGCGATGAGGTGCGGTGGATACAGCAGCGGGATGTCCGATCTGTAAGTGTCGTTAAGAACAAACCTGGTTTGAAAGAATCATTGCCACAGTCAGTATTTCAGTTCCAAGCCAATGCGAACGTCCGAACCCACCAAGCCATCTGCAATGCCGAGTCGTCAAAATCTTCCAAACATGGCTCTTCGTCAATATCTTGCGCATCTGAAGCAGCGATAGAACCGTTGTTGACCGATCCGCCGATAATGAGTTCTCGATCTGTCTGCGAAGCGTGGCGCGCTCGCCGCAGTGCTCTGTCCTGTTCCGACCGCGAGTGCTTGCGCTTACGGGACGATGGCCCAAGGCTCTCCTTCTCTGTACTATTCACGGCACTTATTTTGCTGTCCTTAACGTTGATATTACCGATAGTGGACGCAATCTGGGCCAATGTTCGATATGGGTGGTGCAAAATGAGATCAAATTCAAGCTCCTCGAGAAGATAAAACTCCATCTCTGCGACAGCGTGGGCAGCGGTAGGAAAGCTGCGGCTGGACATGTCTGTGAGGTGGGCTCTGGAACATGAGCACAGCTGATTCTAACGCAAGGCACAGTGTGAGTCGAGCTCACCAGCGAAAACGCGACTCGCTTCGGCGAAAACGCTTCGTACGTGCACGGGACTCTCTTCGACTTTTGCCGCGACGTAGACGCATGCTGCAATGACAATGGTGAGATCAGTCGCACAGTAGCTGTTCTTTGCGTAGAATCGCTTGAAAAATACGGTGGCTGTTGCTGAAACGCGTTGTCTCAACTGCATGCGCTTTGATAGCGTCGATATGACTGACAGCAACCACAAAAACAACAGATTGTATAAGCATATAGCAAGCGAACAAGCAATTTGGGTGTGCGATCCTTACCGTTGGCACCCCAAATGCCGATCGCTCCTACTTCTTCAGGTGTCGCATAGCGCAAGTCTTCCTCACGAGCAAGCAGTAGCTGCGACCGTGTGAAGATCCACCGTTGCCTGTTCAAATGTAAGCATGGTAGCATCAGTATGAGAGTTAGATGGGTGGAAGGGATGTGATGAGTTACGCACGCGTGCGTCGAGCTCCAGAAGTTGGCCGTCATTAGTGACCTGTACAAGATTTTCAGGAATTTCGCTTGGCATGCAAGCCTCGAGGGCGCCGGCCGCCCAGCTCATCGACCACGGATGCTTTGGAGGAAGCGAAAGGCAATCTGAATAGGACTGTATTATGATGATGAAGTTCAGCACCAGAAACCACGATTCCACGAAGCACCAACCACCGTTTCTGTGCGGAACTCGCGGGCGGCGCAGCAAGAGACTGAGAAAAAACCAAAGCTGAGTGACGCGAGATTTGATTATGCGCATACGATGAACGCCTTCGCCTAATACAGATCTATCTTCTTCTGCTCGCCATCTTGCTAAATCTTTTGCATGCCCCGCGCTCAAGGCCAATGCACATCCTGGGGTGATCCATGCTGACTCGAATCGCGTGTGCGCTTGCACAGGCCACAAGGGGGTTGAAATTATGACCATGGAGCAAGTTCGAGACACGTTTCGCGCGCAAGATCGGCCCATCAAGGCTGTTGAGCAAGCTGCATTAGGAGCGGGTACCCCAAGAGGTGAACGCGCATGGCCACCAGCGAGCATTGTTGCAAAGGGAGCATCGCCCGCCAAGCCTCCTGCTTCACCCGCAGTCTTGGACACTGGTAACTTTCCGCACACAATGTAAGTCTCTGTAAGGCTGTGCGCCAAAGTGCTCTATCAATTCTCAGCATTGTCTGGCAGTGCCAGTATCTGAATCTTTGCTCTGATGCTGCAGGACACTGGTGATACCGTACCCGACGCACGAGGACGCAGAGCTGGTGCGAAAAGTCATTACTGTCGATCGAGAGCTCAAGCCGCACGAGGTGCGCAAAGAGTGGTCGGTTGAAGATGCGCCGCAGGCCACGGCGTCCTCGGACACAGCGCCGGTTGGGACAGGGGCAGGAGCGATCTTGAAGATTATGATCCATGCAGCGACTACGCGTTCCATGCGACTGAATGTGAATGCAGTGTTGGAAGATATTGCACTCATCACACGCTCCATCGCCGCGTTCGACCCGGAACGGATGCAACGGGCAGCGAACGAAGGGCTCGAGCTCGGCAGTGTAGGGAGAGCAGGGTAAATGCAATCAAGAATGTGCTGTCAGGATGAGAATCTCTGTACTCCTGTGTATGAGCGCTTGCGGCTGTGCTGTATGTATGATACAAGGAATCGTGGCCACTACTGCAATCAGAGCTTGAGTTCCCTGAGAACCTTGAGGTTTCGCTTCTCCATCTCCGCCAACACTTTCGCCTCTTGGGCCTTTTCGATCTGCTTGACCTTCCAGCGCTTCATGCGATTCGCGAGGCTGCCCTCGTTGCTAAGGTCCTTGCGCATGAGCAATTCGATGGGGAAAGCGTCCACCTGCTCCTGCGAAGGTATGTTCAGCAGCTTGCCCGTGTACTTGTCCCTGGCATCGCTGATCACCGGCATAGGGTCCAGCGCGCGCCAATCACCGCCGCTTGCTGGTCCAAAGGAAGGGGCGAGGTCGAGGTAATCGCTGGCAGCGAATGCGCGACCTCCACGCCTGGACACGTGCCTCTTCACATCCTTGTCCGAGGCCCAGGCGGAGAGAATACGCGACGAATGGGAGATCGTCTCGGCTGGTGTGGGGGCTTGTGCGATCGGCGGTGGGCGCGTCAATTTGGCATGTTGACGACGGCTGTTGGCGAATCCAGCATAGGTGCCTGCTGCATCGTCCGGAATGTCTTTCTGTGCTTCGTTCTTCTCTCGTAGCAGCTCATTCCTTCTCTTTTCGTGCGCCCCTCGCAGCACTTCTGCCTCTGCCTCACTCTCTACCGAGCTACGCTGCCGACCGAGTCGTGTTCCAAATTCAGGCGGCAGTAGGACAGGATCCTCAGGTCTCCAAGGGATCCAGCTTTCGTTGCCGACGATGGATTGGTCTGCATGCTCGATGGTCTTTGTGCGTCGCTTGGGCGGCAATGTGGGCCACGGCACTTCGATGCGCTCATAGGCGTTGGTCGAAGGATTCTGGTAGATCGCATAGCGTCGCCAGTAAAACATGCCCTTTCGCCGGTCGAACGTGACGCGGGAGCGAGTCACCTTGCGAGCGTAGATGACACGGTTTGGGGCGGCCTCTAAGTCTTTCTTGTCTAGCAGATCGTCCGGAATCTTAAGCATGAGGTTTGAATAGTGTACCGGTCGCGGGACCTCCATGACATTTGGGCCGTACCCTTTCTCTTCGCCAGCCTCGGGGTCGACGAGGCGAGGGATGACATGTCGGATATTTCTCGGGGCTAGCTGTAGCTTTGAGTTTCCTGACGCATCCTGATCCAGATCCTTCAGCCATGCCAGATTTCTCTCGCGGTCGATAGAGACGACTTTGCCTTCGCCTCGAACCTTCCTGGAGCGTCTGGATGTCTCGGCAGCACCATCTTCCGCTCCTTCATCCGTGGACGCAGGGAGCTCCTTCACTTTCCCAATGCGCACCTTGACAACATCTCCGGGGACTATGTTCCAGTAGGCTATCCGGTCTTTTGGGCGGACAAAATTGGGGGTATGTCGAGCGTACGAGGGGACCGATTTGAAGGCAAACTTGCTCCCCTTGCGCGGTGGCTCGAGATGAGCCAAGTTGCGAAGGATCGTTTTGGTCGTTCCGGGAGTTGCCATCTTGGCTATTTCCCGTCTTCGTCTTATCAAGGAGAGCACCTGGTGAGAAGTCACGAGCGTACTGAAAAGCGATACTGCATCGACTTAAGAAGAAAGCAAGGATGAGAGATCATTCGAGCCAATTGCCGACGAGCAACTCATCTCGAAATGGGCGATCCTTGCAACCCTATTTTATGGCAAAAGAAATTTGCTGCCCGGAACACGGAATGTAGCCTGCACATCACCAACTGGAAAGCAAAGCCAGCTTATGCGAGGCTGCGGAGAGCGGTCCAGCAGCCGGCTGCAAGCAGATTCTCACTTCGAATCAACCAGCTCGCTCTCATGAGAGTCTCATCGCTCATCTCGTCAGTCGTCACCAAAACGAATCTCGCTCCGCTGTCCGCAGGACGGAGTTCCATGCTCGTGACCCCCTAGACCATCGCATTTCGCACAAGGATGGGGATGGACGACCAGATTGCATGAGAATGACAGGATCATCCCCCCGAAATGGAGGCGTTGGGGCGGTGAAATGCGGCGGTGGGGCGAAAGCCAAGCTCGGAACCGGCGCGAATAACCTCGTTGCTGCATTATCCATCCGAGTCATACCCGCATATTCAACGTTCGCCCTTCACATTTCAAATCCCATTTTAAAATCAATTCATGTCGCATATTATACATAGCCAGTCGGCGATGTGAGTTGTGTCGGTTGTGAAAAGGACTGATTGTTCAACTTGTCTGCTTTCTTCCAGGTTATCCGCCAACAATGACTAGATGACTAACAATGACTTCAGAGCATCGTTTTGAATTGGTCGCCACTCTACCCTGATCCCGATTTATTGGTGTCTTTTGCCCAACAAACCGCTTTCCCTCCATTCGTCCCTGCATTCCTCCTACCCGTGTCAATTTGTTAGCTGGCCTAGCTGCGAGCGAGCTATATAAGATCCTCCCTGAACCGCGCTAATTTCCTGATATTTTTACAACCGCTTCGCCATCTCCCGCATCAGGAACAATGGCAACCGCTGTAAAACTATTTAACGCCGCGTCCGATGATCTGGACCCTATCGCAAGCTGCATGACCCTCCAGCAGAGGTGGTGGTAGCGTCCCAGAAGGCTACACATCCCTTTTTGCCAATCCAGTCACACTCGAACATGAGCGGCACAAGCCCAAGGCAGGCACCCCGCACGAGAAGCTGCAATCACGCTATACGCGGCTGGCCGTTAGCAGCATGCAGAGCACGGTCAAGGGGGAGAGCGCGCAATTGGTCGTTCGAATAAAGAATGACGGACGGAACGATATAAGCGAATGCGAAGTCGAAGGCGAAGGCGAGATGATTGGATGCGGAGGTGTCAACGAATTCAGACAGGTCGATCGACAAGATCAAGGCGTCCTCACTGATATTAGCATTATGATCAACTCTAAACACTGGCGTCGAGGGTACGCAATCGAGGGCATCTGAGCTCTCTGCGACTGGCTCTTCAGCCTCAGATCGGTATCCAATTCACCATCGATGACAAACAACGCAGTTGATATCGAGCGACCGCTCAATTCAAATGCAGATCTCAAAGGCAAGATGCTCACGACCGTATTTGCGCAAACACTCGCGAGTAGCCTGTCATTTCAGGCGCTCATGATCTCACGTGGCCTGCCAGGCATAAAAGATGAATATTGCAGTGGATTCGGACCGGAATTCGGTTTTCACATCACAAAGGCCGTCTGGACTGAGACCAGTGCGGCACGCAACCAATGTCCTGAATCGCAATCGGACAGAATAGATTTGCTGACGAGATTGACATTCAAAATGCATACATCGCCTTCGACATTGCAAATGAAATCATTTCGTGCGGCTCTACGCACACTCTGAAAGAAACGGTACCAGGATAATTCTGTCTAAATCACCCAGCGCCGCTCTTCTGCTTCTTCGCTGGGGACTTTGCAGATTGGCGCGGGCTTTGGGAGACTCTTGAACCTCCCACACGTCGGCCCTCTTCTTCTGCTTGATCCGCTCCACCTTCGTCTTCCCCTGTACTTTTTCGTTTCGTGCCCGCGGCTACTGCAGTACTCGCCTTTCTAACCCTTGGTGAGCTTACTGCGCTCGGCGGCCCAGTAGACTGAGCTTGGACTCGTCCCTGTCCTTGAGAAGCAGTGCTAGCGGTACCATCATCGCCCATATCTCCACCGCTGCCATTGACCTCACCGTTGGCCGTGCCATTGCCTATCCGGGGGCCGATGGACGACTCTGAAGTCGAGGAAGATAATGGTGGTGGCTGTTGCTGATGGTCTTGTGGCTGTGAGTGCGGCTGCGCGTGTTGCACTGACTCGGCACCAGAGCTGTTCCGAGTTTGCTGCAACTCGCGATACTGCACTGCAAATCTATGCATCGCCTCGAGCGGGCCGATGCCCTCCTGCAGACTCAAGTCCATAAGATCGCGCAGTTGGCAGATAGATTCCGTGATCTGGGAAAAGGCAGCAAGGAAAGAAGAAAGAAGCCGTCAGTCGGAAGAGAAGCTGGGAAACCGATTATTCGTATTCTGGCCCACCTCGAGGCATCGCATCGACCGCAACGTGATGCCATACTCGTTCACGGGGCATTCGGGTAGTACTGGCTCCTCGATAGTGATAGTTGGTTTCGATCCGCCTATGTCTTCATTAGCTTTTTCATCCCCGCTTGCTGCTTGGTCGCTGCCTTCTTCTACCTTAGCGCCAATAGGCGACCCCTTTTTGCCTTCCTGATGCTGGGTTTGACGATGTGATGCTACAATCGCAGCCACAGTCTCTAAAGGGATCGAATGCGCAACGGGCATGCGTTGAATCGCAGCCCGCGAAATGTAGCTCGTGTGCGATTGGCCAATGAAGTCCAAGCTCTCAAAACGTAGTTGCGTGTCGAAGCCGAGTTTCGGTCTCTGGCCGGGCGCCTCATGCACCAACATGCGCGAGTGAGGCATCAACGAGATGCGAAGTGTGCCGGTCATTTGGACCTGCCAGCCATTTTGAAACGTCGTCGTCAGCGTCGCACTGTCCGCTGCGACGATGTGGGTGACGGCAGACGATGGAAAGAGGTTGACGACACGCACGCTGGGTGGCATGCGTGGAGGCGGCGGGTACCATGGACCTGAAGAGCTGCAGGGAGATTCGCGCGTATATTCACGCGGATTGCCCAAAGTGTACTGCACCGATCGGACACCCGAATGGTAAGACGTCATGAACCAGCGGGGAAGGACGGGATTTGGGACTTCCAAGCCCCTTTGGTCCCCATTTGTCGAATTGCGCAAGATCAGACGCATCGAGCCATTTGGTAAGTAGAACTCTTCCGTGAAATCGCGCCAAAAGTCCGTGTGCAGGGTCTATAGTCATTGAAATGAAGGGGGCGTCAGGACCAATAGCATTTTCCCCTTACAGTGCTTGGAACAGCTGCTCACATCAGTACCCGCTCCCATCGCTTCAGCCATCTGTAGCACCCTGAGTATAGCTGCGCCCGGCGGGAACATTGCCACACCTTCCCGGAAAGCCGATTGTGCCACCCTCATAGTTTGCGCCGCAGCTTGCTGATCCAAAGTCAGCCTCTCAGCCCTTGCCCTCGCGACCTCCTCCGCCATGCCACCCGACGAGCCTAATGCACGAACATCCGCAGATGGAATTGCGCCACCCGCCGTGCTAGTGCTAGGTCGATGACCTAGACGGGGAAGCAGGGCCGGGCTGGGGGTTCCAAGGGCAGAAATACCCGGTGTCAGTGGCTGTATCGGCATCTGAGATGGTGCCTGTGCCGGCATTTGTTGAGGAGTTAATCCTCTGGTACTGCCCCTCCCTGTCCCGGCGCTCTGTGCCCCAGGGCTCTGCATTGCGGCAACACCGTTCGGCAGCTGATATTGCGAATGTGAGCTGGCTGCGCTGAGGGGCCGAGGTATGCTCATGGGCGTCTGAGGATGCGAGCTCTGCGCCTGCCTCGCTTGATCCATGCCATAGAAGGAGACCGGCGTCGCTTTCGTCGCAAATCCTTGCGCAGTAAGCGGCGCCATTGGTGATCGTGCTCCCATCATTGCGTCGTGTTCAACCCCGTACCGTGCTGCAAGCTGTAGATGATTCGCCGCTTGACAAGGACTCGTGTTCAATGTAATTCCTACGCGGGCAGAGATCTTCGACAACCGTGTTTTGCAGGGTATTTTCGATTGGACAATTCCTGGTGGGCGGTGGTTCCCAATATATTAAACTTTCGTCCTGAGCTTGTTTGCGACTGCGCGTACGGCGAGCGGCAGTGCGCCAGGGTTTCGTCAAAGGCGGACAACAGGTTGTGAGATAGCAACTAGCATCATCGGTTGCGTCGCGTGTGTGGATCAAATCGCACCCGTTCGCAGTGAGCGACAGCCAGAAGAATGCGCTGCTTCCTGCCTCTGGCGAGAGGCTCGATACGGATATCCGACGGGATGTATCCTGATGCAGATGCGATGGTGATGCCTGACGTGAAGCTAGGCTGACGCAACGAATCAGACCTGGATTGAGCACCAGCTCGTTACCATACGCCCTTTCGTAGGGCTAAAGTTCCACGTTGTTGTACCAGCTGAATGCTAGTGCATGCATGCACGCTGTCGACAGCCCTCCCCCGTCGATATTCGATGTCTGCCATCGAATATTGTTGGTCGTGAGGCGCGAGTTCGGAGGACGGACACTACAAATATACGATCCGCTACCGCTTTCCCATTCCCCAGTCTCCGCTTCTCCGCGCGGTGAGAACTAAGTGGCAAAGTGCGTTGGTGGGGCAAAGAATTCATCCCGCGCTCGCGTCCACCAAACACCTCGGGCCCTCAAGACCACCACACGTTTCAGCACCCATCAAACAACGTCCTACGACGTCTCACGACAACAGAACCTTGCAGGCGATGCATTCGCAACTATGGCGCTGGAGGAGCAAAACCGATTGAAGGGACATGCCATGCCATTGTATAGGCTACAAGTAATATGAAGCAACTGTGTAGAAAGCAGGCGACCTTTTGCAGCCAGCGGTTGCCGTGGCTCGGCAGCCGCGAGAAATCGACGACAAAACGGTGCGCAGACAGGTGCAAGTGCTCGAGCAGAGCCCAAAGAAGAGCCCCGCGCTCAGTGACGCTGCTTGACGCCGAAAGCGACCTGCTTCTTGCCAGGGTGCACCGCGAGTCGCTTTGCAGCATCGGGGGAGGGGGCGGCAGTGCTGTCGGTGATAGCCGGGTCCGCCGCGGCAGTGTTGGTGAGCGCGTCAACGACCTGCGCCTGCGTGACGGCCTTGTGTGCGAACTCGGGGCCGTACTGGTATTGCGTGATACCGTTGGCTTCGTCGGCCTTGTCGCGGAGCATAAGCGCGGCGTGGCCTCCGACGACGGGACGCGCGAGGAAGTGAATGTAGTGGTCATTGTCGTTCGGCCGGCCCTTAGGTGTGTCGCCCGTCGTCGTCTCGAACAGGTCCGTGAAGGGCGAGTCGGTGCGGCCGTTGGAGACGAACTTGTACAGTTTGTTGATGAACAGGTCGCGCGTGCTCTTCTTGGCCGCCGTCGCTGCGGCGAACATCTGCCAATCCGTCTTGGCCCACGTGTGCCGACTGTCGAGTGGCACGCCGTACTGGCCCGCGACGGTGGGGTACCAGTTGTCCAAAATGTTGTAGATACTCTTGGGGACGAGGCGCAGGTTGAGCAAGCGGTCGAAGTACAGGTTGTACAAGGTGCCCCACGAGCTGTCGGCCTGGTACGCGAGCTTGAGGTGCGAGCCGTCGTGGGAGATCGAATAGTTGGCCCATAGCTTGACATACGAAAGCGACGTGTTGTGGTAGCTGTTGGCGTCATCTGTCTGTCCGATCAAGTCGGCAATGTAGCCCATCGCGGAGATGCCCTCGATTCCTTTGATGGCCAGGTCCGTCTGCAAGTGGGCATGCAGGTCGGCAGAGCAAGTACGGTCAACTCGCATGCACATTGAGAGAACACGACTGTAGCGATACCAACGCACCTGGTTCGCGAGCGTGCCAGCAAAGTCGTCCGTGGAGAGTTGCTCGGCAGGGACAAGAGAATCGGAGATGAGGAAACTGGCCCACTGCTGCATGATCTTGTAGTGAGCCTTGAGAAAGGGGACGGCGGCCTTCTTGCCGACGAGTTGGGCCCAGTTAAGCGTCATTAGGATCATGTTGCCGCTCTCCTCTACCTGCATCGGCTCGTCGTTGCCGTCGTTGTGGCCAAATGCTGCCGAGGCCGTACAGGAAAGGGAAAGGTCGTCAGCGATGTTTTCCCCGAAGAAATTGCGCACGTTGCACGCCTCTCTCCGCGCCCTGTGTGCGTGTATACGCACCATTCGGGTAAACGCCCAGATCATGGACACACCACTTGTTCGGGTACAGCCCGGACTCGGTGTACTCGAAGATAGGCTTCATAAGGTCGCGCAGAAGGCTGGGGTTGAGGTACGAGAGGAGCGGGAACAGGGGAAAGATGACGTCGACGGTGGACATGTCACCGTTGGACGATATCTCCTTGAGGAAGATGAGCGTGTCGGACTTGTTATACGCGCCGGTATCGTCCTGAGAGACGGTGATCTCGATAGTGGCCATTGCCTGGCGGACGGAGAGCTCGGTGATGGCGGCGTAGTTGTCGCCGACGGCGCCGCCACCGGCGGCGTTCTGGCTGTCGGTACGGATCATCTTGTCGAATTCCATGGCGCCAGCGAGCGCGCCGGCAAAGTCGTTGACAAAGAAGGAGACAGCGTCGTTAAAGTTGGGGTACTTGGTTTGCCAGTACCCGTACCGGTCTTGCTGGTACGACTTACCCGGCGCGCCGGGGACGGGCTTGATGTAGTTGACATACGGCGTGCGCAGGTGCCCAATAGCAAAGACGAGATCGTTCTTTGCGCCAGGCGCGGAGAAGTTGACCGAAAAGGCGAATGAGTTGTCCGGCCCGCCAACAGGGCCATGGTCGAAGGTGAGATTGCCTTTCTGCAGGAACTCGCTCTGTGCGACAACGTTGTTGTTGTTCCTGCTGCTGAGGCCCGGCGTGTTTTTGACAGCGTACGCGACGCTGCCCCACTCGGCGCGCTGGCGATACTCGGTGTACACCTGCGGGTTGTTGCGCTGGATGAGGTACATGCTGGTGCCGTTGGTGTTAATAAACTGCATATTGTACGGATAGTTTTCGTAGTCGTAGTCGTGGCCCGTGACGAAGCGCTCATCAATGTCGGTGTACATCTGGATGTCCTTTCCCTTGGCCGTCTTGGGGTCTAGCTCGAAGTGCATGTACGAGAGCGGCAGCGACTGGCGCAGGTAGTCGTTCGGCGTGATGGGCGTCATGAATGTCACAGTGAACTTGACGCCGGCCGCTTTGAAGGCAAACGTGGAGCGCGTGGCAGTGTACTCCATGCTCAGCTGTTGCGCATTCGGTCCATCGGGGACGAGCGTGCCGAAGCCGTCTCCCATCCACTGGTACGTCTTGCCATTAATGCGGATGTAGCCGGTCCACCCGAGACGAAACTCGCCATCCGCACCGTAGGACGAGGTCCAGAAGGCGGGGTATTGACCGTACAGATAGCCTCCGTTGCCCTGGTGATTTGGCGGTGTAGCCGAGGAGAAAGAGCCGGATGGCAGCCAGGTGCTCAAGTCTGCCCGTATCGAAAGGAGCATGATCACGGTCCGCAAATGCTTGATCAGGGCCTGTTCTCCAAACGCAAGCAGGAGAACAGCAACTCACAAGGGCTGCGGACTGCGAGCGGGATGCTAGGCGGGTTGATGGGGCTAAAAGCCGAAGCAACGTTCTGCTTCACGAAACTGATAGAGTCTGATGCTGGCCTAACGCTACTGCTTTCGCTCCCAGCAGCAGCCTTGGCGGCCGGCTTTGCCTGCTGCTGGGAGACAGGCAGCAGGCTGAAGGGTAGGTTGTTGGCGAGGCCGTTGATGAGGTGCGCGACGCTGGACTTGTGCTGGTCCTGGTCCTTTTGCACGCGCCACGCGACGCCGCCGCCAGACTTGTCGACCGGCTCGCTGTACGTCGCGCTCGACGGAATGTAGTCAGCAGCGAGGTGCTTCTGCCCGTCAGGTCGCGTCAGGTCCGCCAGCGTCTGCAGTGCCGGCGCGGAAGGGTTCTGCAGGCCGGCCAGCGCCGTGGAGGCAAGCAGGGCGAGAAAGAGCGCGCCGCTGAGCGTGCGCATTTTGGCTGTTGTTTCTTTCGAGGTAAGAGCTGGCTTGCGTGATGATGGTACCAAGTAGATGTGCGGATGCATATGCAGTGCAGGAGTTCCGTGCCCGGCCGATGTCTTGTGTCTATTCGGTCCTCGGAACTAAGTGGAAGACGTACTAGTAATGACCGTGACACAGCGCTATTATTCCAAAGTAGGGGGCAGGCGAGCAGGGGGTGGATCAGGCGATGATCTGAGGGTGGAAGGCAAGGGATGGAGGCATTAGAAAAGGAGGCGGAGGATGATGGGATGGTACGGGATGAATGAATGAATAAGACGAGCAATGAGAAGATAATGGCCAGGATGGTGATCAGCGTCGTCAAACAGAGGGCCATGTGCGCATCTATGCCCCGATCTGGCAGACGGCGTTGCGCATGCCTGCTGCAATTTGGCAAAGGAAAAGCTACGGGGTCCCAGCGACAGCAGTGCTACACATTGGCTCTGACGCTCCTATTGTTGCACCTAGCACACCCAAGTCAGAGCCGCAACAAAGAACAGACCCCTCTCTCTCCATCCATGACCGCCCTCGCAGCAGCCTATCTTTGCGCAATATATCCGCCGATCCGACAGAACAGCGCCTTGTCGCCTTCATCAGGCAGCTTCACTCACATCTCTACAGGATCGCACTTGCTGCGTTCCCAAAACGAGGTTGGGCAAACCCCCAAAGCACTGAAGACGCGTCCAGGCACACACCTGTCCACACCTTGTTCAATTTAACCTCCCTTCACACAATAGCGCGGCGCTGCAACAACGAAGAGACGCATTCGAGGCTCATACCACCCTTCTTTCCTATCCGCACGCTCCCAATGGGTCGCTTGTTGGGTGTGTGTTGATGCGACACAATGTGATTGCTAGTGCACACACCTTGCAATGACTGTTCCTCATTTGGCGCTCCCATCGGGGCGCGACGCTGAGATCGTGCGCGGTAATGGTGGGGGAAAGGAACAGACTACGTACGGCACGCACTACGGATCCACGCTAAAAACCCCTATTATTCTCCCGCCAAGTGCTCGCCAAAAAACAAGAGTAGGAATGGAGTGGAGTGTCCACAGATGTGCTGGGGAGAGCACCCCAGCATGTCTACTGTGTCCAGGCCTCCTCAGTGTCAACTGCCCGTTCCTGTTGTGAGCGGGCAGAAAGCGGTGTGAGCCACCAGGTCAGCTGTGCGGGGTAAGTGGCGCAGAGCCCGCGTTCCTTTGAATTCGACTCGCACATTGGCTCCTGGGGCGCCCAGATCGCGTTTCCACGCTGAACTTGTGCTCCAGCCACCGGCGCTGCAGTGCAATGCCCCTTGCACCCTGCAGGGCCCTTTTACTTTACTGCCATTGCGGGTGCAGGAGAGTACATCACGATATGCACATCGCTTGCGAACACAACCCTAACTCGGTAGAATTCTCAAAGTGCTGTCAAGTGTGAAGCTACGTTGCTCGCCGTCTTCTGACGGGATTGGGATTAATGACGGTATATTAATTGATTGTATGCCGTAGATGTGAGAAGTATGTCTAATAGGGTCGAGTGCCCAATATGTCCGCTGGCTAATGAGCACGAGCGCGATGGCATGCCGTCCCTTGGCAATTTGTAGGCACGTGGCCCGCGCCCATCCGTGCCGCCCGCCCTCTTACCCATTCGCCGAGCAGATCTGATACATGAAAATGCAACGAGCGAATGAATGAAGGAATCATTCCCAATCATTTTCTCCTTCAGCGTTTAGCTGCTGACCAGCCTCGAAGCGGAAAAGATGGAGGGAGGCTTACGCGCGCAGTCCACGGCTTCCAAAGCCGCCTCCGAACGCGCGCGGCTCAGGCCCTGACTCTTCGTTTGCAGACGATGAAGACGGCATCTGCAGCAAGGGACTGGTGTTCAACTCCCCGCCGTCACCTACAGTAGCAGTGGCGAGTGTCTCTTTGGCTTCCTGCTGCTGTCGATGTGCCCGCGCATAAGCATGCAGCGCGCGATCGAGTAACGCGTCCTTCTCTCCTTCCACATCTTCTTCCTCGTCCTCTTCGTATACTTCCTCCTCGAACATGCCAGTGTCTGCAGGCTGGCGACGATCGAGCAGAGCACGCAGCGCGCGGCGCACATGCGGCTCAGCGACATTGATCACGACGCCTTGCAGCGCATCCTCGAATCCCTGCGGATCCCGGCGCAGCGCCGCCACTATCTCCTCCACTTTGTCCTCCGCCGCTGTCCCCTCCGCTCCAGCTGCGGCAGCTTCGCGCTTCTGCGCAATGACTTGCTCCAGCGCAAGCTCGCGCAGCGCGAGTTCATGCAGCGCGTTCGAGACCGAGCGCGCTAGCTGCAGCTCGCTCGCGGCTTGGTGCGCGCGCAGCAGCGCGTGCTTCTGCACGTTCGTCATTGCGCCGATACGTGTCCCGCCTTCGCCGCCAATGTACGGCATCTTCGGGCTGCTCGCGCCGTCGCCACCGGTGCTCATTTTGGCAGCAGCGGCGAGGCCTGCAAGTTTCTGTGCACCCTCGTCGTATTTCCAGAATTTCTTCGGGCCGTGCCCAGGCTGTGTCCAACGTCCGTTCTTCGGCACCAGCAGTGGGTGCGCCTCGGTGGTAAAGACATAGTCCTGACGAACAAAAACAGCACGCAGCCATCAGTGCACAGCACCGATAAGACGACGCCGACCGGCAAACTGTCACCGACTACTCACATCCAGACTGATGAGATCTGGCGGGCTAAAGAGCAGGTAGTAATACTTGAAAGTCTCTGCAAACGCAAAGCTCTCCATGTTGTCCATCTTAGTTACGGGTACGCGATTGACGTCGACGATGCCCGCGAAGCCGCTCTCGGTCATCGAATGCGTGACCCAGCTGGCGAACATCTGCCATCCGCGCTCCTGCCACACTTCATCGCCGGTGATGCGCCACATGTAGAAGACTGACTCGATTGTCTCTGGCCGGTTGCGATAGTCGCCGTTGGCGCCCCTGACGCCCACCTGCGGGTTCCCGCGCGCACGGCCGTGGCGGTCCGCACCGTTGCTTGTTGCTGCACTCATGACGTCGAAGCGGTCGGGGTCTCCAGTCTGGTAGAAGGTTATGTCCTCCGGCCCGATGCCCGTCAGCGTCGAATTGTACGACCAGTAGCACGTCTCGGTCAGGCGAGTGGCGTCATGGATGTCCTCCGCTCGGTCCGGCAGCAGCTTGGCGCCAAGGCCGACCATTGCGCCGCTGAAGCAAGCAAGATGCTCCAGCTTGGCAGTGTACGACGTCCCCGTCGAAATGCCGACGAGCAGCAGCAACGTGTTCGGGACCGAATCGACAACAGAGTAAAGGAACTTCTTGGCGTCCCTGATCGCGTGCGAGTACATGTGCTTGTACTGGTCCACCCTGCCGCCGAGCAGCTGGTACTCCTTGATGAGATATTCGTAGTACGAGTCCGCCATGCCACCGAACGAGTAAAGACCGTACATGTGCTTGGAGTCGGGGCTGATGTTCGTTGGCAAGAGAGTGCCGAGACGACCCGAACTGGTGATGTTGTGATTGAACCAGTCCGTGGTGCGCTGTACCTGATCAAAGTACGTCCTATTCCCTGTTGCCTGCCAGAGCCTCGTGAACTCAAGCAGCAGGCTCGTCGCTTCGGAGAGGATGACACTGTCCGAGCTGGCCGGGTTGGTGTCTCCCATTCGGAGCCGGCCGACGGGGACGCCACTCATCGTCTTGAAAGCAGGCATGATCAGCTGGCCAAGCTCTTCGGCGCGGTCACGCATAAGCTCATCACCGGACAAGTCGTATGCGGAGAGTAAGCCGCCGAGGTAGCGAATGGCTGTCTCAAACACAGGGATGCGCCCGTCGGAGCTGCCATACGCACTGCGTTCGCCGCTTATCAGGGTGAAGTCGATATCGTGCACGTGCTGTCTCGCGTAGTTGTACTCGGCGGGTAGATCCATGACGAGCAGCGTATCGAGCGCATCAACAATCGTTGCGCCCCATCCGTTGAACGGATCAGATGATCCATTGCTAAGCGGCTTGAGTTCGTCGTGACCCCACGCATACTTTTTGTAGCCCTCCCAGCTTCTTACAAAAGCATTCTTCACCAGCTTTTGCCTATGCCGGATCAGCGCATCCCTCTGCGGGCTGCCTTGCTTGCCAGAGAACTTGTCCGGCGCCGGGAAAGCAAATTGGACTTTTGGCAGCGGCTGGACGCGGCGCGTCTCGTTGAGATCGGCAAGGGGCGGCTGCCACCCTGCGTAGCGCGTACCCGTGCGGAAGTCCGGAGCCTGCGACTGCTCGCTCGCCTTGAATGTATCCTCGAACCGCGTCGTCGAGCCGTTCTTCTCCACGCTCCAGTTGTGGGGCGCGTGCAGAGCCTCGGGTACGCGAGCTGCCAGCGCCGGGCGTGGTGGAGGTTGTGAGGCTGGTGCAACTTCGATCATGGCGAGCAGGGCCGAAGGGATGATACCCGCGTGCGGATTGCCATTCGGATAGAGCTGCGCGACATCAGCTAAGCTGTCGTAGTAGTGCGGTGGGAAGTTCAAGTGAGAAAGGGGTGGAATGTTGGCAGAGATGCTGGAGCCTATGCTAGGGACGGGCATGGGTGGTGGCGCTTCGTGTGCTGCTTTTTCCGGAGCATGGAAGCTCGGTATCCACTCTGCAAAACATGAAGCGTGTCAGCGACAGCACAGGGAGTAAGAGAACGCCAGCGACAACTGAGGCACTGGGACTCACCCTCCAGTCCGAGCTTTCGCATCCTGTCTTCGCCCAACAATTGCGACTTTAGGAGGTAGACTGGTGTGATGGTGCAAACAACCAAAACGAAGAGAACGCATGATAGTGTCCGCCTTGTGAAGAGGGTGCGCGCAAAGCTACCGCCTTGACTTGTAGCCGGTGTGAATCCTAACGAGAGTGGCAAGTAGCCATTCCTGTCGCGAACGCTTTGAGGCGCCATTTTGTCGTGAGTCTCTGCCAGGATGGAAGACTCTGGTGTTGCTAGTGCCTTTGCTGTTGTTCCCCCTCCTGCGGGTACTGCTGAGCTCGTTACTGTGCCGGCTATCTGTTCTGTGGTAGAAAGCAATTTCACAAAAGCGAAAGGATCTGATGTCGGTGAATCCTCGCTCCTGCTCGCGTCACTCAATAATCGCTCGCTGATGTCCGCGTTGGTATCACTACCGGGTCGAAGAGCGCGACATGCATGGGTCCCCCGCCTCCTGAGCTCTGAATCAGCTTGCAGCGTGGTGAATGTTTGTCGAGCAGCACGTGGATCAGAGTTCCATGATGCTGCGGGCGAATACGATGATAGATTGACGTCGCTGTTACCTTCCTTGTTGGCAGGGACTGATGACCTAGGTATAGCTCCGAGCGCTGGCGAAGGCGTTCGAGATAACTTACTACCTCTGCCGCTGGGGTTTAGGAGGGGAGATGGCGGGTGCGAGTGGTAAGGCGAAGGCGAAGATGATAGAGAAGTCAGGCTTAGGGCTTTGCGTGGCCGCGAAGGCAGCGGCAATGACAGCGTCAGTTGCGCCGGGGACAGGGTTGCTGAAGGCGACTCCACTTTGCCTGTCTGCCTGAAAATCGCTTGGAAGCGTCTGTCCAGGTTCTCAATGCGCCGAGCTGGGGCTCATCAGACCACCAGCGAATGAGGAGAAGATTGTGGGGAATAATCCAAGGGATGGATAGCCTCGTCTACTATCGGCACAATGTAGCAGAGACAGCTGCTACAAGCTTAACCTGAAATGCAGATGCCATCCCAATGCGGATGCAAATGGCGTCTAATTAAATAATGTTGGCGGGAACTAGCTTCCGCGTGTTGTGGAGTCCCGCCGCGCTCGTTTCCATCTCCGCGCATGGTTCCTTTGCTACCTTCCATATCTTCGATTAAGCCGGCGAACGTATTCCACACAAGTCTGACAGACCCTCGGCTCAGAGGGAGCTGCGGGAGTTGGGCCGACCCCTGGTCACCGAAGCTGTGTGGCTGGGTGGGTGCAAAATGAAAGAACTCATCCGAAGCGAGAGATGCCAAGCGTTGGGCTGGCATCGCAGCGGACCGAAGGGCTTGGTAGAGTCAGTAATACTTGGCTGCCTACAGTTCACCGCATCACGCGCATTGCACAGATGTAGAATTGAAGATCATGGAAATTGGGGAAGGCAAAAGAAACCAGATTTCAGCAGCCAGCAAAACTGTGCCAACAAATCGAGAGATTGAAGAAAAGAAAAGTAAAGGAAATATGGATTGCCTTGGATTTTGACAAAAAGCTCGATGAAGCCATGGCATAAAACTGGACGCTTGTTGAAGTACTGTGATCGTCCGGTCTATATTGAGACATGTCGAAACATTCGTCAAGCTGCAATGTGTTAGCAAGCCCGACTTCCAAGGATTGAATAGATGCGTTTTGAATCGATGAGGTATAGGGGAAATCCTGTGTGACGCGATTCAGCTTCCCAGGCGAGCTCGGAGCCGTCCAAAATGAGTGGTGACGCAAGGCTGTTGTTGAAAGGCTCACATGCCCTAGGAGGCACGAGGGAGAACAATGCAAAGAGAAAGGGGTAGAGCACGCTGGAATCGTGCTGGGTGCATCGCTTTCGGGGCATGTATATATACTTCTCTCTCCAAAGAGCAATTCCAGCATTCAATGGTCAGCGGTCAGCTTTCAGTGCTGCGCTGACTCCCTGTGCCCATCCCTCGTATTCCACCAAGTAGGGATCCAAGGCTTGACCGCGAGCACACTCCCATCAGGTGTCTGGACCGTCATGTGCAACCCGCCTTCCTTGTGCACATCTGCGTCCTGTCCTTCATGTCGCTGCGCGCCCTGTGCGTTACCAGCGCGAGAGGGCCCGACCCATCGCTCGACTTGCTCGAGCCGCAAGCACGCGAGGCCAATGTTGTGCACGCCCGAGTAGAGCTTCCCAGCCGATCTACCGCGGCTGGAACCTGCGGGCGTGGAATCTCCTTCGGCATGTGATGATGTAGGTGACACAGCGGACGCAGCAGGCGACGAACGTACTTCCGAACCTGGCTTTGGCAGAGCACGGTCGAAATCTCTGCTCACTTGCAGAGCTATCGGCGGTCTAGGCAGTGCATTGGGGGTAAGGGCTGTTAGCGGATTTCCTTGTCGGTACGTGGCTGAGGTCAACTCACTTCTCGGACGGGTCATACAGCGAGATGGGCAGGAAGCGTTTCCGGACAACGCCAGTATGATGCGTCCTCGCCGTCAGCTCTTGTCCAACGTAGCAACCCTTGCGAAAGTCGACTGGAAGTACAAGAAAACGGTCGCGTCATCTTCTCAGTTTAAAGGCGGCGCGCAAAAACGTAGATTGCAGCTTACCCCCGCCCATGTAGTCTAGGTTGACCTCTAACGGTACGGCGTGCTCGAAGAGGATGTCTTGCGAGCCTTCTGGCACTCCCTGCAAGATCCGATGGATGGTATACGCTTCTCCGTGCCGATCTGATGGCTCGAAGGTAAGCTTTGTGCATTTGCGAGAAAGCACACGAAAGCCCATTTTTGGCGCTCGGTTGTCCCTGAGTATAAGTGCATTGGCCTCCGATGCTAATCTGTGCGGACCCAGTGCCGGCGAAAGCAATTGGCCCACTTGCCATTCGTCGGTGACGTCTGCGATCTTGACTTTGCTCCGCAGCTTATATTTCTTGATGAAGCTGAGGATCTGAGGGCCGATGCGCGTATCATGCTCTACCAAAACTTCTGGGTCGTCGTCAGCAGATCCAGCCGGCAGATGCAAGAAGACGTCGGCGACCATGCGTCCTTGCGGCGTCATGAGCGCAGCATACAAGGCGTCGTGTACCTCGCCCCACGCCTGTTGTTGCTTCAGGCGCCGTTCCAGCTTGGTCACGTCGTTCGAGAAGAGACCTTGCAGTAGCTTGAAAGTATCCCGGCCTCTCATTGAAAGCACGCCGCGATGTGGCACACAAACGTACATGCTGCTGCTGTTCGCCGACTCGTTTGTCAAGCCGCCTGGCCGTTGCCGCATTGAAGAGGCAGAGACGATCGCGCGACAGCTGATGGAAAAGCGGCAACGCGAAATGGAGACACATTTCTTCCGCTGTATTTGTTGGAGCGAACGGATATGTTGGAGGAGACCGAAGCCCCGACTTGGCAGCGCGGAAAGCATGGTGTACACGCTTAAAGTCATGCTGAGCAAAGCGTTTCAAAATGTTAGAGTCCAAGGCTGCGCATAGAACATGACTCGTCGGAAACCAGGGCGTGTGCTTCGTGCGAAGACCTCGTTACTCAGCACTCATCTTCAGCTTGGGTTGGTTGAGTGCGAGCAGAGTCAAGATGTGAAATGTTGGATGTAGCGAAGAGCCATGAGATGCATTTAGATCGCGGTTGGCGACTGAGTGATGGTATGATGAGTCTGAGTCGAAAAAGCGGAACATTGCGTCGATGACCTCATCATATACGACCTGTCAGGCTGTGTCACCTCCCGCCTGATTATGACTGAGCTGCTTGCCCTCTTTCTGATGTACCATTTTCGTATGTCATCGGTTCACCATTGCTCTGTTTCGTTGACCATCCTATGACAATTGGAGATTACTGTTCTCATTACATTCAAGGGCTACCTCCCTATGCCAACAGAGTCTAACTCATGCTGGAAGTAGTAGATTCGCTCGTCTTCGCTCCTGAGCTCACGATTGGCAGGTTGCTTGGTCTGATCCCCACACTTGATGGTCATATTCGATTATAGCATGGTGCACTGTCCAAGCATTTCAGGCGCATACGGGTAGAAAGCGTTGTGGCCGACGGGCATGGGCCTTGGTCATGAGCTGTCCCACAAATAGAGCGAGAACATCAGCTTCTGTGTGATGACGTCCTTTTCTTTGAAAATGTAAATGCCCAATATCTGCTGCAAAGCGCAAGGGCCAGATGGGCGTTCGAAAGATAAATACCCAGGAGGATTTGGATACCGCCTACGTCAAAGTGTCTGTGATAAAAATCCGTTGGCAAGATGCGGTACTAATTAGCCCACGCTGTGTTCTCTCGTATTTGACACTGCAGCACCCAAAGCTTCTGGACGCTTGTAAACTCGCTGTCGACCTCGTTAATGCCAAGGGGGATGCTTGAGACGGGGGGAAAGGAGCTCTCAGAATGTTCCCTTTAAGACAATATCTTCCATCTGATAACCCGCATTCGATGATGTCTTCGAATAGCTCAATTGGTTACATGATATTGGCACCGCTGAACCTGATGTCCACGAGGTACCAGGCGTTGAGATGAGCGTCGGACGAAGGCATTGGTCTGTGTTTTTAGGACTGAGCAGGTATACAACAAAGAGCATGTGGCTGACCCGCCCGGCTTTGATATCTTGTCGAAACAAAATCGAGGGGGCGAGCACCCTCACTCCGGCACCGAAGCTGAATGAACATCATTGATGAGCACTTTGTATCTCTCTCCCCAAGTCCATGTCTGTGAATGATGAAATTCGCCATTTGTAACCGATAAATCGCAGTGTGTGGAGGGAAAGCATGTTATGATACATGCAATAGCAGCCCTCGGCTTTGTCCATGCATCTGCGAAAAGTGTCTTGAAGTTCAATTGATATCGACCGTGATGGCTCGTAATGTAGCGTAGTGTTCTCAAAGGGGATTTAAGTCAAATGAAAGAACATCAGCTGCACCAGCATCACCAGCATTGGCAGCGGTAACGGTGACGTTGTAGAGTGGCCATCCTTGTCGAACCCTGGTAATGAGATGTGATGAAGCTACTGTCGAAGCTGGGACTCGGTGTACATGCACGATTGGGCTACCATGACCAAGTTTGCAGCGCAGGTTTCTTCAGGTGGTACGGCGCGTTGTGCATACAGCTTCCCTACGCTCTGGCTCCATTCAGATCGAGGTGAGATTTGCAAGATGACGGATAGATCCTAGGTGACCGTCGAGTTCTCCGAGAGCCATGGTTCATAAGCATTCGTGTGATGGAAGTAAGACCAATGCTCGCGTTCATATTTGTTTATTTATCGAGTGTGCTTTGGGAGATTTCAACAAATCAGATTTGAAATCGCTGCGTAAATGGCGACAGTGCTATGTATTTTGCGAGGGACTAAATCAAGACTGCCGCAACTACTTGCAGAACCACTCTCTTGTTGATAAGCAATTGGGCATCATCAATTTCTCCTATCAATTGAAATTGTACCATCAATCTGGTTCGTCCGATATCTCATGTCTTAGGCGTCATCCGTTGCAAGGTCCTTGTCCAGTAACAGACTGTGCTTGTCGGAATATCCGGAGCCAGCCCCAAGGAAGTCGGCCACGCGGGTGGGCATAACGTCTATCTTTCTCGGCCGGTCATGACTGCCCCCCGCCCCGTCAACCACTACATCCATCGATTGGCCGGCACGGCGAAGCCCTGCCTTGTATGCTACCGCCCTTCGCCACATGTGCTCGTCTCTCAGTCATTGCCGGCGGAGGACTTCTTCTACGTTTGCGAATCGCACCTGTCCGATCGGCACTTTGCCTCGCAGATCGCTGATCATTCAGTTGCTTTGGCCGGCTTGCCCTGCGCCCAAGTATTGCCAGAGAAAGTGAGCCAGGCGGAGATCAATAAGATTAAGTTAGAGTACGAGGAACGGCAGAAGAAGCGAGAAGAGGCTGCGAAATCCAAGATTGACGAAGAGGGGAAAGAGAAAGGGGAAGGAGACAAAGCAGACAAAGACAAAAACAGGAACAAGAACAAGAACCAGTCCTGGTTTTCCGGCTTGTCGTCCCTGCTCGATTCGTCCGCAACCGGAGATAGTCCATTCAGTGCCCCAGCGAATTCAAAGCCAACGACAACATATGGCACTGCGCCAGGCAAGACAGAAGGTAAACATGACCGGTACACGCTCCATCGAGACTTCTATAACATGCGATTCGACGCTTACAAGAAACGCGACGCGATTAAGAGGGCAAAGGAGCTTTCCATGCCGGCTGCACCACGTGGAGAACTCAAATCCCAGCTAGCGCCGTCAAAGCCAGCAGCAGGAAGTGCAGCGTGACCGCCTTGATAAGATCCATGTCGGGAATCGGCGGGCGTACAATCTCCTCCGGTCTCGGGTGGACGCTTTTCAACATGTTTTCCTACAAGATCCCGCTCTACTCTCCCTTTCGCCGCTGTGTGGGATTTGCCTTCGTTACATTCACCAAGGCTCACTAGGACAAAGCATCGACATGCCCGGCTGCGATGTTTCAGACGCTGAGAACACCTGTGTTTGGCTTGGCTTGGGTTCGGGCCCGGCAGCCTTCCGGCTCGATCGTACCACAACCGACGATGGGGAACTAAGTTTTGGGTAGCCATAGTCAACATGCTGAGGGAGGCCTTTCGGCGACTTCGTCCTCCTCTAAATTTCTCGTCACAGGGCTGGCAAGGCGACTTGAACGACGGGGTGACCAATTCGCCGCTGGACTTCGTCCGACGGATGAACTAGTGGCGTATACATTTTAAGCTTCAGCACAAAGGCGAAGGGCAACTGACGCCAAGCAGCAAAGGGCAGTAGCATGCCCGCATTCATGGATACCCAAAATCAGGATTACAACGAGGGCCTGCTGTGGAGGGGTTGGATCTAGACCTTGGGGTATAGGCTGGTGCTCTTCTTTCCGGAACATCGCTCAGTGGGTGTTAAGTGGGTGTCCAAATTGTGGCATCGCCTCATATCTGCCTTTTATTTAATGTATGCGCATGGCACATGCACAGAGCTTGCTCCAAGATGTCTTATGGGGAACGAGGCCATATCCCCCCTCTTTGGGGAATCAGATTACCAGAAATCAGAACGACGATTGCCTTCACATACTTTAACAGTTCTTTCTTTTCGCGAAATGTCCCTAACTGTTACGGATTTCATATCAGCGAGCTTCAAGAGTTTCATTCTAGGGTTGACGATGGGCCGCCAGCAGCTTCACTAAAAGAAAGAACTGGCACTGCTCCGCTCGTGCCTAGATCTCTCTCAACTTTATCTATTCGCCAGACTTGGGGCCAAGAATCACCACGAGTCAAGTCACTGGCGGTCAGCGTTCACAGTCGGATGTCGACCTTTCAAAGCGCCGGTAGAATTTACATGTACAAAGCGCGCATAGGTATGGATCGGATGATTAATGCAGTACTCACAGCAACATGACCATTGGGTGAGCACTGTCTAAGAGCTTGGCGAAGGCTCTGCAGCCGACAACGCCACGATAGGAGGCATCCCCTCCCCCTACCTTTCGCGCGGCGGGTCAATTGGAGTACTCAGCGTGGGCGTGACGTCGTTTGCGATTGTGATTGCTTTCGGCGTACAGCACGGACGGCGACGTACGCTCTGCGCCGGGCTCGAGGAAAGGTGCAGGGGTTAGCAATATGCACTTTCAGCGGGCTCAGCGGGACGCTGTCGCGCATCCGCCTTCCCGACCGCTCCCAGCTCCCCCTGCATCCTCAATCCATTCTCGCGAAGAAGGGGAACATGCAGCGTTTGCCCACTCGCTTACAATCGTAAGCAATGGCAGCACGACCGCCAACGTAACCGAACAACGGCTGGTAGACGCAGCACAAAGAGCTCGTGCCGAAAATCATGTCGACTCCGGTGGCATGTTCAAGCCAGTTCACGGGCTTCCAGTCGTGCCACCACGTAGGCTCGGCACATCAAGCGCCTCGCTTGTTAGCTCTGTTGCTCGAGATCATCCCGCAGCCTGGCGCTCGGAAGATCTGGTGGCCACGACTGAGCCTTGCGAAGTGAAAAAAGATCTCCTAAGTGCCTTGCCGCCGCTGCAAGGTAACGCAGTGACTCGCCGGCCTCCTCCCCTTCCTCCCAAGCCGAGTCGTGTTTGCCCTGTCGAGCAGAACGGGCCCTCCATAGGACAGCTGCAAAGTTCAGTAAGAGAAGCAACGGCAGCTCCCGCTTCGGCCGCATCGAGACTACAGCAACCAGGTTCGCCAGCTTTTGCTGCCTTCGATCGGTCCATTTCACCACTCCCAATGCTGCCTCCGGTGTACTCAAACGCGAGCACTCAGCAAAGCGGCCCGGCTCAGGTCATAGAACGAAGCGCGAAGACGTCACAAAGCCCGATTGTACCTGGGACGCAAACACTACCAGTTCCGCGGTCATCAATTCCGACAGCATCTCGCCAGCGTCTGTCACCGGAACCTTTGTATAGCTCCAGTGGACCTGGAAGTACGGGCAGTCCAGATCTGACCAGCTTATCTGCCGCGGCTTCCTCGGACGAGGACGACAGCGAATCAGACGAAAATGTATATGACGAAGAAGCGGTTCGACAGGCCCACTCGATGCCGCAGCATACTTCTTCTCCATTCAACCTTTTCGGTCTGGGGCTCCCGACTGATTCAGAGTCCCCTTTCGGGACAAGCGACCTCAATTCCGCGCTGGGGTCGCTGAACGAACGCGTGATTAGCACCAGTGCCTCCTTGCGCCGTCCATATCGTCGGCATGAACGACGAGCATCAGCAGGCAACACTCTCAAAGTGGATACACAAGCGTTGTCAGCAACAGTAGCGGAGCTTTTACCCGACTCTTCGCACGCGAATCGTCGACCTCCCACGTATGAGCTGCCGTGGATGACGTCCGCCAAAGCCCACTTCCATGACTTTGCCGTCTGCGGACATGTGATTGTCACTGCATCTGGGAGCAAAGTCAAAGTGTACAGCACCGGAAATAGCGGCAGTGCTGAGGCGGAGAAAATCTTTGCTATCGGTGGAGGTGGGGCAAAGGTCACCGCTCTGGTATTCCGGCCGATGCAATCGAGCATGGACCTCGGTCGCTACGTTTGGATAGGTATGGCAAATGGGCACATCTGGGAGTTGGACACAAGCGAAGGAAAGGAGGTCGCATCGAGGACCAACTTGCACGGAGAAGCGATCATTAAGATGGTCCGCGTCGGCAGCGGCATGATCATCATTGACGAGGGGGGCAAGATGTCCATCTGGATGCCGCGGAAGAATGGAGCAGGCGTCCTTGCACTCGTCACGCTGGACATGCAACCATTCACGCAACGCATCCCGTTCGACCACAAAGTTTCACTCCCACTGATTCTCGGCGACCAGCTGTGGGTTGCTACAGATCCTCCCCACGACCGCAAGCACCAGGCCAAAGAGGCATTCGGAAGACGCAGGTCTGGCCCGTCAATCACTGTTCACAACCCTTTTGCTGACAACAAACCGTTCAATGCGCTCAGTCGACCAGCTACGATCCCACCCGAGATGCTGGACTCTGTTGGATCCATCACTAGCGGTGCCATCATTCCAATGCAACCCCATGTGGTCTATCTCGGACACGAAAGCGGACATGTGAGCTCATTCCTAGACTCCTCAATACCTGCTGCCTTTACTGACAGAACTTTCAACACTCCAGATATCCATTTGGTCACGCGATCGGCTCCAATGCCAGTCGGTGCTGATGTGCACGCAACATGGGATCACATCGCTGGCCGGTGTTGTCAACTTTCTGTGGGCGTCCAACAAAGCCGGCAAAATCATCGTCTACGATGTCTCAGAGAGACCCTTCAAAATCCTCAAATTATGGCCTGCGCATACAGAGCCTGTCATTGGCATGCGCGTTGACTCGTTCGGAATCAACATCGGGAGACTGCAAGTTGCCAGTGGCGGCCAGGATGGACACGTCCAGATATGGGATGGTCTGCTTGCGACAGACTGGATCGAGGGGGAATTGAACAAGCGCGAACGAGAGTTCTGCACGCATCGTCCCATCCGAACACTGCAGCTCACGTGGAACATCGATGCAGCGGAGCCAGAGGACCTCAATGCCGACCAGGAAAATTTCGAATTCCTGCCAAGGTTCTTGAGTAGTGGCGAGCGTCCTGATATCATCATATTTGGCCTGCAGGAGCTTATCGATTTGGAGGACAAGCGCTTGACAGCCAAGAGCTTGCTGCTGGGCAAGAAAAAGGTCGGACATGAGCTTGGAGACCGCATTTCTTCGCAGTATCGCAAATGGGAGGACAAGCTTGTGTCAGCCGTCCGGCTTGCGCTCCATGCGGATGAGCCCTATACGTTGATCCATTCAGAGATGCTTGTTGGGCTGATGACATGCATCTTCGTCCGGACGGCTGAAACTGGGTCGCTACGCGATTGTGCGCTCGGAATTGTCAAGACCGGCATGGGTGGTCGATACGGGAACAAGGGTGCGATTGTCGCGCGACTGGTCGTCGATGACACGAGCATGTGCTTCGTCAACTGTCATCTCGCCGCCGGCCAGCGCCATGTGCAGCGGCGCAATGAGAATGTGCTTCATATCATTGAGAATGCTAGCGTTCTCGAAGCTGGCATGGCGACCAAGGCTGCTGCCCTGATGGCCTATGTTGGCGGTGGAAATGGAGAGATGATCCTGGACCATGAAGCCGTCTTTTGGTCCGGAGATTTGAACTGTGAGTAACGGGCTACAACCTGGCGTGTGGTTGAGCAAGTGATTGACGATGCCCGTCTGCAGATCGAATCGATATGAAACGGGAGCGATGTCTGAAACACCTTTCCAACGGAGACCTGCAGCCGTTGCTTGACGCAGATCAGTTGCGACGCGAGATGAACGAGAATCCGCGGTTCCGTCTCAAGACGTTCAACGAGGCTCCGATCATTTTCATACCCACATACAAGTTCGATCGGCACACGAACCAGTGGGACACGTCGGAGAAGAAAAGATCGCCTGCTTGGTGCGATCGAATCTTGTGGCACGACCGAGGCACAAACAAGGTGATGTGCCTGGACTATCGACGATGCGAGACTACTGTGTCGGACCACCGACCAGTGTGAGTTTGGCCTGGAAAGCGCAGACAGTCTTTCTGACTGGGGTTACTGACCCTTGACCGTGTCGTGATGGGTTCTCGTGGGGCAGATCCGCCTGTTTCGAAATTCACGTGAAGCGCGTCAACGAGTCTGATCGCCTCAAAATAGAGAGCCAGCTATCCAACGAGTGGGAGCATATCAAGGCCGGCTTGCTTGAGACAGCTTCGCTTTATTACTGCATCTCCGCTTCTGTCTGAACCACCGGTACCATGCACGGCGCTGCCACCCCGAACGAGTCGAATAGGTCACCACGCATGCAGGTAGAGCAAGGCTGATGGAATGCAAGCGCTTTTTGCTGATCGGGAAGGCGTACTGGCGTTCGACGGGATCAGCAATGTGGATGCGCTTGTTCAGTTCTTCGTGCGCTGCTCTGCTTCGCTGGGTGGGGTGCGACGCCCGGCTTTCATTGGACGTAAGTAGATTTTGTCACTGACGACGACACGGCACACATCTTCCAGGCTGCCCAGCGTCGTTGATCTTAAGCCATGTGACGTACGACCAGGTACGCCGGATGCTCACGCACGGCAGCGTCCCAGTGCCAAGTAGCTAGCAGTGTCATAATTAACGGACAGCGATGCAGCCTAGAAGGTACGAGCCATTACCTAGCTTCGCTACTCTTCGCGCTCGACCTCACTGGCGGCTTCTTCAGCGGCGGTGTGATGTTGGGCATGCTATCGTGCCTCGGCACTGCGCACGGCAATAGCATCCAGCAAGGGCGGCACAGTCCCAAGATCCTCTAACCGTCTGCGGCGGACATGCAAGCCACGCTGCTCGTCGCTAGCGTCCTACGGAATGGCCGGGAGGGCGACGGGACCTCCATGGCTCTGACGCACGTCGAGGTATGTAGCTAGCAGCGGTGAGTGCCGAGGATTCTCTACTTTTATATTATGTATTTTTCGCCTTCCGTTTCGCACTTGTGGTACATGGACATCTACTTCGCTTTTCTAAGCGTGCTGGGGAAGGTGCAAGGTAGATCTGTTGCCTCAATTTGAATATTTAGATGCGTCATGCAAGTCCTAAGAGAGCGCACGTTGCCGATGTGGCGGAAAGCACCAGCGGCTTTGCGTGGCACTATTCATCAAGTCAACAGCGGGATTCGTGATGCACATGTGACGGCTCTCTCTCGTCATGCAGAAAGCATGAAAGCACCGCGAAGTTCATGTTGACTTCGCTTGCCTTACATGAATCTTCCTTCTGCTTGAGATGGAGTGTTAAAGCCAGCAACTTTAGTTTCTGAAGAGACACACTCGTGACCTTAATCTTTTGCTTCGGCTTGCCGCCCGGGCCATGTTCCGTTCGATCCGGCCTTTGCGGGCGTGGGGAGGCTGTGCCGCGGGTTCACTCACCTCTTGGGCCGTATCGCTGCTAAAGCCGCACAGTGCGCTCCCACGGGGCTCCAGGACCTGCCCCTCGGAGAAAAGGCGTTTACCTCGGCTGCTGGTGTGATTACCTCGAGGGTCCACTTCTTCTCCTTGCCCCGCCGCTCCAGGCCGAAAGCATGGATGGTCGTGGTGGCCTGCGCCACGGGCTGTAGGGGAGACTGTGATGTGTGTGTTGGGCTGGCGTTGCCCAGAACTGGTCGTTGTTGCTTACTAGTCGGAGAGCGTTTGCAGTTATCTCCTTGGCCACACCGCGTGATCTGCTCTCCCCAGCGTTTCTGGCACTCAATTGGACATGGCAGCTGCACTCGCTGGCTGGCGGCTGCATATGCTGGAACACAAGTGTCGTGCGATAAGAGAGAGCCGAAGGACATGCATGCGGGATAGGAGAGCGTGCTGACTGCAGTGAGGCGAGCCCTTGTGTGAGGGCATCTTTGGAGTCTATCTTGAGCACCTTGAAGGTCACAGGGACAGAGAGGGCACATATGTGTGTGCGCGTGTGTGTTGTGGCCCCGTTATAAAGAGCACCTTCATGCTTCTCTCACCCTTCCACCCAACCAACCAATACTAACCCCTCACTCACATCGCTGAATCGTCCAGAACCCCTACAGCTCGCACCCTCCAATCCAAGGAGAACCCAATCCTCGATCGAACATGGCGATCAGCAAGATCGTCGCAAGGCATCACGCCCCGCCCGGCCGTGCTGCATTTTCACAGCTCGCTTGCAACGTCACTTCCAGGCGTTCGCTCGCAACCATCTCTAATGTCGCCAACCCTTCCGGGAAGGTCACCTTCCTCGAGGACCACCCGGCTGAGACACACGACCAGCTGCCTACGTTTACCCTGTCGCGCGCCCATGGCTTCCTCCCGCGCCGCGACCCACTGCCTGTGTTACCGGAGCGCTTCGGCGCGCTCGACAGCCTGCTCCAGCGCATGACCATCATCCAGCCCGGCGACCGCGACGGTGACAAGCCGAGCGGCCTGCTCGCTACGGGCGACTTTGGCCCCGCCGTCCACGCCGAGCTCGTTCACGGCGCACACGGCGAGCGCCTGATCAAGCATGTGCGTGAAGTGATCGCCTCGCCCAAGGACGCGCCGGGCCGCATGCCCCTGCTCTCGGCACTCTTCCGCGACATGTGCTTCCTGACGAGCGCGTACCTGCTCGAACCTGTCGATCAGTCCTTCCGCGCGACTGGCCTTTACGCGCCCGGCAGGTCCGTCCTGCCACGCGCCATCGCCGTACCGATGTGCGAGCTCGCCGACGAGCTCGGTCACTTCCCGTACATGGAGTACAGCTCGAGCTACGCGCTGAGCAACTACAGGCTCAATGACCCCTCCTTGCCCACCCCCGCCGAAATCGCGGCCAAGCAAAGTAGGCAAGCGGGCGCCAACGGCGCTTTCGGCGACGAGTTGGCCATCAAGACAGGCCCCGGACGTTACTCGTTCGAAAACCTCGAGCTCATCCGTGCGTTCGAGAATGCCCAGGGAAGCGAGAAGGGCTTCATCATTGTCCACTGTGTGCGTATCTACATCTGGAGCGGTGATCTCTTCGCCATGTCACATTAGGGTTCAGCTGACACTCTGACCATTGGACTGCTTCGCTCATACGCAGGAGATGCTCGCCTACTCGGGCCGCCTCGTCAATGCGACGGAGGGCATGTTGCTCGCCGTCGCGGAGCAAGACGTCGGCACAGCGGAGAGCGCAATGATGCGTCTGCTCTCAACGTTCGAGGAGGTGCAGGAGAGCATGGAGAGCATGTGGAGCCGCTCCCTCCCGAGCGACTACCTCAAGTTCCGCTCGTTTATCTACGGCACGCTTGGTAGGCCCAGCCAGAAGCACAACGCCATGTTCCCCGATGGTGTCACGTACGAAGGCATCGGCCCACGCGGAGAGAGCAAGCAGATGGAATTCCGTGGCGAGGTGGGCATTATTTGCGCTTGGCTTTTAGAGCTGCTTGTGTGTGGTTCCGAAACGTGTCTGATGCTTTGCAACCCCCTTTCCTTTGCTACTACTTGTCCGCAGAGTGGCGCCAACGACTCAATCATCCCAATGGCGGACAACTTGCTCGAAATCACCAAGGAGCTCCCGGACAATGAGCTGACCAGGACACTTCGCGACTTTAGAACCTACAGACCTAAGAGTGAGCATGGCCAGTGTGGTGGCCAACGTACTGTTGAGTCAAGCTAAAGCTAACGGTCGGGATTCTTGTTTATTACGTACAGCTCAGCGCGAGTACCTCGAACACCTTGAATCGCGAGCATCGATGCTGGGCGTGCGCGCGTTCTGCATGTCGACGTCTGCGTCGCCGCTGCTCAAGGCGCTGTACATCCTGATGGTCGACCAGGTGCGGGAGTTCCGGAACCGGCACTGGCTTTTCACGCGCAACTATATCATCAAGCAGACTGACTTCAGCCTCGCGACGGGCGGGAGCAACATCATCCGCTACCTGCCGAACAACCTCGCGACCGTACTGCGCGTGCTGGAGGACAGCTGCGCCGAGTGGGGTGCCGCCGACGAGCAGGCGCTGCGCACGCATGCGCGCCTCACTAGCAGCGCCACGGGAGCGCAGCGCGCTGAGGTGCTCGTAAACAAGGTGCGCGAGGCGGGCAAGCGCGCTGAGGCGCAGAGGCGCATGCTCGAGCGCGAAGTCGCCCTGCTCATGCAGGAGAAGGCCGCCAAGAACCCCGGTATCGATGAGAGCATGCGCGGCATGGTCATGCCGCCTCCTACTCCCAAGCAGGCTGTCAACAGTGTGGATGCTGGCCAGCAGCGCGCATACAGCACCTCCGTGGGCAACAAGGACCAGAACCAGGAAGAAAAGAGGAGCATGAAGCGCGGCATGGTTGGTTGCGACGGCGTTGGATAAGCAACACCGTGCCCCTGGCCGCTGGTCCTCCGGTCCGTGATTCGCCTGTTTGCGTTTCGGACCGCCGCTCCCCCTTGTTCAGTTCTTGGCAGTCAGCATTTCTTCTTATCGTTGCTGGCCGCCATCTTAACCCATTCCCCTCGGCATAGTTCAACCCATGCCCATGTGTTTCCATGCTATATGTTTAGATAGACTCCAAGCGTTGTACTCTCCGTTCCTCAACGAATATATCCCACCCCCCTCCATCATCAGGGTTACCGCGACAGTGTGGGTGAGATCTGATGAAATGAATCTGGTGGTGTGCCGAATATTGAATTGGAATGGATCTGACAGCGGATTGGCCTTGTCAAGGCTACAAGGAAACATTCCGAAGGCAAAGACGAACGCCATCGAACCTCCCGCGGTTCCGCCTTCGCGTCGTTGCGGTTTGCCTCCGCAGTGCTTACCCGCCGGCAATCATGAGGTTGGCCGGCCGGCCGGAGCGCTTCGAGACTCGCAGTCGACCAGTGATTGCTACGTGACAACGTGCTTCAGCGTTTCGTAATCCCACATTAAGAGACGGTGAGGGCCTCGGCGAGGATTCGGAGCTGGGAGAGCAGGATGCCTCCAGCTTGAATGATCTAAAATCTCAATTGGTGGGAGGAAATCGCGCTAGTGGAAGGGAAAGGTCGAGGGACTCGGAATTCGGAATTCGGAACACATCACTCTGCCAGGTAGGATGTGATGTGGGTTGTCGGCTTTTTTTCTTCGCGAAGTGTACCACATACTCTCCACAAGCGGGTGTTGGTGTTCGCACAAACAGATAAAGAGGCGCCGATCCGCTTTTCTTTACCACGCCTCTCATCGTCGGGACCGATCATTCAGGCCAGAGTGCAATAGAACCCCGTCCCGGCTATTACTCCTGCTCCTGCTGCTTGGCTTGGCTGCAACTAGATACCATGTCGTCCAACGGTGCGTCCGAGCGCGAGCCGCTCCTTTCCTCGGCCGCGGCCGCATCCACAAGCCCCAACCGCCCCTCTGCGCTCTCTTCGACACGGCCGGCTGGCTACGACTCGATCGAGGATGGCGACGGCGCCGTGGCGTTCGACGCAGAGGATGCGCTGCTCGACGAAGAGGCCGTCGCGCAGGAGAGCGCGTTCGCCGCCATCCGCGATGCTTCGCACGGCGTCGACCCCAACTCGTCCGCCTTTGCGCCACCTTGCGACCAGTCCCAGTTCAGCATCAACCACTCACTCATCGCCGGCTCGGCCATCAATGCATCCGGCATTGCAGTCGCAGATGGCACGGCGCCCGATGCAGCGCAGCCAGCCATAAGGAGCGATGTCATTGTCATTATGGTGAGTCGAGTCCGCGTTGCGCACGTAAGGTTCCATTCGCAAGCCATCGGACGAGCCTGCTGAATCATGCTTGCTCGCGCAGAGCGCCATGTGGATCGGCACATTCCTCGCAGCCCTCGACGGCACCATCGTCGCTACTATCCTCTCCACCGTCGGCTCCGAGTTCCGCGTGAGCAAGGAGATCGGCTGGCTCGGTACCAGCTACCTCCTCTCCCAGACGGGCTTCCAGCCATTGTACGGAAAGGCATCCGACCTGCTCGGCCGCAAGCCTGCGACGCTCTTTGCATCGGCCGTCTTCCTGATCGGCTCGCTCCTCTGCGGTCTCTCACAGACGTTCTGGCAGCTGTGTGCCGCCCGCGCCATCGCCGGTATCGGCGGAGGCGGCCTGACCACCATGTCGACCATCGTCACGTCCGACCTTGTACCGCTCAAGTCTCGCGGCACATGGCAAGGGTTGGGGAACCTCGTCTTTGCGACAGGCGCTGCGCTCGGTGGGCCGCTTGGAGGTATGCTTGCGGACGGTGGACTCGGCTGGCGGTGGGCCTTCCTCATCCAAGTCCCGCTCTGTGTCGTCCACTTTGCCGTCGTCTTCTGGAAGGTGGACATTCCCGCTGGACCGGGCAGTATGATGGAGAAGATCAAGCGCATTGACGCACTGGGCGCCATCACGCTCGTCCCATCCGTTACCCTCATCCTCGTCGCCCTCTCGCTCGGCGGCAATGAGCGCGAGTGGAGCGACAAGCTTGTCCTCGGATCACTCTTTGGCGGCCTCGGCGGCGCCGTCCTATTCGTCCTCGTGGAGAAGTACGTCGCTTGCGAGCCGCTCATGCCGCTCCGCGTGCTCTTCCGCCGCACACCAGGCTTCGTTGCCCTGACGGCGCTGTTTACGAGTATGTCGCAGTTCGCGCTGCTCTTCTCCATCCCGAGCTACTTTGCCGTCGTCGAGCAGACGTCCACGTCGTACGCCGGCCTGCACCTGATCCCCAACTCAGTGCTCGCGTCGGCCTGCTCGCTTGGCTCGGGCCTCATCATGGCACATACCGGCCGCTACAAAACGATGCTGATCATCGTCGCCGCGTGCGGCTTCGTGGGTCCCATGGCGATGGCGACGCTGTGGCACCGCGGGCACACTAGCGAGTTTGTCTACTGGGCCAGTATGCCGTTCGGCGGCATCGGCTTCGGCGGCATCCTGACCATTACGCTCGTGGCGCTCATCGCGTCCATCGACCCGCGTGACATGTCCGCCGCGACGGGCATGGTTTACCTGTTCCGCGCCATCGGCTCCATCACCGGAGTCTCGCTGTCCCAGGCCATTCTGCAGCTCCGCCTGCAGTCAACGCTCTCACGCGCCGGCCTGCCCAGCAAGATCATCCGTGGCATCCGCGAGGATGTCAACACTATCCGCACCCTCCCGAGAGGCCTGCGCGAGGAGGCGATCAACGCGTACGGTGCCAGTCTTAACACCGTCTTCATCGGCATTTTCCTCACCGGCTTCTTTGCCTTCCTGTGCACCTTTGCCGTCGAGGAGCACGCCCTGCCCGGCTCCCCAACCAAGCCGGCACCTGCGGCAGCGGCCTCTGCGCAGGCCCGCCCTAGAGAGCAGACGATCGCGGAGGAAGAGGAAGAGGAGAACTAGACTCCAACCAGACACAACGCTCTGCTTTCCCCTAACGCTTCTTGCGGGCGGCTGACCTCACCGCCCTCACTCGTTAGAGGGTCCTTCCGAAGTACATAATATCCTGAGTACAGCGCACTCACCCTGGTCCCATCAATTCGTTCCAGCTTGCTTGCACTTACTCATCATGTACACGTGTCTTACTTCATCTCAGCACCACATGCATTTTCCATGGTTAAGATTTTGCAATGTGTTTGATGGTCTGGCACGTCGGTTCCGCACGGTGGACCCGCGAGTCCATCGCACACTAAGCACGCGTTTTTACAACGATGTCATTGCCTGCTTATTCTGCGCGTATCCGCACAGGACCGGGGCTCTTCCAGCGGCCGAGCGCATAGTTCGCACGGATGACGATCAGGTCCAGCGCCATGCCGACAGAGTCTTTCAACAGGTTGATCTTACTTCCGCCCACTTCCTCCCAGTGTACCGGCACCTCTGCGATCGGCACGGGCAGGTCCAGTAGCACATCATTCTCGTCCACATCAGCGTTCTCGCCGTCCTGCTGCTGCCCGACCTTGCGCAGGCGCAGGCGCTCCGCCCGGACGGAGCCCTCTGTGCACAGGACGTCGCCGCGCAGCGTCGCCGTGCTCGCCATCTCGGCGAGCAGGAGCAGCTCGACGTCGAAGATCCAACGCTCGATGTGCGCGAGCGGGAAGACGACGCGCGCTGTCGCCCGGGTAAACAGCTTGAAGCCGCACTGCGTGTCGCGGATCTCGGGCTGCGCGGGGAGGCGTATGCGGCGTGTCGTCGGCGCTGCTGCTGTCGATGGTGAGGCAGGTAATGATGATAATGCAGATATTGATGGGTGCGGGCGCAAAGACGAAGAGGGAGAGGGGGAGGAGAAGAAGGGGAGGTAATGCAGGAGTTGATGCGGCGACGGCGGGCGCAGGAGCAGCGAGAGGAAGAGGTGGAAGCTATGCATGAGAAAGTTGCGAACGAATGATCGCTGCGAGCAGACAGAGACGAGACAATGGTCAGCTGCACCTCGAGCAGCTGGACACCCCGAGGCACGCGCATATACACAACGCAACGCACCTTGACAACGGCCTCGCTCCCGACGAGGTGCGCGCGCGAGCCGACGACGATGCCGTGCCCACTGGGCGTGCGAATGCGCGCCATCTCGCCACACAGCAGGCCGAGATCCGCGAAGCGCGTGGCGCCGTCGGCGTCGGCGAAGAGGATCAGCGCGCCGCGCGCGTGCAACACGCCCTGCAGGTCGAGCCGAGGGGTGGTGATGGTGTCAGTGAATGCGATAACGCAAGAAGAAAAAAGGGGAAGGGAAGGGAACGGTAAGCGAGGGAGCAAGTAGTGCGGACTCACATGCCGCACCGCGCCGCCTTTGCCCCGGTTGCGCTCGAGGCGGATGACGCGGACGACACCCCGCGCGCTGCGCTTCTCGCGCACGTAGCGCAGTACGGCGGCGGCCGTGCTGTCCGTCGAGCCATCATCGACAATGATGATCTCGTAGGATCTGATTGGCGCCGGTGGTGTTGGCGGCGCTCCTGCTGCTAGAGGTGGTGAGGGTGAGGGGTGGTGGTGAGGGTAGGGAGGAGGCGCCGTGGGGCAGTTGGAGGCGGCAGGTTCCTCTGCATTTGATGGCAAGGAGGGGCACGGATCGAGGTACGCAAGCGCATCTTCGAGCATGCCCTGTATGCGCGCGGTCTCGTTGAATGCGGGCACCACGACGGACAGCTCGACCTCAGCATTGGCGTTGGCGTCGGTCTTGGTCTCTGTGTTGCATTCTGCTGCAGCGAATGCTTCATGCGCGGCTCGGCCGGCGTCATGCAGCAGGTCGGGCAGCGTTCCGGTGTACTGCTCGCCCGTCTGGGGATCAATGCTGGTGAAGGACCGTTCCGAGGCGAAGGTTTCGCGCCGGACAGGCGTGAGTGCCACGAGCAGCGGATAGGCCTGCGGTGCGCACGCAGCGTTCACGCCGCGGAGAGGGGCAGGCGTCAGCGCGGATGCATGCGTACTGCTAGCTAACTAGCTGTCTCTAGCTTGTAGCTGAATGCGACCAAGGGGAGGCGCAAGTGGCGCAAGCGGCTCGGACTTACAGACAGCAGGACGACGAGCAGCGGCGCGGCAATGACGCTCGTCAGGAAGGGCGCCGAGGCGAACGATGCGGCGAGCACGGCAGGGAAGCCGAGGAAGAGCGACAGCAGCCAGCCAAGCGTGCCGCGGCCAGCAGGGCTGGCTGCTGCGCCACTGGCGCAGAAGGGCGCTACCATTGCTGCTGCGTTGCTGTGGCCTGGCCCCCGCACGTTGCCTGGGATGGGGGTGGGGTGTGTGTGCAAGGGCCGTGCAGCGCTCGCGCTCGAGCAGGGCTGTGCGAGGCAATGGGACACGCGCAGGGGGCGGATGGGAGCAACTGTGCGTGCGTTTGTGCTTACGAGGCGGTGTCTTTTCTTGTATGTGATGCCTGGCAGGATAATCGCAAAGCCGAGAAGCGCAGAGAAAGGGAGAAGGATGGCGGGCGGTGTGCCAACTGCAGCGTGCGATCAAGCGGCGGCCTTGACAAGAAAGAAAGAAAGGCGGAAAGAGAGAAAGAAATAATGCGGCCGGCGGCAACAAGGGCTCGGAGCGATCGAGCGAGAGCGGGTATTCTTGCTTCGGGTCTTTTTCTCATGTCCTTGTTTGATAGCATCTTATCGCATGAACTCGTCAACATGGACAGCAGGACGACTTTGGCCTCTCGGGCCTGATCCACCACAGTCCAGCGCCGTGGATGAAGGCGGTGCCCGCCCACTCCAATGGAATGGGATAGCAGAGCATTGCATGTAATCACTCCACAGAATGGAAGAGGGAGGGGGGCCAAGTTTGCTCCTATCCACATTTGCTACACGCACTTTCGCTTGCCAAATTGCTTCTGCAAACCAGTCGCGAGACCCCGGCAGGACATGACCACGTACGCCCACTCTGGGTCGTGCCGAGGGACGAGCGTAGCTCTCGCCATGGACTTGACGCGGTGGGTGGGCCGGAACCCCTGCAGTCCAACTAAAGCACAAAGTTGGCTTGTCCAGTGCCTGGTCCTGCCACGCTCCCGTGCACACACATGCTCTCGCCCCGCTCCCCACTCCGCCCCGCCTCGCGGCCCTGCGCCTCGCGTTCCCACAGTGCGAGAGAGAGGGTGATTGTCAGAGAAAAAGATGCTCGAATACTATGGAATACTATGTATCGAATAGACACGGCACCCTGCTGGCCACACAAGCTTGCTTTCATCGTCGCAGGTGGTTGAGATGAGGGCACCGTGACCATCCTCGACGCTTTTCACAACGCAAGACACACCACAGGCGTCCGCTTCGGCAGTCGGACGAGCCGTGCAGTGCAGTGGAAAACACTGCCTATCCTGCTGCCTAGTCTACTGTGCAGACAAGTCAAGAGCGGCGGGCGAAACGAGAGTTGTGGTGAGTGCAGCGTGATGCTGTTAACTGGAACATGTTGTGTCGCGTAGCCAGCTTTCTGCGTCGTCTGCCACGCCATAACTTCGTAGATTCGGTGAGCGCAGGGAAGGACAACGTTTCTGACGCACCCATATACCTTGCACTGTTTGCATTGCCCGCGCACACACACTGCCTTGCGGCAACGCAGACAGGACTACCGCCACCAGCAAGCAGTAGCAGACTCGAGGGCAGGACCGCACAGCCCAGGGGGAAATGCAGGCTCCTGCTGGGCACACACGCGATACAACGCAGCAGCATCTCCAGGCCGACTCCCACAACACGGGCGCCGGCGGCAGCAGCGGCGCCGCCGCCATCGTAGCAGCTGCAGCTGCAGGGACACCCAAGCTGTCGCCGCCGCAGGCTTGGAAGGAGGGGGAGGGTTCGTCGTTCTTCGTGAAAGCGGCGCCCGGTCCAGCAGCAGCAGCATTGGCATCAGCATCATCGTCCAGTGCAATGCCAGGCCATAATCAGCACCAGCAACAAACGCATAATCGTAGCCCGTCCGGCTCGGCGTGCGCGTCGAGACCGTCATCGGCGTCGTCAGCTGCCTCGCCGTCCCTGATGCCGTCCCAGCGCAAACTTTCGCCCCCCAAGACGACAACAACCACGGCGACCGCCACGTGCAGGGGGAAGGGCGTCGCGCCACTCGTCTCGTCCGAGCGCGCGAGCAGGGACGTGCCGCCAGCTGCAGCGGCAAGTGCTGTCGCTGGCGCTGGCAGGGAAGCTGCTTTGGGTGGTGCAGGTGCAGGAGCCGACGCGGGAACAAGTGCAGGAATGACTTCAGCAGGATCCACCGGCGTTCTTGCCTATGCCGCTGCGGCCGAAGTTGGTGGTGACGGTGACCAGCCGCCGGACCGCGACGGCGAGCCAGCACGAGAGCAACAGCAGCGCCCTCCGCTGACGCCCGCCAGCAGCTCCGCGACGGCCGTTCCGCTCGCATTCAGCCGCGCACGCGCGCACGCGCACGCAGACGCGGACGAGGATGCTCACGAGGCGATAGAGATTGAGCGCTCCATCGGCGGCGCGTGCAGCCTGCAAGATTCTGCGCTCCACGCGGCGCAAGGCATCGGCATCGGTGACGGTATGGGCGTAGGGGGCAAGTGCAAAGAAGAGGTGCCGGAGGAGAGGGACGACGAGAATGCAGAGCATGAAAAAGTCGACGGCCTGCTGTCCCGAGCCGCTGCGGCGCTCTCGCTCGCGCCGATGAGCGGCCACGGCGCCCAGCAGCGACAGCAAGCAGGGCGGCGAGTCCGCGCAGCGTCGCCGTCATCGTTGTCATTGCTGCCGATTGCGCGGTGCGGTGCGGTGGCTGCGACAGAATGTGAGCACAACAAGCAAATTGTTACTCTTCACTTGGCTATGGAAACTGATGCGCTTCGCGTGCACGCTCATCTTCGTCGTCGGTCGCTTCCTCCTTGCAGCAGCATCTCCTTCCGCGCGCACGCGCCGCAGCTCGTCCATAGGCGGCATCTTTGACCTCGAGAGCGATTCACCGCCGACGGCGGTCAAGCCGCTTCCTTCTTCCTCCCCCCCTTCCTCCTCCTCCTCTTCCGCTGCCGCCGCTGCCGCAGCCGCTTCGAAGCCACGTACCCTCACTGCGGACGGCAGCGTTAGCGTCAGCTCGTTGCACCCCCCATCATCATCGTCATCAGCATCCACGACCGCCAGCATGACACTTCCGCGCACTCCGTCCCCCTTTGCATCGCAGCATCAGCCGCCTCGCGCCGTAGCGCTTGGAATGCGCAACGTCTCGCCCAACTCGTCGTCGTCATCCTTGCGCTACGAGTACCGTGGCTCTGACGCACTACAACAGCAGAAGCCACGCGAGCGCCACCAACAACAACAACAACAGCAGCAGCAGCAGCGCCTGTCGCCTGCGTCGTCCGCGCTGCTGCTGCGCTCCGCGTACGATGCGGCGCCTCGCACAGGTGCGATCGGACGCCCCTCGCCGTCGCCGTCTCCATCCCCGCCTCCTTCTTCGTACGCACATGCGGGCGCGATACCGATCCTTTTTGCCGGCGGGGGCGCCGCCACCGCCGCGGGCGACGGTATTAGCATGGGGATGGGCCTCTCCGCGTCCTCAGGCGCTTCCGCACCGCCGCCGCCGCCACACCTCGTCGGCTCTTCGTCGTTCAGCCTCAGCCCTAGCCCCAGCCCCAGCTCGATGCAGCACGCGCTCAAGCTCACGCTTCCGGGAATCGGCAGCGCCAGCCTCGGCGCCACCGGCGGGCGCGCGCCGTTCGACACGGCGCCCAGCTTCAGCAGCCCGTTAGCGCATGCTGCCGTGCTGCCCGACCCGGATTTTGAGGACTTTGAGGAGCAGCTGGCGCACGAGCACCGGCATGGACATGGCCATGGCCAGCTGGGGGGCGACTTGCAGCAAAAGAACAAAATCTTGCTCCAGGTGACAAGCGGCGCTGGCGGCTCCACCTCCGACAATGAGGGCGATGCCAATGCCGACGCTGGAGCTGACGACGTGGGTCCGGCGCCGAAGAGCAGCCAGAGAGAGCCGGAGCGCTGGCAGTCTTCGAAGCGGACTGCCTCCGCAACGAGCCAAGGCACCACGCTCTCCGACGGTGACTTCTCGCCCGAAGGTGGGGCCGGAGACAGCAGCCACGTCCGCTCCTCGTCTTCTGCGACAAGCAGCAGCGATAGGCGCAGCGTGTCGGACCGACATGGCCGCGTCGTCTCCGCGTCTGAGATCAAATTCTTGCCGCGCGAGCGCATCGCATCCGGCGGGAACCCCGTCCCATTCGGCAGCATGGCCCCCCCGCCGCTGCACGTCGGCCAACAGCAGCAGCAGTTTGCAGCGCGCGAACAGCAACGGTCGGCGTCTGCGTCTGCTGCGCTCAGCATCATACCCGCCGGAAGCGTGAGGGCCGGGAAAAGCGTCGACGTACCATCCCGCTCCCGCGGCGAAAACGGTGGCTCGCCCACGTTCGCCAGCTCGGGAACGCAGAGTCCGACCCCTCTTGCTTTTCGCGCCGGCGCCGGCAGCAGTTTACAGCGCGCCAACTCGACAAGTACACGTGTCCGAGGCGTGACGGGCCCTAGCTCGAATGCTTCGCTGCCGACTGCGCCGCTCGCAATCGCAGTCGCGGGTCGCGGACCTGCGTCTGGCTCCGCAGGGGCCAGCCACCACGGCTCGTCGCTATCCGTCTCGTCCAACGTCTCTGTCCTGTCGACCGATTCGATGGACAGCATCTCCCCGCCTCATGGAACCTACGGCGGCAGCGCGGCGTCCCTCGCGACCAGCTGGGGCGGCGGAAGCATCAGCAGCGGAGCAGGAGGTGGGGGCGGACTGGCCGGCGAGCACAGCGGGTCCACGCTTGGCCTCATGGCGAGGCGCAGCGTCGGGCCCTCGGGCTCGCTTGGTCCCGCAGGAAGTGGAAGGCGCAAGCGCAGACCATCCGCTCCCGCCATGCCGTCCGCACATGCACATCGACGCGCTCGCAGCCTCGGCGGTGTTTTGCTCGCCGACATGGGGTCTGCGCAAGGCACCAGCAGCGGCAGCCTGCACAGCAACACCAGCAACGATACCTCGAGCAGCTCTCCCGCCAGCAGCAAGAGCTTCCTCGGCGGCTACGTCGGCTCGCCGATCGGCGGGCCCGACGGCGTCGACCCCAGCCTCGTCGCGGCAATCAATCGAAACGACAGTAGCTTCCCAGGTACGCCCGTGAACGAGCATCCGCGTCTGCTCTCTCTCTCTGCTGCATCGGGCATGTCCCTCGCCGCGGCAGGCTCGATGAACCCTTCGACGACTCCATACGTCAAGAGCGAACGGGATCGATCCAAGACGACCTCGTCCACGTCCATTGGCTCGCAGCAGAGCAGCTTGACGGCCGGCTCGCGGTCCGTCTCGCGGTCCGACTCGGTTTCGAGCGGAATGATCCTCAATAGGAAACGATCCGACCTACTCTCCATCTTGCCGGACACGCGAGCCCTGGCCAACAGCTACCCCGCCATGGACGATATTTCCTCCGCTAGCGAAGCGGATAAGCAGGCAGAAGCCAGTGGCCTTGCGCCTAGTCCACCGATCGGCGGTCCTGAAGGCTACAAACGCTTGAGGGCACGTAGTCAGACGGTCGGACTGGCTAGTCCAAAGACCGCTGCCGCGGCTCAGTTTGGTACTTCGGCTAGCGCCAGCAGCAGCAGCAGGTTGGGTGGTAGCATGCCGAGAAGCGGAGGCAACCCGCTGGCAGATGCGATTCGACTGCAACGAGTGCCTACGTCCGTCAGGCTTGCTGGTGATCTGTTCCTGCCGCCGTCGCCACGCTTGCAGAAATCGCAACATACCGCTGGCGGAGCGACTTCAACGTCGACGGCCACCGGCCGGAGCCTTGGTTTGGGAATCGGAAACATGGGCGCGGGCGGTCTTCAATCGCATAGCCCATCCGGGTCCGCGTCCTCGCCATGGTCGCCGCAGACCCCGCTGGCAACGCGAAGTCCGAGCCCTGTGCACATCAAGAACAATAAAGGCTCTCCGCCATCGCCTGAAAATGAGTACAGCTCTGATCAGTCCACGAACAGAGTTGACTCTCGAGACCCACTCTACATATCCATTCCCCGTCGCAGATACTCAGCTTTGCCGTCGGCGCCGCATGCGTCGCTCTCTTCGTCTGTTTCTCCTAATGCGACGATGCTATCAACGTCGATGTCGCGTCCGCAAATAGGCTTAATGGACAGCCCACCCGGCGCAGCTGTTAGAACGACGAACCGCAAGAGGTCCAGCGCATCCCTTGCGCCCCTGTTCTCGCTGCCGAGCAGTCCGAATGTGTCCTTGCGGCAGTTCGTGTCTTCGCGACAGAGTAGTGGGAGCGATGCCATCGCTCCTTGGCGAAATGCTTTCGGTAAGTCCAGGCTTAACCACATACTTGGCGTGAAGCATCTTTTGGCTGACACGCGTTGTTCTGTGCAGATGACGGAAATTCGACTCGGCCGGCTCCATGGATCGCGAGCTCTCAAGAAGTCAAGCTTCGGCCAAACCTCCTGGACCAGTGGGATCCACTTGCTTGCAGCAACACTGCGACCGATGAGTATGCGAAGATCATCGTCGCGAGCCGGAATGCCAAGATGCAAAAGTGGAAGAGCAGCAGCATGATACCAAAGGCAGGATCTCCTGCACTGGGCGCGTTGCCACAAATGGAAGGTAGCACCAGTGGACGGGTGTCTCCTAAACGGACCTCGCTCACGAGCGCAGAGCTGCTTCGAAAGCGAGAGAAGATTCTGGACGTGGCAACGAGCGGGTTCGAACCGGATGAGAAGGCTTCGTCGTTCGAGCGCGGAGAGATTGAGTGGGTAGACTGGCTTGACGAATACCAAAGGATGAAGGAGACCAAGATGCGGACCGAACAGGAAGAGGAGATGAAAAAAGCAGCTCCAAGTGCCACAGTGGGCAAAAGCGAGGACATGCCTTCCTCCGGATCAGCTTATTTATCGCTTCCACCAAATGCTCACCTAAGACCACGGTCTCCACTGGAGCCGAGATTGTCCAAGAGTCAAAGTCAAAGCCAATTACTCGGAGAAGGTGGTACTCCGCGGCGGCCATCGGAAGCACCAAGGAGCGCAGCGCTGAGCAGCACCAGCACGGAATCTAGGTCTACTTCGCTCGCTGGCTTGTCCCCCCGCCCGTCTGCAGCGTCTGATTCTTGGACGTCCAAGCAGAGGTCTCTATCCTCCTCGCTATCCATGGTACGAACGTACAGCGAGAAGCCGACAGGAAACATGCTCGCCAGTGGGAAGAAGCGCAAGAATCTTGGAGGCAAAATTGAGGCATGGTGGTCCGCCGTCAAATCAGGATTCAGCGCCCATGGTCCGGAAGATATTCCGCGCCAGCATCCCACCGCTATTCCCTCTCCGCCCTCAGGCAAAGGGCATCGACGCATGCTTGCCAAAGACAAGCCTGAGTCCGGCTTCGCTGCTGCATCTGGCGGATTCGGTCAGCACGCCAGGGCGTCGAGCAGCAACAAGCCCCTTGAGGCTGAAACATCAGGGCGTACGCTGCGCTCGCAAACTTCTGCGCACACCCTTAAGAGCAGGAGTGACGCTTTTGAGAAGCCAGCGAAGACGGACGCAGCTTCTGCTGCGCCCCTTGTGCTTGCTTCGCGAGAAGCGTCAGCATCTTCCCCATCTCTTTCGTCTGCGCCAGGGAGCGAAGACACGACAGGGAAGGAGGGTAGTAGGGATAATATACGCAAGAAGCAGCCTCCACTGACCCTTAAGCTCGACAAAAACCTGAGCACATTCACGTCTGCAGCCTTCCGTTCGGATCAGCCGAGATCCTCGAACGGGCAGCGCTCAGGAAGTGACTCGCCGCCTGATTCGCCTCGAGGTACCAGAAAGTTGTCACAGGCGTGGGGACGCCCGACACCGACCTCAGCCTCTTCCAGTGAGCGCTCGCAGTTTGAGATTGCGCTTACCAGCCACAGAGACTCGGCCGGCAAAGCTCGTCATTCTGTGGAGACGCCTCCGACAATGTCGCACTCGAAAGACTTCACCATCAACTACATGCGTCAGCAGATCCGTCAACGCCTTGCTTTGTCAAAGCAGACTTGTGACAATGAACTCCGCAAAATCGTGGCTGCGATCAATCGCCTCGTGGAGGAGGAGCTGCAAGAAGCCAGAAACGACGAGGCCGAGTCTCAGGGCGGCCTAGGGCTCGAATCAGGCGTAGAAGAGCCAAACAATGCAGCGTCGTACTCTCAAGCGCCAGTGCAAGCAACTCCATCACGACAGAGTATTGCAGAGCCGCAGCACTCAAGTGCGATTGATGATACGAACTTTGACCCAGACGAGACGGCTCACGGTGAGCTGGTTGAAAATAAGCATTGGCGGAACCGGCAGCTGACAACATTCCTTTCCGGATCAATTGCAGCAATTGGATTGACGCCGTCCGAGACTCAGACACGGCCCTCGGTGGAGCTCGCTGAGTATCGACTTGCTGCTCCGCCGCAGCGTGCGGCTGATGCTGTCAAGTCATATTCATCGCAAGGCGTTTTGCATCGTCATCCTGGTCTTCGCTCGTTGCGCAGTGCACATGCGCGATACAACCACTCCTCATCTAACTCAACGTCAAGGTCCACGTCAAGGTCGCAGTCACCAATGCCTGCTTTCCTCTCAGGAGCAGTACCCCTCGCGGACTCGCCGAACTTGTCACCCGCACGACGATCACGTCTATTGCCAGCAGAAGATTTGTCGCAAGCGCCGTACATCCCTGCGCTGCAGGACATCGTGACTCTTGCGGTGGAGGTTATCGACACGCCCATCAGTGTCCTGACCCAGCGGTCTGGCATGTGCTCTGAGATCATCGCTAATGTCCAAGCCGTCGGGCGAAACTGGGATGATCATCCAGATTGGCCAGGCAGGAACTGGTATGTTGAACTTTTGCTGCACATTGCATCCTTGTCACGCGTCGTCGAATGGTGGGTCGCCGAGAAGGCCAACTGGCAAGACGTTAACGATGAGGACGACAACCAAGAAGCGCACCCCGTCAAGTTCATCCTGGGTCCGCAGGCACAAGATATGGACCCCATCGTTGAAAATAGATCAGCGGCCGCTAGAGCACATTCTGTCGCGAGTCCTGCCAAAGCAGACGATGCCAGGGATAGCGGTGTGGACAGCGCTCCCAGTGGCACCAATTCTCCTGCGCTTTTACCCGTGGACAAACGCGTTCGTCGATCCCGTACGAATAGCCATGTGGTACATCCGAAAGATTCGAAGCGTGCGACATCAGCCGCTCGCACGTCTGCCAAACATGACATCCCGAATGTGCTCATGGAGTTGGCCCTCGACGGCGACCAGATCATTTACCTCAGTCCTTCCTGGCGGCATGTGATCGGCAGTGAGCCCGACGAGCTCATAGATACGCTGGTCTCCATTTTGCTAGCTCCGGTAGACGAAGACGTCTTCCAAGAGGCATCAGCCCAGCTCCAGGCAAACCCCGCACACACTGTTGAGGTCAGCTTTCGGTTGCGACTTCCGCCGGCAGTATCGAGCAAAGACGAGAACGTGCACGACACCCCCCTCTTTCAACGTATGGAGGGCAAAGGAATGCTCATGCACGACAGGCAACTCGGAATACTGTCTCACACCATGTGGGTATTCAAGCCAACGTCGCCCCCAGAGCCAGAGGCAACATTGGACGGTGACAGCGTCATGGCCCGTGCCACCTCCATGTCGGACCAGACCTCGTCGCATGGCTTTGCGGCAACCATTCCGCTGGAGCCTGTGATGTGTAGGATCTGCGAACGCGACATCCCTACGTGGTTCTTCGAAACGCACTCAGAGATCTGCAACGAAGTGCATCGTCTAGAGATGGAAATCGCAGAGTGCAACGAGAGCCTTCTGGAGGTGAAACGAGCCGCCCAATCCATTGCTGAGGCTATCGAGAACGGGCCGGAGACCGATGCAAACCCTCCTTGCTACCAAGGAGTTCCCGTGACGACACCGCCGCCGTCTCAGCAACCACCTTCTGCCTTGGAGGGCCTGCATCGGTCTTTGTCGCTCCGTCAAACTCAGCCAGCTTTGGTGCGGAAGCAGCATCTCCGAGCGCTCGACAGCGCGGTCGAGGCGCTGCAAGCAGCAGCGTCCATTTCCACGCCTGCCGTCAAAGAGGACGAAGCGAATGTACCTGTTGAGAAGCAGCGTCTATTGTCGCCTACCTCTGAAGACAAAATTTCCCAGACTCGGGGCTGGACGAAGCCTCTGATGGACGACCCTGCCCTCGATGCTCTGATGGACGATGCAGAAAGTCACATTCGCGCAAAACTCAGCGGAGTGAATCGCATGGTCAACACTATCGTCTACGTCGAGACGGTTCGTTTCGAATGGGAAGAGCGCGTAGAAGCGGCTCTGGTTAGCATTGAGGAGGCAGAGAACTCCGGAACGCCGTCCAGCAAAGCCGAGACGGGTGATGGCGTCGCTCGCGACAATGCCTTACATGCGCTCGGTTCTGGTCAAGCCCTCAACGACAGAGACGATGACCTTCAAAGACGTACTACCGGTCTGCTTGTGGAAGACATTCCGCCTTCCGATAAGTCCGAGCTTCATGATGGCGCCGTCGAGCACGCCAACACCGAGGTGCCGCCAATGGAAGAAGGCGCCATGAGCGAGTCGCTTGCAAACTTGCCTGGTATTCCGATCCCGTCAGCAGCTACGCATGCTGCGCACAATCTTCTTCGCTCTGGTGCAGCGGTCGGGCCGCAATACCTCAGTTCTGCAGATGGCTCTCTTGGGGTGCGGGGTTCGAATGGAACACCGCCTTTCTCACCTCGTCTGTCCCCCGCGGCTGCAGCCAGCAGTCACGGCGGTCAGTCCTCGCGCAAAATGAGTATGTCACAACATCGAGGCTCGATCGCAGGATCCATGCCGATGTCTCCGCGCCTTCCACCAACGGCCCCAGCTTCCAGACCAACGGCAACCACCATCAAAGATTTTGATATCATCAAGCCGATCAGCAAGGGTGCTTTCGGTTCGGTCTTCCTGGCGAAGAAGCGTGCCACCGGTGATTACTACGCCATCAAGGTACTGAAAAAATCAGACATGATCGCCAAGAACCAGATCCTGAACGTCAAGGCTGAACGCATGATTTTGATGACTCAGACCCAGTCTCCGTTCGTCGTGAAGCTGCTTTTCACTTTTAATGACACAAATTATCTTTATCTGGTGATGGAATACCTCCCTGGTGGCGACTGCGCGTCGCTATGCAAAATGCTTGGAGGGCTGGACATCGAATGGACAAAGCAGTATATTGCTGAGATCGTGAACGGCTTGGACCACTTGCACTGCCGAGGAATCGTACATCGGTGAGTAGATTGGGTTGCGCGACGGTCCGCGGTCCGCACATTGACTCTAGCCCTCCTACAGTGATCTGAAGCCAGACAATGTCCTCATCGATCAGAAAGGTCATCTCAAGCTAACCGACTTCGGCCTCTCCAAGATTGGACTTCTCGGGCGTCAAACGCAGGCCGGCAATCGATTTGGAGTCATCAGCTTGAACACTGGCCGTCGAGATTCTGGACAACGCTCAAACAGCCAGTCCGACGGTCAAGCTAAGTCCTCGGATCGCAATCCACCTCTCACGCCTTCCTATCAGACGCAGGTGCCTCATCCCGCTCGAAACCGGATCCTCAGTACATCGACCGAAGCAAGCGACTCTAGCGGGTCGGATGGCGGCCACCTCCGCGCAAAAGGCCTTTCGCCTGCATATGGGCTCGAAAGCCCGCAACATGCCTTTAAGCAGCTGCAGCTTCCCGAGCTGCCCAAGACAGATAGACAAAACTCGAGCCCGCACGATGCTGCCAAACGATTCGCCGGCACTCCCGACTACCTGGCCCCGGAGAGCATCCTCGGGATCGGCATTGATGATATGGCGGTTGACTGGTGGGCACTGGGAGTGATCCTCTACGAGTTCGTCTACGGCTATCCGCCCTTCCACGACGACACGGTGGACAAGGTGTTCGACAACATTCTGAGCAGACGCATCGAGTGGCATGACGGTGTCGTCGATGTACCGCCAGAAGCTCGAGATCTGATGGAGAAACTCATGTGTTCGGATCCGAAAGCCCGTCTAGGTACCCATGGCGCAGACGAGGTCAAAGTTCATCCGTTCTTTGAAGGTATTGACTGGTCGAACCTCACCACTGGGGAGGGACCTTTTGTTCCTCAAGTCAGCGACCCAGAGTCGACGGATTACTTTGATCTGCGCGGAGCTGTTTCGCAGTCGTTTGTCGGAGAGGACGGTCGCGAAAATACCAAGGACTTCGCCAACGCGATCGGGAAGCAGCCAGACATGCAGCCGACTCACCCATCGGCGCGTTCAGGTCGATCACAGCAAGATGCGTCAACGGATGCATTTGGGTCCTTCCGATTCAAGAATCTCCCGGTGCTCAAGCAAGCAAATGATGAGGTCGTCCGGAAAATGCGCGGCGACCAGCTGCCGCCGATGACACAGACGCTGGAGCAGCCGCTGATGCACGCTCGGCACCGCAGCTTGTCCGGACGCGCAGGGCAAAAAGGGCGGCTCAGCATCGCTGGCCCGCCGTCGCCATCGACGTCGGTATCGTCTCAAAGCTCAACGCCGTCGCGGTCAACCGCGCCGACTTCGCCGTCGGTTATGCCGCACATGGTCGTTTCGGCCAACCAGAAGTGGCGCACAGACACGCGGCTGCACAGTGGCCTGTCCGCCGGGTCGAGTGACTCTCCGTCTGGCGGCGGCTTGCAGCTGCAGAGCCCCGTGACAGGAGCTCGCCGCGGGGCCGCCCCCGGCGATGCTCTGTCGGCTGCGAGTGCTTCGATGGACGGCGCCATGTCGCGCTTCCGCGCACTGTCGCTCAACGTGGGTGAGCCCCCAGCCATGTCGCCGCTGTGGAGCCCTTTGCAAGCGGATGCGCTGGAGCTTGACGAGTCGGCTCTGGACACGCAGGACGAGGCGAAGGAGGCGAAGGAGGCGGCCGAGGAAGCAACGCCACGGGCTGACATGGACATGGACATGGGCGGCGACGGCGACTGCGACAGTGGCGGCGCTAGCGGTGGCGAGAGCGAGAGCAGCTCTGAGGAAGGACAAGAGGAGGGTTCGGATGCAGCGTCGGATGAGTCGGACACTGTACGATGCCTGATCGCAGAGGACAACCCGATCGCGCTTAAGATGCTGGAGAATATCCTGGTCAAGGTCGGTTGCGAGTGCCGCTGTGTGCGCAACGGCGCTGAGGCGGTGAGCCTCGCGATGGGAGAGACCAAGTTCGCTGTCATGTTTATCGACGTGACGCTGCCGATCGGTGAGTTCATGCTCGGGGAGTGTGGCAGCCAGGCTCGTGTGACTGACGGTGCTTCGCTTGCTCGGATGGCGCATCGGGCTGCAGTCGACGGGCACGACGTGTCGCGGATGGTCAAGTCGACGCGCAACGCGAACAGCCTCACACCCATCATCGCGCTCGCCGGCGGGTTGGGGCGCGACGGCGACGCAGAGCAGGAGCTGCTGTCACAGTTGCTGGACGCGTCGAACAGCGTTTTTGACGGTATCCTCGCCAAGCCGCTTGAGAAGAGCCACGTCACAGAGCTCCTGCGCAAGCTTGGGCTCACAGCGCTGCAGCAGCAAGCGCGGCCACAAGTGCCGGTACAGGGGCAGGGACGGACAGATGCGGTGCCGGAGGGAGAAGAAGAGGAAGGCATTGATGGGCCTGCCAGCGACGTGATGAGGCAACAGCAGCGGAGCACGTGACGCTGTGAATAAGAGGGATGGGAAGTGCCTGCGGTTGTCCGGGGGAGAGGCGTGGGGGTTTGCAAGCATGCAGCTGGAAAGAGCACAGACACGGAGGTGATGCGGGGGAGGAACATGTCGATTTCATTCATTTCGAGCAGCAGCAGCATCATCATCATCACCTTCATCATCACATTCATCATCATCATCACATTCATCACCATCATTATTTCCCATCCAGCAGCATTATGTAGTATGACAGCAAGAGCAACAGCAGGCACAGCAGCATGCATCCAGCGTCAATTCCCCTATTCCCCGCCCCTTTTGGTTCTTACGCCGTCCTTTGAGAAGCATGTATGATACATGCGTCATGTTTTGCTTACCTTTGCCGTTGTCCAAGCAGCCGCGCATACCTGCTTGCAATGTGCAACGTGCATCGCGCTCTACTCTGGTCTTCACTGTCCATTCTGAAGTGGGAGCTGTCTTTGTGCCATGCGTCTGCATGCCTCTCTGCCTATATATACTATTAGTGAATATATACTGTGGAGTTTTGAAAGATGCCCCCATTGGACCAATAACTCGCCGCACGGGCATCCATTAGGGTATGGTGCGTGTAAGTGGAAGCGCCGATTACGTAATGGCCTCTCCCGTGCACGGCGGAACAGAGAGCAGTGGAGATGACCCCGCCTTTGCCTGTCTGTCGTCTGCTGCTTAGATGGGCGTTTGACGGGTGTAGCGTGGAGTGCCCAGTGTGCCCCGTGGCCAGCTGCCAGCAACGTTCCCCACTTTCATTCTCTCCTCTGGGTGGCACATACGGGCGGTGTGCCACCCTGACCGTCTCACCTCTCTCTCTCGCACGCTGGATCCCTCTTGCTGTATCCGCCCCTTCTCGCCTTTCACACTCACTACGCCCACACCCCAGAAGACTGGGTTGCGCTGATCCTCATCCTCATCCTTGCCCTCGGCCTCATCCTCAACCTCTCCTTCTGCCTTTCCTACCCTTCTACCTTGATCCATCTCCGCTTGAGAGGCGCATCCCACCTTCTCCTTCTTGTCCCCATCGTTCTTGCAGACGGACGCTGCGCTGCGGGTTGGTGTGGCGTGGTGCTTGCATTCTCCCTCTCCTCTTCCCTGCCTACCCACATTCAATCATCGCACCTCAGCCCTCGCGCATCCTGGAGGAGAGCCTGCCATACCTAGAACCTCAGACCGACGCCCGCAGCAAGGTCGCAGAACTCGCCCCCCCCTGGCCTTGCCGCAGGACTGTGACATCTTACCTCCAGCAGCCTCCCAAATGACCTCCATCAACTCCCCCTCCCGCAAGTCCATCCTCGCTGGCATGGACTCCAGCATCGCCGCAGACATCAGCAGCGCCAGCGCTGGAGGCGACCTCCAACCCCCGTCCGGCAGCGCCTTTTTCTCCAGCACCGACGGCGTCCTGCAGCGGCAAAAGAACCGCGGCGCCGCCGCCGACTCACAGAGCATCATGTCCAAAGGCAGCGCCGGTAAGCGCTCCGCCACGAGCACCGGCACCGCGGGAAGGCACTCGAAGAACACCAGCGTTAGCAGCAAGCAGCATCCCGCTTCCCCTTCAGCTGGGTGAGTGTTCTGCTCTCAGCCTTCAATGCCGGGCTTGGTATGCAGGCGGCAGTCTGACGTTCGTTCCCCCCCCCCGTCGTTTTTCTTTTCCTCCGTCTTCACCCCGCCAGCGACGCATCATGCGGCAGCATCCTTAACGGAAACTCTTCCATGCCCAATCAGCACCCTGCTCAGCCACTGCACAGCCAACCCCAGCAAGACGGAGATGTACAGCCGAAACAGCAGCCAGCACGCCGCATATCGCGGCTGCTCCGCCGCAAGACATCACGCGACGACGCCAAGGCGTCCATGCCTCCCATGCCCAAGAACGGCAGCGCTAACGGAAACGGAAATTCATACACCAACCGAACATCTAGCACCAGGAATGGCTCCATGCCCGTGGACGACGCGGCAAGCATCAAGTCCAAGAGCAGCTTTCGCCGCATCAGCCTCAAGCTGCCCAAATTCGGCGGCGGCGCTGCTGCCGCCGCCGGCCGGCGCTCTTCTTCGTACACTGGTTCCGAGAACATCGGCCATGCCGCCGCGAATGCCAGTGCGAATGTGAACGCAAACGGCCAGCTGCAACCGCCGCAGTCTCACCCGCAGCAGCAGCATCAGAGCGGATCAGCGCACGTGCCCCCCATCCCGGCCAAGTACGCCCAGCAGGCGCGCTCTTCGCCGCATCTCGCGCAGGGCGATCCCGCAGAGCGGGGCGAGGGCCAGGCGGAGTGGGAGCCGCCAGCAGCGACGTTTGTGCGCACCGCCGCACCTGGCACCGATACGAGTGCCTATGCCGACGAGCTGGACGACGGCATCGGGCGTGCTGTTGCTGCTGTGAACGGATCCGTAGCGCGAAGCAGCACTATCGAACGACCGCCGCGCAGTCCTGACCGTGTCCCCAAGCCGAACTTTATCCAGGGCGCACAGCCCGCGGCTGCACCAGCAGCAACGAGCAGCAAGAGCAGTCGCGGCGACGCTGACGACGAGCAAAGCGGTGGCTACAGGGAATACATTGCCACAACTGTCGGGACCATCAGCTCGGGCACGTCGCACCTCGTCGGCTTCGGTGGCGACGACGACGAGACAGATGGCGAGGACGAGTTCCATGATGCTAATGACCTCTCGCACATCTCGGAGCGCAGCGAGGATGACGAGACCGCTACCCCCGAGCAGCAGCAGCACCGCTCGCACGCGCACGCACCCAGCCATGCCGAACAGGAGGCCCAGCGCCTCGCTGCCGATGAGGAAGCGCACGATGCTGCGGCCGGCCTCTACCCAGGCAGGCATCGGCACCGCGGGCAGAGCGCGCCGCCTCACGCCGTCCCGCCGCGCACCCCCGATCTGAACGATGGCGGCAGCACACCGGTGCCGGCTTGTCCGCGTGCGAGCATCTCCAGTGGCACCGCCGGCGGCGGCCGCGACCGCGTTACGTCCATCTCGAGCCGGTCCGAGGGTAGGATGAAGAAGGAGACGCCAGAGTATGTGCGCACCAAGGCGGCGGCGGTCGCTAAGCTGCGCGTGGACGATGTGCAGCAGAGCGCCGATGAGCTGCGCGAGGACGTCGAGCAGGCGCGCCGCGCACTGCACCTCTTCCTGAACAGCAAGATGCTCGAGGCGGAGGAAATCGTCAAACGGTACGCGGACCGCAAGCTGTACTACGCCCTCGGTGCCGCGCTCATCGCTGTCATCAAGGGGTTCATGGTGAGTTGCGCGAAGAGTGCACAAGACCAATGCGGGACGCGTGCTAACAACATTTGTGGCCTCTACTACGTCACGCGCAGACGTTTGAGCCCGAGGACCTGGCGGTGGCCATCTCGTTCTGTAAGGACACGATCCACATTGCGCAGCTGCTGCGCAAGCCGACCAACTCCGTCGCCAACTTTGGCCGCTTCGTGCGCGGCACGGGCCAGTCGCCGTCGGCGATGCACAGCATGACGCACGTCCAGCGCCACGCCGAGCTCGTGTATGCCGAGAGCGTGCTGCTCAAGGCCGTCATGGGCATCCTCTATTCGGGCGACTTTTTCGGCTTTGTCGCCGAGGCGCTCAACATGCGCAACGCCTACGGTATCTACCGCTCCCTTGCCAAGTACGTCGAATGGGCCGATGAGCAGGCCAGCAAGAAGCGCCGCGGAGCCATCGACGAGAGCATCGACGAGGATTTCCGCAGCGGCGTCTACCTCGGCAATGGTCTCATGAGCATGATCCTCGGCCTGCTCCCCGGCAAGGTGCTCAAGATCATGGAGGTCTTTGGGTACACAGGCGATTGCATCGAGGGGCTCAGCATTCTTGGCAGGGCCGGCGAGTGGAGCACCAACCCCCAGCACATCAAGCCAGGCATGCCCCTCGAGGAGGAGGGCATCCGTCGCGTCATCTGCGACATGGGAATCTTACTCTACGAACTGTGCGTCCTGGGTCGTCGAGCTGCACTGACTCGTGCTGACTTTGCTCGTGTGGTGCCGTTGATTTTGCTTTGCTTTGCTTAGGGTCATCTCTACGTTTATGCCTGTCAACGGAGTCGACATCAACTATGCCGACAAGATCCTGCACTACAACCTCGACCGCTACCCGCAGGGCATCTTCTTCCTCTACTTTTCCGGTCGCCTCTACTCGACGCAGACGCTCGCCGAAAAGGCCATCAAGCAGTTTGTCAAGGCGCGCGACGTGCAGCGCGAATACATCCAGCTGCAGCACATCTGCTGGTGGGACATGTGTCTTTGCCAGATGTCTCTCGGGCAATGGAACGAGGCGTACAGTTGCTTCGAAGTTCTGCTCAACGACAGTAACTGGTCCAAGGCCGTGTACAACTACGGCAAAGGTGTCAACCTCTATTCATCCGACCCCGACGGCAAGGTCAAGGAGGCCGGCAAGATCATCATCAAGACGCCTGATCTTATGCAACGCATCGCCGGCAAGTCGATCCCTCTTGAGAAGTTTGTCGCACGCAAGGCGAAAAAGTTTCAGGAGCAGGGCCGCCTGCTGCTCCCTGCGCTCGAGTTCTCGTACTTTTACCATTGCGTCTCGAACGCCCCGCGCTACATCCTCGCCGATGAGCACCTTGTCACCGTCTCGCAGGCGCTGCGCCAGGTGCAGGCACACGAGTCGGAGCCTGCCTCGTACCACTCGGGAGAAGACGAGTTCTGGGACGATTACTGCCTCGCGCATTTCCTGCGCGCCGTCACGCTCAAGTACATTGCCCACCCGGAACAGCACGCCAAGGCGCGTCCGCGCGAGTCGCCCATCCCCAAAGAGGAGGCCGAGGAGCAGGCAGAGATGTCGCTGAAAAACGTCATTGCGAATGGCACAAAGTTGACGACGGACCACTACCTCCTCTACTTTGCGCACTACGAGCTCGGGCGCCTATACGCCTCCATGGGCAGGAAGTCCGACGCCAGGGACGAGTTCAACCTCATCCTCAGCGGCAAGAATCTCGGCGACAAAGGCCGCGAGGGAAAATACTCAATGCAGGTGCGCCATACTCCTCCGTTCCCTGGACCGCTCAGCGTCTTTCTCGTGCATCTTGGCTAACAACACATTCCTTTTTCCCCACGTGAAATACCCACAGAACATGTGTCTGCTTCGCTCAAATGGTGAGTCGCCTTCCTGCTGCACGCGCGTTCATCTTTCCCCCGGAGCTTCCTCCTGACGCTCTTTGGTCCTCGTAGGCGCCCTGAACGGCCTCGACTCGAAGTGATGCGCGACGCAATTGCATCGACACTTTTTAAGACTTTGTCTCCTTGGTGATCGTTATTGGTTGTCATATTCTGTGTTTCCCTTTCCCGGTAGACCCGACTCGAGCTCTCCCGCCTGCAAAGCCGAAACCTACCAACGACCCAACCGAGCCACCTGAGACCGCCCCTTCCATCGAGTACCGAACAAACGAGCGAAGCGCTCGTTCGCTAGCTAGTTTTTGCCCCGCCCATTCCCCTTGGGCTCTCTTTTTGTTCGGCTTTGCCCTCTTCGCGTCGCTGTTTCGCCAGCAAGTGTACAGGTGCTAGCTTGCTCCTCCTTATGCCGTTCTGTTCCTATCTCTAATGATCTCTGGGAATTCGACCAAACGTTATTATTACCTTGCATTGACTATAATTAGGCCTCCTAAGCGCTGAGGCTGTAAATCGAGCCAGCCGTGCGAGACGCAGCAGCAATGGTGAGCATGCTTATACCCGGAGTTGCTGTCGTCGGGTTTAACGGTGGAGAGAGAATGACGTAAATACGTAAACAGAATTGCCTCATTCTCCGCCGCCCGCCAGCTTGGAGGGTCTCCATGAGCTCCGTGGGCATGATCGGGTCAAGAGCTCACATGCATCATGGGCGGTCGTATAAATGGTGCCTCTCTCTGACTTCAGTCGCAAACGCATCAGTTACTCTCCATGTCGCTGTCTTTTGCACTCCTCATATAAACGAAAGAACCAAAATGTCCTCTCCACCGAAGATGCAGGCCGTCAGGACGGTCGACGTGCACCAGTCCAATGTCGAGCTCGTAGACACCCCGAAGCCTGGGCAAGGCGAGATCCTGATCTGCACAAAAGCCGTCACTCTCAACGTAAGTCGAACTTCTCTTCGACAAGTGCAACTCTTTCCCTGCATCGCTGACGCGACGTTCCAATCTCTGACAGCCCACTGACTGGAAACACGTTGCCTTCATTTCTCCTTCAGGCGTGACGGTCGGCTGCGATTTCGCTGGCATCGTCGAAGGACTTGGTCCAGGCGTGAGCAATGGACTCAAGAAAGGCGACCGCGTCTCGGGATTTGTACACGGTGGCAAGTACCCAAACAAGGGAAGCTTTGCTGAATTTCTCACTGCCAAGGCTGCAGGCGTCATGAAGATCCCCGATGCTCTCTCCGATGCCGAAGCAGCGAGTATGGGCATCGCAGGCGAGACAGCCGTGCAGGTGCGCGCAAAACCAAGTGGCACGCGCTTTCTCGTCTTACTCAGGGCTAGTGTTCTTTTCCTCCTTAACAGGCGCTCTTCCAGCGATTGAATGTGAAGGCTCCATCTTCCTCCATCACTTCCATTCCACAGATCACCAAGGACTCCCCGAAGCTGCTCGTCTGGGCCGGCTCGACCTCTGTGGGCCAGTACGCGATTCAGCTTGGCACTATTGCGGGTTACTACGTGATCACGACCGCGTCGCCCAAGAACCACAAGCTGGTCAAGTCTCTCGGCGCGCAGGAAGCGCACGATTACAAGGATGAGAGCGTGCCGGAGGCAATCAGCAAGGCCCATCCGGACCTCAACATTGCGCTTGATTGCATCTCGGAAAATGGAACGCAGAGCTTCTGCGCCAGGAGCCTGGGTACCAGCGGCGGCAAGATCGCCGTGCTCCTCGCGCCTGACAAGAACGCCAGGGAGCTCCGAAACGATGTGCAGATCATTCACACCCTGTGAGCACATGCCAGGTATCGCAAAGGACACCTGGCAAACTAATCTCTAACTAGCAATGCTTTTCTCGCCTCTTTCTCCGGTTCAGTATCTACTCTTCTCTCGGAGACGAGTTTTCTTATGGCAAGAGAGTCTACGACCGTGCGGAAGTTGCGACCGACTTCGAGTGGATGAAGCTGTGGCTTGACGGGGACAAGGGCCTCCTGCACCATCTGTTTGCCAAAGGCCTGCTCAAGTCCAACAAGATCAAGCACATGGACGGTGGGATTCAGTCGATCCATGAAGGCATGAAGTACATGCGGGAGAGTAAGGTCAGCGCAGAGAAGCTCGCGTACACGATCAGCGCGTAGGGTGGTATAACCACAGAAAACACAGGACATTCGATGTTTCAATACCCATTCGAAGTTAGAACATAGCTGTGAATGTCATTGAAATAGCTGCAGATGCAGTTTGTGCAAATTTACGCTTGTTTTCCAATGGTCCGAACATGGTTATCGGTATCAGCAAACACGAGTGGGCGATGCAATGTGCCGTCACTGCCGCGCCGTCGCTGCTTATTTGGCTGAGATTAACGCGAGCTGCGACTTGTAACCCAATGTGAGAGCTCACATTGCCGTAACTTGCTCTAAACATGTTCGAATTTGCTGCTCGGTACATAAAACCCACAGCGGCGCCAAGTTGGTGAGGGACAGCTCCTTGGTTTTGACGCAAGTCTCGACCGCAGCAGCCATGGCGCACAACCCGTCATCAGCAGGGCCGCCCTTGCCTCGTTTCACGCCGGCGCACCCTTCGTCCCCGACGTGGCCAATAGCTGGACCGTCTTCACAAAACGAGTCGCAAGATCAAGACGCTACAACGCCGCCGCAAGGTCCTCTGAAGGCACCGCAGTCGCTCCGTGAGTTGCTGGCGGCCGATAGCGCCGGATCTAGCAGCTGTGTACGCAATGGACGCGGGTACGGCGCCATCGATGCCGCGCGCCGACATGGCAGGAGAGAAGCTGGGGCCTCGTCCGAAGCTGCTGGGGCGCTCGCATCGACTTCGACTGCCGCACAAAGACCAAGCGCGCCCGTCTTGGGTCCACCGCCGCAGCAAGATATATCGCGCTGGAACAGATGGCATATATGGCGGCAAGAAAGCGCTGATGCAAAGCGTATGAAGCAGCTGCAACAGCGCAGCGGTCTTGCCGGCAGCTTCTCCTCGAGGGGACTGCAGCCACGAGATGGCGACCCATTGAGTATCAGGATCAACATGAAGAGATGGTCTAGGAGAGCCTATGGCAGCATAAAAGGGGTTTGGACCGGCGGATCATATTTCCACGAGGAGGAGGATGCAGACCCGTCGGGCTCGACTCATTCCTACTTCTTCAGTCGAGCGCAAGAGACCATCGAGGAAGCAACTTATGACCCAGAAGCACCGCTTTCTTCATTACGGCTGGCGCTGCTTACACTATCCCTCGCCGGCGCCCAAGTGGTTTGGACGCTCGAGCTCGCATACGGCACGCCGTTCTTGTTGAGCTTGGGCATGTCCAAGGAAGCCGTCTCGCTCGTCTGGATCGCAGGTCCAGCATCTGGCCTATTCGTCCAGCCTGTCGTTGGCGCGCTGTCAGATGCAGACGTTGCGTCCAAATATCGGCGGCGGAAGTTCATGCTGTTCTCCGCTGGCTTCCTGTGCCTGAGCACGCTCACGCTTGCGTTCGCCTCGCCTCTCTCCTTCTTTCTCGTCGACGTTCTAGGCGTTGGACTGGGTGACTGGGATCCTGTACGCAACCACGCTGCCCACTACACGACGCAAGTGCTCTCCATCATCTCTTTCTGGGTGCTTGACTTTGCCCTCAATGGCTTGCAGGCTTCATCGCGCACGCTCATTCTCGATATCAGCCCGACGAGCCAGCAGACCGACGCGAATGCATGGCAGGGCATCATGAGCAATGCCGGCAATATGCTTGGATACTTGGCTGGTTGGATCGATCTAGGAAGGTGGCCGCTGCTCTCATGGGTAGGCGGCGGGCAGTTCCGATGCTTCTCACTCTTTTCCCTTGTCACTATGCTGCTTTGCGTAGGCATCACGTGCGCAAGCACCACCGAGCACCCGAAGCTTAACACTAGCCGCGAGCATATACCAGTCAGTGACGGCATAGAAATTGCAGGTACCAAGTTGCCACTCGGGCAAAAGCTGCGCAAGTCGCTGCAAGGCATTTGGAATACAACGCGACGACTTCCACGACCCGTTCGCCGAATCTGTGCAACGCAGGCATTCAATTTTTGCTCCTGGTTCGGCTTTCTCTTCTACGCGACCACATATTACCTAGAGATCAAGCTGCAGCACGATTTGCATGGCAAAATGGGGAATTATGCAGACAGCCCCGGGAGCGATCGGGATGTCGAGCAAGGCAGCTTTTCCATGCTCATGTACGCCCTCGTCGCGCTCGCAGCAGGAGTCCTGCTACCATACTTGGCGCTTGGCAGTGATTCGCATGCACGAGCTCCCGCCCTGACAGAGGCAGTACCACAAGCGCAGCAACCGCTTCCAGTCAGCGCGGAACACACTTCACATGTTTCGCTGCGGTCATGGACCTCAAAACGGACACACCGCATCTACCGTGCGCTCAGATATGGCATAACTTTGCGCAGCTTTTGGTCTTTCGGCTGCTTCAGCTTCGCGCTCATCATGTGCGGCACCTTTTTCGTGCACACGCCTCCCCAAGCGGTCGTGCTAATCGCCCTCGTGGGCGTGCCGTGGTCGATCAGCGCTTGGGCGCCGTATGCGCTGATAGGCGAGTTTGTGCGCGAGACGGCTCTCGGCGTCTCGCCGTTCGAGTTTGACGACGACCATTATGGGCCGCGACGCTCGGCGCAGAGGAGACAGGAACGTTGGCGCCGAAGTGAAATGCTGGCCCAGGAGCAGGCCACGCTCGCAGAGCGCGAACGGCAGGCTGGGTTTTCATTGCAGGGAGAAGACGAGCCGTACCCCACGGAGAACAGCTTGTTAGATGTCACCACCCCTATTTCACCGGCCAGGAATAGCGCACGGAACGATGCACAAGCAGCGCTGAGGGACTGCCAGCCGCTGCGACCAGCGTGGCACAACGGCAACAACGGAGGTGTCAGCAGCAGCCAGATCACCGTACCAGAGGTTCCACCAAGCATCGTGCAGGACGAAGGGGTCATGACTGGTACAATTCTTGGCATTCACAACGTGGCCATCGTCATCCCCCAGCTGCTGGTGAGTTAACAAATGTTACCGCGTGCGAAACGCGTATTGAGCATGGAAAATTAGTGCAGACTGATGAATGAGAGTCTTCTTCGCTTTGCAGATGTCCTTCATTGCCTCTGTCCTTTTCGCCATCACTGATCCAAGCCATAAACAACCCTTGCGCGACGGAGATAGCGATGCCAGCGGCAGCCGCAGCAACGAGGTCACCTCTGTCTTCGTCAGCTTTGCGCGTGTGCTGCTGTCCGCATCTCCTCAACGAGATAATGCATTCTCCTACGGAGCGGTGGCGCGGCAACATCCGCCTGCTGCTACATATGCGGCGGCGGCAGCCAGCGCTTCACAAGTCGCTTGGGTCTTGCGCTTCGCCGGGCTGATGGCGCTCATAGCGTGCTTTGTGGCGCGGAGCATCCCCCTCACTCGTACCGAGCGCTTCAGGCGCGGGCAATTGCTGGACTTGGGACTTGGCGGCGGGGATGAAGGTGAGGGGGAGGGCGAAGAGGACGAGGGAGGTGCAGGTACAGGTACAGGTGCTGGCCTTGGCGTCGGTCCAGGCGCGTCCGGGGAATTATGATTGTAGCGCAACCATCTTGACTATCGTAACCATAACAAGCGAACAACAGTGTTGTATTCTGTGTGCGTGTTTCGTCCCTACGATAGTACAACAAAATCACTGTATCCCACAAAAACCCAAAAATAGTGCAGATCGAACGAAAGCAAACCCAAAGAAACCCCTTCCTCGGCCAACTTCGCCGCGTCGTATCGTCATTAAGAAACGCTCGCCTGGGTGCGGGCGTCACGCAGATTGAGCAAGCTGTCGAGGGAGGTGCGGAGCTCGTCGGCGCTGTGCACAAGCGCGCTGAGCCCGCCGAAAGAGGCGCTGCGCCCTTCGAGCAGGATGTCGAAGGACGTCAGCATGCTGCCGAGACTGCGCAGGCGCGTCGCGGCGGCTGCTTCTGCTGCGAGGTGCTTGGTTGTGTTCCCGCCGCCGCCGCCCCCATCGCTGCTGCTGCTGCTGTTGGTGATGATGCTGCTCTGCGTGCTGACGTGCATGTGCGGGCCGGCCTGGGCGAGGGTGCAAGTGCCGGTGGAGGAGGAAGATGTGGATGACACGAGGCTCAGGCTCATGCGCATGCCCGTGCTGTGTCGCGATGGACTGAGCAGTGAGACATCGCTGCCGGCGATCCCAAGGGAGGAAGCGGAAGCGGAAGGTGTCGCTTGCAGAGGCAAGGTGACCTGCGGCTGCTGTACCTGCTGCTGAAGAACAGGAAGCGACTTTGCAGCAGCCAGGTCGTCATACCCTGCAACAGCGCGGTCCACGTCGCTGTGGTAGACACCCAGCAGCACACGCTGCCGTCGAGCCCACTCGCGCCCCATGGCGTTCCACGCAGCGTAGCGCTTCAGCTCGCTCTGGGCGTCTGCATGCCGGACATACCGCCCGCCGTTCGCGGCCACGGTCGTGGGCACTCCCCCCGCGCAGTTCGAGTGCACGTGGATGTAGACGTGCGGAGGGCCGGCAGTGCGGTTGGACTCGGCATTCGGCTGCGCACCCGCCTCTTCATCGTAGTCTCGCGCTAGCAATGCCGAGCAGGGCGAGAGGATGAGCCCTCTTGATGTCTCTGCCACTGCTGCTCCGGGGGTCGACATCGCCGCTGCACCCGCGCTGGCGCCACGCTCCAAATTGTCTCCACCGCTGCCATTGCTTTTACCGCTGCCAACGCTGGCAGAGGTGCCGTCTACAAAAGGCACACGAGACGTTTCGAGCGCGGGGGTGGCGTGTTGATCGCCGCTGCTGCTGTCGCTTGAGGTTTGCTCGTTCCGCGAGCTCGAGCAGTGGCAGCGGTGCTGTTGCAAATGCCGTCGGATGCAGACGGTCGTGCTAGGCGGAAGGCCGTGGGCGGGGCCCGGGTCGGAGAAGCCATACGCTGACGTTTCGCTTGGTGTTGATGCGGTGGCGCTTCTTGAGAGCGGGGGCATGCTTCGATCGGTGATTCGTCCTCCGAGGGAAAGGACGGTGATGCTGATGGTGATGGTGACGGTGATGATGATGATGACAACGATGATGGGAATGACGACTTGGACGACCAAGCTTCCTTTGCACCGTCCCGTCGTTCGGCTGCGCCACGGGCCTGTCGCTGGCCGGCGGCCAGCGGCATCGCAGGCTGTATGCTGATGCTACGTGCGTTTGGCGAGGGTCCAATGTGTTCGCGGGCGCGTGCAGCCGCCTAACCTATGTCTGCGCGTCGAAGGGCGCAGCTCTTTTCTAGGGCGGAGAGAATGCCGAGGGTGCAAGGTCAGGACAAAGGAAAGTGCACTGAGTGTGGGTGAGCGCGTGGCACAGACGGTGCAAGGGGATCTGTGGCGAGGGGTAGGCAGATTAGGTAGGGAGAGAGGGACGAAGGCCAGGGGTGCTGGTTCGCAGGCGCTTGCCGGAGTCAGTTTCGCCGCTGCTAGCAAGGATGAACGCCTTTGGAGTGCCCAAAATGAGAGCGTGAGTCGTGTAAAGCCGTTGAGGAAAAGATCGGCGGGAGACGAGGTCTCGCGCAGCTAATGTCTCATCTCTCTTCCATCGAACGCGAGGCTGCAGGACGTGACGAAGCGCAAGTGAGCAGAACTATGTACCAAAGTCGATGCACATCGCAGGGAGCATGTAGCTCGGTTGCTGCCGCTCCACTTCATTTATAGATTCCAGTTCAGCCCAGTCGAGCCTTGCCAACTTGGTCTTCTCAGCCACGGGGGTGATGAGGGGATGAAGAAGAGGTAACGAGGCCCAGCCTTTTGGAGACCGTGGGCCAGCCAGCCGGGCGGGAGGGCCCATCTCTAGCCCTCGCAAGAACTCGCATTCTCGTCTGATGGTCTCGCCCAACTCACATCCCCCAGGCACTGTCTCTGCCGCGTAGGTGCGCGACGGCACGGGTGCATGGTTGCTGCCAAACTAGGGTTGCATGCGGGCCAGACTAACGCGAAGGGCAGCCAGGGAAGGGGCACACGCAGGGAGATCGAGCACAGCACAGTACATGGAATAGCAAAAGGCTTCGCCTGACGCGCCCATCATATGCAGCTGCCCGGCCCACCTCCCGCCCATGTGTGCTGCGCGTGCGCTCGGCTGCGATGACGATGCCAGGAAAAGCTTGTGGGAAGAGAGCAGCGGCTTGATCCGCCAAGCTAACTACCCCCGCTCGGGGTCGTCGTCGCCGCCGCCGCCGCCACCCGTGCACTATGCACCGTGGCGTGGTGCCTCCCAGATGAGAGCCGCTTTGGACCCGTTTGTGAAATGGTAACACGTTCGAGCTGCAGAGTGCAACGCATGTATGGAGCACATGTATGAGAGGGTATTTCCGAGAAATATTGTTCCGAGCCGAGCACATCAGGAGCGCCATGTATTCAAACAGAGAGCCTGTAGAAGGCGCCACACCTATCCATTCCCGACCCTGTCCCCCGCTGGCAGCTTACAGCTCCGTCGTCTGCTCGAGCGCGAGGATGAGCGTGCTGTAAAAGTCAACGGCCTTGACAAGTCCATCGGCGTGGTAGTGCTCGTTGGTCGTGTGCACGCCAGCTGTCGCACCGCCTACGCCCGTCGTGTCCGGCAGCAGCGACGCAGGCCCAAAGCGGATGATGTGCTTGCTCAGCGGCCACATATACCGCGTGTCCGTGTTACCCTGCATGATCGCAGGGATGACGCGGATCCCCGCGGCTTCCTCCGCCACCGCGCTTCCTGCCGTGCTGCTGTTGCTACCCCTGCCGCTGCCGCCCATCACTTCGCGCGCCTGGTCCTGCCACACGCGGCGGATGACGCTCGCGACAAAGCGCCAAGGCTTGGCGTCTTCGCCCACGACCGGCGTGCCGGGCGCGGGTTCGAGCTCGTTCTCGTCCCACATTCTGACAACGACGTGGCCCTGCTGCTCCTGCGAGTGGAAGCTGCACGGCTCCACGGGATGCGTACACTTCCACTCGGACGGGTTGGACACGGCGTTCTCCGTCTGCTCGCCAAAGATGTCTGTCGAGAGTGCTAGCGAGCGGGCAGGGTGCTGGATCGCGCGCACGTACGCCTTCTTCACGTCCGCGACTGAGGAGGACGTGGAGATGCGGTGGTCAATGATCGCCTCGGCCGACTCGGGCAGCGCGTTCACCTTGACGCCGCCGTTGAAGATGTCCACAGCGCGCGTGGTCTCGGCTGGGTTGCTAAGCGAAGGGTACCTGCGTAGCGCCTGAGACAGACGCCGGCGCGCCAGCGCGATCCGCTGCTCACGCCGCCGGTCCGAGTCAAGCATGGGGGCAAGCATGCCGGCCAGTCGGCGCGTAAACGAATGACGACGCGGGCAACTGGCGTGGCGCTCGAGCGCGTGGCGACCGCGAGGGTGGCCGAGGGCCCAATCGAGGTCGTCCATCATCGACTTGATCTCCGGGGGAAAGGCCTTCGAGTCGGAAAAGCACTGCATCTGCCTGTACGGGTAGTCAGCGTCGGTGCCGGTGACGATCGCGCCAAAGTCCTGCGAGTCTTCAATGGCGGAGACCAGCTTGGCGAGCAGGCCGACAGAGGTGTGCTGCGGCGGGAAGGACGAATGGCCGCCTTTGGCTTGCACGGTCATGGACACATGCACCGAGCCTTTTTCAGCGACGGCGGCCATGGCGATGGGGAGCCGCAGCACGTTTGCCGGGTCCTGCGGCCCGAGCACGGGCGTTCCCTCGTCGACGATCAGGGAGAAGCTGTCGTCACCGTAGCGCTCGTGCAGAAACGCGCCTAGGTGAGCCGCGCCTTGCGGGCCTGACGCCTCCTCGTCAAAGCCGAACGAGACGACGACCGTGCGCTTGGGTACGTGGCCGGCTTCGAGGAGAGCCTCGAGCGTGGACACAATCGAAACGAGCCATGACTTGGCGTCGTACGAGCCGCGTCCCCAGATGGTCTGATTGCCCTTGTCAATGTACCCCTCGAACGGCGGGTGGATCCAGTCGTTCAGGACTTTTGGGTTGACCGCTGATGTTCGAGGAGAGAAGAAAAGAAGAGAGTGAGAGCGAGAGAGGGAGTGTGTGTGTGGATCAGCGGGGTAGTTAGGAGACTTGACTGGGCGTTGAACTCACGAACGACATCCTGATGTGCCATCAGGAGGAGCGGCTTGCGCGATTCGTCCGAGCCTTGCCACGTGTACAGGAGCCCATTCTGGTTGACCAGCTCGAGCTTGACGGGTCCGTCGGGCTGGTGGACCTTGGGGAAAGCGGTGTGCATCCAGTCGCGGAAGGGTTTGAAGATGGTCGTCCACCGCTCGGGGTCCTCAGCGGGGGCGGGCCAGTTGTCCGAGACGGAGGTGTCGATCGCGATGGCCTGGGACAGGCGCTGCGCCAGCAAGCTCTGGCCAGGGAGGGCGATGGGGTGCAGCTCTCCATTGTAGGCCATTTGCTGAGGGCAGCGCGCGGCGGCGAGCGCCTCGACGGGGATGGCGTGGCGCATCAGGGTCGCATGGATGCTGTCGATCGAGTCCATGAACGACTCGGAGGGGCGACTGTCGGCAAGCTGACGGATCAACGAGCAGCTGATGAAGAAGACGACACAGACGCGCAGCATGTGCATGATCCAGGCGCGACCAAGCGAGAACCAGGGTGGGCGATGTGCATCGGCGTCGCTTTCGCTCGCGCTCGCGCGATGATTCATCGGGAGGAGCAGCGAATGGGGGTGGGGCCCTAGCTTTTCCTTTGCGAACGCCATCGTGGTCAGTGGTCGAAAAAGAGCTCGCGCTGCTTTGTACACAGACGGGCTTGCTTGCTCTGCAAATGTTGGGCGGGCGAGCAAGCTCCCGAGCCGAGAGGAGGATGGAGCTGAGGCGGGTCAAGAAGGAAAGGTGGATGGGTCAATACAATGAACGACCTCTCGCTCGTGATCCGCTACGTTTCGATGCCATGCCGTCTACACATGTACCACATTCTATACTTGCTGTACCACCAAACAGCAATGGGCAGCGTGGCCGGAATCCCCATTGTGACGGGGATTCAAATTAAATTCGGGGTATCGGCGCCGACGCGCTGCGCTACATAATACCAAGTAGGGTTAGGGGACATCCACCAACGTATATTGCAGACGAGACTGCAGACCGCCGGTAGTAGCAGTACATACATAAGGCACCTTCACCATGTACGCACGCGACCGAGGGGCCACACGTGAACGCTGGCGAACAATCCCCCGCGTACAACTTGCTGGTTCGGTGCATACAACGCGAACGAGAAGAGTGCCAGCTCGTGCATGCATGTACAAGCTGCGTGCGAGTAGACTCTGCGCCGTGCTGCCTTGCTTTCAGCATGCGCCCCTGATGCACGGCGGCGGCAGCGGTGGAAGAGCGTGGACAGCACAGTTGCAGTCGCTGGCTCCGCTGCCACACCCTCGGCGACGACGACTACACCCTGCCTGCCCTTTCGGATCGCCTCTGAGCGCCGCGCTCCTTGTGGCGTCTCCCAGGGCGTACTGCTTATCGGCAGCACTCGCAAAGCCACAAGGAGCACATCCAGAACAAGCAAGAGGGGCGGGCAAAGTTGGCTGCAACGGCGACGGCACGCACCGTGACACCAAGCCGAGACGTCTGTACCGTTACGTCATCGACGTGCACGGCCAGCTGTTCCTGCACGACACCGTCCCCAAGAACTTGACATCGTGCTTCAAGAACACCGAGTTTCTCGACTTTTTCTTCATGCGTCTCCGTCCCAACGACGTTGATCCCGCCGAGGCGAATCCCAGCGACGCCGCCGTGCAGCCGCAACAGCTCTCCCACGACTGGACAGACGAGCTGGCCGGCAAGCTGACGCACCGAAAAGCGAGTGCTCTCGCGCGCTCACAGGGGTACCAATGGATCAGCCCTTGCATGGGCGAGCTGAATTTTGTCAAATCGGCGGATACACCGATCGTCTATCGAGACATCTCGCACGATGGTGCGTCGCCTGCCCAGTCTGGCTGCATGCACATTCAAAAATGAAGCGATGTGGTCTCTCTCACACATCTCCTTTTTAATTCTTTTATGGATCGTAGGTAAGCTCCGTTGGGCGGGCACGCTGACGACTCCTTTCAACCCTGACCAACTCTTCGTGCACCCCGCCACCGGGCGACTGTACACTCTATCGCCGCCTTCGGGGGCCGCTGCCACCTCTCTCACCGCGCGAGGCCAGCCGAGCACGAACAGATTCGGGGACTACAGTCTGCTCTCATCCGCCCTCGTCTTGCAGCACCTCGCCGCCGGGCTGCACATGCATGATGACCTTGCCGATCGCGCGCCCGGCGACGACGCCGGCAGCGTTGAGTGGCACGCAAAGACGCACAGGCTGCGCCTGCTTGATCCGCGGAGCATCTGGCTTTTGCATGACAACCGAAAATTGAGGAATTAATCATCCATAAATACGCTCTTTTGTCTTCCCAGCGGGCATGCAACGTCGCTTGTGAGCAAGATTTGATGTTACAACATGTGTGAAGGAAAGACCGGTGCGTGCCCGGCTTTACCCGCGTAGCAGGCCGGGCGCGGCATGGAATATGAAGAAATATTGGGTGACGAGCAAGAGCAAGCTTGGCAGAAGTAGCATCAAGCGAGGTAACAGGAGCAGCGACTGCATTCCCTTTAGAGCTTCTTTCTTAAATCATCATCCCTCGACCCGGACCCAGCATTCGCAGCGGCGCCAGGGCCAGCGCCTGCATTGGGCCACACACGCGCCTGCGCCTCTGCTGCGAGGCGCTGCTCGATGCGCTCGAAGCGCTCCTTGTCTGCTGCACCGGTGCGATCCCCAAAGATGCGGTCCATGTCTTCCAGCTTGATGCCAGCGATCTCGGGGACGAAGAACCACTGTTCCGAGTCCGATAGGAGGCAATTCAGAATCACGGCACCACGCATTCCATTTTCTAATGGCAGGCCAAGCACTCACGGCCCAGATGATCGAGAGGAAACTGAAGCAGGCAAAGAAGACGAATGCGCCATAGCCAGTGTTCTGGACGAGGACGGGAGTGCTGTGAACGCAAATAAGGACATATGTCGGGTATCAGTACCAAGGCGTTCGAGGAACGCAAATCAGGGCAAACGGTCGTACGCACATGAGGCCGACGACAAAGTTGAACAGCCAGTTGGACACGACGGAGTATGCGACGCCTTTGCTGCGCAGCGATTGAGGAAAGATCTCTGAAGGCATACTCCATGGGATCTGCGAGGGCGTAAAGTGTTAGCCGCGCTGCACCTAGCGGCCTCTGGCTAATGGGTTTCTGCTCACGGGGCCCCAGCTAATCTGAAATCGAAAGCACGCAAAGAGCATCGGTCAACATTGAGTGCGGGCAAAGCAGATTGAAACAACGAGCCACTCACTCCAAACACAACCATGTACAAGCACAGCATAGCGACGCCAGCCCAGCCTTCGGCGCTGTGCGACGCCCATTGGCCGTTGAACTTGGCCACGAGCGCAGCGACGATGACGAGTGTCGCTGTCATGCCGGCGCTGCCGCCCAAAAGCAACGGGCGCCGTCCGAGACGGTCGATGACCACGAAGGAGATCATGACACCGACCAGCTGCGCCAGGTTGACGACGCCGGACATTTGCAGTTGCAGTTCGTACGTCAGTCCCAGCTGGGCGAACAATGATGGCGAGTAGTAGATGAGCCTGGAACGGTGTCGGAGATTGATCAGGTTTTAGGAAACGTTGGACAAATTCAAGACTGTAGTGGACACTCACGAGTTGATACCTGTCAGATAAATTTGAGACCAAATCCTAAAATGAGCGAAAGTAGTCGGATGGAGGGGTCATATTTCATTGACATCCACTCACCAACCATCTGCTGAAAGAACATCAGCAAGATACCCAGCCATGTGCGTTTTGAGCAACCCGAGCGGAAGCAGTCGAGCCACGCCCAGATTTCGAGCATGAAGCTGCTCTTCATGCTGCCATCCATGTACTCCGGATGGCGTTCGCCGCGAATCTCCTCGTGTACCTCGATCTGTGCGCGGATTTCCAGGAACTCCGCTTGCACCAGCTCATCCGTCTCTGGGCGCTGCCGCAGCAATGCGATCGTCGCGAGAGCCTCTTCCAGTCGTCCCGGACGCGAGGCGAGCCAGCGCGGCGACTCGGGGAGCAGGAAGCTCAAGGCAATAAGCAGGAAGGCAGGGACCATCTGCAGAATGAAGGGACCGCGGAACGACCAGTCGCTCTCGATGTACCGCGTGCCCTGAAAGCGTGAGGGAAGAAAATATTTTTATCGTCAGCGGATCGATGGTGACGAAAGAGGGTTGAAGGAAAGGGGGAAGATGCAATGGAGGCGCCGCTCACATAAGTTACGTAGAAGGCAATGCAGATGCCAAACACGATGGCAAACTCTTCACCAGCGAGAATAACCCCACGAATGTGCGGCGGGCTTACTTCTGCCATGTACAGCGGAGCGGAGGCGGAAAGCAGCCCGATGCCCAACCCGCTGACGGTGCGGCCGGCGACTAGCTGGGGGTAGTCGAACGAGGCCGTCTGTAACACCGCGCCAATGACGAACCACACAAAGCCGACGCGAATGGAGAACTTCCGGCCGAAGCGGTCCGCGACGTAGCCCGCCAAGACTGCTCCGATGATGGCGCCGAGCTCGAGGAATGCGGTGATGATGCCCTTATAGAGACCTGCGCTCGACGTCACGCTGCTGTCGGTCTTGGGGAACTGCTCGAGAAAGTGAGGCATGACGAGCGTGACGGACCTGTTCGCACGATGCCCAGATGTAAGTTTTCAAGACCCGAGGTCCGAAGGGCCAACTCCGAGGAAAAGAACTCACATGATTCCCTGGTCGACACCAAAGCACAGTCCTGACAAGGACGCGAAGAGCGCACAAGCGACGACATACTTATTTTCCAAGACGGCCTGGAGCGTGCCCACATGCGCGCCGTACGCCTCGGCCATGCGTTCGGGGTCCTTTGCGAGCGCTTGGATTTTTCTGAACTGCTTCGGATCCATGGAATTCAGCGAAGCGTCGACGGCATTTGCGGGCCGATCCATCGCCATGTTGACGAAGGAGGTATCGGAAGAGTGTGCGACGTGGTCCATTTTACTTTCGGCAGCCGCGGGCTTCATGGCGATGCTTTGGGGGAAGTGTGGTTGCGAATGTGTAGCTACTGTTCAAAACGTCCTAGCCAAACTATCGTCAAGGATGATCCGATCAGGATCCGATGATCAAGTCAAGTCCTAAGGGGCGGCCTATCTGGGTCGCAGATACGTGGAACGCAAGAGCCAACAAAGGTGGCAAGACGCCAGCCGGCAGCGGCGATGCAGATACGATGAGATGTGCTCTAGAAGATTGCAAGCTCATGGGCTGATTTTCGATGCAGGATGGACGGCACTTGTGGAAGGATAGAGAACGTAGGAGAAGACGTCGATGGAATGGAGGAGAGCCGACTAGACTGCCTCGCGACGCCATCAAATGGAAGGATGTCAGAAAGAGATAAGTTGACTTCGACGTCGAGTGGTATGTCCACAGTCTCTGGACCACTGCCGGGGTTCTGAAGGAGAAAAATAAAATAAAAATCGAGGTGCAGCGTGCGGGTCTGCCGGGGAAAGCGGAAAGGCACCCGATTCACTTTCGAAGGATCCGAGAGTTTTTCCAGAAAAGAAAAGCATTAGCAAGTCAGTAACTTCGCCAGCCACTGGCCCTGTGCTCGTTCCTGAATCGCTTTTTCGAACACGGCGGTTATATTGGCACGGTAGGTGGATTTAGGTGCATTCGTGGGCCGTCCATGCTTTTCTACGGATCGGCGGTTCCCCCCCAAAAACTGGGTAAAGGTTGGACGTCATTATTCTCCTTCCCGCCGACGTGTTCATCTTCATCGTCCGAGGTAAATGGTTGTGTCACATATTGCAGCATGTGGGCGGTAGTCTGTAGTTTTGGTAGTGTGGCACATGAAGAGAAAAGGCTGGTCGCTCCTTGCTGGCCTCTCCGAACGCTGCTGTCTGGGCTCTGGAGGGCAGATACCTTCAATTCACGAGATGACATGCATGCCGCTGTTGTTAACACTTCTCACCTCTCGACGCCGCCCTCCTTAAAAGAGTACGTGCCGTAAAGCGGGCTTCTCTGCAGGGGAAACGATACTTGCGTTTGCTTGCAGGACCAGTACATTATGCAAATGCGATTGCACAAAACTACAGTTTGAAAAGACACAGCGAGGGACAGAGAAAGGAAGAGCATTAAACCGGCGTCAAATCGATATGTACTGGTTGGGATGCTGGATGCTAAATTGCTGATGCGATGTTTGCAGTTACAAATTTCGGTGAGGTGTGAGCAGACTTGCTGAAGAAATGATGTTGCATCTTGGATGCGGAGGAGTAAAAAGTGCATGCGTGTATGAGTGCGTCCTTGCCTGGACTTAGCAGAAGAAACGCTAGAGACAGATGCTCCGGTTTTCGGCTGCAGAGATGCAGGCCGAATATGTTGGATAGATCGTACGAATCGTTTCATGCGAGCTGACTTTGTAAAATGATGATCAATGTATATGACGGTCGAGTGGAGCTGTGAAATACCACGGTAGGAGCCAAGTGCTAACTCGATGGAGCTTTGCGCTTCTTCGCCGTCTTGCGGCGGACGGTAAGCGGCTCTACGCTCTCATTGACAACCCAGTAGCCGCCTTTTCCGTCTTCGTCTGGTGCGCGGGGCATGCTCTCGAATGCCTGGTTGAGGCTAAGCGCATTCCGAATCGAGTTTCGCACGGAAGCAGGGGACGCCACCTGACGAAAATATGGCCAGTACGTCTCGATGCAGTGATAGATCTCGGTCAATGTCAGGCGCCTGTTCGGAGAAGCAAGGATGATCAAGCGCAGGAGCGTTATGTAGTTGGCCTTGGGACGCTCCAAGAGTTTCCGCTTTTCCTTGGGAACGAGCTTCCGCAGTTCCGCGTGTGGATCGTCCACCTTCCACCAATGCTCTCCTGCTCCCCTATCGGTGGCGTCTTGCTGTGAGAACATGGCAGACGCAGCTGGTGATGTCATGGCTGTGGCCTCGGACATGCCGAATGACTGACCACCGAAGTATGACGAAGCCGTACCAGCGCTCGAGACTTGCGAGGCGGAGCCGTATTCTTGCGCTCGCTCATCCACGCTATCCATGCCAGTTCCGATAGATCCAGGTGTATGCGCGCGAGACAAGGTGGGCATTCCCGCGCTGTTGTTTCCAATGTAGGTCATTCCCGCCGGCCGGTTGACATACGCGAAAGGCGGCGGGCTGGCAGGACCAAAGACGCGTGAAGACGAGCTGGGGTTCATGTCTCGGTACGATGAAGACATACTGGAGCTTTTGGAAAGACTGCCGATCGACTTTGACGGTGAAGTGTCTGAGTACCCTAGCAGACTTTGCTGGGTTGATCCCCATGGATGAGCAAAGTAAGATTGTCCGTTAGACTGGGCTAGGATAGCGTAGGGCGAAGTCATGGCAGAATCCGAGTCGCGATGATCATCCCGCTCGTCAATGTCGCTTGCGTAGCCGTCCCGTGGGCTCAGCATGTTCCTCAGACGCATGCTCTTGCAGTCGGCTTGATGCAATGTCGGTGTGACCGGAGCCGAAGAGTGCTCGGTACCATCTTGGCTGTTCGAAAGGGTCCAAGGCTGGCCCATGGCTGTTGCGCGTGTATTCTCGTATGTATATGCCACTTGCTGGGACGACTCGTTGGTTGGAAAAGCCTTCGTACGACCATGCGAAGCGGCTTGAAAGGACATTGGATCCGGATAGACGAAACTGTTGCCAAGCCTCGAGCCACTGGTCCCAAGGGGTGACGAGAGAGAGACGCTAGACTGCATTGAGCCGTACAAGAGTCGAGGCGAGGAGAGAGGAGGTGTGAGCTCCGTGATGGGCATGCTGCGAGGGCTGGTCTCGGTGTCTGACAGGCCCTTTGGCTTGCAAGCTGTAGGAGGTTGAATGCTGCGAAAGGGTCCGATTGTGTGCGCACTTTGTAGTGAAACCCCGTGGACTGCTGAAGCTGCTTCCACGTGTTCACGATTAAAGAGGGACGGCGTGGAGCTGCGAGCCGTTAGACCGTACAGTCCAAGCCAGGATGATTGTGAGTGCATGCCACTGAGATTACTTTGTTGAGATTGCGAGGGAAGATGATACCCAGGGTTGAGATCGTCACGGCTGCCTATCCTAAGGTGAGAGGATGAATCGGATTGATCCCTCCAAGCGCCTTGCGTTGTGGCTTCGGTGCCGAACGAATACCAGGACGGCTCATCTGGGACCGAAGTTGGAGAGATTCGCGGGGGTGATGGCACGGTGGAAGCACGAAGCGATGACATGGCATGCTGAGTTGCAGCTCCACTCGAGCCGTTCAAGGATGAAAAGACAGGCGTCAGACCCAGCAAGCGGGACGATGGTGATCGAAAGCGTCTCTTGCAGTTCGTGAATTCGTCGACGCCACCTGCCAAGCGCAAATGTGGCTCCTCTTTGGAGGCCATGTGGGTAGAACATACATTTTCAGAAATCTGAGAGGCGCCACCAGCGGTCCAGTCATCAGGAGACGGTGCAACTGGCGTTGTGAGAGACTCGTTACCCTGCATGATACCAGGAGATGTGTCCGTAGGGGTGCAGGGCTGGCATGTAACGAGAATGATGCGTGACGGAAGTGTCAGCGCCAGTAGATGTGTTTCCGACTCCTCAGTGTTAGGCCCTGCTCACCCTTTTCCGTCGTACGGGTGCTTGCTCCTCCTGATAGTTTTGTCCGTTCAAGGAGAGACGTGCCCACGGAAAGGATCCTACACTGTAGTCAAGATTGATGTGAAGCTTGGCACCGTCCACTTCCAATAGCTGGTCGTGCGAAGGCACCAGATGGAGCAGAGCTGAGGCCAGAGAGGAAGCGGATGTATCTAGGGTCGACGACATCAGCTGTGGCTCGTAGGCAAGGTGGTAGGCAACAGCTGTATCTTTTTGCGAGCACACTTTCACGGTGCCTTCTGCCACGTATACAACATTCGTGTGCGTCAGGAGCAGGTCAATTCGCGCAGCGTTGCAGCCAGTATTGAAGTTGAAGTCGCGAAGGAATTGAGGCGGAAGATTATATGCAATGCTGGGCACAATTGGACGCTGTGTTGACCAGGTGAGGTGAAGGTCTGGCGATCGTGGCAACGAAAGACGAGCGGTTACTACTTATGGCTGACTGTTGAAGCAGCCAGGGGTTTCCCTCCCTTGAAGCTCCAAGAAGGACGTCTCAGCAATCAGCCACTGCGCCGTTCGATTGAATCCCGTGGCGATTCGTCTGCGCTGTCATGGAGCGACGTCAAGGCGCCGTAAAGGCCGTCATCGCGTATTCGTAAGCGCTTCTCCTCTAGTCGCCAGCAGGTTGACAGGTAGGTGTGAGACAGATCCCTATTGATCTAAAAGACCAATGAGTCACAATGAAGCAGGCGAAGAGGCAAAGCCAAAGAGGGAAGGAGCGGATGTGGTGGCTGACGGGGAGGCAAAAGTGCGGTGCTGCGAGCGGATGACGGAGTGGAGTGATCAGTTAGATACATCCAGCAGTAAAAAGAGGAAGGGGTGACAAGCGGCCGCGCACCTGTGGCGGTGAAGGCAAAGGAGCTGAGGGAAGCCTGTGCCTCAATCTTCAGGTCATGGCTTGGGTTCGCCCAATGGCGTCTTCCTCGGCAAACTCGATTGAGGGAGCCGCGTGCCTTTCTTGGACAAACATACCAGATGAGCAAATCGACCTTCGTTTGTCCGCGTGTCTCTTCATGCGCCTTGTCAGCCGCCTGCGACAGGGGCAAAGCTGCCCGTCTGAGCACGGCCTGCTCTACGTCAAACGTCCGCCAACTGTCCAGTCAATGGAATCCCAAGCTGTCGGAAGGGTGAGCGAGCATGTGGGAAAGCAGCGGAAAAAGTGAGCCGACTACTGCGAGCAAGATGCCTTCGCAAGCAATGGCAGGGGGGGGCAGCCAGGGCCGTGTCGTCTTGCTCGAATGAAGACGGTTTAGGCCGGACTGGCGCAGACAGCGCCCCGATTCATTTTCGATCAAGCCCCCAAATCGGCCATTAAAGTTGAGTATTCAGCGCGTGAAACAAGGAATAATAATTGCGCTTCAGACTCTCGTCTTTGCTTCTGCATCTGCATCCGTCGCTGTCTCTGCCTGCATCTCTGCGCGCGCCCTTGGCGCCGGTTTGCAGAGCACACATGTGTTGCTTCCCACACTTGATTAGATGTGATATGAAGCATGTTTGGGCGAATTCGACCGATTGCGCAGTTTTGATTTCCATTGGGCTGGGGAAAGAAAGGAACCGACGTTGTTGCAAGGCGCGGAGGAGAGCATCTCACAGGTACTGAGTATGGGGAAGGCAGCCGAATCTCATGCGCTCTTTCGAATATTAATCTTGCTTCGAGCCAATATCGGATCCCTTAGATGAATTGCTGAGAAACCTGAAGGAAGGAGGCACTGCGTGGCTGTGAGCGCAATTTCCTGCGACTGGGACACAGGAACGAAACGCCAGGAGGCAGTTAGCAGGACAGATGTGAATGTTAGATACCCTTCAGCTCTTGGACTCGGCCAATGGATGGCGTGGGTAGCGGGGCGTACATACATGCTGCCGGCATTACTCCATGACAGAATACCTCAGTAGCATCCTCATATAAAATGTACTTCGAGCCAGCTGAATCTGTGGGTCGTCCAGCTGGGGCCTGCTAGCGCCTGTTCAGGCCTCAGCGCCTTACAGCGCTCAGCAGTGAACAGCAAGCATTCATTGCTCCACGCCTCCATCTCCTAGGTAATCTCCTTGCTTGGATGGTCGTGCCTGGCGCCATTGGCGTATGTGCCGAATGTTTCTCGCGGGCCCGAGCGACAAACTTGTTGGACCATATGAACTGTCATATGTATGTACTGTCCGATCTCATGATAGTGAACCGATATGTTTCACGTCCGTTATTGTAGTCAGATGGCCGATTGAAGAGAGTCAAGTTAATAAAAAGCCTTCAACTCTACAACCCTAAAGTAAGATATGTGACTCTCTTGCCTCCATGCTGTGCACACAAGTGTAACTGACCCAGTTTGCAACTGCTCTTTGCATCATTGAGGCTCGAGAGCACCCAGGCCCAAGCAGAATAGCACTGGTCGCTAATGGATCGATCAATAGTTCGTGAGCATGGCGATTTGCAAAAGAGTGCAACAGGGTCTAGGGAATGCCGAATACATAGTGTGCAAAGCCACACAAGAATACATGGGTATGCCGAATGCAGCCAGCAGGGCGAATCCTGAAATGGTGATGTTCGGACGGTTGCTTTCTTAAATTGTCCTCGCGAGGAGATTCTGGCCGGGCTACACCGTGAGATACCTTCGATACAGATGCATAGCCCTTCTTGAACCTCCTGTTGTTGTATACAGATTGGCCAGATTAAATGCGGCCTCCCGCGTCACATCAAAGGGCTATGTTTAATGAAAGGAAGGGGTGAGTCACAAAGCATTGATCATGTCCCGGAACGCATGCACACAAAGCTCACCTGTTCGTTGGAACCTTGATGCTGATCATGAAGCTCCAGGCACCGCTCGTAGTGCGGAATTGCAAGGTGGGCCAGACCTGTGGAGCGTCGAAAGGGTCAATCAGGTCAGTTTCTCAAGGGAATGCATCGACGCGCCGCAACATGGCGAGGGCGTTGGCCACAGGGCCAGACGAGAGTACTCACTGACGTGGTGTAGTGCGCGAGCTATGTTGTAGTGGGAAATAGCAGTTCCTTCGAGATTTGACAACTTCATGCTCTCTGACAGCATGGCAAGGCCCTGCAGACAGAAATCCACGGCAAAGACGCCAACGTCAGAACTCCCGATGGAGGACATGCCGATCGGTCAGCAGCGCACCTGGATGATCATGTAATGACGATTGTCGACCTGCCTGTTCGATGCACGACCGATACTAGAAATGCCTGCAATCATCATCAGCAACGCATCCGTCGGTACCTTGTCTAGCGTCCGTAGAGCTGCACCTATGGTATTCAGGCGAGAGAATGAGAGGTCAGATTGATGATCCAGCTGAGGGGTGAGGCCAGTCATGAAGGTCCAGCTGCCTCTGACCCACCCAGTGCACCTTGATACGAGTCTGTGCTCAGCAAACCGCATGCTTCGAGGGCCATGCCGACCGCGCTCGGCTGTGACGGATATCCTCCGGCTTTCAGCAAATGTGACTTCTTCGGCAGTGGTCCTTGTCGTCCTTTTGCAGCTCGCGCCCTTTTGCGCATCTCGATCAGCGCTTCTTCGTTTTCACCCTCGCTACTGTCATCTTCCGTCGCGTCTTCGCCTTCGCGGACAGACTTTCGATGTGAAGGGTCGACCCAAGCCTTGTGCGTCACATTGAACGCGTGAGCTTTGCCCAGACTGATCTGCTCGATCAGCTTGTTGCGACGCTTGATTTGCCTCCGGTGCTCATTGTTCATAGCTTCGCCCATGCCGTAAAAGCCGAGGTGATTGCTCACGCTGTTCCACAGGCGATGCGGCTCTTCGTGGAATGCGTATGCGCCGGTCAAGAACCGCAAGCCAACAAAAGTCTGAGCAGGATCGCGATCATAAAGTGCTGTCGCTACATTCAAAAACACAAAAAGTGAGTATGCACGTCGAGAGACGCAGATAGCACGGCAAACTCGCCAGTCTTGCACAGCTCTAGTGCCAAGCGGCGATCCTCATACGTCCAAATGGCATTTGACTGTGAAAGGAGGTCAAGCGTCTCACGAGCTGAGTCCCCATCTCCTGTCTTGGTTAGAACGAATGCGTACTGAAACGGAACAAGTCGTGAGTGTGTGATTACGCGTTCCTGTCAGAGCTTTTCTCACCTTCATGAAGAGGTCGATCCATTCATCGAGATGTACTCCCATCGCATGTGTGGCCCCCTCTTGGCTTGTTGCATCGTCCAACGTCCCATCGTCCGCAATGCCAGCACCTGCTCAGATACAACGTCAGTGATGGGTGTGATGATCATTGCTAGGCCAGAAAATCTTACTCAATTCCGATCGCAGACTACTGAGCAGTTCCCCTGTGCGATCATTGATGTACCCAGACTGCTTGCGCCTATTGCGCCTGGGCTCAGTGGTAAGGCCCTTGAATCGTTTAGACTGTGGAGCGATAAATATCAGCTCTACGCTGCCATTATGTGCCTTGTACTTGGATGCTCGGATGCACTTACCCTGTCCCCCGGGAAAAGTCGTTTTGTGTCTTTGAACGTGTCGATCAATTTTCCGGCCTTGTTAAGGTATTCTGCGACGATGACATCATGCTCTGCGTCCATCTTCACCTCTGGGCGCCACCAGCCTTCAACGAAGACATCATACTCCATCAGCTTGGTTGCGCGGAAATAGAGAAGTACTTCTGCTTCTTTAGCAGCCATCATCTTCTCCCTGTCTTGTCGAGAGATTTTGAATTTGGTGGAGGCGGATCTTTGTTGGTCGTGGTATTGTCTCGTCTCGTCGAAAAATGAATTCAACATCTCAAACTCCTCCGTCGGCGGCTCGCCGCTGGCAGCTTGCTGCTTTCGACGTTCCTCGATTACTGGAGGTAGGCATGTAGGAATCAGGAAAACGTGTTCTGTGACGTAAGGCGGCGACCCTCTCTCACCTTCAACGACGAGCTTCATGGCTCTTTTGGTGTCTTTGAAATATTGCAGAACTCGAGCAAGGTCGAGCTTGGCATCAACGGCGTTCGCATCGATCTCCACAGCTAGCAGGGGCAAAGTAATCGGATTGTGGTTGTGATCTCGATAACGGACTTTGTTTCTGATTCTACTCACTTTCCTCCAACGTCTGCCGCGCGATTTCGTATTGTCCAAGCTCGACTTGGCACTTCCCGACGAGAGCCCAGATCTCACTTGTATTTGATTCCGGACTATCGGCCAGCGCACTGTACATCACCAGTGCCTTCTCCCATTCGCCAAGGTCCTTACACGCATCTGCAGCATACCTCCATGCCGCGAGGATATCTGGCGTTGCTTCTGCTTCGAGCGCAAGGTCAAAGTGCATCTACAAACAGAAGTGCAGCCTTGAGCAAAGCCTCCGGGCTCCCTCCTTCATTTGAGCCGCGGCGTGCTACTTACATTTGCCTCTTTGTTGTTACCCATTCGCAATCTTGCCTTTCCCAGATAAACGCGCAGTACAGGATCCATACCATGCGGAGGTGAAGTCTGAATCCTGCGCGAGTATGTCCCCATCCTGTGCTCGGTGCCCTCCTGTGGTCTTCGCTCGTCGAATTCGCGATCGTCGTCGTGCACAGAGTCCCAGAAAATCTCCTGCGAACGTCCTTGCAGCCACCTCATGCTCTGTTTGATCACCTCGACAGTCTTCGAAGCATTGCCAAACTGCAGGTAGAAGTCTGCCATCGTCGCTGCCTCTTCGGCACCAAAAGTGGGTTCTCGGGGATAGTTAGCAGGGACGATCTGGGCTGGAATGGGCCGCAGAGGATCCGGGAAAGTCGTGAGGTTCCAGTCTTTCATGTGTTCGAGGTAGTCGAGCGCCTTAGCGCGCTCGCCGATCGCTGTCAAGCAAGGGATATAGTTGCGGACGGCCTCTGCCTCGTACGGTCGGCGCTCAAGATAATGAGCAAGAAGGCGAGAGGCTCTGACTTGCTGATTTAGCATGTTCAGGATCGTTGCACGGTCGAACATCGCGACGAGGTTGTCCTTGTCGGCCTTCATCGCTTCGTGGAAGCAGTGCTCGGCCTGGACGAGCAAGCCCAGCTGATACGAGTCACGCCCGAGGTCGATCCAGTGTGGTGCTCTGGTAGCAACCAAGTGACCGGCCAAAATCTTTGCTTGAAGACCTTTCTCTTGCTCGCCAATCATGTCATAAACCAAGCCAAGCACTTGCCATGCTTCAAAAATGGTCGGCTCAATGCGGATGACTTCATTGAAGCTGTGGATAGCGGCTTCTGGGTCACCCTCAGCATAAGCTGCATGACCTTGACGGAGCAGATGGTTAACTTCGTCTGAATACTGCTTGACGCGAGCCAAATTCCTCGTTTTGCGCTTGCCGAATCCGCGTGATGCCGCGAGCTCGCGCTCGAACAGCCGACGCTGGTCATCATCGTCGTCTTCGTCCAAGTTTATTGAGGCAGTGCCTTGCTGCTGCACATTTCCAACAAAAGCTTTGAACGCGTCCACGTCCACTTCGACCTCTTCCGGTTGATACGGTTGCTTGGAAAGAGCCTCGCTGAGCCATTGATCTGTGTCCAACCGTGAAGCCTTCAGACTTCCCTCTTCGACAGTGACGTTGTAGTGGCGCGTAGTCGCCGCATTCCCTCCTTGAAAAGCCAGGTCAAGCTCATCGAGTTCTTCCAAGCCTACCACCGGTGGTGCGTCCGCAGATTGCGTATAAGCACCATGTTTGCGTTGAGTACTCTTCGGTCTTTCCGGTGGCAGGTACTCGTCGTCTGAATCGTCCGACTGAGCCATGAAGATTTCGCCACTGAGGAATTTCAGCAGGTCCGCCCATCAGTAGTTTGAAGCGAACTCATTCTTTTCATACGTTGACCCACTCCACGTCATCATATTCGTATTCATCGGAGTCTTCATCCTCCTCCTCATCGGAATGGGCCATGTAAATGGCATCCTGTTCACGCCCTTCCGCACCAGGCAAGGGCCGACCGCTCAACTTTTCAGCCTGTGCCGCTGACTGTTGCATTTCGAGTAGCCTCGCTGAGGCGCTGATTGCTGAGTCCTCTTGCACCTGACCCCAGGGAGGAGGCGGCTGAAGTGGCATGCTTGAAGTGCCGGATAGTCCAGCTTGCGCGGCATCGACTGCGCCGAAGGAGAAATAATCCTGGTCTGTAGACGAGCTTTCCTTTGAAGGGGGTCGCGCCTTCACGGATTCATATCTGCCTCGAGGAGCCATTTTGCTGGCTATGTTGAGGGAGGACTCGTTATATGATGTCAATGTAAGGGCAGTGGATGTTGGTGCGCTGCTAGCGCTAGCGTTTACCGCACTTCTTGCGTCGAATGGATGAGACACAGGCAAAGGAGTCTATCCTCCTTGTATGCACATGGCTAACAAGCTGCTACCGCACCGTCTATTTCTCCCAGCGTCGATGCTCTTATTTATATGTATGTGGCCGCTCTCAAATTGGTGCTTGATTGTCGATATAATGGATCTAGGCTCATTGGAGTTGTATTGGTCTGCTCTGTGCTGGACCCTCTTCAACGCGTTTTTGTGCCATTCATACTGCCACGGTGCCCTGGCGTCGACGAATCAGTGATCGAGATGAAGTGTGGCCAGCTTTGCTAGAAAGTTGCACACACCATTCAGCATCCAGACTTGAGTTATATACTCAGCACCCCGGAGCGTACACTAGGGAGTCGAACTGTTGACACCCGCTTCCAAATTAGCAGCAGTACATCCAATCTGTATTCACAACAGAAAACCCGAGAACGCAACATGTCGCTCGACCTCGACTGGGAGCTCTTCGACCGTGCCTTGTGCGACCAGTTCTTGGACAAGCTGAACGCCGTCCTGCAGAATGCCAATCGACCAGACTTCCTTGGTCCTATTTCTGTCGAGGAATTTGATGCTGGGGAACAGGCGCCAGAATTGGAAATCATCGGCATTCAGGACATTTGGTCGGATTTTTTATCGAATGACGACGAGGAGCTGACCAGTCATTCTGGTGCTGCAGCGGCCAAGGACATGCGAGCACCTGGCCTTGGCCGTGCATCTGCCGATCCTCAAAGAAGGTTGAAGGATGCCATGTCAAAGAAGGACAGTAAACTCCGGGCTGGCATCTCCCCTCTAGAGCTTCACACATTTCGACACTACACTCCGTCCACAGCACAAGAAGTCGATGCAAATTCCCAAGCGTCTGCTGGTAGCACACCAGGTTGGAATGGGTCATCATCGTGGGCCAATCGCAGCATGACTCCATCCATCGCTTCAGCAGGGCTAGGGAGTGCCAGCTTCTTTTCTTCTTGGCAGAACCACCAGCCCTCCGCCTCGAACTCAAAACGACCGTCGGTCGCATCTCGAGTTCCGTCTTTCAGTCGCCAACCCCACTCTTCTGCTTTTCCTCACGGTACACTTCCTCTACATCTCCATGGTCGACCATCGACTGCACCCCCCACTCGCAACGCATCTTTCTCTTCCAGACAGCCAGCCTCACCCAACCCTTTCGGAGGGCGTCCTGATGAGGAGGATTTGGCAGCATCCTATACGATGCAGAGGTCCACCGAGGTCCCATCATTGCAGATCAAAATGCACATGCGTTGGCAAACAACATCTATCCGTATTGGGTTTAAAACTGCCGTGCTTATCAATCAACCTTGTTTCATGTTCATGGAGTTGCCTTTACAAGTCACGCTGACTGGCTTGGTCTTGGACGGCACGGTGCTGCTTGCCTTCGACGGATCACAGGAGACTGTGAACATCAGCCTTCTTGACTCCGACGAGCTTAACGGTAATACTACGCTTCCCAATGGCGCAGAAAATCCCTCCTCTTTCTCCCGAAGCGCAGGCGCCTCTCCACAGCAGGCCAATCCATCGGTCGCAGCATCAAAGACTTCCGGATCCGCAGCGATTATTACAGCAAGCACGGGACGACCACAAGTCCAAGCGGGTACAACCGATAAAAATTTTGGCGCTCGATTATTGCCTTTCATGACGTTCGAGAGCAGTGTTGGGGAGGAGGCGAAGCACGTGCTGCGGAATGTAGGCAAGGTCGAGAAGTTTATTGGAGAGCTTGTGCGCAAGGTCATTGAGGATGAAGTAAGTCACAGGTCTTGAATACGTGGTGTGACCCTGCTGACACGTGCTCTTACTGCGCTGCAGCTTGCCTTTCCGAATTATTACACTGTGGAGTTGTGACGTTGCGTGCGCAAACAACTGTTTGAGGCCCAGGTTGCTTCGCCACGGCCGCCTGCCCAGGAATCAGGCGAGGGACGGGAGCAAGTGTCAAAGTGGGAGCGCCCGTTCCATACTTCTGCTTCCTTCGGCAGTCCTATACCTTATTAAATTATTATGACACATGCACGATGCAATACAACATGATATGGATATATGGTGCACGAAATTTAGATCCAACTGCATGACTTACTCAAGCAGACGGCTCGCCTCCTCAATTTCTGCATCCGAGACAGGGAGCCCGTCGATATGAGTGAGCTGCGCACACGCCATAGCAAGCACGCCACGGTGCAGGGTGCGTTGCTGGCGAGCAGCCTCGGGAAGCGCGCGAATAAAGCGTGCATCCGCAGCTAGCGTCATCGCAGTCTGTGACACTCCTTGCTCGCTGTTGCTCGCGCCACGGATCGGTGTGGGGAGCCGTTTGTGGAAGAAAGACTTGTGGGCCGCTGAGGGGTCTTCGGCCTGCTTTCCCAAGGAAAGTTCCTTCTGAGAGAAAGCTGGCTGAACAACAGCCGGGTTTGGGAACGGAGGTGCCACACTCGCAAATCCTTTGGGAAGATTATCTGAATTGGGCGTCCGTGGCTCAACATAGCGACTTGGAGCTATGATTGGTGCGTACAGGCCGTGTGTGCAGGCGTTCATCCGCGTGTCGAGTGATTCCAAAGGTAGATCTTGCAGGGCGCGAATGATCGGCGCAGTCTTTTCCAAGCGACAGGAAACGGCGGAGAGGCGTTTGAGCCGGTGCAGCGCCCTAAGGTTCGGTAGCTCGACGAAGAGGTTGTGATCCAAGTTCAAGTGCCGAAGGTTGGGCATGAGGGACCACATGTGGTCTGGGAGCTGCTCAAGTTGGCATGCAGCGAGCTCTAGATAAACCAGATTGGTAAGCTCACCCGCATCTTCACCTGGAAGGCTGTTCTGCAGCGGGTTGCCTGAAAGGAACATTCGCTGAATACTGCTTGGCAAATGGCGGGGCCAACGGAAGTCTGAATTCTGTTGGGCTCTTAGGCTGAGATTCTCGAGGCGTTTGGCGTGGGGCAAATGCTGAATTTCATCCAAGTGGCAAAAGTCGGCGTACAACGTCCGCAATTTAGCCAGGTCCTTGATGTTTAGGATGCTCAGGCGCGGGTTGCCCGAGACGCGCAGCAGGCGAAGCTTTCGCAGGCCACCACGACAGTCGAGTTGGCTAAGATTGTTGTGCTCCACCTGGAGTGTGTACAGATGCGCGAGATGCGTGAGTCCTGTGAGACTTTCGAGCTGGTTGTGACTAAGCGACAGGTGTCGCAGTTCTGTCCACGTTGTACCTTGTAAATCGATGGTCTTGAGGTTATTGTGCTGCAAGCTGATGCTTTCCAATGTTGCAATGCTGTCGATACCGTTGATAGAATCGATCTGAGTGGAGTCGGCTCGAAGATGCTTCAGCGAGTCAAGACAGCATAGGTCTGCAAAAGATTTTGTCAATTTCCTGAAAATAGTGGTCATTGTTCTGGGGACTCACTGTCGATCGATTCCACGGCGTTCTCGCTAATGTCCAACGTCTGTAAATTTCGCAGACGGGCGAAAGAAACGAGTGAGGATAAGCGATTGCGCGCGACTTGGAGATGGCGGATGGAGCTAGGCAGTCCGCTCAGATACACGATCAGGTTGTCGTTTCTGCAGAGCGCACATCCGGGCGTCAACTGATCCAGCCTTCAGCTTGCCTTTGGCAATGCTGAGGACTCACAAATTAACGTCGAGGAGGTTGGGGCAAAAGTCCTGCAGCTTCATCAGAGTCTCCACGCGACGATTGCTGAGGTCAAGAACCGACAGATTTTCCCAATCCGGCTGCCAAGGCACCACGTCCGTCAGGACTTGAAGCACTCGATCTTGAGCAATGGCGAACGACATTTCCGTTAATATCGTAGCGTCGAGCCATGCCGACGTGTCCTCCCTGTGCGACCTCACTGCCGATTTTGGTCCTTTGCTTCTCATCAAGTGAAGTTCAGCCAAGGATGCAAGGGCGCCAGCGATCTGTTGCTCGTGGGCCGGTTCTACGAAGGACACGCTAGCGTTCCCAACTTCCAGAATCCTGCGCCGAGGTGTGAGAAGCGCTCCGGGCTGGCCTTTTAGGATGGATCGCAGCCCCTCACTGCGCGTAGGAGATGGATTCTCGAAAGCGAGCACGTTACCGTCTGTTGGAAGCAGGTTTTGCATCGTCGCTCGAGGGCTGGACGCTTCCACTGGACGCCTACCAGACGCCCGACTTCCGCCTGATACGGTAATCGAGCCGCTCCATTCGATCTCATTGCGGAGGACGGAACGACTTCGTGGAAGCGGGCCCACGTGTCTGTGCGCAGGCGATGGAAGTGAGATATCGAGATTCGCAAAAGCATCCGTGGAGTCGCTCACGTCGGCTTCGCTTCCCGCTTGAACTGCGCTGCGCCGCTTTTGCCACGTCATTGTCACAGCATCGTAGCTCATCCGATTGCCTGCCAATGCTCTGAGATTCTCTGCCGGAATCTCGGACGCTTTGATGGTGAACATCGCCTTGTTCGATGAGCTTCGACGAAGTCGGTGGCTTGACTGAAACTGCTGAAGATGCGCCTGCATCAGGCGCTGATTTTCAGCTGAAGATTGCACCTCCTTTGCAAAGTCACACTGAGGCTCTTCGGCGCGTTTCGGAGAAGCTCCTTTGGTGCCAGCTTCATTTTTCGATTTCGCAGCTTCGCGTGCCCGTGCAACTGTGAAGCGTCGCAGTAGTCGTCGTGGAGACTCTTCGTCTGAGAGATGCTCGAGTTGGAGGCGATCGCAGCCCTTCGCGTTGGCCAGAGGGGTGCCTGGAGAGGGAGTGCTCTCGTTGGTGTTCGTCATTGATGCTTCTACTCCGAACAGGTTGCGCTTGACGTCTCGCAGAAGGCGTGCAGCATCACCTTTGTAGTTGCGTTCGGGTGACTTGCTGGGCGGTTTGAAAGGACTGGGGAAGGACGAAAGTTGCGGACCACGGCCTCGAGTATCAAGGCGGATGCGCTTCTGCTCACGCATCTGCAGCTCAACAGGGTCTGAATATATTTCTGCCTCCAGTGCTATTTTTGGTCCAGCTGAATCCATCGGAAGGACAGGAATTCGGCCAAGGAGCTTCTGATCAGCGCCAGATGGAAAACCAAAGCGAGCGGCGGTCGGCACAGCTCCCCTGCCGGCGAGAGAATCTTGCATGAATTCGGAGGCCGAGGAGCCTTGAGGTTCAATTCTTTCTGATGATTCTTGAATGTCGTTGGTCATATTTGGCCTGGTCGGAGTCGGGGTTGGTGTCCTGAACATGGTCTGTAACTTGCTTGGCGAGAAAAGATTCGTTTTGCCCGCAGAGATGACCCCCTTTGGCAGCTTGCCTCCATGGATGGCCTTCAGGCGTTCTTTCGCCGGTGACCCGTCTTGCCATGCCGGACGAAGCATTGGCGGTAGAGATGAAACGTCCGAGTGATGAAGTACGGTAGCCTCGTCGTGGTGCGATTCATTCAGACCGTCCAAGACAGATTGCACCGTCGAGGCGACCACTTCAGCACACGGGTCATGATGGCAATCGGCTTCCATGCGGTGTCCCTGCTTCACCTGCGAGGATGAGGAACTGAGATCGCTGGAATTGGCAACAGTCTTCGCTTGGGTGACAGCCGCATGAGGGCGTACCGGTGGCGGGGGTGTCGAAGTCTCAATTGCTTGCCAGCGCGAGTATCCGATCTTTTCGGTTCGGGATTTGAAGTCGGCAAAGTCGACTTGGCCTTCAGGTCTTTCAGTCAAATGGAAGAGGCTGCCATTGCTAGGCGTCATGCATGCGACTTGGCTAGACTCTGGATCTGAAGCAGGATGTGCTTCGGGCTGCAGCACAATGGAGCTGGAAGATTGAGAGGGCAACGAGCCGGCCCTTTTCCTGACGGAGCGTTCGGCCTCATATGATTTGGGCATAAGACCATCTTTTCCATCCTTTTGCTGCTGATGCGTTGACCAGCTTTCGCTGAGATCGTCGAAGGCGGCGAGGGTTCTCCAGGCGGACGCAGCTGTAGATGCCATCGTCGTTCTAAGGCGGCCGCCCGGGAAGATCGTGGGCGCGGCACGCTATTTTGACCTCAGGATTGCGGCCTCGTCGTTCATTGCAGACCCAACGATTCTCCTACCTGCGGATCCATCCGATGCCATAAACAGGCGCTGCAGCAGTTGAGGTTCTCAAGCACGTCAATTATACAGCGAGCGATATACGCGCCATGCCATGTCTCACGTGCATTGCATATATCTGATGACTTGGGAGGTGTTGGCAGAGAAGCCAATGGAGTCAGTTGAATGACTGTTGTTGGTATCAACGGTGGCACTGCGCCTGTGTCACTCACTATAAGGCGCCTTGGGAATTGGGGGAGGCACGCGACGTGTTCTGTTTCTTGTTGATCGACATTCCAACATCTCCGCAGGCAATCAACACAACACCACGACCCATCTACACTTGAGTCTTGACACCACGACCACCGCACCGTCCAATGGCCTTCATTCGCACGCCTGAACAAGCTACAAACTCGTCCATTCAACCGGAACTCGAGAAATAGAACAAGCAACTGAAGCTGGACACGAAAGTATGCTTGCTGAGCTTGCACGCGCCATTTGCACTTGAGACGCGGAATGCAATTGGCGACTTGCTGCTGCCCATCCTCTCGCTATTGCACACAAACAGACATCTGACTCCGTCAGCGGAGATCTCACTCCATCCGAGATGGATGAGACTGCATCTCTGCTCCAACTTCTGTCGTCCTCGACAAGCCAACTACAAGTGCTCTACGAGGAGATTGGAGATTCAGGATGCACATATCAAAGCGCAATCCAGGAACTTCACAACACCCTGACCAGCAGTATCCAGAGTCACTTGAAACGCGCACAAGATCGAAAAAAGGAGATATTCGATGACTGCAAGGCGCGAAACATCGAGGCACAGTGTCTAAAAGAGGCGCTGGGAGAGACCTCAGGCTCGCCACCTTGCGATGGGGCAGCTGAAGAACCTCCTCTGGTGAGATGTCTACCATCCTCTCTGTCCGCATACTTCCTGACTCATCTCGATCCACATGCAGACCCTCCATCAAAAGCAACAGCGTGTTCATCAAGAAATCAGCAATCTTCGCTCCGTCCACACCTCACGTCAAGCACAAGCTGATCGCATGATCAGCCAGCTAGAAGAGCAACGGCAAGTGCTGGGGGATATTGTCAATACACCTCTTGTGCCAGGCAGCCTGTCTGATGGAACGATCCGAGCACTTCCATTGTCGTACATTTCCGCATTGGAAGCGGAGACAAAGAAAGGCGAGGTAGAGGTCAAAGCACGAACAAGCTTGCTGCAGGATCAGCTTCAGACCATTCTCAACCTCTGGTCAGCGCTGCATCTCACACCAGAGGTGAATCAGGATGAGTTTGACGCACAGATCCTCACGCACCTGCAAGTCAAACCGATCTGGCACGTTGGCCCCGAGACGGGCGGGCGAGCTCACTTTTACGGCGATTTTGAGCACTTCAAGAACACCACCGGGGAGGTAGAGGTTTTCTGCCCTCCAGAGATGGTCGAGCCAACGCCCACAAGGAAGAGTAATGGCAGCGGTGGCAGCCGGAACAGCAACGGTAATAGTGGCGGGGTAGACCAAGCGCCACAATGCCTGCAGATTCGGCAACGAAAGCCATTGGAGGAATGGATCCTGCCCACTAAAGCGAACTTGGAACGCGTCGCAGCAAAGCTGGCTGCGCTGGAGGCTGAGAAAGCAAAAAGAGAGGAGAGGATCCAACAACTCTACGATGAGCTCAGCGAGATCTGGATGCAGTTCGACGTGCCCCAGGATGAGATGGAAACATTCGTCCACGCCAATAGCGGCAGTACGCTGGAGGCCATCGAAGCATATCGACGAGAGCTTCAGAAGATGCAAGATCTGCGCCGAGAGCACATGTCGTTGTTCATCGAAAAATTGCGCGAGCGCATCCGGCGCCTCTGGGACACCCTTCGTCTCTCCGACATTGAGAGATACGAATCCTTTCCTCAATGCTTTGTAGATAGTGAGGGCAGTACAGAGGAGGCGCTTGCTCTGCACGAAGAAGCGATAGTCCGACTCGCGCACGAAGTCAAGACCAAGGAGCCCGTTTTGCAGGCGATCCGGCGGTATCAGGAGCTATGTGACGAGGAAAAACAGATGGAGGAAGATGCGAAAAATCCCAACCGCTTCAAGAACACTAGAGGGGACCCAGGGCGGCTGCTGCGCGAGGAGAAAACAAGAAAGCGAATAAAGGTTCAGAAGCCGAAGGTGATATTTGGGCCGATTTCCGTTCAGTAGGCAGCTCCGTTTAACATATTCTCTCTCCTGATTTGCAGCTCGTGCAAGAATTATTGAAGATGATACCGGCATGGAAGGAGGAGCATGGGAAAGAGTTCACTATTGATGGCGTTCCCTATCTTACCACATTGCAAGAAACCCTTACTGACCCGTCGACGCGCGACTTTCGCAAACGGAATCGGACGATCTCGAACTCTTCCACTATGTCGGATGGACCTGCACTGGGCCCATCAAGTTTTCACAACCGCACAGCTGCGACACCAATTCGCGTTCCCACCACCCCAGCAACAGGCTCGATAGCGAAGAAGCCAAAGCTTGGCCAGCTACCGCCTAGCAGCGCCCGCTCTACGGCCTCTACTATGCCCCCTCCATCGACAGCAACCACGCGCCCGGGCACTTCCCGCATTACCAAGCTGGTAGTGAACAGCCATTTACGTCCGCCTGGTGGCCGGACAGTGGCTTCGCCTTCATCGGAGGCCCCCACCAAGTTCTGCGCCCCACCCGTCTTCCGCCCGCGTCCCTCCGGAATGCTGCAAACATACATCACCTCCGGTGGTGGCCGCAAGAGTGCGGACAGTCCGCAGCTACACGAACAGATCGCCGCATCGAGAACAGCTTCTCAATCAAGTGACAGGACGATCATTATCCATGAGCGTCATCCACCTTCGCACAGCCTGCAAGACACATTTACCACTGACACATCTATCCGGTCGGTGCAGATGAGCAGCCGACGAGACGGTTTGGGATTAAGAAGCGCAATTTCGGCTGGACCGAATTGGATGCCAGTCCCCGAGGAAGACACGTAAAAGGTCGACCCACCCAGTTGCAACTTTCCGTATGCAAGTATGCCTTGTACCATTAGCTTTCCGTGCTCCTTTGCTCGTTATACCCAGCGTTGCAAAGTATGCAATCGACATGATCAAGCAGTATGCATAGTCGCCCCTAGAAGTACAGATGCGTGGTTGTATCGTGTTGATTACGCTTCCGCCTTGGCAAGGCGAGCTGCCTTTTCACTGCCGTGTTTTGCGTACCTCTGGTTGCGGACGAACTTGGGGTCAACCTGTAAGTACACGAAGGACTGTAAGTATGCGAGGCCTCTGCTACTGGGAGTGAAGCTTCACAGGTGTAATGGGGTCTCCCCTTGCACATAGAAACAGCTGCTCTTAGCACTTCGAGCTCCCAATATTTTGCTGTAGCATTCCTGACCCAGCCCACTCGCATTGCCCTCCAAAGATGGCGCACTTTATGCTCCGCCACAAGTCCCCTTGGGATACAGGCCCAATCAGCAAGATATAACGCTGCGTGCGCTTCAAAGCGACTTGCATGCCCTACACCGCTTCCAGCTTCAGAAGCCAGCTTGCTAGATGGACTTCTCCCTGTCACCCGCAGATATTGCCATCACCTCTGCCCCGTCAACTCTTAGAGTTCAACCATCCAAGAATATTTCCAACAATCCCGGGGTCGCCACTGAAGTGGATCAAGCAGAGAGGCTGTAATACGCACGCCCTTCAAGCTCGGGTACTTGTTTGTCTTTGGCTTCTTGATACCATTTCGGTGAGCCTTCTTGTTTTGGTTGTGGTTGGTGTGGCTATGATCGAGTACGAAGGAGGGTCAACATCATCAATCGAACAAAGCATTTCAAGCGCGAGGAGCAAGGTGGTCATAGTCTTCGCTCCTTAAACAACTGCGGGCAGGCCAAGATCCGAAGACCCTCGCTTCCGAGTCAATGACCCACCATACCAATTTCGCATCCAAAGCGATCTCGTCCTTCCTCTCCGCCAGCCAACCTCGATCCGACCATACCGATGAGTAGAGTTGTGGTCACTGAGCACGACGTACTCACTTCTTTGACTTCGCCATTTTGAAAGATGCGCGACTCTTTGCAGAATGACCTGGGCTACAGTATTAGCTGACCCTTGATATGTTAGCAAAACATCAATAAGGATGGTGGCATGCTTGGTGATAGCTGCGGAACCATTGCGCGTGGGCTGAATAATTCATGCTGCCATTCCGCCCGCGACCTGCGCAGGTTAGCAGTGGGGCCAGTGGCGCCACAGCGTTCGCTATGCCATTTCTTCATGCCGCCGACCAGCAAGTCCAACAATTCGCCCCCTGCGGCAACAACTCTTACGAAAGCGTGGATCAATGGGAGAAGGTGGATTGATGTCCTTTTAAATGGTCCCCGACGATCGCTTGCGCCTCTTCGCATTGCATCCCTTCTCACGCTTTTCACATATGGTATGAAGACAGCACTGTACGCATGCTGCGGTGCAACAGGACAGGCCACTTGCCGATGCAACATGGCATCCGACTCGGAAACAAAATCTAACACGTGCCGCTTGCAACACGACTGCCACTTGGCAGCGGATCTCTGCGGTTCGCAAACCTGTATTGCGAAAGGGAAAAGGATCGTCGCACCTGTGCTCGAGCCTCACTGTGCTATGTGTAATATTTCACGTGCAAGAGGGTATTAAATAATGAACCATTAGGCTGACTGCGGGCGGCGTTTGCCACTTATCGTATGCGTCACACTTCGGGAGAGCGGCATGTATGATGCACGAATTGGCACCATTTTCAAGCGAGTTTGTTCATAACGCATGCAAAACTTGACAATGCCTCGTGCTTGGTGCTCGTATTACATGCTTTGCGCGCGGTCAACTCCAATGCAAGGCTTTACTTGCCATTTCGAGTGCACCGGCCCGCGTCTGATTTCCTCCAATGAAGCCACTTTGGTGCACAAAAATGCAACCAGGGACACCGCTCAGTTTGCTGAGGTCGTCGTCTCGGATGCCTCGCCAAGGCTCGGGCAAAGCTTTCCTGCTCGCAAAGCTGCTTGGTGACTCTGGGACTGCCTGCACCCGCCACTTACCAGACTCGTCTGGGTAGACAGCATACAGCGGTTGCTCTTCAGCCGGGATGTTCGACTCCTTCTCGAGCGTGAAGAGATGGTCCTGGGGAGGCAAATACGATCAGTGATTACAAGTTTCCGATCAGGCTCATCTGCACGCTCACCTTCCAGCTGACGTATCCATCAAAGATAAGAATCTTTCCCGACGAATCACCGCCTTCCGCTGTCTTCCTATTCGCAAGCGCTGTTTGAACCAATTTGCGTGCTGGCAGCCAACCATGGACTGCGTAGTCCAACCGGTCGAAAAATTCCTGCCCGGCTAAGCTGCTTGCTCTCTCGAATCTGCGCATTCTCTCCTCATCGTCCACCTCCTCGTTCCAGCGAGGATTCAGGTAGCTGACCCGAGACGAAAGATCTGTCCGGTCTTTGTAAGCTGGCTTGCCCGCAGCAGCCGGATAGCGTTCCACGCCGTTGTCGATGCCGTCAATCCCCTCCACAAAGTCGTCGTACATTTTGATGTACAGGGTCTCAACCTCTTCTGGCGTGAGCGCAGGGGCGCTGATGCGCAGAATGTCCTTGCCAAAGTGTCTGTGGGTGTGACATTAGATTAGCGTTCAAAGACGAATGGATGCGAATGAACGACGTTTGGCTCACTTCCACGTCAAACCGGCGGAGCTCAACTTGACCTTGTGATCAGCGTCAAACGTTTCCTCGAAACCACGTTGATGATGATCAAAGCGGTTCTTAGTCGCGTCGTAAGTTGCCCCGACATCCACCACAATTGTGCCACGGTCTATGAGCGACATGTCACGGGTGCGCGTCAGCGCTGTCTAAGCAGAATAGCACAATTGCACCATGTCAGCAAACATGCCATATGCACTCCACAGTCGGGACTGACGCATTTGAGAGAACCGTGGAAGTCTGCGAAGCATCGACACTGCAAGGGCTTCATCAGCTGCGCACAGCACGAGTTGCATGTAAACAGAATATATCAAAGCGATGGTGAGAACACCGTCGGATATGCTACCTTTGTCCTTAGAAGCGTCTCTTACCGTGGAAAGCGCCTCTACAATCGACCAAATAGAGGTATATTAGCGGATTGCATGCATTCAGCGGATAAACCAGCAAGCTCACGAGTGCGTAACGATTCCAATTTCTCTTTCCGAGCTTTGGTCCACCTTAGGACGCTTGGCGGCCGACTCGACTGCAGAAGTCGCCATCCTGAATGCAACTTTGTACCGAGACTGATTCAGAGAGGTATTCAGAAAGTTTGCAGGCCTCCAAAATGCAGCGCTGAGTCCTTGACGCTCGAAATGCAATCCTGTCACAAAAATGTGACCGCGGATTACCAGAAAAATAGAGTTGAGAGGGCGTAGAGTAGCCAGATTGACAGATTGACAGAGAGAAGCGGCGATTTGCATGTAAGGCGGAGCACGCCAAAGTGAACACGGGAGTTTGAAAGCTTGATGGGAACCAAGTGCTGTAACCTGTAATGTAATGGGAAAGCCTCACGACTAACAGCGTGCTTGAAGGCGCTTCTCAGCGATCAGCTCTTCCGTGGTAAGTCGGAAAAGATCTGGCCATGGCCCGCGAGAAATCGAAGGTAGACTCAACAGGACTAGCTATAAACTAGGATTGTTGTCCTTTTTACCGATTATATCTCTTTAAAATCCGGAAGCAAGCTTATGTAAGGGTCCCGCGTCCCGAGAGTCTGTGCTGCTCCATATGTGAAAGAGGACGGCCTAGTCGGACCTGTTGCCGTTTGATTGCACATCATTCGTTGTACACCCCAGCCTGTCCACATGGATACAATAGGAAGCGGATGGGCTCAATCAAAGACTGAGAAGCTTGTGGCAATAACTCTAGCGAGCATTGATACCGTGCCAGTCGCTGAATTCGTCTTTCTTCGTGTTTTCAGTATCGAAGCACAACATCGAAAACAAGACGCGCCCACCAACGCCTATCAGTCAGCAGCGCAACATGGCTGGTGAGGATACCCGGAGCACAGCACAAACAACTTCAGCCATACCAGCCATACCAGCCATACCAGCCACACCAGCCACACCAAATCAGTTCCCATCACAACTACCTGTTGATCTGGATTTGGAGGCGTTTTGGGAGGCAAGACACGAGACTGCGAAGCCATCGATCGAATCGCTCAGAAGGAGGCTGTCTCACTTTCCGAGTCCGCCGTTACGAATTCAGAGGGTCGGGCAGCTAGATGCTGACCTTTTGGACCGCGAGCTGCTTGAAATTCTGCTGGCTCCAATGAAAGATGCCGTAAATTTGATCCAAGTACGTGCCCTGAGAGCAGGGCGATCCTACTCAAAGGCTCTGCAAATCATCGCTGAACTTTCGCATCGAACGGTTTACAGCCAACATTGACTTCGCGCATCTTGCCAGAGATGCTACTCGTCATGCGATTGGCGCTGTTTAAGCTTTCTATCATTGATCACCAAGCTTCGTACGGATCCATGCTGCAAAATCTCAAGTACAGGAACGAGTGGGCGCATCGTGGAGGATGTTAGTCGTATTCTCATCGTCGCCCGGCTTATGTTTCTATTTTGCGCTGACTACTAAAGCTCTTGTTTCCCTTATGTAGTGCAGTCTACATCTCGAGATCGAAAGCTTTCGATTCAGCAGCTTGTGCTATACCCTTTGATTACGGCCATCGTTCCGTATGCGTATGCAAGGTCAGAATTAAACATGGCGCAGCACCCGTACTCTGAACTTCCTACCAGCACGACGCGCCACACCTTGTGGAACCTCATGGATCGCTTCCGACGGTGGTACACTCTTGCTGCCTTTATCAATTTCGGTCTTTTCCTAGGCAACGGAAAGTGAGTGTGTTGCATGCTAGGGCTTCTCTTCCCAGTGTTGACTGCGAGCGCACGCTTTTGTTGCACGGGTAACAGATATCGAACTCTTGCGGACCGCATTCTGGGCATCCGCCTCATATATGCAAAACGCACCGTGCATCGGAATGTCTCTTTTGAATACCTTAACCGGCAACTTGTATGGCACGCACTTACCGTGAGTCTCTCTCCGCGCTCGACACTCATGGCATGTACTTTAACTGGGATCTTTGCGGTATTTTGCAGGAATTTCTGGTCTTCCTTTTGCCATTATTGAAGCCACGCCGGATACTCAAGTATCTCACAAGATTACCTATCTGCAGTACAGCACTTGGCAGAGCATCAAAGATCCTGCCAAGGGTCCTGAGAGATCGGACTGGTCTGTCTACCCCGCTCAAGGGCTCTGGTAATTCAGACGGGGAGGCTGCTTTAAGCAAAGTCATCCCCGAAATTGCTGCACTTCCTATCAGTACTTGTGCATTGTGCTGGCAGCGATATCAGGCATCGCAAGGTGGATCTTCTGGTGTTCTCAGAGTTGGTCTTCCCACCAGCGACCCTCTGGACCCAGCCTCAGGTGCCCTCGCTTCTAGAGGTAACACACTAGGCAAACCGAACACAGCATCGGACGACCTCATCATCACCATTCCATATGCTGCAGACCCTTGCGGGTGTCTCTATTGCTATCACTGTCTTGCATCTATTCTGCTCTCGGAGGAGGCTGCCGACGACATTTCGGACGAAGGTGGTTGGAGATGTTTGCGATGCAGCGCTATAGTCCGGGGTCTCAAACGAGCTTGAATGAGATGAGAAATTGGGAAGAGGTTGCGGCAGTCGCGATCTGTACTGTCCAGAGCGGATGTAGCGTGGTGTTTGTATCTACGTGAGAAGTCCGCAAACGTAGAAGGTCTCGAAGATTTAGTTGGTCAATTAGCAAATCGCAAGTGCCGACCTGAAGAGCGCGATTCACCTATGGAAAGGATGGACAAAAGACCATTTTTGTTGCCAAAGGCGAAAACAAGATGTCAAAACTCCGTCGGCGAAGACCATGGGACGTCTACGAGACCGTGCAGTTTCAAGGGTCGGAATTGTACGCCCGTAGTCCTGCCAACAGAGGAGGAATGAGTCAACAGTGTTTGCTTTGCCATCCCCAGGGCCCAAGGCTAGGAATCTTCGGAATGGCTAACAGAGGCATCGCTGAAAGAGCTACGCTTGACGGCAGTGAGGCGCTCAGCCAAAAAATAGTCAACTGTGCGGCGAGATCTGAGGCTTCCCGGTCTAGATTAATGGTCGCGTCAACATCGCCAGTGCAATACATCAGAGCTAGCTGTAGAATAGGGTGATGGGAAAGGGGGCTCAGCTGGTGTCAGTCACACAGGGTATGCGTCGATCACCTCCGGTAAAGATCTTGGGACCTATCCTCCAATTTTGCCGACCTTGGACAGCAGGCGGAGGCTGTACATCGGTAGAACATTGGCAGCTCGAAAATCCCCCCACACTTTCTATTAAGGAAACATTAAATGCTGGTTGGGCCGCGACAACTCGAAAAGCCACTGAATCAATGGGCCTGATATCCTCGAGCCTAGCGGCATGGCCGAGAGATCTTGCCTGGGTGTTGATGGTTGGTGAAGAGATCCGTACCGTCCTTACCGCGCGCGCGGTCCTAGGAGGATGTTTCGAACATAATGGCAACTCGAGGGAGCTGCGGCATTGGCTGATTGGCTAGAACTGGAATAAGTAGCGACATCGACTGATGAGTTAGTGTTAGACTATGGCTTAACGGATTGCGGAGGAACACAAATGATCAGTTTGGGGCCATCGTAAAGGTATCCTTGGTATGGCGTAGACTTGCCCCTAGCGATGTCTGGAAACCCAGGTGCTGGGTAACACATGTGCATCAGGTAGTCGATTGACGGGGGTCCATTTGTTTCTTGCAACGGGCCTGTCGAATTCGACTTGCCTCGTCTCGTGCCATCCCAGTCATGCCTGCGAGACTTTGCTTCTTGGAGCGTACGCAGAGACAAGGGCATGTCGCTTGCTGTAGTTCCAGTCCGTGCAATAGCAGTAGTGGGTGGATGTTGACGAAAGCCTTGACTGATTGAGCGGAGGTTGGGTTCCAGGAGCTAAGAGTGAGAACGAAATTGGCAGAGGCGAGGCAAGAGCGTTTGGAGACGAAAGAGCGCACGTGAGCTGATGGCAAGCACATGTGGCAATCTGGTAGTCGAGAAAATGTGGGTGCTGTAGCTCAATCCGTCAGCCATGACTCTAGCCATATAACCATTCTTTAGGCCAGTGTCTGAGCTATTGCCCATCAGTCATCTGCTCCTGAGCCTTCCTGTCGCTTTGCTGAGGGGTTTAGAAAGGATCTGAGGATCAGGGGTGGTTTGGTATACCTGCAAAGAACCTCAAAGGTTATGTCGTTAGGATTGCCGAGGCATCTACCGGGCAACAGACTGTCACACGTATCAATGAACTGTTCGAGGTCAATAGAATAGCCAACGTTGTAAAGTAGGACCTTGGCAGAGTCGACGATCGGATTCGACATGAGCTTTGACACTGCCAAGACCCTTGGTAGGAAGGTTCTTGTCGAAGATCATCCTAACGCCAAACTTTGAGACAGTTCCGTCCCTCCTAAGGACCAAGGTTCCACTTTGCAGCTTATGCTGTTGCTAGGCCCGTGATCCAGATCAGTCGATTGATAAGTGTGACAGACTGTGGCTGGGCGCAGGACCTTCAGCAAACTTGAAGATAGGAGCCCTGAGGCTCTTGAAAGATGCGTCAAGCCAACCTTGGATTGGAAATTAAAAAATCATGCGAAAGCAGAAGTACTGTTCAGTCCCTCAATGTTTCGTGAACTTGCACCATATGAAGTTCACCTTGCGAAAGTAGCAACACTGATCATTCTAATGCGTGAAGAGACAGGCAGCAAGTGTGACGAAGTCGCAGCTCCTCTAGAAGCGTTGAAAAGTCGACGAAACGCAAACAGCGAATATTTTTGTCGTTTTGGCATAAACAGCGCTCGAGCGTTGCGGTTATTAAATAGATGGCCGATTTTGACATAGTACAAATGGCAGCGCGCGGACGTAATGGGGCGAAGGACCGCGAAGAAGTACGGTCTATGGTATACAAGCGAGGACCATGAAAGGTTCCAGTACAGGGGGAAGCTACAATGGCTGCGCATGAAAGTTAGCACGTTGAAGAAGTGAAAGGAAGTTGTGCGGAGCGCCGAGGGTCTGTGTAGCATAGAGTAAGAAGATGTTGGCCTATTCTGTTTCAGTCATCCAAAGGCCCGCTACATAGGCTTATGAGCCCAAACTTCCAGTCTGACTCGAGCCCCCAAGAGACTTGACGCAAAGGATCAAGATGTCAGCAAATGCGACTTCGGCGAGGCCACTGTCAGTATCGAGAAGCTGCATGGCGGCAGCTACGACCTGTGGGCTTTCATAACCTGGATGCTGATGATAAGACCGGCCTGTGGGGGTTACTTGACCGGTAATTTCACTAACCCAAGAACGACAACAACACTGCAGCTGAATACGAGCGCAGGAAGGAGGAGGCTTTGGTGTAGCTGGTGCTTGCCATTGATGACAGGATCACTGGCTCGAACTTCGTGTTAAAGATAGCTAAAGAACTATGTGACACGTTGGAAGTCACGTAGCATCCCAAGAGTTACCCTCTTGATCCGTAAGAGAGACGCCTGGACCGTCAAGAAAGGGTTTTCAGAGAGCATGTAGGGGTACCGCCGCATCGCAACAGTGTACTACAAGATAAAGGCGCCAAGAGTCGAAACGTTGGAGACCGGCTGCTGCCTCACCACTAGTGTCCGACTCAACGCATGCTAAAACGACATTGCCCAGATTCTTGAACAGCTTAGCTATCAGTTGACAAGGGAACACAATGATGCAACACTGTTCCAGGAGGAGCTTTACCAGTGTTGCAACAATGCCAGCGAGGTGAGTGGGCACAATCATGTTCAGCAAGCATTTCACGCACAGTGGTAAGAGAAGGACGATTGCTGGAATTACAACAAGGTGACTTGCAACATGAATGCCGATCCAAAACAAGTGGACTGAATCCCTTCTTAGCCACAAAGCCGCCTGTCGCTTGAACAGGTGCGCTAACGGCTGAAGGCGAAGATAGATCGATTCATGTCAAGCCTGACAAACGCAACGGCGTCGCTATCTCTGTCAAAAATGCAATTGAGGTCCCACATTATGCAGCGGGGCCTAAGTATTGTTAGCGGAACCAAACTCGCGAGGTAAGCCTGTAGCTGCATCATTCTCAGAAAAAGATAGGGCCACTGCTTCTTCAGGTAGTGGAAACGGCATGGTAACCATCATAAGCGCGGCTTTGCTTGCATAGCGGCATTGTAGCTCTCCCTTTCATGTAGGGAACCACCAGCGCAACGCAAAATATGTCGGCATATGTAGGATGTACAAAATGAAGACAGTGAACTATGGTTACCGAGGCTTCGGACACAGTGCATGAGTGGCACAATACGATCTGGAAGGTGAGGACCTACACATCACAAAAGCTGACCGTACAAATGAGGCGTTCCCACTCGGGAAAATGCCACCCATTCCCAATATGGCGCCACAAGGGAAGAAAGAAGAGCACGGAATGCGCATGAAAGGGTCCACATGGACATCGCTGGGCCTGTGGCCATGCGAGAGCATAAGCAGCGTACGCTACTCCCTGACCTTTACAGATGATGGCTCAGCAAAGGCTGGGTTCACAGACCGGCAGATCGCACGAATCTTGCCGGCATCATCGATATCTGGATCTGCGCAAGTGGAGCAGGACACAGGCCAGGAGTACTAGATGCTCCAATCTGGTAACGGTTGCGAATACATCGGCATGTGGTATGTAGCAACTCTGACAACACAGTAACACAGTATCCAGCAGGAAATTTGAGCCCGCATACACGCATCAACAGCATGGAATGCGCCGAACGCTTCAACCTGATTCTCCTCAACATGGTCCAAGCATGGATCCGCGAGCTGAAGCCAGAACAGGCACTCTCGGGCGATTTGGTCGCAGCAGCAGCCTATACGTACATCTACTGCGCATATGCATCGTGCGTCGCAACAGTCACATGATACTCCAGATTTCAGAAAGAGTGTACCGCAATTGCAAGGGACCGATCGACCACCTTCGCACAATAGACCCAGCAGCCTACCTCCTGCGCGCTGGGGCGTTACAAAGCACTAAATTGAACAAGTGCGCAGTAAACGGTATTCTCGTCGGGAACGACACCGCTGCAACATATCCCACATCTGGATCCCCAGTCTTAAGCACCCATCCAGTTTCGACATGTCGGATGACGCAGAAGCTGAGCAGTGCGGACACGGGCGCAGAAGCCAACGACGCGGAGCATGGCGAAGCAGCACAGTCCATAGAACACCATCTAACAGCATGGAAAGTTCGAGGGTAGGTAATAAGCCCCAATGGCTGCACGTGAAAGCCAGCACCTTGTAAATATATAAGGACCTGCACGTATAGCTCCTAGAAGTCGTGTAGGCACAGAACAATGAGAAGCACAAGCATCCCGAACTTGATTGCAATGAGCCATCGCTTCATGAAAGAGTGTACCGCAGCTCATCCCCGTAGGTGATTGTGAAGATGTCCACAATTCGTTGTCCGACAGCTTTCATTCTCGCCTCCATTGCTCCCTCAATCCCAAAATCGACCACGCATATCACTTAACTATGCTTTTGCTGTTGCCACAAACGAGCACAAGTGCACAGGTCCGACTTGCACTGCCTATGGGCAAACTTGAAACGCTGGTGAACAAAGGGCCGTGCATTGCTTACCTTGCCTATTCCAAATTTTACATGGCAATAGCAGGCGGTAGCAAGTTCCGGAGTTTTTGAAATCTGGTACAACCTAAAAATATATCTGTCGCGTTCTTTTACGGTATATACATTGATTCGATGTATCACGAGCGCGAAGTGTCACACAAGGGTCTTACGAGTGGGAAGACAGTCTTCAATCCAGCGATGAGAGAGTGTATGGTCGAAGCTGTTCCGGAATCGCTGTTCTAATCAAATGGCGAACGAATGGTGCCGAAGGTGTGATCTAGCCTGTTTGGGTCGCACGCACATGCCGAAGAAACAATTGGCCCGTGATATTCAGATGGCTTTTTGCATAGGTGAGATTGCAATTTGTTCTGTTTCTTGCGCGCAACTCCTCCGTATTAACGATTCAGTGCTCGCTCAGTACTTGGATCACACGATAGTCTGCAATATTTCTTGGTAGCGTAAAACTTAATTGCAACCAGGCCCATCACGACAATGCTAGGCTTGGCCACGTTCTCAGATGTGCGTGTTACATTAATTCCAACATGGCTCCGGCCGAAAGGGGTGGGCCAACACTAACGGTCGTGAAAGCTAGCCTTGCGCTAAGCTCCTCGTCTGAGAAGCTGGAATGCCGATGCCCGAACTGCGGTTGATATTTGACGTTCATAATCATCCCGTTACACTGGCAGCCAAAGTATGCCAGTCGCTAAGTAGCAATGACAAACGCAAGACCTTGAGCTAGACGCTTAGCGCACCCTTCCGCCTGGCTGCTAAGCCACATTGCTTCAGCTGCGTACGAATAGGCAGACAAGATTGAATGGTATGCTCCCGAGTAATCGCTGTTCTGGATGCACGTGGTGCATCAGCCGCGGGTGTAACTCTTCTCTGGGGCTCCATCGGCCGTGGAACACGTCGAGAACGTCTTTGCACGTTATGGTAACATTTCCGGCGCTTTCTTGATATCCATATTTTGCGGTGCTTCTTGATCACTACTCTCCCCGGCGACGACTGTGACACGGTGACGAAATATGTTCTTCGCGCTCGCCTCCGTAAGAGAAAAATAAATAAAATATATGGAACTTCTGTCAAACTCTGGGGGCCTCGTTGACATTCAACTGAGCCAAGGTCTCCACATAGACCTGGGGGAGATGATCATACAGCATGCCGCTTCCAAAGACAATTCTATCGAAGACTCGAGCTCGATCGCCAGTCACTTCAAATAAGAGTGGCGACCTGCCTCCCTGTGTTGTTCGCAGGTCCGTGTTGCGGTAGCTGATGAAAATCTTGCCCGGAGGGTAAAGATGGACACCGGTCATACATGGCTTCACCCGCTGCATGAGGTACTTTGCTTTGTCCTCGAACCTTTGTCTGACAGAGGTGGATGAGTCCATGCGCCCGCTTTGGTGCTCGAGCGTTGATCCGATGAATCCAGCACATGTGAAGTCTTCGTCTGGCGAGTTCTCCCAGTAGCAGAGCCAAGCGATGACGTTCCGGATGTCCGTGATACTGCCCAGTGACAGGCGCGACACCAAATCCCAGCTGGATATGAAGGATGTGATGATGCGGTTACAATGAAGGCCAAGCTGAGCGTCCATGACGCAGGGAGCTGCATAGCAGTATGCATGAATATTTCGCGGTCCCAACGCACTGTCCTCCCGCGTCCTTCCAGTGGCAGGGGAGCCCCATAGCAGGCACAAGAGGGCCATGACGCCAGCCCCGAGTGAGTGCCCAACGAGATCGAGGTCGTAATCAGGGGAACGGATGGCAGCCTCTCGAACTGCTCGATGAACAGCTCTGCCTTGACGTCCAATGGCTAAAGCGGTGACGAGTATGCCAGCGTGCACCCGGGATGCTGCGGGAATGCCGCTGATGATGCCATCGAGCGACTGGCTCTCGCATGCCAGATCGGTTGCCACGTCACCTAGTGTGACGGTGCCGCGCATCACGACGATGATCTTGCGAGCCTCGTGAGATGTGATGACGTAATAGTTGGGTCGACTTTTGTTGACTCGTCCATTCAGCTCTTGCGCGCTGTGTACTGATTGGTCATAGCTGCCGCGAACAGCTTGTGAGTGTGTCACGCCAGCTGCCTCATGCAACAAGTAGTGATCATACTTGCCAGTGAGGAGGTCGATGTATGAGAAGTTGTCCAAAGCGTACTTTGATTGCCTTCCTGCTGCGGCGCTTGTATGTGCTTTATCGGCACGGCGTAATTGCTCTTGAGTTCCTTGCAAGCGCTGCAGCTGGATGGAGGGTTGTGGATTTTCCAGTTCGAATTGAGTGATGGCGGAAGGCTGATCAATGATGTCGACCGGGATACGAGCAGCCTCTGCATCTTGTGATTGTGTCCTCTTGGCGAAGTTCGATGGGACACTGTTCAAGAGCGCCATGATGACGCCACCGTAGATTGCAAGGATGAGACGCGAGTGCTGCACCAGATGACGGACTCGGGGCCGCGCACTAGACACTTCGTGGGCATCGGAGCCTGGTGCAGCGATGAGGGACTGGAGCTCCTCATCGTCGGCCACCAGACTCAGATGCTCCAACATGTCTCTTTCAAAGTCTTCGGCCGTCACGGCTTGCAACGAGACCCAGCACAGGATGGCGCATGCGATGGTCAGGCGTTCGTAGACGGGTAGTCCGCCGGGAGGAAGTTCATCACTGGTGCGATTCCATTCGCGACTTTTGATTGTGCACATTTGATGAGCAGGAGAATGTGAATACATGATCTAATGGGCCGTTACTTATCTGATGGGGCCGCTCACCTAAAAAGTCTTCCAAAGGTAGATAGACTGCGAGATACGTCCGAATGCATGGTGGATGAGACGCACTCCACGCCTGTCGATACCGCTGATAAGGAAGCGGCGGTAACCGCGCAGCCGACGTCCAAGGAGCCTAGTGTAATGGCATCAACAATATTGAAGACCCCATCGACTCCAGCGGTGGCGGCCAAGTGCATGCCCGGCGAGTCGGGTGGAGTGCCAACGGCTACATCGATGGCAAGAGCTGGCAGCGCAAGTACATGCTTGGTGAAGAAGCGTGCGACCCTGAGAGATGCAGCAGTGGCACCTTTGGCAATGTTGAAGCCTACGGATTGTGCCGCGTTGGCGACGTTGAGGGTCTGCTGGGCGAGGGTAAAGTATTCGGGCCAGTCGAGCTGATCCGCATTCTGGATGGCACTGCTTCTTACCAATGGCGTGTCCTCGGCATCCCGTGGAGGATCATCTTGGCATCGGCGCTCATGGCGGGATGCTGGTTTAACCTGCACCAGCCCACCAGAGCTGCTTGCGGGTGTGCCCATCGCTGACCGATCCTGGTGCGCAGGAGCGGTCGCGGGCGGCAGTGCAGCCGCTGTGGCGGTCATGGAGGTGGGGTATAGAAACAGCGTGATGCATGTACGTGAGTATGTGATTGTGTATCCAGTGTAGCCCAACCTGCCAAACGGACGGGATGGGTAAAGGCAATATGCGATCGTCGCTACGATCAAACGGGAACGACTCGAAGGAAGCCTCCTTGACTGCTGGATAAAGGTGGACGGGCCAAGTGGATGGAATGGGATTGGATGGGATGGGATGTGTTAGCAGTGGCGAATGCACTAGGCTACCACACACTCCCTCTGTCATCGCTATCATCGCATCAGCATTGGCAGGCGGGTTGAAACTGGAACTCTACTGCTACCATTTGATTGCCTACATTGCACCACATGTGGGTCGCACGCAACATCATCACTCTCACGCCATGAGCACGGAGACATCGCCAGCCGCTCAAAGTAGGTTGGAATGGGCACGACCCATTGATCTGCCGTTTGCGACCTGGCGAGCATTCGATCGATTCTTGATTGATATGACTGATGGAGTGAATTTCCCCGCCCACCAGCAGCGCCATCCTTTTCGCTCTTCGCGCTTTCACATGCGGACAAAAGCAGAAAAGCAGCCTAACCCTCTCTCTCCAAGTCTGCACTTGGGTGCAATTCCAAATCAATTACGTAAGTAAAAGGATATTGAGTTACTAATCTTTCGGCCGAGAGGTGCAGTTCGAGTTGGAGAAAGAAGAAAAAAAAGAGTGCTTTTTTCATATCTCCCTTCGTTGGTAGCTACCAAGTTTGCGATTCTCCTTCCCTTCTGACATAAGGACTGGCGGTGCACAAGCATACAGCAGGGCACAGCTCAGCTGATTCGCACAAACCCTCACTGCACTCCCTTGCTGCTCATCCTTGTGTGTCTGGCATCACCTTGCGTGCACGGAGCTTAAAGGCGATTGCAGCCATCGCTCGGAACCCGGTGCAAGCATGATTCCCAATCGGTTGATAAACACTGGCAGCCGCGCCTTCTGCCAGTCCGTCCGCAACGGTTTTGTCAGCGGTAGCGGTATTGGCAGCGGCAAGAGCCTCAAGTTTGCGTGTGCCGCACCTCTTTCAGCCGCTGGCATCGCTTGCGTACCGCCTTTGACTCGCTCTATTTCCTCTCATCGCCGCCCAACTCCCGTGGAGCCATCACCGCTGTCACCCAGGGCACAAAGCAAGGCAAGGCAGCTCTCCTATGCTTCCAGGCTCTCTTCCCCAGCACCCTCTACACCGGCACTTGCTCAGCACACTGAATACGAGCCGTCCGCAACTGGATTGCAACAGTGGGCAAAATGGCTGCCAAAGGTGTGTCTCGCTTCGATGGGCAGTAGTGCACCTGTCTCCCAATGGTCACCATTTACTCACACATGTCTACCTCTGGCAGGTCAAGCGGTCTCAAGTCAAAAAAGTCTTGCTTGTCGGATCAGGTGGCTTGAGCATTGGACAGGCTGGAGAATTCGACTACAGCGGCTCACAGGCTATTAAGGCTCTCCGTGAATCTGGTATCGAGACCATCCTGATCAACCCCAACATAGCTACTATTCAGACCAGTCATCATCTAGCGTCCCAAATATACTTCCTTCCCATCTCTCCCGAATATGTCGCATACGTGCTCGAAAAGGAGCGACCGGATGGTGTTCTCCTTACCTTTGGCGGCCAAAGCGCTCTCAACGTTGGCGTCAAGCTCGATGAGATGGGCGTCTTTGAGCGACTCGGTGTCGAGGTCCTCGGCTCTCAGGTCGACGTGCTGCGCATGTGCGAGGACAGGGACCTTTTCGTGCAAGCTCTGGATCGTGAGTAAAGTTCAGTCGCCCGCCCCGCATTCTATTACTGGCATGTGGAAGCTGATGTATCGATCATGTACACAGAGATCAACATTCCAGTCGCCAAGTCCGAAGCCGTATCATCTGTGAATGCTGCACTCAAGGCAGCAGAGGACATTGGATACCCTGTCATCGTCCGTGCCGCTTATGCGTTGGGAGGGTTGGGCTCTGGCTTTGCGGAGAACGAGGAAGAGCTCCGAGATCTGAGCGCCCGCTCGCTTTCTCTGAGCCCGCAAATCCTGGTCGAGAAGAGTCTCAAGGGTTGGAAGGAGAGCGAGTACGAGGTTCTTCGTGATCAGGAAGACAACGCAATCATCTGCTGCAACATGGAGAACTTCGACCCGCTCGGGATCCACACTGGAGACTCCATTGTCGTCGCCCCGTCTCAGACCCTATCGGATGACAATTACCACATGCTGCGCACTGCAGCGTTGAAAGTCATCCGCCATCTTGGTATCGTTGGAGAGTGCAACATTCAGTATGCGCTCAGCCCGGATAGCCGAGAGTATAGGGTGATCGAGGTGAACCCCCGCTTGAGTCGGTCAAGTGCGCTCGCGTCCAAGGCGACAGGATACCCGCTTGCTTACACTGCAGCCAAGCTGGCCCTTGGTCACACACTTCCGGAGCTTCCCAATGCCGTCACCAAGACAACCACTGCATGTTTCGAACCCTCCCTTGACTACATCGTCACCAAGATCCCCAAGTGGGATCTCTCGAAGTTCCAACACGTCAACCGTGAGATTGGCTCGAGTATGAAGTCCGTGGGCGAAGTCATGGCTATCGGACGAACATTTGAAGAGTCGCTGCAGAAAGCCATTCGCCAAATTGCGCCAAATTACGATGGCTTTGCTCCGTACATCGAGCCTGTCGACCTGGACCACGCCCTTGCGGTTCCCACGGACACGCGCCTTTTCGCCATCGCGTACGCAATGCTCGTAAAGGGCTACGATGTCGAGAGGCTCCATGATCTCACGAAGATCGACCGCTGGTTCCTGCACAAGCTCCAGAACATCGTCGACATCCATCACACGCTCAAAGACCTCGGCGAGATCAGCGCTGTTGACAAGGAGACTGTTTTGCTTGCAAAGCAAAGGGGATTCTCAGACAGGCAGATCGCGCAACTCACCAACAGCACCGAGGATGTTGTTCGCAAGCACCGCAAATCGCTCGGTGTCACCCCCTTCGTCAAGCGTATTGACACTGTCGCTGCCGAGTACCCCGCGCATACAAACTACCTGTACACGACTTACAATGCGACCACGCATGATGTCGAGTTTGACGACAACGGAACCATGGTCCTTGGCTCTGGTGTCTACCGCATTGGCAGCTCGGTTGAGTTCGACTGGTGCGCTGTCACCTGCGCTCGCCGCGTCCGCTCGATGAACCACAAGACCATCATGATCAACTATAATCCCGAGACTGTCAGCACGGACTTTGATGAGGCCGATAGGCTTTACTTCGAAGAGCTCGGGTTTGAGCGTGTGATGGATATCTACGAGCTGGAAGGCGCATCTGGTGTTGTCGTCTCCGTCGGTGGTCAACTTCCGCAAAACATCGCGCTTAGGCTCAAGAACAATGAAGTGAATGTCCTCGGTACCGATCCCGTCATGATCGACTCTGCCGAGGATCGTCACAAATTCTCATCAATCTTGGATCAGATCGGCGTCGATCAACCCGAATGGGTCGAGGTCACTACCGTGGAGAAGGCCAAAGAATTTGCGTCCAAGGTTGGCTACCCTGTCCTTGTCCGTCCCAGCTACGTACTCTCAGGTGCGGCCATGAATGTCATCTGGGACGAATCCACATTGCAACAGCATTTGACAGGAGCTGCAGAAGTCAACACTGACTACCCGGTTGTTCTTAGCAAGGTGCGTCCTGAGCTCCTCATGCTCATATATGCCATACTCTTACGCTCTCCAACTTGTCGTTCCGTTCTAGTTCATCGACAATGCTCAAGAGATTGATGTGGATGCTGTCGCGTACAAAGGCGAGCTTCTCGTTCATGCAGTGTCAGAACATGTGGAGAATGCTGGTGTCCATTCCGGCGATGCAACGCTGGTTTTACCGCCATTCTCACTTGATCCCAACGATCTCCAGCGCTTGAAGGCCATCGCACAAAAGGTTGCAAAAGCGTTCCAAATCAGCGGCCCATTCAACATGCAGGTCATCAGAAAGCCTGCGGAGGAAGGAGAGACAGAAGCAGCTCTCAAGGTCATTGAATGCAATCTGCGCGCCAGTCGTTCGTTCCCATTCGTCAGCAAGGTGTTGGGTGTCAAGTGGGTTTCAGTTGAAATGTTGGGCCTTGAGGGTTGACCATTGACCTATCGTGATTTTTCCATCGTAGCTTCATCGATATTGCGACATGTGCCATTGTTGGACAGGATGTCCCGAAGCCAGTGGATCTGATGAACGAAAAGCGCGACTACGTAGCCATCAAGGTTCCTGTCTTCTCATGGACTCGTCTGGCTGGCGCAGACCCTTTCCTTGGAGTCGGTGAGTTTACAGCTTGCTTTCATTAGCATATCGATGATTGACATAAAAATGTACAGAAATGGCGAGCACGGGCGAGGTGGCTTCGTTCGGCAAGGACTTGGCCGAAGCATACTGGGCTTCCATTGCGTCCACCACAGGCTTCCGGGTGCCTGAACCAAACAAGGGTGTCTTGATCGGTGGCGACATCTCCAAGCCGCAGATGGCAAGCGTCGCCCGCCGCTTGTATGACTGTAAGTGTGCATCGCGAAAGCGCTCTTTTGAACATGTGCTAACGCGCTGAATGTCACGCTGTGTACTCTTAGTGGGCTTCAAGCTGTACTGCTCGAATGCTGAGGTTGAATCCTTCCTCAATTCCATACCGCACGTCTCAGCGAAGCGTATCTGGTTCCCATTGAAAGACAAGCGGTGAGTGTCTTGCTCAGTGCGCGCATATGCGAGATCCATTTTGACTCGTATGTCTCTCACAGTAAATTGCGCGAGGTCTTCGATGAGTATGAGATTCAATTCGTTGTCAACCTAGCCAAGTCCCGCGGTCGCGACACCATGGATGAGGACTACGTAGCTCGCCGGAATGCAGTGGACTTCGGTGTCCCGCTTATCAATGAGGCACGTTGCGCGGAACTCTTCGTCGAAGCGCTTGAGCGCAAAATTCCTCAAGGAGGTTTGCTTGGCTATCAGGAGGGCAAGATCCCGCCTGAGGTCAAGAGCTGGCGCGAATTTGTGCCAGACAATACCGCTTAGAGGTGCATATTCTGCGCAATGTTTACGTTACACCCCAATCGCGCATATCGAGTCATCTATGTAGAATCTTTCATCCCATCAATGCATGCATGTCGACGGAATGAATGCCACACAGCCTATAGTTTCTCAGCACCGCTGCTATCGCAACCATATCCATCACAGCCACAATTTATTCGCTGTCGAGCACACATGACTGGTCAAACAGTCGGCGGAATTCGGCAGGTATGGCCTTGGGGAACGCCGCCGTCAGTGTTTGCTGGTTTTGCCCAAACTGAGTGTGGAACTGTTGGACGGCAGCCACAATGTCAGTTTGATCGTTTGATCGCGACCTCGGCAACACTCACCCGACGAAGAAGCTCCTTCGACCATCCTGTCAACCAGTACTGATTCCAATCGGGTTCGTCCACAGCGTCCGTTGGGTTGGCGGGCATGGCCTCAGCAAAGCCGTTGATTAGCGCCGACAAAACCTTACGCTGCTCAGTCATAACAGCCTCCAAAGCCACCCGTCGATCTTGCAACGTATCCTTCTTCTCTTTCGCGGGGTCCTCCGGGACAGGAACTGCAACAGAAGTTGGAAAGACTATGGCAGGTGCCTCTTCCTCTTCGTTTGCCTTCTTGCTTGGTGCTGCAGCGGCTTCAGCTTCCGCCATCTCTTGTCGTGCTGCTTCCTCCGCTTCCAAGGCTTCAACACGAGCCTGCAACTGGTTGACACGCCCATTGATCTTTTCAATCGTGTTGCGGAGTAAATCCCACCAAACGAAGGAGCTCCAGTCTCGTGCTTCCTCATTTTGGCCCAAACCATCTACGGGAAGTTTTGAGGCTGCTGGATCGAAGACGTACTTGACAATGTCCGATGGCTCTAGGATGCGATACTGGAGCAACTTGTCGGCCACGATGAGGATCCATTGCGGCGACCTTCTCCAGAATCGAGCGACCGCGCCAAGGATGTGGATGCGCATTTCGGGTGATGTGGACAAGTTTCGGAGCAAGGCGTGGTACCTAAATGCGCAAGATAGGTTTCATTCAGCGTATGGTTCAAGCTCTCTGCATCAAAGAAGGGGTCCTTACCTCTCAACCACGTTCAGGAAGTGAGAGAAACTTCGGCTGCCAACGCTTAGGACCGCCTGCACTGCCACGTCGCGAATCATAATCTCGGCTTGTGCTTCTGTAGCTACCGTTGGCGCGTCGGTATCTGTCATCGTCACGTCATCCGGGGCAATGATCTCCCTTTTGAAGCTTTCAAGATTGGCCAAAACGACGTCAGCACTTGCCTTTGCCCGGAAAGAGTTGACGAGCTCTGTTGCTTTCACGTGCCACGTTTGGTCTAGCAACGCAAGGCATACTCAGCCGAGGATCTTGCAAAGCAAAAAATCGAAGACATCACTCACTAGGATCTTCATAAGTGAAGCTGGGCCCAGGCTCTTCTTGGGGCAGCGCGCCTGTTTGAAGCTCAGCCGGAAGCACGGACTTGACACGGTCATAGTATGCTAAGCGGACGCAAAGGTCTGCGACGCGGACGCAGAATGCCCTGCGCGGATGTTGTGGCGGCAGCTCCATATCTGGCACCCATTCCTTCCATGCCCACCCAAAGTTGAAATTGCTGAGATGCGCGCTGAACCAGTCACTCAGTCTCTTCGTTACTTCTGTTTCTACTTTTCCGGTGGCCATGGCTGTGTATATACGCCGAAGTGATTTGCCGATCGCGGGCGCAATCGTCTGCGGGCTGGCTGCCACGACTTCCCGCATCAATGCAGCATAGTAGAGTTCCGGATGTGGAGCAGCCGGGAGCAAGAGGGCGTTCGATAAGATACCCTGAATTTTAGAAAAGATGCTTGCGTCAGACGAGATTCTGATGTTGACAAAGTTGGTTGCAAGCACTGCCTCACCTCAACCAGCAGATCTTCCAGGATCCAGGAGCCAGATGCAGGTGCCAACAGACGTGGTGCGGATGACCAGTCCATAGCCGTATCACCCACAAGACCGACATTCGGATCCATCTTGCCGCCAAATGTACCCTTGTGAAGGAATTTGGGCAAGTCCAATAGAACCTTTGCTGCGGTCCGTCGATTCGGCTCATACAAATCAATAAGATCATTGACAAGGCTTCGCAGCACCACTGATGACGGAGAGTCTGTCAATGGAGTCGACTGAATGTGATGAGTCAACGCCTGGTCAGTCACGGCAAGCATCATGTTTAGCCGATCCTTCCAGACCTACTTCTGTCATCCAGCGGGCATAAATGAATCTGCCCTGTGGGCCTGTTCCACCTCGCTTGATTTGAGCCTCGTCTGCGCTTAGGATCTTGGCGCGTGCTTTGCTAGTCACTCCCAATGGTTGCGGTCCAGCAGCCTGGTTGAGCTTTGCAAGCGCAAGGTCCTGTCCGAGCGAAACATAGTCCTCCTCATCAGGAGGAATGAGAGTTTCTGGAACATCCACTGTGCTTGCGACGTCCGCATTGAGATCTGCACTGATTGCGGGAGGGACAAGCTCGCCCGGCTGAGGCAGGAAGGGGATCTTGGGGTAGCCGAGTGACTTGTGGTTTTGCAAGGCTTGCAAGAGAGTCTCGAACGACTTCGTGAATGAACACAATTTGGAAGCGTGTCAGAAGAGATTGCACCTGGCCAGCGGTCTCTGTGAGATACGCTCACCTCCGTCGAAAGAGGTTGCAGACTGGCATGGCGCTGCCATGGCAAGAGAAGGTCATCCGCCACTCTTCTGCTTGCGCCGTAACTCTGCAGAGCATCGACCAGTTTGTCCAGCTGCTCTTTTGCACCTGGATCCGCAGCTAGAAGTTGATCGCCAGTGTAGCACAGTGGCTCAAGGATGCACGTTGCTGCCCGGTCTGCACGGGCCAGTGTGACCGCGGGTTCATCCATGACAGCAGCAAGCGAGTCGAAGAGCTTGTACAGCGACGAGGCGGAAATGATTCGCAGTGGAGTGAGGAGGCAGAAGAAACGGAGCTGGCGAGAAAAAGGGATGCATTTGTGTCAACTCCAGCCATTCATCCAGATGTCGTGAGCCGGCTTACCGTGAGTCTAACATTCCTCCATAGTCTTGCGTCGAGGTATGAGCGGAAAGCTTGCAATAATTCATTGACGACGACGGATCCTAAGCTGGAGCTCTCCTTGGCATCGGTCGGCTGATCCTTTGGCGTTGGTGGAGCAAGCACAAGCGTCGCAAGAAGAGCAGCTGTCAGAGGCATTTTTTGCGGTTGCTCGGTGATCCTTGGGATAGCAGCAAGGCAGTCAGCCTTTTGAAGGGCAGTCTCGCACAAGGCATCACGGTACCCACATGATCAAAAATGTCCGTTCAATGACTTCTCGCAACTGTGCAGATGATGAAGCCTGGTCCACGAGGTCTTGTGCAACAGCATAGAGCTCGCTTGGCGCGTGGAACTCGGCCTTCTCCCCAAGACCAAGGAGTGTACTTCTGAGCTTGTTGGCCCTGTGGGTCTCGGTGTCATTCTCCCTGTAGTCGGCAGCTCCAGTGTTGCCTTTACCGCCGTGATAACTACCACCGCCGTTTCGGTAATGATCTCGCCTGCCACCTCTGTAACCTCCCCTGTGATGGGTGCGCCGGTCGTGTCCGCCTCCACGGCCGCCGCCAGAAGATGGGTATGGAGCGAAAGTACGGCTTGCGCCGCCCGAGTAGCTCTCGTAGCGCGACATGCTGGCGGGATGCAAAACGCCCAGGTACCGCTCGATTTCGCAATCTGGAACGGCTGATGGTAAGCTTAGTGCGTACACCGTGGCATCCAACGCTGTAGCATGAACTCAGCAGTGGTCGTGACGAGTTGCATTCAAGCTGTGATTGATTCACTTCATTCAAAATTGAGCTTCCAATCCTCTGATGCACATACGTCTCCATAGTTTGCCTCTTCATATGTAACCCTACTTGGTTTGACTATGTTCCCACACGTCGCTCTCATCTCCCCTCCTACGACCCACACCCTGAAGGTTCTCTCGTCGTCTCTGTTGGCTGCCCAGTGTGAGGTGTGCCTCCATTTGCTGAGGGTGTTTGCTTCGTTGCGTTCAAGCCGATCTCAGTGAGGATAAAGATCTTGCTGTGTGGTCGATTCATTCCCCTCCACGCATCCTGTTCTCGAGCTTGATTGTCGCACGGACGAGGCGAAGATGACGACCAAAGCCGACATCGCTAAGCTTCGAGCGTGCTTGCGCTGTCAGTTCGTCCAACGCGGTGCCGACTTTAATGCGCGAGGCTGCCCCAACTGCGAGGCTGTACTGCAGGTGTGTTGTTCAGTCTGCTCTCGAAGACTGCGCTGGAGTAGATGCCACGAAGAAGCGAAAGAATTGCTGCTGACTTGGCTTTCCCTTTGCCGGCATGTTGGGTGCGACCAGATGCAAGGGTCGCAGGACACAGTTCTCGACTGCACCACGAGCAATTTTGATGGACTTGTCTCTATGATCCACCCCGATCAGAGCTGGGTGGCGAAATGGCAGCATATAGGTGAGTATCCTCGCGCAGAAGAAGGCTCAATTCGGTGAGGCAGCTCATCGAATGCTTGCACATGCCTAGAGAAACGAGTACCGGGTCTATATGCGGTCAAGACCACCGGCCGATTACCAGAACAATATGAATAGCAACAACGAACGTCTTGAGAGCGTCGCATCGCATTGTTTCTGCTCCCGCATTGTTGTATTACAAAAATCACCCAAATCGAGCTGCGGTCGACAAGGAACATCTCAACCCCTTTTTACTCTTCTTCCTTTGCGCTGCAGACCTCACGACCGATCTCGTGTACGCACTCGAGGAAGTACCTCATGTCCTCAGGATCCACACCAGGAGTAATGCCGTGCCCAAGGTTGACAATGTGTGCGCCGGACCCTCCAAATCCGCCTTTGCGCGAGCGCAACATCTTGTCTACTTGCTGCCGGATTGCTTCCTTACCCGCGTAGAGCACGGATGGATCGAGGTTGCCCTGTAGCGCGATGCGGTGCGCCGCCTCATTGGCACCGGCTCCAGCCTTCAAGGAAGTACCGCCCGGCGAGCTCATCTCAACGATCCGGCGTGCGACGCTCGGCTCAACAGTCCAGTCAAGGCCGACGACATCGTAGCCCGCCTTGCTGACTTCCGGGAGCGAGTGACCCAAGGCGCCTTTGGCAAAGCAGATCAGTGGGACGCATGCACGCGAATTGCACGATAGTGCATCGCGGACGCCAGCCGAGATGGCGCGAAGGTAGGGTAGGCTGAATGTGCGGAAGTCGGATGGGGACAAGGTGCCAGCCCATGAGTCAAAGACTTGAAGCAGCTGGGCACCTGCCCGGACCTGTGCAACCAGGAACTCAATGCAGACATCTGTGATGCGCTGCAGCAACTCCTTGCTTTCCTCTGGGTGTGCCCAGAGCCACTTTTTGGCTTTTTCGAACTCCTTGCTTCCGCCACCTTCAATCATGTATGCCATGAGCGTCCATGGTGCACCGCAGAAGCCGATGAGAGGTACCCTTCCTTCGAGCTTTTGTCTCGTGAGCTTGATGGCATCCATGACATAACCAAGCTCCTTCTTGACATCGACTTTCTTCTTGAGCCTCTCCATATCGCTCGGCTTGTGCAGCGGTGCGGGGAAGTGGGGGCCTTTGCCTGGCAGCATCTCGACTTCGAGACCCATAGCCTGCGGAACGACGAGAATGTCAGAGAAGATGATAGCCGCATCGAGAAGTCCATGGTAGCGTCGAATGGGCTGGAGCGTGATCTCTGCTGCTAGCTCAGGTACACGGCAGCACTCGAAAAAATCGTGCTTCTCTCGCAGCGCCCGAAATTCTAGAGGGTGTGGCAGATGTTGGTGCGTCAATTCTTTGCCTCGTCCCTTCTGGGCTCCGTATCATGAAGGGAAAGGGGCTCACCTGGAAGATATCGTCCGGCTTGACGCATGACCCAGACGGGAGGCCTCGGGGTCGCCTCGCCCCGTGCAGCTCTGATGATGAGATCGTTGCGCAGCTCTGGGTCTTTGGACTTGGACTCATCGGCCTGCTTTTTGGTAGTGAAGGAGTTGAGATGCTTCATTAGCGTTGCGGCGGTGCCTCCGCCACCCTGAGATTCTTGGACCATGCCTGGTGATGATAATCCTGAAGCTATGCTGAACTGTGGCAGTTAAATGGAAATCTAGCCCAGGGGGGCACAGAACGACCCAGGCGCTGCTGAAGATTGCCGAGCGCAAAATGGCGCTTCTCAGAGTTGTTATCAAGGCTGATCTGGGATGAATAGTGTTCCCCCCTTATTTCTGGCTATAATGCGCTGATGGGGACGAATGAATTAGGATTGAGGCAAGGAGTCTATAAGTCATTCATGGACTTAGAAGAGCAGGAACTTGATGAGAGGTGCGGACCGCTGGTAGCTGGGGTTGTCCGGCGAGAGAAAATTGCACCGATTAGACATCAGGTCAACTCCTCACAACTGATCGCTTCTCTGAAGGAGTCCTCAGTCGTTAGCTGCGTCATAGCAGCAATTGTTTGTGCTTTCGACATGTCAATTGCCTTGGGAACGGACTGGTATCCACACTGCCACCAGCTTGGACCATTCAGCTACTGCGTAATAGCAATAGGTGGGAACACATTGGTCTTGAAGAGGGGACACAAGGCAGGTCTGCCCTTCGTCCCCCCCTCAACAACGTGCCAAGATGGCGGCAAAACGCATGTCCAAGAGGCAAGCGCGAGAGGAGGAAGAGCTTGCAGCTCTACAGAAACAGGCAGGTAGACTTTCTACTCCAGGCGAAGACAAGATCGAGGAAGCAGATGGAGAAGCGGGCAATGTAAAGGATGCATCCCCAAGCTCGAACTGCAAAACCGTACAAGCACAGCCTGTCAGTGCATTTGCAGCCGTGAGTTTCGGTTCGTAGGAATTTTTCCGTGCTCCTGTGCTTAAAGATCTCTGCACGGTACCGATCTCCAGCTCAGCTTGAATTCAGATGAGGAAGAGCGGGAACAAGACGAAGGGAACGAACAAGAAAGAGAGACCGAGTCTGCACCGGCGAAAGGTAGCTCAAAGACCAAAAAGAAAAAGCAAAAGAAGAACCGAAGCAAGGGACTGCAAACGGAAGATGCCCTACAAACCGGTGAAGCAAGCGGGTCCACTACTCCCAGTACAGACAAAGGCACACTTGGACTGTCCAAAGGAGGCAGCAAGTATACGAATGCCAGAGCGCTGACCAAGGGAGAAAAGCGAAATGTGGAGGACATGAGTATGGACGAGTTTGATCGTCTCTTGGCGCAGGAGCGAGCCACGTCGGATGCAACAAGCGGGGCAGTAGCATCTACAGGTTCCGGAGCGCCGGCATCATCAAGCACAGAGTACTGCCTTCTCAACAAGCTGCGATCAACGCTAAGCTGTACAGCGCAGAACTTTGATCCTTTTGTCGAGCTGAAGAGGACTTTTGGAGCGGCAGCTGTGAAGGCATACGAGTCCGAAGCGCGCAGCACTGGCGGAAGCGGCGCTGCAGGCGGGCGAGCAGCCAGAATGCGGAACGCAGCACACAATCCCAACATGCGGTTACGATGTGTGCTCGTGCAGCCAAAGCCTGAATGGCTGCCCATCGCGCAGACTTTCACGGGCATGAATATGGAGGACCACGTAGAAGAAGGGAAGGGCAAGATTTGCTCGTGGATTCATTCGAGGGCTTACAAAGAAGCACAGTACAATTTTCTCGAAGCGGTTCGATCGTACGTGTCGTGCTTTGTCGTAGCTAGCCCTGTCGAACCATCCCTGAATCATTTACCTTGCCCATACTCCCATGCCACAGGTATGACCCCAACTCGTTGCACACCCTTATTCGGATCTACCCCTGGCATATCGACACTTTGCTACAACTGAGCGAGGTCTTACGACATCAGGGCGACTTGGGTCAAGCTGGTGACTTTGTCTCTCGAGCGTTATTTGCCTACGAGCGGTGTGCAAATCCATCTTTCGTATCCTCTCTCACCTCTTCCTCCGGTCCCGCGCAAGTCGACTTCTCGCGTATAGAGAACCGCGGGTTCTATCTCGCCGCACACCGTCACATCAATTACTTAGGGCGCCGGGGGACATGGCGCACATCGCTCGAGTGGTGCAAGCTATTGCTATCCATAGCGGCACCCTCAGATCCACATGCGGTGCTGCTATGGGTAGACTTTCTCGCAATCAAGAGTTCAAGCCACAAGTGGGTGTTGCAGCTGGATGAGGCCCTCACTCAGGCAAGAGGAAGTGTGGAATGGGCTGTGGGATGGCAGTTCGCTAAGGCCCTCGCATATCGAGGGATCGAGAGAGAAGAAAGAAATCATGTGAGCAGCTTTCTTTTCGCTTCTGACGCTTGTCACCTGTATAGCTGCTCACGAGGCTGTCCTCAATGCCCCCAGGACCATGCAAAGAGCAATACGGCGCTAGAGGAAGCGATGGGTCTGCACCCTATAGCTGCGCCAGTGCTTTTAAAGAAGCTCGGCACAGAAATTCCCATGGAAGCTCTTGATGACCCGTCGCTACAAGTCGCAAGCTCATATTCGGAGATCAATGGACGCGATGCCTATGTGCACCTCCTCAGCCATCTGTACGCTGCACGTTCCGAGTCGCTTTGGAAGGATCACGACCACCAGTCATGGCTCTCGGAGACTTTTAGGCGAGTTTGGCCTGTCATTAAAAAAAAGGCGCGCAGACCAAATCCTCCAGATGGTGAAACGCTCACCAGCATCTACCGCCATGTAATCGTTTCGGATATCCCCGACACATTGCGCCAGCAGTTGATCTCGCTTATGCCGCCCGATGTGACGTCGCGCTCAGAGCTGCTCGAAGCATCCGATCCGTTTCCACCTGCTTACGGCACCCGATTCGATGATGAATATTTTGCTGACATCTCTGGTCGCATGCCAAGTTCGAACCGGGGTGGACCCGGCGGGAGGCGAGGCGCGCAAGATCTGATGAGGATGATTCAGGATGCCCAGGATCGACTGCCGCAAGAGGAGCAGGTGGGTCGTGCTTTCTCCTGTTACGCGTCCTGTCTTCGCTCTTTCGCTGACCTAGTCATCCGATGCTCATCGGCTTCCACAGGCCGGATTCTTCAATGACCTGATCCAGCAAATGCATCCTGGTGGCTGGAACGGTGACGAGGATGGCGAAGCCAACGGTGGCCGAGAGGCACAAGGAGGAGTTGAAGGACAGCAACATGATGCTCGTGGGATTCTGGAGAGACTCATGGCTTTTTTGCAAGCTCGTAGACCAGAATAGCATCTGTAATCGAGCTGTCCCTATGACGTGATTAATGATGCATCAAATGCAACAAATGCTGTGTTTCACGGAAGACTCCCGTGTCGTCCGCACCCAGCAATATGCGGTTCCAATACACCATTGCTTTGCTTGTGGTTTTCGATGATGGTCTCCATTGGAGACCCTTCTCCGAGCCTGTTCAATGGCATCCTGAGGTCGTTTCACTGCAATAAACATGTATTGATGGTGTATGACGCAAGTTGCCACGCGAAAGTTGAAGTTGTACCCCACCTGCTCTGTGTTGTTCTCTTTTGGGGTTCACCTGCCACCTTCATATTCTCTTTCCCTAACAAGTCCAATCTTCGTTCAAGGATCTTGGATCCTTCATATAAGCCATCTCCCACGGATTGACAGTCATGCCCGATGAGGTTGCCTTCCTTGATGACATCGAGGTTGAGAGTGCGCTTTTGAGTGCGGTCTCCTCTCATCGCCCAGTTGGTATCCATCGTCATTTCCACCTGATTCGGATACTCCAGAAGCTCTCGCAAGCCGTGGAAAAAATAGATGAATCTCGAAAAGAGGATAGCAGGCCACCCTTAACTGGCCAAGCAGCGCTGCAAGATTCGAAGCTGATTTGGAACAAACTGGAAGAATGGTACGATCTGACAGCGTTGAACGAGCTCGTGAGTGCATTCAATGGGGTGTTATGTGCTTTGGAGGAGGACCAAGAGCTGAATCGCTACGCCATACTACGGTAATTTTCAGGAATACAAAATAGAGGGAGGCGTCCAGGACGAAGAAGATGACGAGGACAGCTGTGAGGCCGATGGGGGAGACGACAGCGAGGATATGCCAGAAAACCGCTGCCCCCAATGCGAGGAGGGCTTTATACTCTCGCAAACGTTCGAGTTCGAGAACATGATCGCTCAACGCGCTAGAGCGCCAGAAAGCAGCGAAGAAGATTTATCAGATGATGAATTGACGGAAGTGGAAAGTCCAGTCAAAAAGAGCGTGAAGCGCTCTGCCCCTCCAAGCGAAGGCGAAGACGATGAGCCCGAGCAAGATGGCGAGGATGAAGCGGAGGCACCGACACGACGGGGGACTCGTTCTGGGAGCCGTTCCGGACCACCGCCAGCGAAGGGTCGAAGAAGCACACGCAAATAGGCAGTAGACGAACGCATATGCTACAGATGCAGGCGCATGAGATACATCAATACTTCGCACTAGCAGCTGCGAATATTCGAACGGCGGCCACGTGCCACGGCAACGGCAGGTCGCATGCAAGTCGGAGCTTGGTGACCGTTCTCAGCTCGTGGAAAGACACGAGAACTTGTTGCATGACTTCTTCCATTCCCGCGGAACTTTCCGGCACGGTAGCTAGGATGTGAAGAATGTAGTTCTCTGTCGACCAAGAAGATGCGGTCGCCGAGCAGAGGCGGCGAGACGCCAACAGGCCAGATGCAAGAGGTGAAACGTCACAGAGATCGTGGATAAGGCGCGCAGGCGGGAAGGTCCAGGCGAGATCCAGGCGAGACGAATCGTGCATGAGCGAGTTGTCGCGGGCTGCATTAGCTTGCTGAGGAAAATCATGCCCTGGCGGAGCTAGTCTCTCCCATGGCAGGGCGATTGGAGTACTCCGGTCCAAGCACAAGAAAATCACGTGTTCTATCCATGGTGGCTTTTGCTCGGCCGCAATGTTCTTGAAGCAACCTGTTATGCGCTCCTGGTCAGCTGAGATCATTAATGCAATGTGCAATTAGGCTTACCCAGTCGGATTTCCTCCCTAGATGAGCAGCTGTGGCAGAGGACAATTGTGCATTTCTGCGAAGCCCTTCTGGCAAAAGACACCGCGTTAGTCCAGACCGTGAGTAAGTCATCGTATGTTTTGCCACTCTTCGGCGACTGCTTTGTCTCCGAAAGCTGGGCTTTATTGTCGATACATGCGGTCCAGATGCTGCCAGTGAAATCAATGTCGTAGGCCACGTGAACGAGGTAGTCAGTTGCATCGTGAGAGTCCGAGACATGCGGCCACGTCAAAGAGAAATGTTTCGATTGACGGTAGGTAGCAGGTGCAAGGGCGAATGCTGGACTTTGGAAGCTGTGTCCGGAGGGTGTTAGCTCTCGGTGGAGGTGGCGCGTAGCTTCCGGCGGCGAGCTGCTTTCGATACTATCGTAGAGTGCTAAGCAGTCGAGGTAGGAAGGTCGTTTTGCGGTAAGCTCCACGACCGTCACGAATGGCTGCGGGTTACCTGCTTTGCGACACAGAAGCCGCAAATCCACCTGTATCGCCCCTAGGATCTCTTGATCGGGTGTTTCCTTGCATCCAGCCACCCAAAGCACTGTGTACTTGTCATGTGCGGCAGCCGCATTGACTCTTGTGCCCAACGAGTGGATCGTGTTGTTCCAACGCTCTGAATGAAGAAGCAGTTTTAGCGGAATATGCCTTCTCACACTATGTTACTGGCTCACCGCTGTCCATTCTCAGCTCGCTTAATGCAGGGGTTCGTGGATCACTGGCAGCGATGATGGCCACATCTACTTGACTGAAAGTGCCCAAGGACATGCTCTAAAAGGTGTGAAGCGGTTCAGTATCGTAGCATAGATGTTTTACCCCTTCCTGTTTCTCACCTCGTAGCTATACTTCCACACGTCAAGTCGACGCCGCGTGTCGCCAATGAAGCCTTCAGATGACTCCTCGACCAGCAAAAGACATGTGACGTTCTTCCGACCCGCAACAGGTGCCAGATTCAATTTACTCCAAAATGGCACTGCGGCCGCATTTATCTTGAGGACAGACCCCGCGCTGCTCACGATCATTTGCGTTTGCTCTAGCAGTTGCAAAGTGCCAACTCGCGATATTGATCCCGCTGCGAAAGCCTTTGGGTCTTTGATGGCCCTTGCGGCGACGTCGCAACCTTCACACTCGTCACCCATGGACTGGACTTGTGCGTCACCTTGAACACGAGCACCATAATGCAGAAGCCTTGTACAGGACGGATTGTACAACCGATCCTCCACTTGAGCATCCGATGATGTCTGCCGGCCGCGTACAGTGAGTGCGCGAGTGCGGGAATGCACAGACACACGCCCAACGACAATTTTAACGGCATGCGAGAGAAGGTCTAGCTGCGACTTGAGCGTCTGCACTTCGTCCACTGCATGCCCTCGATCAGCCTCAGATTCAGAGTCACTGTCATCAGAGTCACTTTGTCCGCTGACCGAAGCATCTGCTGTTCCCAGCTCGGACAACTCTTCATCATTCATGTGCCTGTGGCGAAGAGTGGCCAGCAGCCGTTTCTTACGAGGTGGAGCCTGTCCCTGCAAATGCGGGTTTCCCTGTGCTTGCGCCTTTGTGCTTGCCTGTAGGCGCGTCTGTGTCTGTGCCTGCAACTGTACTGTCAGGTCGGGAGCATCGCCATTCGGTTTAGCCTGCGTTGATGTGCTGCCATCGACCGGAACGGCGAATTTGCCCTCTTCATACTTGGAAGCCATATCACCAGTGGGCAGATCACGTGGCATCATTGCCCGCATTGAGCCGAGCAGATGGTAGTCAAGGTCGTAATCTACCGACTTTGCGCTCAGATCCTCATCGGCACTCTGCTGGACGGAGGAGCGGACATTGTCAAAGTTCGCAATGGCTACCGAGTCCGGAACGAAATGCTGCTCGTCTCCAGGTGTTTGCGGCGTCTTGCCGAGGAGCGGGCCCATGGTAGGAGAAGAGGCTGTCAACGAGCCAGGAGTGAACGCGGGTAGAGATGGCGCATCGAGGCTTGCAAAGGTTGTCCCAGTGACAGCGCCTGCTGGATGGCGAGGAAATATCTGCTGCAGAACCAAGAGGGGCGCAGCAAGAGATGTGCTGTGGGGCGGACCCGAAGAAGCATGCCCTTCCAATGCAGCGTTCGGAGCAGGTGCATCATAAGCGTGAAGCTGGCCTTGCTTGGCTGCTACGTTGGTATCAGCTGGTAGATCAGCAAGAACGATGCCACCCCCACCGAAAAAGTCAAAGTCGACATCCGTGACGATGTCCATATCTTCGAACGCACGTTTAGCAGGTGCCGAAGAGGCCTCAACGCCAAAGGCGGGATTTGGGTGATCAGATCCGAATGCCTCGACCGAGTCGATATGAGCTGCTGGCGGCAGTAACTCTGCCTGGTTCCCTGTAGGAGAGGTACACTTGAGATTCGGAGAGTCGACAACAATGCCTTGTCGATCGGAGCTCGAATGCGACACATCTCTGCCGTCTTCGCCATCCGCTTCGCCCCACAAGTCTGCATCACCTTCGGAGCTGGACCATGCATCTTCGGCGGTCGCGGCATGAGACAACCTCCATTCTTGCGGCTGCTCCTCGACAGCAGATTGCATTGAGGGCTCTTGTTTAAGAGCTACCCCTTTAAGAGCAGTGGCAGTCAGTGCCACTTGTGCGCCGCCTTGCGCATCGACAATCGATAGCTGGGCCGGCGGCGGAGGTGGTGTGATCGGCGGTGCAGCCTCCTGCCGGGTCTTGGTCCTGGCACTGGCGAGGCGCTGCAATGCTTTCCGAGAGTTGTCCAGCACTTCTCCGAGTCGCTGAGGTGTCGCAAAATTGAGTCGCTCCACGGCTGGCACAATCACCGACGCCGTCTTCGTCTTTTCGCCTGCGCTGATGATCCCTTCGACGTGGCTCCCTTCAGTGCCAACATGACGAGGTACAGCAAGGTAACAAAGCGATTGCAGCCAGAGGAAGACGCGCGTGTTTCCCGTGCTGGTGTCATTTTCGCCTTGTTGGACTTGCCCTTGCGCGCCAGCGGCACCACCGCCGTCCTTCTCATTCTCATTCTCATTCTCATTCTCGCTTTCTTGGCGCTTGCAAAGGATGTAACGATCCCTCTCCAGATCCTCTTCCACTTCCGGCGAGCTGAGACAGCCCATTGCAAGGAGCCGCGTCTTGAGCTCCTCTTTCATCGACTCCCAAGCATGCAAGGTCGACACGCCGACCGCGTGGTCTCTAGCTGCATCCCTTTGCAGAAGGTTGATGTCTGCCTTCATCCATCGATCCACGAACGTAGCCTGGACGCCAAGAGGAGCGAGGAGCAGCGTTGCGCCAGAGCGAGGAACGCGGTCGGACGCGAGACAAGGCCCGGGATCCCACTCGCCGTCCCAAGCGCACGTCACAGCCGGATCCCGGTCTTCCCTAGGAGACCGCACGGAAAGGGGAAAGAGATTCCACGCTGTATCCTGGGGCTGGCGTGAGAGGTGCAGCTGCAAAATAAAAGGGGAGATGAACGCGCGTAGATTGATGGAAGAACTTGCTTCGGCGTGCGCGTGTGTAATGCCAACGTGCGAGGTGGAGCGCAGGTGGCCAGTGCGGCTCCTTCCGATGTTACAATCTCTCTCTTCTTGATCGTCGTACGTACTGTGCCTCGGCCACCTCAGAGGTGGTCGGAATCTAGGTCGCAGCAGTATACCGTCGCGCCAGCGAACGGGATATACATCCTCCTCCCCCGTGTCTCCCCGATTATCAACATCGAGGCCATCGCCTGCGGCCTGATTTCTTTGCGCACCCAACGCGCCAGACGGGTCCAGGGGTTTGCAAGGGTGGTGCTGCCGATGCAAGGCCCAGGCAACGAAGGCGCCATGCAGAGCGCGCTGCAACGCGTCGCACACGAGCGCATCGTTCCTCAGCTCCTCGAGCGTGATCGTGTGGTCCGGCTTTTCTGTCTCGAGCATGAGAAGCGGGAGCTCGTGCTGCAGAGCTGCACACGCTTTCTCGAGCGCGGAAAGTTGAAATTGCTCGGATGGCGACAGCAGCTGCGACAGTGGCCGCTGCCTTTGTTTCGCTGATGTTGGGGTGTGTGAGAAATTTGTCGGATCGGCTTGATCGGGCAAGGTGGAGGACAAGCGCAGGACAGCATCGCAGAAGGACAAGCTTGCGCTCGCGGGAGGGACAGCGGCTCCCTCAGTCGAGTCGTAGAAGCAGACGCGAAAGAGCCACAGAGACTGTGTCCTTGGCTGTGTCTGCCCTCTCGTACCGGAGTTAGTATCGGTTCGCCGCCGCTTGGCCTGCCTTTTTGCGCCGGTGGGTAACGTATTCGAGTACATGCCTTGTGCGTGCCTGAGGACATGTTGATGATGCACCTCGTCCTCTGGCTGCTCATCCTCCTGCACAGCAAAGAGTAGACGATCTTGTAAGAATTGCCGCGCAAATGCAGTTTTTCCGCTTTCTACATCCGCGTGTTTCTCTGTTTGCGACTCTGTATATGGCTGTGCATCTTCCGCCTCGCCTTTCCCATGGCGTTGTCCCTCGCTGCGTCCGTTGCGCTTCGCCTCTTCACTTCGTTCGAGGGCAGCCAGAATGCAAGCCTCGGCAAAGCGCATGGTCTGCAGTTGCTCGACAGCCGTGTTGAGATTGACGCGTTGCTGCGACGAAATAATCCCTTCTACTGTGGAAGTCCCGTCTGTGCTGTCCTCAAGCGCCGTTCTCGCACGCCAGTATGACACTGTGACCTTCCGACCCGTCGTGCTTTGGGGCTTGCTGAAGGATGACGACGCGTCGATGTCGGCATCGAGGACCGGATGGAGGGGCCAGGTGCCGAGGTTGGCCAAGGCTTCCGCGATGGGCAGGCCAGGAATGCATTGAATACCATGTGTCCACTGTGCAATATTTGTGCTTGGGCTGTGGCCGCCTTGGGCTAGCCCAGAGTTCAAGTTCGCCATGGCTGCAAGAAAGGAGTGGGCCTGCCGTGCGTTTTTCTGCTACTGCTGCTGTTTCCAACGCGTTAATGGCAGGTTTCTGAAATAAGAGGCCTAGATCAGACTCCCATTCAAGACGCAGTCGCTGTCCCTGCGTCCATCTTCCCTCGCTCACTTACATCCCGATGCGTGCTAGTTGGGACGAGGGCGACGGTGAGAGCATGTAGCTCGTTGTGGTGCACCTAAGTGTGCAATGAAAGGGGATGTGAGCGCCTTTGGTACAGGTTCAGGCGGAAGATTGCGAGAAGGGTGATTCCACGGAACGCCGGTGACGATTACCACCAACGTCACGAATGAGATCCGATGGGGCCAGGTTCATCGGCCCACCGCACGCATATTTAGGCACTGGGACCAACCGGCCTGCACAAAGCAGCCAGCAAAGCACCGGGGGAAGGAGGGGGGAGAGAGCTTGCCGACGTCCTCGGTCCTTGGTCCTTGATGCGATCAATGCATCCAACTGGGAGTGCATTCGAAGGCGATGGCAATTATCGCAAGCGGCAAGCTCCACCAGACGTGGCCTCCGTTACGACGTGGGAAGAAGCGAAGAGGGTCCTAAGGATGATGACGTAAGCAGGCCCAGCGCACGCGTCGCGTGTTTGGTGGCACGTGGGAGGTGTTGGTCTTCTATCCATAGTAGGCTGGCATGGAAGAAGAAGAAGTGGGATGGAGGCCATGGATAGGGTGCATGCGTCGGCACCATTCCCATTGGTTCGGTCGCCTGTCGTCGCTGCCAACGGAACCTTCTGAGCTGACCTTATTTCCCCAAGACATGCTCGTCGCCGTGACAGGTCCGGCGGGGAGCGGGCGCGCGACGATCCGAAGGCACCTGCGCAAACAGCACGCGTTCCAGTCCGTCGGGCTTGAGCAGCAGCCGGCTTGTCTCGCGGAGGATTCAAACGAGGCGCCGAAAGACGAGGTGCGGCGTTTCACGAGCGAAGGCGCTCTGCTCGACTATGCGACGGCGCACTGGTCCAGCAGGCTGCTCATCGACGACGATTTCTCCAAGTACGCGGACATAGACGCGTTCCGTAAGCGCCCTTTCTTCCTGCTTGTCTCGGTTAGCGCACCGGTGCTCGTGCGCTGGCAGCGCATCCAGCACGCTGCACCGTGTACTGCAGCGGCGCTGTCTCTAGAGAAGTTTCTCGAGATCGACGACTATGCTCTCTTCTCGCCGCTTTCTGCAGATGCGGAGACGGGGGTTGCTGCTTCGGCCGCGGCCGCCGCGGCTGTTGGGGCGGCAACGCCGATCAACATGAGCCGCGAGGAGAGCTCAGGTGTGATTGCGACGCTGACCAACATGGCTGTTGCGGTTGGTGCAGCAACTTTATCGAAAGGCGATGGAGCCACACTGCAGGGCACATCGATACCATCGCAAGGGGAATCCACGTTAAAGGAAGGCGGCGGCAACGGTGTCAGTACTCGCCGACCACTATCGCTGTATGAGTTGATGCAGACGGCGGATCTGCGCATCCTGAACGACTTCCGCACGTCCGCCCTCTTCGCCGCATACCTCTCCACGCTGGACCTCTCCGCGACTCACCGCCTACGACCGAGCTGGGACACATACTTTGTCTCCCTGTGCACGCTCGCGTCACTGCGCTCCAACTGCATGAAGCGCCGCGTCGGCGCCGTGCTCGTGCGCAACAACCGTGTCCTGTCCACCGGCTATAATGGCACACCGCGGGGACTGCGGAATTGCAACGAGGGCGGGTGCGCGAGGTGCAATGGGCGCCTTGTCCAGAGCAAAAAGCCTGGTGCAGCAACTCTACAGCAAGAGGGGGCGATGGAGGAGGAGGAACAAGAGCAGCCGCAGGTACCAAAAAGCGGCGTCAGCTTGGATGAGTGTCTGTGCCTACACGCAGAAGAGAATGCGCTGCTCGAATGCGGGCGAGAGAAGGGCGGGGCGGAGGGAACGGTGCTGTACTGCAATACGTGAGTGGAGCGTCGGTTCGCAAAGCGATAAAATGGCAAATACCTAACGTGTCATCACTCCGTTTTCTTTCACCAGCTGCCCATGCTTACGCTGCGCAGTCAAGATCGTGCAGACGGGCGTCAAGGAGGTGGTGTACCAGCTCGCGTACAGTATGGACGACCGCAGTCGCGAGATCTTCGATGAGGCAGGCGTCCGGTTCCGCAAGTATGTTCCTCCAATCTGAAGGATTCTGAAACGCAGCTCCGTTCGGTGAGGAGGGGGGGGGAGGATTGGCTAGTGTAATATTGCAAGGGTAGATATTGTTTCTCTAGTACATTGCTTGAGCTAATGCAGGTGGTATGTGTGCGAATGTGAGCTGGTGACGATAATGATACATGCGTGCGTGCGACAGTGGTCAATGCAAAAAGGCAAAATGGCTCCATCTATGATGTCTTCTGTCCGGGCTTTTCTAATCCGCTTCACCCATCAATATCAATATCCGTCCCTGCTGTGTTACCTGCAGGAGCGGCTCTGCTCGCTCTTTGCGCCGCTGCCGTTCGGTCCGCTGCGGCACCCTTGAGAGCCCAGGCGATCTGCTCATATACGACGAATGTTACGCATGTCCCCGGCAGGACGCGCACGCAGTTGGCGGTGAGGCCTTTGTAGAAGGCGCGGAGGCCGCCTTCGTGCGTGTAGGTCTTGCGGATGCAGTCCGGTATGCTGGTGTAGGATGCTGCTGTTGTTGTAAAGGTAGGACTACTCGCCACAGGGAAGTTTTGGATGCGGGAGCGGACCACCTGGTATGGGTAAGTGAGGAAGATGGCGGCGATCTTGGACGCACCCGAGAGCAGGATGTACTCGGTGTTGCTCAGCTTGACACCCCCCTCGGGGATCAGCTTGTCGTCCTGCGCCGTGGCTGCATGCGGCCCGCTCTGGCGCAGGTTGCGACGCATTGCGACGCGCGAGCGCCATTTCTTGAGCTGCTCGTAAGCGGTGAACTGGATCGCGCCGTTGGAGACGCCAACGAGCGCTAGGCCACCACCCTTGTACCACCCACGGATGCCCTCGTTCCTGTAGATGGAAACCAGACCGTCGAGTGTGTTGCGGTAGTGTTGCATTGATCTTGGGGTGATGATGGTAGCGCATTGCGAAGAGCGACGTGGCGGGGGCGGCGTGGCGAACATGCGCGTTTTGACGACCCAAATTGGATTGGTCAGCAGCGCGGTCGCCGCTCCGCTGACAGACGCTGCGAGCAGATGCTGGCTAGCAGACAGCTTGACGGGCGCAGAGGACGATGCAGAGGCGAGGGAAAGCTGACCATTGGACATGGCCTCCTTGATCATCGTGTACCTAAGGGTGGCATAAGTGTAAGCAGGAAAGCAAAGCCCGAAAAGACGAGTTTGCTCAACAAATGCGAGGTTCGGATACGCACCAGAGAAAGTACAACCCCCAGCTGGTGCTGTTTCCAATCACATTGGGCCCGAGCCCGCGGTAGAGCCCTGTCCAACCGTGCTCGCGCACGATGCCACTTAGGCTCTGCGCTATCTCGCGCCCCACACGGCCGCCCGTGAGGACATGCGTCAGGGATAGGGAAGGAAAGGAAAGAGACAGGGGTCGTACGGGCCGTGTGTCGACTTGGAACTTGACCTTGATCAGGTCGAGTGGGTTCATGCACACGGTGGCAGTGATGCCTGCGCCGACCCCTGCGACGGCATGGTCGACTGCGTGGGTGCCAAAGTACGGCGGCGGCGGCAGCGGTGGCGCAGTCGCATCTGTAGTATTGGTTGCATTGCACTCGCCAGCAGAGCTAGCGCTGGAGAAGGAGGCAAAGGACGGGGACGAAGCTGCTTGTGCTCGCTGCGTCGAAGAATATGCCTGCATGGTGTCTCGTCAACAAGCAACGACACGGCGGCCGATTGCAACAAGGGCCATCAGCGAAACACGAAGAACGCTGGGCACTGCAGTGAGCAGAAGAAAGAAGGCAGCTTGAGCGAGATGTGGTGATGAGGGCACTTTGCCAGAAAAGCTGCTACCCCGAGTCGAGTCATCCAGCCCCAGCATGGACGTTGGTCAGGTTGGACTCGGAGGTCAAAAAGCTGATGAGAAGAACGTCTCTCTGCTGGGGGTGATTACATAATCAGAAAGTTCCCACATTTCTCTTCTCTGTATAATAAATAGTGCTGCTCGTCGCTGGGAGGAGCGATGCATGGATTGCAGATGCTAGCCTATGCATACTCCTTGATGGCACGGCACACAGGCAAGCCCAGGCGACTTCAGCTACAGCTACAGTAGCTAAGCTCTTTGGCCAGCAGAGCCAATCCCTGCGGCGTAAATTGCGCATCCAACGGCGCCATGACTGGCCGAATCAGCATCCTCAAGCGGCCCCTTCCGCCGTCTTCTCAGGGCGACGATGATGGCGGTTGCGGTGCTCGGCACCTCACCAAGTTCCAGCGCAAGACGGCCAAGGGAAAAGTCCTGCGCGTAGTGCGTGAACGCTACCTGCGCTCCGACCTGGGCTGCGGCCACCCCGCGTGCGCCAGTTGTGCCGGCCACCATGCCCAGCTGGCCGCGGCGGTGCGCTCCAGCGAGTCGCGCTCGCTTCCCCTTCTTCAGCCTGCCTCGCATGGGCATCGCCACCTCCTGATCGACACCAACGTCGTACTCCACCAGATTGACCTCCTCGAAGCGACCCTCAAGCCGTCCGCCGCATCTTCCAGCTCAAAAGCGCCCCGCGAGACACCCGCCATCACCTCCGTCATCCTCTTGCAGACCGTCCTCGACGAGGTGCGGCACCGCAGCTTGCCTCTGTTCAACCGTCTGCAGGCGCTGATCCGCGAACCGGAGCGCAACTACTGGGTCTACTGGAACGATTTTAGCGAGTGAGTCCCCCCTTGTGGATTCGCTGACTGGGGCTGTGTTGGCTACTCTAACTGACACACATTTTCGCGTATGCTTCGTAAGAGCAACGGCCATCGCACGGACGCCAGGCGAGTCGCCCAACGATACCAACGACCGCGCGATTCGGGCAGCAGCACAGTGGTACGCAGCTCACTTCCGGGCCCTCTCGCCACCTGCGGGGGTCATGCTTCTCTCGGACGATGCCGACAATGTTCGCAAGGCGAGGCAAGATGGCATCGATGCACTGAGCGTGCGCGAATACATCCAAGCATGGCCCGATAAAGCGCAGTCCGATCAGCTCTTCGACTTGCTCGCTGCGCGCTCAGCCTCCAACAGCGATGATACTGCTGCTGGGACCACTCCTCTGGAGAAGCATGCCGTCTTCTACCCCGACCTCCTTGATGCGGCTGAAGTCACGGCGGGGATTACATCAGGCGCGCTGCACTCGGGCTTCTTCAACGCCAGCCCATACAACTACCTCGAGGCAACCATCAAGATCCCCCGGTTTGATCACCCGGTCCTGCTTGTCGGGCGCCAGGCGATGAACCGCGCCGTCGACGGCGACATTGTTGCGATCGAGATCCTTCCCGAAAGCGAGTGGCGCGCAGCCGCCGATGCAGTGCTGGATGCAGACAAGGCGTTGCGAAACGACGATGCCGGCGATGCAGGTGACGGAGACGGTGAAGAGGGCGGCAATGACCAGCCATCCACAGGCCTTGACAACGACGAAGAGGCTGCGATCCAGAAGCGTGAGGAAGAAGAGGCGCGCAGGACAGCGCAGGCCAATGCCAAGGAACGCAGGCCGACCGGCCGCGTCGTCGGCATCGTCAAGCGCAACTGGCGGTCGTACGTTGCACACATTGATGCGTCCTCCGTGCATGGTGCAGTGATCACCGCGTCGATGGGCCAGACGTCGCTCTTTGCCACACCCGTCGATCGTAAGGTGCCGCGTGTGCGGATCCGGACTCGCCAGGCAAAATCACTACTGGGCCAGAAGATTCTCATCGCCATCGATGACTGGCTTCCCACAAGCCGGTATCCAGATGGCCATTTTGTGCGTGCGCTTGGCGCGACGGAAAGCAAGGAAGCTGAGCAGGAGTCGCTCCTCCTCGAGCACGGCGTATCGTACCGACCCTTCTCCCAAGCCATCCTTGACTGCCTGCCGCCTGAGGGCGACCAATGGAAAGTCCCGCCCAAGGAGCTAGGCGGCCCTCACTGGCGCGATCGCGTCGACCTGCGCGAGGAGAACATCTGCAGCATAGACCCGCCCGGGTGCCAGGACATCGACGATGCGCTCCACGCCAAGGAGCTGCCCAACGGCAACATCGAGGCGGGCGTGCACATTGCCGACGTTAGCTACTTTGTCAAGCCGCAGACGCCGATGGACGCTGAGGCGGCCAGTCGGAGCACAACCGTGTACCTGGTCGACAAGCGCATCGATATGCTCCCCGCGCTGCTCGGTACAAATCTGTGTTCGCTCCGGCCGCACGTTGAGCGGCTCGCGTTCAGTGTGATCTGGGAGCTGACGCCGGACGCGGCGGACATTGTCAGCGTGCGCTTCCACAAGAGCGTCATCGCGTCCAAGGCCGCGTTCACGTATGAGGAGGCTCAGAAGCGCAAGGATGACGTTACGCTCAACGACGCGATCACGCGCAGCATCCGCCTGCTCAACACGCTCGCCATCAAGCTCAAGCAGAAGCGCCACGATGCCGGTGCGCTCAACCTGGCCAGCCCCGAGGTGCGCATCCACCTCGACTCGCAGGAGACGACGGGGCCGATCGACGTGGAGCAAAAGGAGATGCGCGAGACGAACAGCCTCGTCGAGGAGTTCATGCTGCTCGCCAACATCAGCGTCGCACAGCGCAACTACCAGTCCTTCCCACAGACCACCGTCCTTCGCCGGCACGGTCAACCGCCGAGCACGAACTTTGAGGTGCTGGCAGACATTCTGCAAAAGAAGCGCGGCATGCATCTCGACGCGTCTTCGTCCAAAGCACTCGCCACCAGCCTCGACGCATGCGTCGATCCGCGCGAGCCGGCGTTCAATACGCTCGTGCGCATCATGGCAACGCGCTGCATGCTCTCTGCCGAGTACTTTTGCAGCGGCAGCGTCTCGCACGATGCTTTCGGGCATTACGGCCTCGCGTGCGGCATGTACACACACTTCACGTCGCCCATCCGTCGGTATGCCGACGTGCTCGCGCACCGCCAGCTGGCCGCGTGCATCAACTACAGCGGCCTGCACCCAAACCTGCACTCGAAGGAGTACGTTGAGGACGTGCTGCGCAATGCCAACCAGCGCCATCGCGCCGCGCAATTTGCTGGCAGGGCCAGCGTCGAGTTTTATGTCGGCCTCGCAATCGCGCGTAAGAACGAGCAGCACGGCGGCGGAAAACAGGTCGGCACGGGCCAGGTTGCGCTCAAGGAGGAGGCGTTCGTCATCCGCACCTTCAGGAACGGCGTCGCAGTCTTTGTCAATCGGTACGGCCTCGAAGGGCTCATCACGTTCGACAAGGACTGCGCGTTCGACGCGGAGAATTACCAAGTTACAATTCCGAAGGAAGTGTCGAAACTGAGCAAAGGTAAGAAGAGCAGCAAACCATGTACGCGAGGGCGACTCCAGTGCTACCTAAATTGACTGACACGCTTGTGCGTTTCGTCAGATATCACGATCGGCGTCTTTGACAAATGCATGGTAGAGCTGGGAGTCGAAAAGGATCGCAACACGCAGCGCGGTAAAGTCAAGATGGCGCTTCTGGTATAATAAAAGTGCACGAATAAAGTAGACTAGCACCGCGCATTGCCTCGCATCGCAATAGCATTCAATTGCGACGCAGCCAGGAGACACGTTTCACGTGAGATTGGTTAGGTACTGATCCTGCCACAATGAAGGAAGGCTCAGGCTCGACGACTTGCTGAGCGCCAGAAAGGCTTGATGATGATGATGGCGAGGAGCAGTGCAATGCACAAAATGAGGAAGAGAATGCACTGCACTCGTCCTGTCCGTCGTTGATATCTGCGAGCGAAAGCGAGGGTTTGTCAGTTCGTGCGGGCCATGCCAAGGAGAGATCTCTCTCGTGTCACAAGGTTGATCGCCTGACCTTTGCGCAGTGTTCAGCTCCTCCACCGCTGCATGCATGTGCTTGCCCATGTTCTCGATATTGAAATCGATGCGATCGACCATCGTCCCTTGCTCGATGACGAGCGCGCTAAGGTCCTGGAACAGCTCTGCAAGCTCTGCGATTGACTTCGCGATCTGCGTGACCTCGCGATCGCGCTGTTGGATGTTGGCCTCTTCCTGGTCCTTGCCGGACGCCAGCTCCTGTTCTTCGAGCAAAAGTAGGGACTCGGGTTGGCCGCCGGATGGCTTGAGCTGCTGATAGGACTGCGGGGGGGGGGGAGAAGGGCGGATGAGCCAGACCATCCAGGAGGAGGCATGCAAGAACGACTGACCAGCTCCATGTCCTCCCGAACTGCGATCTCGCTGTCTCGATGCAAGACACCATTTTTGCTCAGCATTCCACTGGCTGCAGCCAGATCTCTCCCTCGGACTTCCATGCCTTTGAGCCGCTGTAAGTAGACGCTTTGCTTCTTGCGAAAGATGCCGCTCAGGTCCTGAACTTTTGTCGCTAGCGCCGTCTGCACATTCTGTGCCAGGACGATCTGCCGGTTCGTCAGCTGCGGTGTCGATGAAGGTCCCCTTGTCTTGGAGGACTGATGTTGCTGCCGCTTTGTATGTTGGGCCAAGGATGAGATGAGCCGGCTGCATTTGCGGAATTCGCGCGTGATCTCCGTTGTCAGATTCTCGATCTCTTGCTCTTCCTTGGACCGATCGGTGAACGCGGGGAGGAGGTGCTTGGCATGAAGCTTGTCCAGCTGGGCTATTTTCGGACGTATTGAGGAGGCGAGTATGCTATCGACCTCATCTGAGATGTCGACCCATTTCGGCGGCAAAGCCGACAAGTCTATCGAGGTGTGGGTCGGTGCTGGAGGGTAGGACGATCCATCTGGATCCGCAGCGCCATTTAGGAGCCCAGCTCGGACGTCTTCTTCTGCATCATGTCGCAAGTCGCCATTCGAGTCAAAGTACGACCCTTGTCGGCGCTTGCCCTTGAGATCCGAAGAGGATGAAAAGTACGCCCCCCCGTCGTCCTCGCTGTAAGCGCCGCTGGTGGGTACGCGGGAGCGCGGTACGGAGTCTCGATAAGACTGAAAGAGAAGCGTCCGCGAGCGCGTGGTGCCCAGGTAGGCCTGCCTTGGTAACGGGGAAGTGCCTGTGCTGAGGCTGCTACTGCCGGCCGCTATGGCGCCGGAAGGTCCTGCGCCGCGGTGGTCGCTCAGCGGCGTTGAGGAGCGGGTCGACATGGCTGGGATGGCGCGCCGCTGGTACCCAAGGGTAGCAAATGCGAAGTTGCCGTCGTTGCTGCTCTGTGCACAAGCTCAGCTCAACTTGATTTGCAATGGCATCAAAGGAAGGTACTACTCCCGTGTGAAGATGATCCGCTATGCAATACGAACATGCCGTTGGTGCACCGTGGCCTGTGGGCGGCGCACAAGCCAACTGCTGGAGAGAGTTCCGTACTCTCCTCTTTCGAGCTGCAATTTGTTCACGCTGCTTCCAAAGCATCACATATCGCCCGTCAAGCAACGCAATGTGAAGGTCAGAATTATGCCTATCACTCTCGATGCGGCGCACGCAACAGCTGAAACAAGGCGGTCCAAGTCAATCACCGCACGGCCTGGTCCACGGGCAGGCAGCCAACATGGCCACTTCCGCCCCATCACCTCATCGACTCGTTGGCGTCTCGACCAAGATGTACTTTGACCTCGCCAAAACAGCACAGTACACATCTCAGGTCCTCTCGCACTTGCAGCACTTTCTGCCGAAGCTTCATCAATCAACAGACGTCTTCCTCATCCCAGACTTTCTCAGCATCATCCCTTGTCGCCAGGCGATCGAGGAGTTCAACAAAACCGCCAGCCCGCCGGTCCCGCTCATCCTTGGCGCGCAAAACACGCATTACCAAGATGCCGGTGCGTTCACGGGCGAAGTGTCTCCCTTGCAGCTCAGTCAGGCAGGTGTCAAGATCGTCGAGATCGGGCATGCGGAGCGGCGGCGCTACTTTGGCGAGACGGACGCTTGGGTCGTGTTGAAGGCGAAGGCGGCCCTGCGGAACGGGATGACGCCCTTGATCTGCATCGGCGAGCAAAAGAAGGAGGGCGGTGTGGAGAACGCAGTGGAGGAATGCTGGCAACAGGTTTCAGGCGTGTTTGACGACGCAGACGTGCTGAAGGACAGCAAGAGCAAAGAGATCGTACTCGCGTTCGAGCCAGTCTGGGCGATCGGCGCCTCGGAGCCTGCGCCGGCAGAGCACGTTGTGGCCGTGACAAAGGCGCTGCGGCAAAGGTGCCAGGCGGCCAAAGGGTTCGAAGGTAGTGTCCGCATCCTGTACGGCGGAAGCGCGGGTCCTGGCTTGTTCGACAAGCTCAAGGACGGCGTCGATGGGCTCTTCCTCGGGCGTTTCGCGCATGACCCCGAGAGATTCGCCAAGACGGTCGTAGAAGTCGGCGGAGGGTTCGGGGTCTGATGCCAACATGTCGATTTATAGACTCCGCAGTAGAATAGATGAGGGCTACCCTATTTGCAGATTATGATACAGATGACAACCCCCACAAGAAAAGCCATCAGAAGCATGGATGAGGGGGGCCACAGCTGTCGGCCAAGCAGCACGCTACTGTCGCTTTCTGTGTAAGCAGACTCCCAACGTTCATGAAGAGTCCAACCTGGCGAGGTCTCGATGCCAAACGGTGGGCCAGATAACAATCATCGCTGGAAAGCATGAAATACACAGTCAGTATTTGTCAGCCCAACCGTTCTAGCACGATGCCCGATCCTGGGACATGCCGGGATTGGGCATCGCCATATCGCTCCATGGATACCAGAGACCCCAGGAAGTATCGAGGAAGGAGTACATGTGAATACATCCTGGCCTCCGATCTGCCATTAGTGACATACGGAAGAAGAACGTTCTTTGAACATAGCACCTCAGTGGCAATTGATGGACGAGCAGTTAGAGCGAGCCAAGTAGAGTTTGCATTCTCGTTCGGGATTCCCGGGATCCCGCGGGAGAGTCCAACCCTAACTCCCCCCAAATCCTTCTCCTCCCCAAAAAAACCCATTTCTTTGGCCAACTCCCGCTGGCCAAAGTGCGGGACTCGGGCAGGATTCCCGCGAAATTCCATTCTCGCACGAGAACTGCAATGGATGTGTTGCTGAGTTCTTGAAAAGTAGGGTTACCGTGTCCGCCTTATCACCGGCGCGGAGAAGCACAATAACCTGTCTCCAAAATTTTGGGATGACCCCCGCCACCATCATCCCCATCTTCCCTCCAGACGCCGATGGATGAGGTTGATTGGATCCACTCACGGACCATTGCTAGACACTTACGGTGCAAAAATCAGAGCCGCAGAGGCTAGGCTCGGATACTTCCAAGTCTACCAGTCCCAGCGCGTTTCAAGAGCCGCCAACGGTAAACGGATGTGCTCACTGTTGTGTGTCGGGGACGCGCAGTGGCAATGGTATTCTCTGGAGCATTGGTGAGTCCCCTAGACCTGTTCAAACTCGACCCGTCAATCCTTGGTATGAGCTGTGGGCTCTGACACAACTATATTTCCGGCAGACGCTCACAGACCTCAACGACTATCTGGGCCCCTCGCAAGCATGCATCAAACCCGTGGAAATCAACTCCCTCCCCATTCAGCTCGCCAGTGACAATGGCGACGCCGAGACAACCGCTGGCGCAAGCGGGCGCGCCGCGACAGAGATCTCCATCGACCACGATGGTTCGTACTACGAGGGGCAGCCCCTGCCTGAATTCGCCGGCGCTGCTTCATCTTTAACCGCTCAGCCGAGGGCACGAACGAAGCTGGAAGCAGCGCAAATATCTCTCAACGATTGCCTCGCGTGCAGCGGTTGCGTCACCAGCGCCGAAAGTGTGCTGATCACCATGCAGAGCCACGAAGAGATGCGCAGGGCTGTCGTGGAGCAGCTTGGACTTGAACAACAGGCAGAGATAGTTTCAAAGTCCTCGGGTGCCATGGCGGCAGCAGCAGAAGGGGTGGAGGGGAGGACTCTGCGCGTGGCAAGCATCTCGCCCCAATCACTTTCCTCGCTGGCAGCCAAGTTGCAGTACACCCTGCACTCTACCGTCCCACTGTACCTCATCCTCCTTCGTATTCGCCATTTCCTCGCTCAGCGCTTCGGCTTCCATCACATCTACGACACGACGTTCGCTCGTCATGTCGCGCTGCGTGAGCACACTGCCGAGTTTATCGAGCGCCGACGCGAAGAGAGACGGCGACGGCAGCGGAAGGGCCTAGATCATGGTGGAATAGGAGAAGACGACTTTGTCCCTCAAAAACTTGGGTCGCGGCTCAGCAGTGTCGGCAACGTGGTTGAGCCACATAAAGGGCTCCCCATGCTCGCCAGCGCATGCCCTGGCTGGATCTGCTACGCCGAAAAGACACATGGCGAGCTCCTGCCTTTTATCTCCACCACCAAGTCGCCGCAGCAGGTTGCCGGCATCTTGGCCAAGCGCTACCTCCTCCCCCTCTCCAACCGTACTGCAGCAAAGGAAGCACCCTTCCAGCGCGTATACCACGTCACCGTCATGCCGTGCTATGACAAGAAACTGGAGGCTTCGAGGCAAGACTTTGTGGACGAAGTAACGGGCTGGAAAGAGGTCGACTGCGTTCTCACCACGGGTGAGCTGGAGAAGTTAATGGAAGAGGAGGGATTCGATCTGTCTCAGGTGCTGGAAGAAGAGGAGGATATGCTGCAGCAGGAGCTTGCAATCGGCGCAAATGCAGGGATTAAGACCGAGCTCGTCAACACCCTTCGTACAAATGGAGGCCATGTCAAATATGGCCTGTTGCAGAATGGCCACAGTGCAGTACAAAGCGAGTCCGATGCGACGGATTCATCTGCACTCGCTCTGCCATCAGGAATCGAACACGATGGAAGCAGCAGCGGAAGCTACCTCTTCTGCCTGATCCAAGCAGTCGCGCTTGAGTGGCTACAAGAGCATCGATTGCATCGCGCTGGAGCTGTACCGCAGCTTTTCATCTCGACGATTCGCTCGGCCGACTATATCGAATTCATCTTACGTGCACCGTCCACCTCGATCGAGAACGACGCGCAGCAGGAAGCGGGCGAGATCCTCTTCAAAGGCGCCTACTGCTACGGCTTCCGCAACCTGCAGAACCTCGTACGCAAGCTGCACAAGCAAACTGGCACACGAAGCGCGCGTGGCGCTGCAGCTAAAAGTATCAACGGTGTAGGCGTCAGCGCGATCAGCCTTGGCGGCAGCGGCAGCGCAGACAAAGGAGGCGTCGGCATGCGTGCAAGGATTGCTGCGCACGGGCGTGCTGGGGCTGGAATGGTCAGAAGAGGAGCAAGAGGGTCAGCGCCAGGGTCAGGAACAGCCAGTCCGCTGGAAAGTGACGGTGAACGAGGCTACGACTACATCGAGGTGATGGCTTGCCCGTCCGGCTGTGTCAATGGCGGCGGGCAGCTGCGGCCTCCTCTCGGGGACACGACGAATGCCCATGCCAACGGCAGCGGCAACGGCACACTCAACGGGCTCGATGCATCTGCCACAGGCCAAGCCGACCCCGAGGGATACGTCGAAGGCGGCTGGGCAAATACATCCAACGGTACTGAGAGTTTCGACGAGCTGCGCATGCAAGGCTGGCAAGGCACGTCGAAGGAATGGGTCGCGAACGTAGAGAATGCATACTGGTCTTCCTTCTCTTCCCTAGACCATTCAGACAAGGCGAAAGCGTCAACTGGCATCGCTCCGAAAGCAAGAGCACAGATCGCTTTCGACAACATCATCGCTGAGAGTGGCACGGTGGTGCCCACAATGCACCTCGACGACATCGCAGATAAAGTTGTGCAGGAAATTCAAGAAACCAGCTTAATACCGCGCGAAAAGCTGCTGCGTACACAATACAGAGCACTTCCTACTGAAGAGACGAATGGTCTGGCGGTACAATGGTGATTGAGCCCCCGCATCTTCATTTCCACAGCGTCCATGCTTTGGCTTCGTGTAACATAGCAACCTTATTACATTTAGTACTCCAACTCGACGTCTTTTTCTGCAGCAGGAATGCTGTCGAGGTCTTGGTAGCTGCGCTTGCCATGTGACGCTCTCGGGTCAAGCGGGCCAGATGGCAGCGGTTCGGGAGCTGGTCCATCGTAGCGAGGGCCTCTACGATCGCGTTCGCGATCACGGGGCTTGCCGCCCAACCTCGCGCCCAGACTTCCACCGGCGCTGGCGCCGCCTCCTCCGCCCCGCCGCGCGCGCTTGCCTGGCGGAGGGCCGGCACCCATCATCCGGTCCATCATCGACCTGTCAAAGGGCATCTGGCCGCCCATCATCTGCGCCATCATGGCCATCATCTCTGGAGGCGACATGTTGCTGAGATTGAATGGTGCGCCGCCGGCATTGTAACCTGCGCCGTTCGCGCCTTCCTGGCGGTTGTTCTGTCCTGGCATCGGTCGGCAGGGGTCGAACACATAGTTGTTGAAAAAGGTGGCCTGTGTTACCAGTGATGCCGGGTGCAGCACAATCAGTGAAGTTCTTCTGTAGCGTGAAAGAAAAACGAGACGTCTCTCACTTTCTCTATTCTCGGTGCTGCCAAATCCTCAAGGAACTTTTTATGCTTGTTTCTGATATGCTTCTGGACGAAGCCAGGCGCGACGAAACGTTTACTGCAAGGCGCACCATCAACTTGAACCATGCAGCGATGCTTGTCCTTGTCCTCTTGCTTGATGTACGGAGCCGCGATCTCGGTCATTTCCTTCTCGATCGTCTTGCCACCGAGTTCTTCCAGATCGAGCGTCTCAGGCTTGAGAAGCATGTCAATGCGAGTGTCGACATTTTTACACCAAGCATCGGTGCCTGTAGAAAGCAAGGCAAGCATCAGTACGTCTGTGGCACCGAGGTTCATCTGTGCCAAGCAGCTCACCAGCGGCGGTACTCGTAGGTTCATGTGCAGGCTCAACTGGTGCCCTCCTGACTGAGATGGGCGAGCGCCTGATGAGCTCTTCGGGGAAATCTCGTATCAGGCCAGAGTAATAGTCGGTGTGATACACCTGACGCAGAGCGTCGAGGTGAAGATCCAGGTGTTTCTTGAGTATGTCGCGCACTCGTTCCAGCTCGTCGCCTTTCGCTGTGACCTCGGCGTCATCAGGTACGGCAGCTACTGCTTCGGAGAGCGGCAAGCCCAGCTCGCTGCACCTCTCCTCAATCAGTGCAGTGGCGCTCTGCGACAGCGACGCAGGCAGCTCAATAGCGATGTCATCTGCTGTGACGCGCCGCCCATTGCTTTCGCTTTCGCCGTCTGCATCGTGGGACTGAGCAGCTGTGTCAAGTGAAGGAGCGAAGACCTCGTCGCGATCTTCCGCTTCCAGCTTGGCGATGAGTGCTTTGGCCTGTTGTAGGTCGTGTTTGAGGCGACGGGCGGAGCCCGCCACCTCGGGTGCCATCTGGACGCGTGACATCCCTGCTCGGTCGCTAAATGTAACATTGAGCGTGAGGCCTGCGATCTGCGAACCGACCGGGGTCAGAGTCAGGAGAAACGTTCGAAGTCCAGTCGTTGCTCTATATACTAACCTTCTCCTCATTCATTGCTTCCTTGATAGGCTTTAAATCTGTCCCCTCATCGAACACAGCATAGCCCATTCTGGTCCATCTCTTGCCCTCTCGCGGATCGCTGACGGCGAGATATCTAAACGCCTTGCCTGCGTGTTTTCGAAAGCGTTCTTCCAGCTCTATCCTCTCCATCTCCGGCGAAATGTTCTGCACGAGCAGCTGCAGCGGATTCGGCGGAATGAGTTCGTCACGCCCTTGATCCTTCTCTTCTCCGAAGCGAGTTGTAATGCGGAAGGGCTTCTGTGCTGTGCTGTTACCTCGACGCCGACCCTCCACCCCTGCTTGTCCCTTTGCTTGACCTGATGCGGAGGTGTTATGGTCATTTGCCTCCAATCCCGGCTCAACTTTAGCCTCTGTCCTCGCAGAATCCTTTTGCTCATCGCAAGCTTCGGCGGTTTCCTTATCATCCGCCTCTTTGCCATCTGCAGCTTTGGCCTCCTTTTCGCCGTCAGCTGTCGAGTCGAGTTTTGCTTTAGGCTCGTGTGCGGGTGTCGAGGAAGGCTCCTTCTTGGCCTGCTTCAAATCGAAGCAAACCTTGTCCAGTCGACCCTCTTTAAGCTCTGCAATCCATTTCTCCTTTCTGCCTTCCCTTCCGGCCTTCTTCCATGCGAGACGCTGCTTGGCGTGCTCCTCGGCAGGGCTGTACCGCTCGATGAACCACTTATCTTCCTTTCTTGTCTCGAAGAACTTCCACATCTGGCGCTTCTGCACTTGTGCCCGGTATGACTGGTAATCCTGGCCGAGATCGCCGGTCGGCTCGGAAGTCTTGCCGCTAGACTTGTGATATTGCACGTAGGCCCTAAACGGCATGAGGTGGTCGGATTGCAGCGGATCCGGCCGAGTCGAGGCCGAAAGAGGGCGGCCTGAAGCATCCGCTTGAGCGGGGCCTGCCATAGGCCCAACCTCGACTCCGCCAGCGCCTCCCAGGGGCTGAGGTGCGCCATACGCGCTGCGAGGATCTCCACGAGGATGGTCTCTCGCATACGGATCCACATCTCCCGGAACCATGCCTTCGATCCGTTGACGAAGATCATATCGATCATCTCTCGGGACGGCACCAGCGGATGCGCGGCGAGCATAGTACTCCTCCCACTCCTTTTCTCGGTAGTACGCCTCCCATTCTTCTCTGTACCGCCCCCCTCTTGCTCTGTCCCGGTCTTCGTATCCATACTCATACCACGGGTCCCGTGGAAGACCAGCTGAGGAAGGAATACCATAGTGGTCTGATGCCCCTCCGTACCAGTCAGCTGAGCCGTAGTAATCGTAGTCGTAATCTGGGGCGGGACCAGCGCCGGGAGATCGTGGCCGCTTGGAGCCGGATGCTGTCGAGGCTGGGCCGCCATCTCTACCCAGCAGCGCCCTCGAATCGTCGTGGAGATCCCTGGCGGCGTGATGCTCATGAGAGCGCGACATGGTGGCTGCTCGTCTGCTTGAAGCAGAAGGGCCACCAAGGGTACGCTCCAGCAACCTGTCACAAGCGAGTCTGGTGACTTCAAGCGCAAGCAGCCGACCACCGCCGACAAATGCGCGAGCGTGGGTGAGTTCGGACGAAAAAAGGCAGTAGCCTAGGTATCTCCACACCTTCGAAGTCAGAGCCGTTGTAGCGTAGAAGTGTTGCGGCCAGCTCAGAGTCGCATGTATGAACGAATGGTGCATATAAACGGCAAGAAGAATTGCGTTGACCTCGCGGCTCACCCTTGGGAGGCAACCACGGAGACATTGAAACGCGTTGTAGATGCGACGGACCAATCAAACCAAAGGCGCGTTTTACAGGGTTTGTGTTTCGCGCACATCACGCATTACGTGTTCAACTACCAACACCATTCGTTCATTTATCATCTGAACATCTGTCAGGCTTAGCAGGACCATCATCGAAGCATTGTCCTCGAGAGAGCTACCGACTGCTCGCATCTCTTCCGTCGCGCCACGCAAAACACCAATTCACGGAGGAGGATAAAGTAGCTTGCAGAAAGTAATGCTCAGCAACAGCTGTCCGCGTCGCATGTGCTCTAACTTCGTGTCTGGCGAGTATGGCTGATTGTACGATGTGCAACGTGTAACTTGCCGCATTTGAGCCCGCCCATAGACACGCTTGCCCAAGTGGCAAGATTAAACGAAAGTCCTTGATTTTTGAGCCTCGGTGGCTATATCATACCATGAGGGCCTGATTGCTGCGCGGGAACTGATCGTGCGTATCATTGAGCTCATCATGCTGGTTCCCGTACCCTTGCCTTCAATTTGAAGACCCTCTTTCTGTAACACGATTGGCTTTGTTCACGAGCTCATATTCGCGCACAGAAGCAATGGCTCAGCTGGTAGGCCAGAGTGCACCTGCAGATCCAGCGTAGAGTCTATATTGTAAAGGGTCAAGCCAAGAGTCTGCAACTGTGAATGCGAATCCGACGACGGTCTTTCCGTAGGATCATTTCTTCCATCATTTTAGGATGAGCTTCATACAATGCTATAGATATCAATGAGCAATCGCCCTCACACGGAGACGAACATATGGAGCGGTCCATTGCCCACTGCTGGCATCGAACCAGGTTGATTCAAAATTTTCCTCGCCGCCCTTGTCACTTGCCTCAGACGTAGCAGCATCGACCAGCTCCTTCTCTACAGCAGCAACGACTTGCTCGCGCTCTACATCCGACTTCAACGCGTTCAAGAACGGCCCTGCGAACGTCCTGAGCCAACCCCTGATCCCGGATCTCTCCGGTAATGGTGTAGGTCGCACGACGAGCGCGGCGTGCTCAACCTGGAATCCTGCCGATTCGAGCACCGCGGTGTATTCTTTGACGGTGGGGAAATACCATGGATCGACTTTGGATGGATCCACACCGCGCTGCGCGAGGTGCCGACGCAGAAGACTTCGCACAGCGCTGACGTTGCCGGCTCCGCCCATCTCGAGAGCAAGCACGCCGCCTTTCTTGATTGCAGAGCGCATACCGGTTGCCACGCGGGAAGGAGATCTATTCATCCAGTGCAGCTGGTGCACCGTACACCATCAAGCCTCGATATATCAGCCGTCCATCTGATATGCCGAGAGGCTTGTAGATTTTAATGATCACTTACTGCTGCACTGCTGAAGACTTTGTCAAAAGTTGCCTGTTTACCATGCTCTTCGAGCCAAGCTTGGAGTTCGTGGCAATCAACTACCTCAAAAGAAAAATTTGACGAAGGCTCGTGCCCTCGAGCTTTGGAGATCATGTCCTCAGATGCATCCACGCCCAACACGGTGCCTGTCTTCGACGCTAGCGTTGCGACCTTCACAGTCAATTCACCGCTGCCTGGAACCACGGTTGAGCCATCGGAGTTGGCAGGAGGTGAAATTCAGTGTTGTGCAACGACCTTAAGCACAGAGAGAACGCACCACAGCCAACATCAAGAATGGCATCACCAGGCTCAGCACCAAGCAGCTGCAAGACTGGTGCAGTGTTATCGTCCGAATAGACCTGTCAGTGGGGGGTAAATAAGACGGAGCACTTGCAATGTGGTCATCCTGATCTGTGTACCAATGACCTCCGCATGGTAGGATACAACCATACGACTCACGAACGAGGCGTTTTCACGGTACAGCTCGGCATCGTCCGATCTGTGATAAACTTCGACGGAGGCTGGTGACATCTTCGTCGTATATACGCCACTTAATCGAATCACAAACGCAGGAATGCGACGGCACCGCGAAATGTGTGAGTGCCTTCCTGTGGTGCAGTTTGTCGCCAACTCTGTTCAAGCTGACCCTTGTCGTGGTCCCGTCGGGCTGGGTACCAGGTTCCGCCCAAGCGGATCAAGTACATGATCTCATTGCTTTATATTATGCTGTTGGCAGGCCAACGGGTTCATACTATGATAGGAAAGCAAGACTAAGGGAGGGTGGTGACTCGAGAGTCGGAACCGGAGAAAACGGAGTAGAAAATTGGTGGACTCTAGCTTGTGTATGCCGCGCTAGTCTCCGTATGCGGTAGAGAGCCATTGTGGGATTTCCCCCGATTTTCGTTTCAGATCAACCGAAAACTTTCTTCGGTGCTCCTCGGCTTTTGTCGGCCGAAGCAGCAGAAATTAGCCCCAAAGGTGGAATCCGAAGCCGCCGCGTCTAAATACCAGGGAGAGCTTGTTTCTGCTGGCTCCCCTACTGCGCGGAAAACCCCTGAGATCTTTGTAGTTTTCGCCAGCGGCTTGATGCGGCTTTAATAATTTTCGTCACTCCCCACGCTGATGACAGGAACTACAACGCGTTGAGGTCGTCGACATGCACTTAAACGCGTACGAGTCATTCTGTTCGGCAGTACGGTGCTCGCTCGTTTGCTTTCATATATATAGACGAAGGGAGGTCGATAGCGAGCAGAGCCCACTGACATAGTACAATATCCAGCAAGAGCCATGACTTGAGAACGACGCACGGACTGACGCTCTGACCACACCGAGCCAGGTCTGAATAGCAAGCGTCTCAACGATGCCTTCATCGGTGGCAGCAAGCCCAGCGGGCACGGAACCGCTGCAGGGGCAACGCAGACACAATACCCAAGACAGCAGTATCAACTCGGAAGGGCCTTTGGAACACCAAATGCAAGAACAGGCGCAAGAACGGACCACAGGCGACAGCGATCATCTGGCTGTCGCCTTGCGAGAAGCGGCTCATGCAGTGGAGCCAGCCGCCCCAGCAACCCCGGGTGCATCATCTACAATGTTCCCTCTTGACGCGAACAAGGGAGACTATGCGAGAAAAATCAACCCTGACGCATGTCATGCCTCTTCATCAACCACGGCAGGTGTTCCCGCCGTGCCATTGGACATCGAGCACCAACCTCTTCCAGACGGCAACGACCCGCGTCTTTGGTCGCCGGCCAGGAAGTTTCTCATGGTCGTCATGCTCAGCGCCGGCTCGTGGATACCAGCGTCAGCTGCCAACATCATCTTTCCAGCACTCGCATCCGTCGAAGCCGATCTTCGAACGAACCCGTCTGTCTTGGCACTCAGTGTGTCCATCTTCATCCTCGTCCAAGGTGGTGGAAGTATGACATTTGTACCGATCAGCGAGCTGTACGGCAGGAAATGGATCTACCTATCCTGTCTCCTTGCTTTCACGCTGGCGCAAGTCGGGGCCGGGCGCGCAAATAGCATTGGGCAGTTTATTGCTATGCGCGTCATTGGTGGCTACGCAAGCAGCCCTCTGTTGACCATGGCAGCAGGTGAGGGCTTTATTCTTTCGCTTGCCAAACACGTCCACAGAGCTCATGATCTTTACGATATGCAGGCACCATTGCAGACATGTACGAGGTCGAATCACGCGGCCGAGTTCTCGGTCTTTACTATGTTCGTGTCTCAACAGCTAGGGTGAAAGCAACAGAGCACAAAGTTGACCGTCTAATCTTATCGACTATCTGCAGTGCGCACCTCTTTTAGGCCCGAGCATGGGAGCACGTAAGTATTCTCAAGAACTGAAAAGTTTGAGCAAACAGCTGATGAACACATTTCCCTGGACTGCCGTGCCTTTCCGTGCACCCGAGAAGTCTGTGGGTATAACGGATGTGGCGTTAGATGCACCTCATAAGCGCAAGACTGACAACGTCTCATCTCTCTCCATGCAGTGGGCGGTGCATTGACGTCTGCCGGGAGCTGGCGAATCACATTCTATTTCCTTGCAGCCTGCGGTAGTGCGATTTTGCTATGCTACATCCTCTTCTTCCGAGAGACCTTCCGAAAGGAGCGAAGTCTTGTTTGGCAGAAAGCACACAAGCGTGCCATTGTGGAAGCTATGGCTCTGGATGCAAAGGGAGCATCGCAAAACGGTGAGGTTCAACGACAAATACCCAGCAGACGGACATACACTATCCGGCAGCTATGGCCGATCGAAGGGTGCAGAGACGTTGGCAAAAAGAATGGGACATTACATCCGATCTCAAGCGGTACAAGGAGCGACGAAAAGCCGTTTGATTCACCGATCTACTTAATCAGTAGTGCACATCCACGATCACACCCAGCGACGCGCAAACTTGGCACACAACTGGGCGCCGTCTGGTCCGGCGGGCCGAAGGTGCACGTCGATGCGGGAGTGGGGCTGAGGCCACTTGAAGAGCACCAACAACTGCAAAATGAATCGTCTTTGCCAGCGCATCATGACGAGTATGATCACGGCTATGGACACCATGAGTACCACGGCCATACGGCGGGTATCAGCAGCTGCAGCTGCAACGACCTGCATGCAGCATTCACAACGGAAGGGCTGCTGAATGTGCACCAAAATGAGCTGTCCAAAGTAGTCGAGAACAGCCAGACAAAAATGCCACCACTCGCGCATGTCCGCAGCGCGCCAGGCGCTGTGACCTTTTCCGCTCTTACGAAGGCGACGTCGGGTGAGATTACCGGGCGACTGAAGCGTAGCACGACCAAGAATTCTGCCATATCCATCTCTGGCAGCGCGGTTAACAGTTTAGATCGCATCATCACAACCGATGGAAAGGAGATCAAAGTCAGGGTTCACGCCAGCGATGTCAATCCGCTCCTGCCGATGTTTGGAATCATCCAGCAGCCACACAATTTCCTGACCCTGACTTTCTCAGGGCTAACCTTTGGCTCTCAATACAGTCTGTCTTTCGCTGTGAGTGCCACAACTGGAGGCATGTCGCACCAGGACTGAGCGCTCACCTGTCAATTGCCTCAAACCATAATATTGGACAGGCATCGCGGACGTTCGGAGCGGCGCCTTATCATTTCGAGCCGATCAAGGTCGGCCTTGTCCTATTCAGCCTGGGTGCCGGCGGGATGATCGGCAGCATCTGCGGGGGGCGCCTGAGCGACCGCAACTTGATGCGCAAGCGATGTGCGACGGGACATCCGGCACCGGCGGAAGAGCGCCTGATGGCGGTGCGGCTCCTGTGCATCTTGACACCTCTGATGTTTGTTGCGTACGCCTGGCTCGTCGACAAAAAAGTGAACGTCGCCGGCCCCGTCATCGTCCTCTTCTTCCTGGGTTTTGTGCAGTTCGGCGCTTACTCTTCCGTGCTGAGCTACCTCGTCGATGCGAACAAGGGCCGTGCTGCTGCCGCGGTCAGCACCAACTCGGTGTACCGCGGCGCGTTCGCATGCGTAGCGAGTCAGATCGCAGGACCGCTGCAGGATCGGATGGGTGACGGCTGGTTCAATACTGGTTGGGCGGTTGTGCTGGCACTTGCACAGGCTATGCTCTTCCTGGTCGCATATAGAGGTAACGCTTGGAGGACAAAGGCTGCCGCCCGAAAGGCTGAAGCCGAGCAAAAGGCTTGATTTGGGATTTTAGACGAAGCAAGTGAACGAACTTTGCTGCAGTGCAGCAATGATTTAGGATATACAATACCAAGCTGGGTCATAGTGCATTATAGATAATTGCAACATCACTAGAACGTGACTACCTTTCGGGAGCCTGCGCCTGCTTTGGTTGGGGCAGAAGCGGGTCGACGCACCCCTAGTACTGCGTTTCCAATTCCAGGCCTATTTGGAGCAGTCTCGACATCAGCCTCCGCCACTCGCTTGCGCTTAGAACCTTTCTTTTTGCTCTTGCCGCCGTTTGCCTCGGCCTCATGCGCAATTTCCTTCTCTACCTCCTGCTTCCTGCGTGCCAGCGCGTGGAAATCGTCTTCGTCGGCGCCCAAAGCAATGGATCCTGCCTCCTTCGTGCTCGAGATCAACGTGACAGCTGCCGTGCCGCCCGCGTGACCTTCGCGCCTCAACGCGCAGTCCTTCGCGAGATGCTCGACGGAGCTGCAGAGGACGCAGCAGCCTCCATTCGGGTAAACTCCTCGGCCTTTATTTTGTGGACAGGTGGAGGCGAGATGACCTTGCTTCGAGCAGACAAAGCACGTCGCAAAGGGCAGCGCTGAGCCAACCCTCGGTGGTGGGCGACGACATGAGGAGAGGGTGTGCGCTTGCGAGCCGCAGCGGAAACACAACCCGACGGCTTGCGCGCCAGTCATGGCAGCCTTTGCAGACTTGAGCTCATCCCCTCCGTCGGTAAGAACCCGAATCCCATCATCTTCTTGTATGGACACAGCATCTAAAGCCTGCGCCTCGGCATTGAACCGATTCGGGCAGTCTTTCGCTGCATGCCCTGCGCCGCGACACGCAAAGCAGCGTGTCTTGGCTTCTCGCTCGGCGGCGCGCTTTTCGCGACGAACTTCATTCCTTGAATCCTTGACTTGACGTCGCTCTGCAGAGCAAAACGTGGAGACGAGTATGGGAGCAGCGTCAGTGGCTGTAAAGGCCTCGCGATGGGAGTGCGCATCTTAGCTTCAACAACCCACCACGTTCCATCTTCTTCCAAGGGTTTTCTGAGGTTGTTTCCGGTACCTCTGTTCCACATGACGATACACCGGTATCGATTTTTCTCCTCTTCATCTCTCGTGGTCCTCCTGCGTTACTGCCGCCGCTCATCGATTTGCTATTTCCCATGCCATCTTTTCCTCCCCGAGCGCCGTTGGCAGCATTCATCATCTGATCAAGCGCTTTGGCCTGCTTAAGCAATTCAGTACGCTTTTCGTTGCTCTTGGCCTTTTTCGCCTTGAGCTTGAGCAGCTTGCTCCGTTTGTAGAGCTTTGTAGGATCTTGGTCTTGTGCGGAGGAGGAGGCAGAGGCTGACGATGCGTTGGGAGGCGCAGGTTGTGCTATTTTAGCTGCACCGGCGGCGCTAGCAGTAGAGAGCGTTTCACTGGCAGCAGTGGTGTCGGGCTCGTTGTCACTCTGCTTCTGCTTTGCATCACCAAAGTGATCGGAGGCTGGAAGCGCGCTAGGCTTGCGCGAATCCAGTTTGGTGTAGCGCGTCATGGTAGTCGTTTGAGTCGGGAGCTGGCAGCAGGACCTGTGTAAAGCACATCCGATTCGGCGAGATGTCCGTTGGGAAGCTTTCTGTGACCTTTGAATGCGACGATCCCGTCTTGCTGATTAGATCCACTGACAATTCAAATGATGCCGATGGTCATCGTTGTCATTGCGACGCCTCCTCACCTCATATACATCGTGATCAGTGCTGCCGATCTCAAAAAAATTGTGCATAGGAAGGAAGACGAGTCAAAATCGGTGCAACCCTCACTTCGGTGCAATCCGTATGGCTCAATCCTCCCTCTCTTCCCAATTCCACCAGATGTCCAGTGGAGGTCTTCCCTCGAATACCACCGGTTCTGACACGACGTCGGGATGGTTTACGCTCGCCTGGCTCGCGAGGTAGACAAAACCATATCACTCTCTCGAAGCCCCGCAGGTTGCTAGGCGACTATTTGCAAAGTTTATTCCAAGTCTGCTCCTGTCTGATTCTTGTATACTAGTCGAGCAGCCCAGTACCTGACCTGCTCGTATTGATCGAGCTGGTCACATGAGCGCGGCGGCCTGCGGTGCTGCGCTCGTATTGACTGTGTTCCCACAATGGACTAGGTAGGTTCAGCCGATCAATTTTGCTCGAAAGGGAAATAAAGGAATTGGGAGCTAGCTATCAGATCCACGTATGCCTCCTGCCGCCTGCGTCCCACATTGTGGAGATGGCCTTGGCAAAGCCACACAGATGTGTAGTGGTGGGCGACACGTGTAACCTGGCGTGAACATGTGGGGACACTAGGCAAAGTCGGGCAGTAAATAGTGAGTCTGCACTCAATTCGGCACGAATGGAACGCGAATCGGCCGAGATACGGCGCGCCTCAACTTAACCCGTGATACAAGCTTTGTCTAATACATTTCCATCAAGCTGTCCAAGGTCGTCGTCGTCGGACCTCCTCTTCCAACCCGTCATCCTCTTCCTCCTCTTCCTCTTCCATAAACGTTCCAAGGTTCTCATTGGGAGCGCGCACGAGGCTACTCCCAGCTTTCAAATGCAAGCGTCCGCTGCCATGTGGCTTTCCCAGGATGTTGTACGGCGAAGAGTGCACGGAAGAAGTGGCTGGTGACGTGTCAGGTGTCTGTTGGCCTCGCTGTTGGCGAGCACCCTCGTCCTCATTTCCAGAATCGTCCTCTTCCTCCTCCTCTTCATCTTCAGGAGTTGGAGACAGAGTCGGGCGCATGCTCGAGACGCCGAGGCCAATGCCGAGCAATGGCCGATGATTGTCACATTCCTCTTCATCAGGCGCTATAGCATCGAGGTCGTCCTCATCCGAGTCATACTCAGCCTGGACCAAGCCGGTCCGAGATTGATTTGCGCCATGAGCATCGATGGTAGCCTGGTCGTCGTCAACCTCACCGTCTTCCAGCTGCTCTTGCTCCTTTTTGTTGTCATTCCCGTCTTTTTCGTCTTGGCTGCGCTCAAAGCCGTCGTGGTCTGAGCCATCGCCGCCGTCTTCTTCGGCAGCGCTCTGCTCCTTGGCAGCCGCAACTTCTAAATCTTCGTTGACGTTTTCTTCAAAGATCTCGCCGGGCTGCTTGTAGTACAGGTCCTCCAAGCTCATATGCGCCTGCAGACTCACTGGCCGGTGCGAAAAGCCGTCGACAGCATCCAAGTCGCCCAAGAAAGAGTCAGAAGCTACGACAGAGAAACCGGGAGACACAAGAGGCGAGGGCGGAAGGTCCTTGAAATTGCTCGAGTGGGGCTGCGCTGCGCGTTCTTCGTGTGGAGACGAAGGGTCATTGGGTTCGGTCTGGTATGCAGAGAAAGACTTGACCGAGCTGACCGAACCAAAGCGGCCGTTCTGGTTGAATAAAGATAGTGAAGGTGAATGTTGAGCAGAAGCCACATCAGGGGTACTTTGCGGCGACAACACACTGTTCTGCTCTTGTTGATCCGCGGGGGCCTCCTGGACAAAGATGCTATGGTCGAGGATCTGAGATGGCGTGCGCGAGACGTCCGAAAGAGTAAAGCAACCCACCGCTGCTGCTTCATCATCCCCCGTGTTGATCAGGTCACTTTGCCCATCCCTCGTACTGCCATTAGATGTTTGACGAGCACAGTTGTCAGGCATCTCATCGCCGCTTTGTTTAGGAGTGTGTTCCATGCCTTGAGGGCCGGCCCAGACACGCTTCGACATGGGACGGAGAGAAGCTGCGGTGAGCTCTTTGAATGAGGACGGGCCTCCAACAGATCCGTCTTCACTCCCACGAGCCACAGATTCATCCGCGCTGACCGCCGAGATGGAACGCGCCGACGCTGGGGCCGGCACTTCGGACGCGGATGCGGAGTTTTCCAGCGCCTCGAGCGCCTCAGGTTGTTCACTGGGCTCGGATGAGTGGCCATTGGCTTGTTCGGAAGCGTACACTCTGGAAGCGTGCGCAGCACTAATGGCAGCCGCGTTCTCCGGCATAGGTGGCGGCTCGAGGCCTTGGCGTTGGCCCTTGGGCTTGCCAGAACTGAAAGGGTTCCACAACTGGCTCTCCCTTCTTGACTGCGGGACAGAGGAGGTCTGCGACTGCGCAATACCCGGAGCGCGCTGGCCATCGAACGAAAGCGCGCGACCCAGACTCAAAAAGTCATCTGCGTCGATTTCAGTCCCCGTGTCGCTGGCTTCCACGTCTGTCGCTGCTTCAGCGCTGTTCTTCCTACCGCCGCCGCCGAACAGCTTGGTGATGCGGGCCTTGCTGCGGCCAAGCGAGCGCGTGCGCTCCGCTCTGCCCGGGTGCTCGTGTGCATTGTAGAACCCCTGCGAGCTGGCTACACTGCGGCTGCTTATCGATACGTGGTCCGCGATGGAGCTTTCGTCGAGAATGTCGCGCGCGCCTTTGGCAGTCATGTCGATGCCTGTCTGCGCTAAGATGCGATGCGCGTCAAGGTGGCCGCGGACGGTGACCATGCGGTGCGTGAAGGAGCACTGCAGGCCGGGACCGAGAATGAACTCGCCCCCAAGAAGCTTGAGGTCTCCAGGGGAGCCGATCTGCATATTGAAGAGGCCCTTCTGCGAAGTTCAAAAAAGTGAGTTGAGATATACGGACGTCAGCCATGAGCGCCAAGGGGATCAGCAAGCGGCGCTTTACTCACTTTGATGGCCGTAAAAGTGGCCTTGGTCATACCGTGCTTTATATAGTCAGGCACGGCGCACTCAGGACCGGGGTCGTTGGTGCGCATCGTCATGCCGAGGGACTTGTACACGTTGCGCTCAGGGTCCGCATACAGCGGGAATGGAACGCCGAGTACCGCTTTGAAAGACGTGATAACCTGCCAGCTGCCTTGACCGATGATGACGATGTCCAGGCCGGCGCGCTTGAGTGGGGCTAGGTCGATGTGCTTGAGTGACTGAGCGAACTGCTGGCAGAAGGGGCACCACCAGTGGCGCAAGAAGAAGACGAGCGCGCGCTGCTGCTTGAAGAGGTCGCCAAACTTGATGCCTGTGCCGCGGTCATTGAAGATGATGTGGTTGCTTGCTTCGAACAGCTGCAGCACAGTTGGCGGCTTGATCGCGTAGCTCCCGCTCGGGTTGCTGCTGCTGCCTCCGCTATCTGCGGGTGAAAGGGCCGAGGTGGCAGCTGACAACAAGTAGGCGGACGATATGGTCTGCTGCAAGCCCGGACAGGCGATCGACTGGCGGTTGACGCGCTTGGCAAAGGCGACCTTCTCAATGCTTGCGTCTCTCACTGCGCGATTGGATGGCGAGGAGGACCTCCTGCCTTTGACAGCGGCTGCAGCCGTCGCGCCAAAGAAGCTCTGTCTGCGCCGACTCTTGCCGACGCTCTTGTTGCTCACCGCATCCGCATCCTGGCACTCCATATCAACGCCGACGCCATCATGAGAGCTCCTCGACACGGTAGTCGCCAATTCGGCGATGCTGGAATTGCCGCCCTGCAGCCTGCGAGAGAAGCGCTTAGAGAAGCCGGGGGCTTTGGCATCGGCTTTGAGCTGGGCTTGCTCCTCGGCGAGGTGATCCGTCCTCTCGCGCCTACGCTGGCGCTCGGGCGCCCAGTCGAGCTTTTTGCCATCGATGACCCGCATTCCATCTGCGTATGCGTTGAACTCTGCTGCAGTGGTAGTAGTAGCAGCAGCACCTGCAGCTTCAGCGGCGGAGCGGGAGGAGCTGTTGTCGTCGGGGCCGATGACGGGGGAGATGCCGGGAGCGCTGATGACAAAGTTCTCGCCTTCGATCATGAATGTCTCGCGCTCGTCGAGCTGCCTGTTGTACAGCGGCCTGCCGAGCGACATGAACGCGTGCACTGGCAGGTTGTTACTTTGGCGCGACAGGGTGCCCGTTGCAGCAGCAGAGGAGGGATGGTCTATACTCATCTGCGGGTCTATCGAGCGGAAAGCCGTGGAGCGCAGAGACCCGCTTGCGCTTGCGCTCGCCGGTAGCGCGGGGGAGAACTGCGCATGCGAGTGGACATGCGGCAGCGAGGCCGAGCTGTGCAGGTTGCCCACGGAAAAGATGGCCGATCGGGCGACGGCGGCATGTTGTTCGGATGCTGCTGTTGCTGGTGTCGACTCGTCGGCGGGGAGGTTCGTTTGCCACGACCAGCTGCTCTTTGGCTCGATGATCGTGTCGTTTGAAGCAGCACTCCCTCTTCGCCCTCGCACAGCGTGTGCTTCGCCTGCAGTAACGGCGGCGCTCGATCGCTCCGCCCCCGCTCCATTCTCGCCCTCTGCACCTCTGTTTTCTGCGCTGTCTTCCATAGCAGCAGCAGCAGGGATGAGGCATAAATTCGGCAGCGGCACCGCAGCAGCTGCAGTGCCGACCCACAGCGCGCGCGTCGAGCGCGGAACATGTCGCGGTGACTTGGGCGGCGGCATCGGCGGAGGAGGCGAGGGTAGGCGCTCGACATCCGCATGCGAATCTGCGGCTTTATGAGTAAATTTGTCCTCCTGTTCTGCCCGCCCGCAGCCCAGATGCACACGACCTTCCCCATCCTCTTCTTCCTCGACAACCGCACCAGCATCTCCAAGCGGCTCCCCACGCGCATCGCCAATTCGCATCTGCGTCGGCGGCCCCACCACGGGGTGCAGCGCTGAGACGCGATAATCGATGACATCGAAGCCGTGTTGCTGTGTTTTCTCGTGCTGGATATCCTGCAGGTTCCACGGCGCGACGCGACCTGCGCCGGGCGAGATGGCCGGCGAGGCTGCGGCTGCGGGCGACGTGGCTCGGACTGAGGATGAGTTAGCGGCGGCGGCAGCAGGGCCAAAGCTAGGGCTGCCGGCAGCGCCTCGTGGCGAGCGCGTGCCACTGGGACTGTAGCTGCCACTGCTGACGGATAGCGTCATGGCGGGCGACAGCACTTTGTCGGGCTCCGCGCTGCTTCGGCAGGCTACGCTGTCAGCGCTCGCGGCGAGGTTTCCGCTGCTCACGGTCTTCCTCGCGGTGCCTCTGTGCGCAGACGCGAGCTCCTCACCGTCCAATTGCCGTTCGTCTGCTCTAGGAGAGGCAGTAGGAGTGCTGCGCCGCAGGCTCAGGCTCCTGCTGGAGAGCGTGCGCGGGCGCGTGCGCGGGCTGAGCGCGGTGGAGAATGGCGCGAGCTCCCGCTCTGGCGGGAACGGTCTCATTCCCACTCCTGCGCTTGCGCCCATGCCGCCGGATCTGGAGGGAGAGCGCATGCGCACGTGCTGCTGCTGCACGGACGCGCCAGAGCTGCTGTGCGGGTGCCCAGCGGCAGGAGCAGCGGTGCCGTTGTACTCGGCTAACGCCGCTGCCAGCTGCTGGTGGTGGGGGGAGAAAGAGGGGCTTGCAGGCGACGTGGGTGATGCGGAAGAAAACGATGAGGCGGAGGAGGAGGAAGAGACGGCGGTGGCGGCGTGTGCGTCGCGCAAACCGGCCCGGATGTATGGAAAGCCACCGTTGCTTTTGCTCTTGCTTGTCCCCGCAGTGCCGGAGCGAGGGGGGTTGAAGGGGGGCTGGTTTAGGACGCCGTTGACACTACTGCTGGTGGATGTGGCGGGCATCTTTTTCATTCCGGCCCGGATGTGCGATGCGTTGTAGCAGGGTCAAGGAAGAGCGGTGATAGGCGGGGCGCGGCAGCCTGTCTGGTGTATAAATATAATTTCTCGCGCTTGATTCGGCAGCAAAGGGCGCAGGTAAAAGGGAAAGAGAGAAATGGGGATCTCAGCAAAGAGAGGTGCGCGACACGCGGGTGTATGCAATGCTCACAGCGGTATCGCCTTGAGCACGTTCGCTTTGTCTCCGTAAAAGTGCCTTGGACCGCCACCTCAGAATCGCGCTGCACCGCTCCTTTTTTTCCAGCTTGTACCTTTGCCGGATCAAAGAAGAGCGTTGGAGGATGGGTGGCACGGACGCGCGCGCAGGTAGGTCGCGATACGGCGGTATCCCAGGCAGGCATGTGAGCGAGATGCTCGCACCTCGCCTCGCTGTGTATGCAGGACACGATAGAGAGGGGGTGAGCCGACACGAGCCGGGTACTCTGTGCTCGCTGCCAGTAAAAGGAGCGCGCGAGCGAGGCTGGTGGGAGATGCAGCAGGGTGTGTGCCACCCATGATTTGGATGCAGCGAGAGAAGAGAGAGGATGGATGATGACCTCTTGAGTGCTCCGGCCATGGTTGGTACGTGGTGGGCTCCCTTGGTGCTGTCAGCTAGCTCGCTCACATCCAAGCCACCATAACCCTTCCGCCTGGCCATCGCATGGATGCTGCACCCAGATTCCCCGGGAATCTAGGCGGATAACTGCGCAAAACCCCGCCAGGAATACCTGGATTCTCGCTTCTGACTTGCCGAAACGGGAACAGCCAGCATGTTGGTCCGTGCGTGCCTCGTACTTTTGACTCGGGAAAAAAAAGAGTAAAGCTTGGCGTACGTACAGTCTAGCATGAAAAGAAAGAACTGTTCAGAGAGAAAAGAATGAATGCCCCTCCATCCTACTATTCCACTCTAAGAATATGGATGTTTTAGGGTTGGCCGCTTTCATGTTTTCTATTCTATTTTTTCTTTCACTCGGTGACCTCTTCCATCCAACCATTAACCCCCCCCACATTTTGATTGCACCCATGAGCCGTCGACCGCGGCCGCATCCCATCGACTGCGCCTATGCCAGACCTCCTGGCGATGCGCACGAACCCTGCCACTCGGAAGCACAGCACACCTCGCCGAACACAGGCTCGCTCGGCGAGATGCACCGCCTTCCGCAAACCGAACCGGCGTTCACTTCGCCCGACGCGTTGGGGCATGGGCCGCTCAACCGATGGGCGCATCGACAAAAGCTGAATGGAAGCACAGAGTGTTTGGAGATGGATGCATTTTACATACATGGCATGCGTCAAGACGCGGCTTGTTGGTTCGATCATGCCTTTTTTGAATAGTTCGGTCTCGTCTTCTCCTCAGTCGACCGAGTCCTCGTCAGGCCCTGTGCCCTCGCCCGACGTCTCCTCTGCCTCATCGTCCACGAGCATCGAAGAGTGCTTCTGCTGTTGCCCTCCCTGCCGTGCTGTGTGTCGACCATGCCGAGCCAGCTTGCCCTCGTCCTCATCATCATCTTCGCTCTCGTCCTGTGTCCGAAGTGACGATAGCCTCGTGTTAGTGCGTCCACAAATATCTGGAACGAAGCTCGAGGCATACGCACCTCGTCGTCCGAATCGCCTTCCTGATCGAGCGCTTCCTCATCGTCGTCGACGATGAAATCATCCAGGCTGCCCGCTTCATCCGCGTCCTCGTCGTATTCTTCTTCCTCTTGGTCCTCAGCTGCATCTCCCCGTTCGTCCCCGGACCCTTCCTCGCTGCCTTCAGGCGTGTCGACAACCGCATTGTCCTCCATGACTTCGTCTTCATCTTCCTCGTCCTCGCTCTCGCTCTCTTCTTCCTCCGAGTCGTCCTCGTCACCGCCGAGCGCAATGTCCTGCAACTCGCCCTCCTCGTCCCCGCGCTCGACGTCGTCATCGTCGTCATCGCCCTCCTCATCAACGTTCATCGCGTCTGTTTCCGCCTCCTCTTCCGCGTCGCTCTCGACCCACACCTGTCCCTGCGTCCGGTCGAGCGCCTGCTTCCTGCTTTCCTTTTTGCTACCGCCCTTGGACGCTGCAGCGCGCGCGGCTCCGGCGCGCGCCTTGACGCCCTGTACGTCCACCTGCGACGCGTCGTACGTCGCGCGCAGCTCGATCTGCGCCAGCACCAGCTCTAGTCGGCCCTGCAGCTCTAGTAGTTTGTCCTGCGACGCCAGGCGTGCCAGCAGCGCCGAGTGCAGGTGGAACAGCCGCGTGACCAGGTTCGGGAGCTGGGCAGATGCGCAAACGATCAGCAACCCTCCTCGAATCGATCACCTCTCCGCCAGCATAACCCATGCACTCACCGACATAAAGTAGGCCGTATGAATGACGAGCGTGATCCTGACCCACTCGATTAGCGCCTTGGCCCGCTGGCTGCCTAGCGCCCCTCGACTCGTCATGTTGCCGCCCTTGTTCATGCGTTCGATGCAGTGTTCGAGCAGCCGCACGGCCAGCGGACCCGACAGACGCGCGACTGTGCCCCGAATCAGCACCGGGTCTCCGTGTACCAGGGATGAGGTGAGCAGGGTGGTGTCACCCGAATGCAGCGCTTGCGTCAGCGCTTGGGCAAGCGAGGCCGAGCCGCCCGCTTTAACTGTTAGAGCACGCGTTTTCGATGCAGGTCCAAATCCATCGTCATCGCTGTCGTGCGCATCGTCCGCGTCCTCATCTTCATCAGAATTATCGAGCCCTGCGTCCTCGTTCGATTTCTTCCCCCTATTTCTCCCGCCAGCAGCACCCTGACCGAAACTGCGGACGTTAAGGCTCTTGAGTCTCTGCGCCAGCGTCGGTTCGTCGAGGTCTATGCCGAGCTCGGCCTGCTCGTCGATAAGAGCATCCAGCTCTTCCGCCTTGGGAATCGCACTGCTGCCATCGACAAGCCCGAGCTGTGCCGAGAGCGCCGCGCCCGCTGCGCTTCCCGCGCGCACGCTTTGCTTCCCACCCGCTGCGACTGCAGAGGTGGAAGGGCCATCGTCGAAGCGCTGCATGGGGCTGACACCACCACCGAGCGCCGCATCGCTGCCGTCGTCGAGCGAGACGAGCAGATTGCTCGCGTCCCCGGACCGCGTCAGCTCCAGCTGCGATGCGAAAGGCGCCGCAGCGTCCGGGCGGACGACCTGAAGTGCGTCGATGCGTTGAGAACATCATAGTCAGTGCCACTCCATTTGGTGACTGCGATGGCTAGGTCGCAGGATAAGAAACTCACCGCACGTTCAAGCACCAGCTTGGAACCCCTGACAAGCCTCGCAAGCAGAAGCGATAGTGCACCACCGTTCTCTGTGCTTTCAGCCGCAGCGACAGCATCTACGAGCGGCAGCGTCCCGGTACTTCCCTTGGCACTGCTAACGATGCGGACCTGCGAGACGGGTTTCAGCGTCGGCAATGCTGCGAGCGCGCTGGCACGTCGCTTCTTTTTCTTTGTGCTTAAGCCAGAAGCGTCGGTGGCGGTAACAGCGTCTGCCCCGGTAGTCGCAGCGGCATCAAACGAAGTGGGAATGCTGTACAGCTGCGCGCTACCTGATGACGTGACGATGAGAAGGAGCTGCTCCCCAGTCTCCCGTCCCTGCGATGCAGCAAGTTGCAAGCACTCGATGTGCCGAGCGGCTGAATCGAGCGTGATGAGCGCGAGCGGCTTGCCATTCTTGACACCCGAATCATCTGTGGGCACTAAGGAAGGGATATCCCAGATGTACAGCGTCCGGTCCTCCTCTGCAGCACTGACGAAGCGAGCACCGTTGCCTTCAACTTGATCCCCGGCTTCAGCAGCGTCGCCAGAGAGCCAGACGAGGTGCGTGATGGGCGTGGCATGGCCTGTAAAGTGTACAAGCGGTGCGTCGGGCTGCTCGAAAGAAGCAGGAATGGAGGATGCTTTCGAGGCGGTTGAAGCAGGGAAGAGTCGAATGGAGTGGTGACCCACGAGGACCGTCTTTGCAAGGGGAGTCGATACAGGCGCATCAGCGGGAGCGACAATATGGACGCCCGTCTGAGCTTCCGGCACTATACGCCGGCTTGGTGCGATTGTTCTGCCATGTAAGGGCTCCTGCGTTTCAAGCTCGTACACACGGACTACACCATCGCTCGAAGCAGTCCAGAACTGCAAGGGATGATGGCTTTTGCAAACGACATGCAGCACGCCTTTGTTCCTTCCCGTTCCAGCCATAGCTGCCGATGCAAGAGGCAGGGTAGTGGCGTGGATTCCGTGCGATGCAGCTGAAAATTCCGAGTCGGAGAGAATGTGGGTTGTCTTGCCTAAAGAAGGGGAGAACAGATGCACCTGGCCGTTGTCGAGTCCAAGAGCTAGCACTTGCGTTTCTAGCTGAGTATCCTCGGAACTGCCGTTCGGCTGCGAGAGGTCTACACTATCTTCTCCTGTCACATGATTACCAGGCTTGGACTTCCGTCGCTTCTTCTTCTTGCTTCCGTCTGTGCTGGTATCCGCCTGTTGGTCATTCGGCACAGCTTTGGCCGAGCTGCCGGCGCTAAGCCGCCCCCAGGCAAGCGTGTTGCACTTTGCCTCATTGGGGATGATGTAGTCCGCCACCAACCGCCCTCCCGATGAGCCTACCACTGCGCCGGTTGCGCCTGCCTCAGAAGCACTGACAGCGTAGATACGCAGACGATGGCGGTCGATCGCCTGGCTCAGCAGCGCGAAATAGCCTCTCCCGCTGTGTTGCTCCAAGGGCGAGAAGGCCGAGAGCACGCCGGCTGCTGCAAGCTCATCCAGAGCGGCAGCTGAGCTGGCAGAAGTTGAGGCGCTGGCGGAAAGAGCATTGAGCGAGGAAGTAGAGGCAGGTCGGGACTTGCCGCTGGAGCGTTTCGACGAGCCTTTCTGGCCGGATGCGTTCTTCTGACTGATGGACGCCATTTTCACAGACGCTGTGGCCAGGACCACCTTTTGCGGTCAGCAGCACCTCTACCTTTTCTATGTGTGCGTGCGAGGTGTCAATGCCCAGCAACCCGTGTCCGCGAGGCAAGCTGCTCTACCATGCTCTGGACCTCAGAAGATTGCCAGCAGCAGATGGGGCAAATGCCATGAGTGCTCGAAAGCGATTTTTTGCTTTTTTCGCAGCCGTTCACAATCACTACATCTTTCCTCTGCTCTTGACTTTTGTTTCCGCTGAAGGAAGCTTATGTAAGCAGCTAAGGAGTTGCACCGATCCAACCACCACACTTGCCACACAAACACGATCGATCGTACATGTCAAACGTCGGGCTCACGTTATCGACGCGATTAATGCCTGCACACAGAGCATGGATGGATGTGCATTCGAGTGTTCTGCAAGCTGGCACGGCCACGTTTCCCACGACACCTACCATTAGCGTGTGCGGGAACGGCATCGCCGCTGATCAACTTTAATGCAAATCGAGGCTCCCGCCCCTTCAAAAGGCGACTTGGAAGCGCTTGTGCCAACCGACCCCGGCCAGCCAAAGAATCCGAACGACCGCCTGGCCCATTGGCCACCACGTGAACATGTCACGCCTCGGCTCATCTTCGCTCTCCTCTACGCAGTCTTCCTCACTGAACCCACAGCTGCCAAAGAGAGGGAACCGCACTGCGCTCTTTCGTTCTCTCATCGCCGAACATCAGCAGCAGCACCAACGACTAAACAGTCAGCAGCCAGAACAGCGCAAGGTGGACGTGTACAATATCGATGGTGCACGGACACAAAAGGAGAAGGATGCGCTTCTTCAAAGGAAGAATGCGGACCGCGAGTGGATTGCAGAGGCTAGACGAATAGTACGTTGCAATCACCTCCAGAATTCTTGTCACAAGGGCGGCAGCTGACAAACGTATTGAGTGCACCCTCGGATTTGATGTTGTCTGCGACAGCACCGCGCAATCCTAGCTCTCGTCTCCTTTCTTGGCGCCATCCGGCGCGTCTATATGGTAAACAGTGGGGTGGGCGGCGTGAGGCCGACCTCCTCTTCCGAGACGTCAGCCGATCTTGCATCAAGCGACACAGCATCTTCAGATCCTTTCGCGCGATGGAAGCACGTTCGGAGCATGGATGAGCGCCAGCGCGATGAGCTGGACCTTCAGGTGCGCGTCATGCTCAAGCGGCTGATGGAAAGGATCAAGGAGCTGGAGAAAGCTGAAGAGAGTATGTATTTGCTTGGCTCCTCTGCCGAGAGACGGTCGCAGCAGAGCTGACGTATTCTTGTCACGCATGCCATCCCCATCTTCACACTAGTCCGAAAACGCACCTCTCCGACGTCACACGCCGCTTCGAACCCACTCACAATCCTCCTCTCCCTCTCTTCGTCCCCTACCTCGATACATTCTGCAGCGTACTCCTCGCAATTGTCGCTGCATCGTTCCGGCATCTGCCACTACCTGAGCTCGCTCTTGGCGCACGCAGGGACGCGGCAGCGGGGCATGCAGGAACGTTACCTGAAGAACCGGCGCACGCGCGAGGGCTGGGATCGAGGGTTAGGCGCTGCTACCGCGTCCAGCAGCACGCAGCGAGCAGATGGAGGAAAAGAGGACGTGACCGGAAAGAGCAGCGCTATTGGCCCATTGCAGGGTTCTACCAAGGGCATCAAGCTTGACCCGTCCCTCGTACCCGCATTCACGTCCTCGTGCGATCCTTCAACCTCCTCATCTGACGTGCTCTCCACGTTGACACCCACGCAAATCCAACAGTTCGAGTCAGAGAACAGCGCGCTGCTCTCGTCTTTCGAGAGCGACCTGGCGTCAGTGCAACAGGCCGAGTCGAAGCTGTACGCCATCGCGGAACTGCAGACGCAGCTGATACAGCACCTGGGCCAGCAAAGCGAGATGACGGGCAAGTTGCTGGAGGAGAGCATTGGACATAGCGCAGAGGTGGGCCAAGGGAACACACAACTAAGGAAGGCAAAGGAGCGGAATCGGCAGGCCAATCGGATGTTGTGCCTCTTTCTGATAGGGAGTGGGCTGGGATTGTTGTTCTTACATTGTGAGTCATATTGGCGATATTCCTGAAGAGAACACCTTCGACGGCTCAAGAGTTACACACATGCGATACCAGGGATTGATTGAGGCTGGTCTTTCTGCATAATTGTAACGACCAATGCATCTCCCAAATTCAACATAGCACTATACACGCTTGGTACCAGTACACAATTATTAGAAAGGGACATTGCATGCGTCAAGATTGCACCTAGCATATTTTCAAAGCATGCGGGGCCAGCAGCCCGATCAGCCAAGTGTTAGGAAGGCCGCGCCATAGCTCGAATGTGCAAAAACCCGCGGTGCGGATCGGTATAACAACATCAAGCGATCTCCATAAACCTTGCGCGCTTCTCTCCCTGACCGGCGATACTGCTCTTGCTGCCTTTGGGGCTGTTATCAGGAGCTTGACGTTTCTGTTGCTGTTGCTGTTTCTGTCCCTGTTGTGCTTGCTGTTGTTGTGCTTGCTGTTGTTGTGCTTGCTGTTGTTGTGCTTGCTGCCGATGCTGTTGCTTTTCACTTGCTTGAGAAACTCGACGAGCATTAATCGCCGTGCCCTCGCCTGGCAGCACGTCCAACGCGTCCGCTACCGTCGACGATAGATCACCCTGATTTGAGTCCGACAGACTTCCGGCTGCAATGAGATTCTGTAGCATAGAGACGTACCTAGCGCGGCAAGGAATTGGCACATGTCAACCATGCACACTCAAAGCAAGAGCTAGGTAGCGCTCGAAGTCACGACTCACTCCTGGTCCGAGAATCCCATACACACGAGTGGGTTCGCGTCAAGCTCGCGGGCACAAGCAAAGCTGAGGCGCGACATGCTCCCCAGTGCCAGCGTCGCTCCAGCATCGCAGGTGCTGTCCCCCTTGAGCTGCTGCTGCTGCTGCTGTTGATCTGGTTGGGGTCCGAGTTGAATAGCCTGATTCAAGGAGGAGGCAGCTAACTGGGCAGTCGTCGCAAGCGCCTTGTGCAAAGCGCCATTCTCAACCGGTGGAAGACCGAGCGATCTCGGGATCTCATCCAGCTGTTGTACCGTCTTGAGATGAATGAGATGTTTCTGTGATAAAGATCTCGAGTAAGCAGGCGCACCAGAATGGCGCGTAAGCTGCCACAGGTAAGTCTCACCTCAAGCATATTCAATAGACCCTGTTTCGTGAAGGGCTTGGGCAAGATGTCGTTCATGCCGTGGTTCATATAAGTAAACAGTTCGCTCGGTTGCGAGTTAGATGTCATCGAGATGATCGGCGTGCGCGGATCGAATCGACGAATGAGGGACGTCGCCGAGACACCGTCCAAGTTCGGCATGATAATGTCCATGAGGACGAGATCATATTTCTCGAGGTTCATCTTGTTGACCGCATTGACGCCATCGACCGCGACGTCAATGGCGCAGCCAAACACTTGCAAGAATTTCGAGCTGAGCTTGCGGCAGACTGCATCATCATCTACCAGCAGCACGCGGGGGGGCACGGCCCAGCCGGGGACGTAAGTTGATCTGCGCACGCGGAGAACAGACGGCACTTTGTCGCTGGTCCCCGGAGTGTCACCAGGACTTGGTCCACCCTCTACGTCGGACGCCAACAGACTCGAGCCTCCTTTTGAGCGCTTGTCGATTCTCGGCATACCATATGGCAACTCGTCGATCGAAAGCACTTGCAGCGCGCCAGCCTCGCTCGGAGATGAAGATTCGGACAGGGCCTTTGCTTTGGTCGTCGAGGAACCTGTTTTGGCGCCTGGCTCACTGGATCCAGTAGGAGAGTCTCCCGCTTGTCCTTTGTTGAGACTGTCTGCGTCTTGTCGCGCTTGAAGCGTGCCGACGGTAAACACTCTCAACCCAGCATTCTCATCCAGGAAGGTAGGGTTGAATATCGATATTCCCTTTGAGCTCCCGGTCACAATAGCCGGGGCAGATGGGCCTTCCGTGTTGGATACGGAGCTGCTGATATTGCTGCTGCTGGCCGCATGTGCTTCGTCAAAATGAGGCGGGTGCAAGAAAAAAGAGGGCGTGCCTGTCTCGACCGTTGCAAAACTGCGGTCAACGCCAGCACCAGTCTGATTGGCCACGCTGGTAGGCGCAGGTGTTGCCATTGCTGCGGGTGAGATAGTTTTGGACGACGATGTCTGACCCTTGTGCGAAATTGGGCGATCAACCACTGTCGTGGACGGGGATGTTCGTAATCCGGCTGCAGAGACGCCGAAAAGGCCTTGACTGGCGCGAACGGCGATCTCACTCATTTGAGCAAAAGAAGCTGAGGCAACCTCAGAGTATGAGCCGATGAGCTTGGCAGCTTCGTTCGATTGAAGGAATGGACCCGAGTCATTGGATAGCAGACCCGTACTGGGCGATGGCCCTTCGATGGTTCTACTCCGATCCTGCTCGGTATTGACGAGGTATTGAATGAGGTTCTGCATCAGCTGGTCTTGTTCAAACATGTTGCGTTGGTATGTGAGCATCTCGGAGATCACACCTTGGTACTGCTTGGTGAGGGTGCTGATATGGTTCGTCATCTGATCTTGGACTATCGTCAAACTTTTCACCTGCTCTTTCAAGGCCGCGTAGTCTTCTGCAGCCATGTCCGCTGCCTCAGCACCCAGGGGTACCGCCGATGAGTATATGTGATCTTCTCCATCCTTCCTCTTCTTACCAGTCGGGATCTTGCGCTTGACTTCATCCAGCAAATCTGGCCTTGCGCGCACAAAGCAATCGTGCTTGAATTCCCACATCTGATTACAGTCGCCGTTGCTCGATCCTGGCGCCATTCCGAAAAGTGCCTCGAACATGGCCGGGTCCTTCTTCACCTTGTGGAAGTCGTACTTATTGAGCTGACGGACAAAGGATGCAAAGTTGGAGTGCCGGAAGTGACGTGGTAGCACGTGCTTAGTAAAGTCGTTCATATTCTGAAGCCCAAGCAGTCAAAGCTCAGCTTTTCGTTCTCCACCTTATGAATGCAAGCATAACCGGCTCACGGCCACAACAAAGCTCGTACCACTGAGCGACCACCTGACGATTTCGTTCCAAGATCCATCCTCCAGCATGCTGAGCAGCAGAAAAGAGTGGTATGGATCGGTGAATTGGCATGCCTCCCGGCCCTCGGTGCAGGGAGCAGCTACTCACGAGAATAGCCGTCGAACAAAATGCGATGCTGCCTTGCCTTCCATATCCTTGCCATCTGTGCCTCTTGCAATTGCACCGCCAGTTCCACCTGCCTCTGCGGCGTCACCCTCATCGTCGCGTCCTTCATCCGTGACCTGATGAGCTTCGGTGGGGATCCTTGAGCCTTCTGCAGTCGTAGCAGTAGCAGAAGGCGCAAATATTCTGGCATTGAAGCTGGGTATTGATGTTGCAGACTGGGTTGGATGCTGCAGTGCGCCTGGCTGCTGGGATTGGACGATCTTGGCATCCGTGAGGGTAGCAGTGGCTCCTTCGGCCGTGTGGTAGGCGCTTGGGTGCAGCATAGCGTCTACGGAGGGATCAGCGCCTCCGATCAACATTCCTTCCTGAGCGACTCCTGGATGGTACAACACATTTGTCGGAAAGCTGCTTAGCTGCAGTGGGTGCTCCGGGTGCAGTGCCGGATGTGCGTATGTCGGGACATTGGTGGAACTCGGACCAGCTTGCGCAGGCTGCATGGGCACAAACCCAGTGATAGGTGAGGGACCGTAAGCACTCACGGGTGACTGCTGCTGTTGCGGTTTTCGATGCGACGACCTGGAGCGTGGAGTGCACTGTGCGAAAGCGGCATCGAAGTCAAAGGCAGCTGCTGGCTGACCTTGCCGGATGGTGTGTTCCTGCCGCCGCTGAGCGTCTCCAAAGCACCGTTGTACGCCTGATGGTGCGCCGGATGATGATCCCATCAGCTGTGGCGGCTGTGAGTTCACAGCAAAGCCATTGCCTGTCACTTGCGTTTCAGGGCTGGGGCCGCTGCTGCTCGCTGGCGGCGCTCCGTTCGCATTTTTCATTGGTGGCATTCTGAGCGTGTGACTGCCATGGATGGACAAGTACAGTGTTCCGTTTCGCAGTCCAACAGGCTCGCTTCATAGATTTGAATGCGTGCGCAGATCGTGCTTAGTCGGTCCTACACCTCGAGACGGTCAAGGGTTACGTTCAAGCGGCGCGGCGTTAAGCTAACACTAGGAAGATCGATCGCTCCAACCACGTTATATGAGACGTGGACGAAGTAATGACCTGCCCGGTATCCATGCTGCTTTATCTGTTGGAGTGGCAGCTCCTGGATTTGCTGGGGGCTTCGCGCTGGGTTCTGTGATGATGATGGCCTGCTGCGAGATGTAATGTCGGCGATATGCGAGATGTGAGAGGTGAATAAGATGATGATGTGATGATCAAACGTTTCACGCTGTGCATGCACGCACTCAATCGCTCACTGCGGGTACAAAAAGAAAGAATTACAAAGCGTGTATAGTAGGCAAAAAAAGAAAGGTGGAAGTCATTGCTGACAGCAGGACCACAGGGTTGTTGGTTTTTTTTATCAGCTGTTGCTTGGTACCTGGACGAGCCCGTCGACCATGTTCTCCACTTCCAATACGAAGCATCCATCAACTTCGTACAAGTTGCTTCACGCCTTCGTCGCTACTATTCATCCTTCCTGAGTTCAACTGTACGGCATATACGCCTGTTTTTTCTCTTTTACTGTACACAGTGGGGACAGTACCCAGGATCCCCATCTCGATCTCGGTCATCATTCGAGGCATAAAACCTTACTCTTCATTGAATACACGCCTTTCTGGGCACCCTTTGATTGCCTGTGTCTTCGTATGTCGGACAATGAGCAAAGGCCGTATCATGATAGACAGGGCTGGACGAGCATACATGTGCTACCGTGTTGCTCTATAGCGGCTTTAATATGATCCAAAGGAAACGTAGAAGGCTCAAAGGTACAACAACAGATCGACATAATCGAGGAAGCAGCGGCATCATCCTCAACGGGCGAGCTGAGCGCGTAGCGCGCCGTAATGAGAGTAAAGAACAGGCTACAATTATGACCCAGTCTGGAGCCCTCAAGGTACTACTAGAATGCCCTTTAACCGTCACAATACTGGGGAAGAGCGGGGCAATGTCGAAGAAATAATGCCGGCGCTTGGTAAGGAGAAAGCCGAAATATTGACCTCTGTTTAGATCTCGCTGATTAGCTTTCTGTTGCAGCAAGATGCTAATCAAATGATGATCATCGACAGTTAGAAGACGCTGATGAACAGGCAAACAATTCTAATCAATTTGATGAAGCATCAGCAATAGCGTGAGCAAGCGCACGCGGGCTATCGGCCAGACGTCCCCAGATTCTCGATGAGTTCCAACGCGCTCGCAGAGACGGGACGGCGAGCTCTTGAAGGGTACACGGAGAAGTGCACAAGATTGAAAACGATCCAGTGAATGGCCCTGCAATTGCACTTGCTGGTGCGCCCGCGCATGTCCGTACGAGATGGCTTGGTGCAAATATTTGGGCGAATGACTCGTGCACATTGGCGCCATAGCTGCAGGCATCGGAACTGAACAACTATCCCATCGTTCATCGAACCTTCAACCAAAATTCGCTTATTACGGTCGTAGAGGCTTGTACTTTGTGCCGTCGCAAATCATGGTTAGGCAGAGATTTCAGCAACTCCTGGGGGCAATTACTTTCGCACGAAGAATTGAGGTCAGAGAGATGCAACGTCACCGTAGGTTGGAACCCTCGACAATTTCATCGTAGACACCTTCCAATTTCTTCTAGCAAATGGCACCTCAGAACACCTGGAAGATCGCGGATATGGCGAGCAGATCGGCGGGGCGGACTCATATGTAATTATGGCCCACTTTTGGGTATGCAGGTCGGGGTCTCTAGAGAACAGAGTGCCAGAATTCGAGGGATCAAGTTTGAGTCACTTTCTAGAGGGAGATTGCAGTGAATTTTTTGGGGATTCGATACATCAAGAGAGTGCAATGAGACTCATGGGACTACAATATATGCGATACAAGGTGTATGTTACATCCACATTGCAAACAAGGATGCTGATTGATTGAAGCTGAACCCGATCTGTGGTTGCTACCCTTGTCGCTGCTGCCGAACGCTTCGACGGCCGCAAGTGGTAACCACCAGCGGTCGGCCGATGACATCATACGCCATTGTCGGCGCACGAGCCTGGTGTGTCACTGACATTCAACCCTTCACCGACGCATGGCATGACGGATTAACTGACACCAAGACTCCTTAGGATCGAACCCGATCGACTCAGGTTGCTAATCACCGTGGAACGAACTGGAAACCTGAATGACAAGCTAGGCTTGAAATATATACATGATAATGATTCTCAATACGCATATTTTGAAAGCATATCCACTACCGCTGAACGTGGGCTCAACGTCTTCAACGATGGGGGTAAGTGACACTCAGATGCGTATGAAGGTTCCAGGCTGTCGATCATTAGTTGCGGTGTATGGATAGAAAAAATTTGTCGCATCAGGCGCGGAAGTGGTGCTAATACCCGTGCACTTCAATGAAAGAGCCTACTGGTCACTATTGGTGATAGACGTCGTCAGCCAACTGTCCATCCACTGTGATCCTATGCACTTATCTCCCACTGAGATGTTGACAATGGCGACGAAGATGTGAGTATTGAGGACCATTGAACAAGAAGTGAGAATGTAACACGAATAGTTTGGTCGAGCTAGACGTTAAAACGTGCACATGATTGTCCAAGGCAAACTGATACGTGGAATGGATGGGTATTTATCATAGCCTTGATGGGAGAGTTGTGTTATAGGAAAGCATATGATGATGAGAAGAATCAGCTCCTATGGCCCTTCAAGACAGAGGACCATGCATTAGATGAGGCTCTTTTTCTTGCTGTGGATTAAAGATTTACCTGAATGAAGAGTGCACGCACTCTAAATGTGAATCATTTGCAAGCCTTCAGACTTGGAGAATGCAGAGAATTCGCGCGTCTTAAACGGCAGCAAGTAGGTATCTGTGGCCTCCTTGCGACTGCCAGGTCGAAATGAATCGTTGACCGTGTTTGTAAATTGCGAGAGTGACCTGCACAGCAAGTCATACTCGCATTTGCATATGCTGAAGGTGATAGGCGCATTGTACAACAGGAGTATGGATTGGGTGAACAATGACGAAAGGCCAAGTGAAGCAACTTTGCAAGCTGATGTTTCATTTTAGCCAAGTGGAGCGGAACGGCCTCGGAGCACTTGTCAAGGTAGCAACTACACGGCCACAGCGAGCTGGCCCATCTTGGATGTGCTTCTTGACACGACATGAATACACGTCACACGTCAGGGACAGGGATTCGGAGGTTTATTTCCGTTTCTTCGTGGAACAAGCTCCCGGTACATGTGTCCGGATCGTTGCTGCTTGTCGCCAGGACAGACCGGGTACAAGACGCAGCGACTCTGCCGAGAAAACCGAGGTACGCTTGTGTTCATGCAGCAATCGTCCCGGTCCGGCTTGCTTAGTCATCGCTTGTGAGTCATGCCACCCAGGGCAACAAAGCGTGCTCGCCGCTCCGATCTAGGTGATAGACCTGCTGCTGGCAATGCATCTACCGAGGACGCTTCGCCGACAGCTGCCTCGCCCTTACCCCCGATGCCGCCTCCAGAGGAGGAGCCGCCTCTTCCACCAGCCGAAGATGGCCCGCCCTTGCCTCCGGTTGCATCATCATTCGTAGCACCCCCACCGCCGCCGGACGAAAAAAAACTGTTACCTACAGACGCTACGTCGCGGGAGGCTGGTGATGGCGCGCTTGACGAAGATGAGCTCATGCGCCGCAAACGCAAGCTGGAAGAGCTCGACGAGGCAGACGCTCAGCAAGACGCCAGCTATTGGGAGAAACTTGCGAACGAGAAGGAAGAGGCACTAAAGAGAGAGAATGCTCAGCGCAATGCCACGCTCTATCTTGACACCATCTCGCGGCAGCACCTCGACTTCGACTTTGAGCGCGTTTGCTCCGTGTCGCTATCTCCCTTGCACGTCTACGCCTGCCTCATATGCGGCAAATACTTTCAAGGACGAGGACCAAAGTCATGGGCTTCCAAACACGCTGTCGATGAGGATCATCGTGTCTGGATGAAGCTGGAGGAACCGGGCAAAGGCAATGTCTACATTTTGCCAGAAGGCACCCAGGTGCGCGACGAGTACAGCCTGTCAGCCTTGGAGGACATTAAATACCTTTTAGATCCGACGTTTTCCGAGCGTCAGGTCCGCAGACTCGATGCACCCGACTTACGTTCTTCGCGCGACCTTCAAGGCCGCTCGTATAAGCCAGGCTTCATTGGAATGAACAATCTGGGGGGCAATGACTACATGAACGTCGTCATTCAAGCCCTTGCACATGTCAAGCCTCTTCGCGATTTTCTCATCCGCGGGAGGGCTCTTCCACTGCAGCAGCGCAAGGAAGACGCTGAAACATTCGCAGGAATCGATGCAACGAGCTCATCTGAGTTTGCTGCGCGCTTCTCCATGCTCGTGCGCAAGGTGTGGAACTCGCGCTTGTTCAAACCGCAAGTCAGCCCGCACGAATTTCTCCAGGAGGTCAATAAGGCGAGCAAGGGGCGGTTCAAGCTGACTGCACAGGGAGACCCAGTCGAGTTCCTCGGCTGGCTCTTGAATCAGCTGCACATGGATCTGGGCGGAGGAAAGAAGCGCGACTCGATCATCTCGGCGACATTTCGCGGTGTCGTGCGCGTGGAAAGCCAAAAAGTGTTCGTCCGAAGCGGGATCGAGCTAGACGACGATGGTGGCGGACCACGGGACAAGCTTGACTCGGATGGCCGCAGGGAAGGTGGCCAAGAGGATGCGCAGGGTAATGCCAAATTCAACATCGATAAGGGTACGATTTACTTGTGACCGGATGCTCAGCTGCAAAGCTAATCCTTCTCGGTTGTCTACATTTCTCGCAGAGATCCAAACAAATCTCTCTCCTTTCTTCCTGCTTGCGATCGACTTGCCGCCGCCTCCGGTCTTCCAGGACGTGATAGAGAAGAACATCATCCCGCAAGTTCCGCTCGCTTCGCTGATCTCAAAGTATGATGGCATATCGTTTCAGGAAGCACGCGGAATGATCCGACGCTTCAAGGTGATGCGGCTACCCCCCTTTGTCATTCTGCACTACCGTCGCTTCACTAAGAACAACTTTGTCGAGGAGCGCAACCCCACGATCGTCAATTTTCCCGTCAAGGGGCTCGATCTCAAGGAGACGGTGGTGGGAGAGCAGAGCGAGGATATATCGACAATGTACCACCTCGTCGCCAACATCACACACGAGGCGACGGCGGGTAGCGTCAGAGAAAACCAAGTCTGGAGGGTTCAGGTTCACAGCAGGATTGATGGGGAACCTTTTGGACACCCAGTAGAGGCAAGTCACCGTTTAAAAAGGAAGGGGCGAGACCAAGGCGCAAATGGCCTCAAGTCTCAGGCTGATGCAGACGGCGAGGGAGATGACGAGGCGGACCGCGCTGCAGAGGAAAAGTGGTACCAAATCCAAGACCTCATCGTCGAAGACATCAACCGCCAGATGCTCTTTTTGGGCGAGACGTACGTGCAGATCTGGGAGAGGAAAGATGGCTCGCGTGAGGTGTCGGAGGTGATGCGCAGGATCGCAGCAAAACAGGTGGCCGAAGCGAAGGATGATGGGATAAAGAGCAAGCCAGTAGGGGCTAAACCGGCAACGAAAAGTACCACCATTATGAGCAATGGTCCCGCACATACGTGATTGAATATCGCACGATACACCTTTAGCTCCGGAAATCGTAGACCTGTAAAAGCGCAGCATATTGCATGAGCTCTTCCGGGGGAATGTTCGGCTTAGATGATGCGGATGCGAGTCTGGGCGTACCTGCTTGCCGTAATAAGCGCCAGCTGCAAGTGACGTGGCGGTGAGGACGGCTGGAACTGGACCTTTCCTTGCCCTCGGCAGCGAGCTGGCGAGCAGAACTGCAGATGCTGCAGCGCAGATATCGTAACCGTAGTCACCACCGCTGTGAAGCCCGTAACTGTAACATGAGCATGTCTCTCCCTCGTATCTTTCGACGCGCACATGCATCAGCATGAAGGCTCACTTCTTAATGCGGTAGCCCCCGAAACCGTATAGTGCACCGACGGTGATACCAGCCACAAGCGAGGGGATAGACCGGGTGCGAGAGTAGCCGATGATGCCTCCGATGGAGCAGAGGGCTGCCATTGTGAAGGCTGGGTGCTCAGACTATCAACGAACCAACGTGGATGCATATCAGATCAGCAGCCAGCTTCGCCCAACATGCCTGCCCAGTGTACCTCGGCGAATGCAGCGCCGCTGTGCCTCACCATGTTTGACAAATAAGCGACGACGCCTTGATGTTTCTACAAGTTTGTTTGCTCCTGCACGGGACGGCAAGGCAACAGCTGGAAACGGTACGTCTTCGCAGCAGCGGGCTGACACAGCCGAAAGACTCTTGACACAACGTTGAAATGCCCTTTTGATCCAAATGCTTCGGCAGTCCGCACTCTGAGCCATTCCGAGCTGATATCAGGGACGTTGACTTCGCTCTCTCTTTCATGTCATTGGAGATGCCACCACAGCCATACCCCTCGGCATTGGCGAGGCGTGTCACGTGATCTTCCCCGCGCCGCGACGGGCTAGTCGACTGTCACATCGTGGTCGTCCTCAACCGCCCGAGTTCACCATGGCACATGCTCTTAACGGCTTAGCCCCATTCGTCCACGTTGTTTCTCGTGGCCTGCTTTAACGGTCAACGACTGATTGGGCAAAAGCTTCTGCGCACGACGTCATGGTGCAAGGTGGATGACTAGGGTGCTCGGTTGCCCAATGGCACCGTCCTGCGACACGACATGCTGGTCTCGGCACTGGGTGGCTGAGTGCCTGAAACTTCGGCTGATCGAGCGGTAGCCGGTAATGATCTTCCGCAGTTACCCCCTTCGGACCAGTTGCAAGTATCCAGCAGCTCGCTTGGGTACACCACTCTCATAAGCTGCACTCTTTGCTCATCTCTGTTCTAGCCGGCTGGAAGGACCGTTGATCTTCCTTTGTTCACCTCTGCCCTATAGGTACTGACATTCGGCTGCAGTGTGGGTGGAGCCGTTATGTAAGAGCGTGTGCCATGAGTTCGCACCGGCGGTTGAGGGCAAGCACGATGTGAGGCAGTCGACTAGCCCGTCGCGGCGCGGGGAAGATCACGTGACACGCCTCGCCAATGCCGAGGGGTATGGCTGTGGTGGCATCTCCAATGACATCAGAGCGTTGGGGTATGTCTCAGTACGAATGCAGGCGTTGCCGTACCTTCAGACAGGCACTGTGACACTCTGTACAGCATCCAATCGCGGTCGACTGACGATGGGCCCAAGGTTCCGATCATGCTGGCTAAGCGCCCCGCCCCCAAAGCTTGCTAATGATCTCTACAAACATTGGCCAAGGTTCAACCCGCTCCTGGAGCAGGAATGGAAGACAACAATTGACATCTCCAGCCGGCTCGAGTAACATATTGATTCTTGACATCCCTCACCATCTCTTCGTACGTCGTCAGGCTAGGCAGAAGCTTCAGCCTGTCAATCGTAGCCCAGTCGGTGAGTAGTCTGAGCCTTATGGAAGTATGGGATGCTCTTTATAAACATGGTCGGAGCTGACAAGTTTCCCCACTTTTACCCCTTCGAACGACCACCATCCATTTGTTACATTTCTCCTCAATCCACACGCTTACTTCTCCTTGCAATCGGTCCTTTCCGCAGCCCCGAAGGGACCAATAGCGCCATCCACCCGCACTCACTCCTCAACACCGAGAGGATTATCCAGCGCAAGTCGTCTCAGGGTTTTCTCTCCTTGCTCAGATTGGAGACCGGTTCTCCATCAACTGGCAAGTAAGCAAGTCTTCATCGAATCAACAACCTCAGCCCCTGCATCCTTGCCTTGGAGCGGGATAGTACAGCAACCATTCGACATATAGAGACGGTGTGGGAAGGGATCTGAATCACGTTCGATCTTTTGCTAGGCAGGCACTAGCTGATCAACGTCTCGAGACCCAGGAGGAGATAAGTCGAGTAACGGTACAGCCAACGGCACTAGAGGCTCTTCGGGGCGGGCACCCAGGACCTGCAAAACCAACAGAAAAAAAAGAAGAAAGCAGCATCTAGAGTACGACAGACAGGACCAAGTGAGCGCGAGCAGTAGGCTTTCTTATCCACTTCAGGGCCCTGACTCTGATGATCTCGCGATTACTCTATGTACCCCCTGCAGGTGACCATGTCTCGCGGTCGCTCAAGCACGGGCTCATCAGGCCGTGGCGTCCGCTTCTCTGAAGACAGTGGCCAACCGGGAGGCATTGGCATCGACATGGAGCTCATGCGCGCGGCTATGGCTGATCAAGCTGCTGTGCAGCAGGGTCATGCCTCACCCATGGCGTCTCCTGCAACACGCAACGATCAAGGCTCCTCACCTTTCCAGCCTGGTTATTCCATCTCCGTGCCTCGCCCCTCTGTCGCATCCTATGCTTCCGTGCGTGACATTGGCCCTCTCGAACGTTCTCCTTCCGAATCGGACCGCAATCAGCAACCATTCAGGATCGCCAACAAAGGCGAGCACAATGACGATGCCAAGAGCTACTCCGAGGTCACTGAATCTGAATTTGACATGGACGACGTCCTCGAGTACAAAAGTGTCAAAGAGCGTCGTCCTACTACTGGCTCGGTCAACCGGGAGCATCTTCCATCCACGTCAGGCCCTGATCCGGACAGTACTGGTCGCAGCAATACCCAAGATGCACCGCAGCTCAGGAATCTCTTCACCCAAGAGCAGCAGCCACAAGGGCCCAATTTTCGCAACATTCATGGTCTCGAACTGCCCTCGCGCCCACAGCCGACTGTGGCTCGCCAGACCAGCGGAAACTTTCCTCCGGCTACGCCATCATTGCCTGGAGCTCGTCAAAACGGGTTGGGTGGCTTTGGCGGCCAACCTCCTCCAACTGGAAGTCCCTTCTCGCCGCACATCCAGCACTTCGACCCGCTCTCATCTCCATCGATGGTTCAGCCATTCTCTCCGCGCGTGACTGCGTCGGGTAGCGTCAAATCACCGATGCTCAAGCCTGCGCTTATCCGTCGCGGAGACAGCGTCGAGAACTTCAGGCAGTTTAAAAATTCCGACGACTCTCTCGAGCGCGGCGCTGCTAGAGGTAATGCATCCGAAGCGGACGTCATCAAAAATTCGTACCGCTTAGGCGTTGGTGTCGGCCCAGGCTCCCCAGGACTTCCTGCAAACGTTACTGCTGGTGGTGCAGCCGGCAATGGCCTTGCGAAGACCTTCATGGGCCTGTATGGCGCCATATCTGGTAGCAGCCCGGGCCAAGGCGTCGTTGGGCCGTCGTTCCATACCCACACTGACGACGAAAGCGATGATGCAACTCTCAATGGTGACCCAAACTCTCCAGTGTACAGCAAATTCGGAAAGTCAGGCAGCATGGACACAGTGTCGCACCCTCCTACACTGCCCATTTCCAACTCGGTGCCTCGCGCCCAGCCAGTTCCACCCCCAACTGCTCAGCGCCGTGACAGCTTCTGGGATATCAACGATGACGCAATGGACGAGAACGATCCGCGTCTTACGGGTCTGACGCGCAAGAGCATGCAGCTCAAGCGTGACAAGATGGAGAATTTCGACCACCGTCGCTCCAGCTGGAGTTCGGAGACAGGTGACCCGACGATCAAGCGGCCTTCCAACCGTCGTCGTGTCAGCCTTGGCAATCTCAAGCTGGAGTTTGGTGGGGATGATGACGATGGAGACGACAAATATACACCTCCTCGCCGGAAGAGCTTTGACCGCCGGAAGAGTGCCACCACCATCTCCTACCACGTCAGCCACGTTCAACAGCGCCAAAAATTCATTCTGAAGCTGTCCAAAGCGCTCATGATGTTTGGCGCTCCGTCGCATCGAATCGAGTCGCAGCTCAATGCCACCGCAGCAGTCCTGGAAGTCGATGCACAATTTGTCCACTTCCCCGGTATTGTCATTGCTTCCTTTGGGGACATCGATAAACACTCGTCCGAGACCCACTTCGTCAAGAGCAGCAGCTCCTTGGTGCTCGGGCAGCTGCACGAGGTTCACACCATTTACCGCCGCGTCGTGCACGACGAATGCAGTGTCGACGAAGGTACAGCCGAGCTCACCAAGCTGATCAAACAGAAACCAATTTACGGCGTGTGGACGCGCATCTTGATCGCTGGCGGTTTGTGCTGCGTCATTGCGCCTCTGTCGTTCGGCGGCAGCTTTGTCGATGCCTGGGCGTCGGCGTGCTTCGGGATTCTGTTGATGTTCCTGCAGCTTCGTGTTGCCAAGAACAACGCGATGTACTCAAACATCTTCGAAATCTCGGTCGCCATTCTCATCTCATTCGTCAGCCGCGGCTTGAGCACCACCAATATCTTCTGCTATCAGGCTATTGCGTCTAGTGGTGTTGTCCTCGTGCTTCCGGGCTACATCATCTGTGAGTGGGGATTGGTCGAACGCGTTTTGAATGAGTTTCTGACAACATCCTGTTCATTTGCCCAGTGTGCGGCTCTCTTGAGCTAGCCAGCAAAAATATGATCGCCGGTTCGGTCCGTATGGTCTATGCAATCATCTACTCTCTCTTCCTCGGCTTTGGCATCGCCATTGGCTCCGACCTCTACTTCTTGCTAGACCCGGCGGCGCGCAAATCGATGTACGTGCCACTCACTTCGTCCACTGAAGTGTCCGGCTCTTTCACTCTCGCGAATGAGACTATGCCGATGTGGAATGGCACCTTCTCATTCACAAACGGGACAGGAGGGAGCGGCAATTCGCTCAAACTTGGCAATATCAACTGCGAGCGTGACTTGGGCGACCCCTGGTGGAAGTCAAACGTCAGCGCATGGTTCAACTTCCTCTTCGTCCCGCTCTTCTCGTTGCTACTGTGCATGCACAACCAGCAGCCATGGAAGAGCAAGGAGCTTCCAGTCATGATCATCATCGCTTGCATCGGCTTCGCCTGCAACTTGCTCGCGAATCACTTCATCTTTAGCCGCTCGGATGTCGTCTCCGCCATTGGTTCCTTCATTATCGGTATCCTTGGCAATGCATACTCGAGGATCTTCCGCGGGACCGCCTTCACTGCAATGGCTGTCGCCGTCCTGTTCCTGGTGCCCTCAGGCATGAGTATGGCCGGTGGTCTAGCCATGACGTACAAAGGCTCAGACGGTGATCTCTACTCCAACGGTCTCTCCATTGGTTTTAGGATGGTCAGCGTCGCAATCGGCATCACGGTTGGTCTCTTTGGAAGTGGCCTTGTCGTCTATTCGTTCGGCCGCAAGAAGGGTGCAGCTTTGTTTGCGTTCTAAGACTGCACACCTCATCAACCGCGTGCGCTTGTCAACTCAGAGGGCACCAAACACATGTATTGTATCTGCGCGTTTGCATTGAACAACACTCATTTCATAATCGCATCATACATCTTTGATGAGCTCTTCATCGAAGCACAGTGTCATACCGCTGCGACTCTGTCCCACTTTCCATTTCACCTGGCGAGGCCCTTTTCCTAAGACTGCGATCTCCAAGCTGCGCTTGAAAACACCATCGACGATCGAGCTCAGTCGTTCTCCAGTCTGAGCAAAGTCAGGTTGCTACTCTCAGAAATCCAAAGATGTGAGATCCCGTCCATCATATTTTTCTCGTGGAGCGACTCACCGCGTTCACTTCCAGTAACCACACTCTAAGCTTGGAGAAGTCCTCATCAGGTCCTTGCGTAGGTTCATCTTGCAGGTCCCACCCTACAAGCAGATCCACGCCAAAGATTTCCCACGCGTTCGGCCACATTTGCCAATGGATGCTGCCTGCCTTGGCACAAGCTTCGAAGACTTGGCCGACAGTCGCGGCGACTTGCTGGTGGACATGAGTGAGGTGCTCATCCGTCAAGTGCCGTGAATCGTCGCTAGAGCCAATTTGGCGCACGCACGTGCCTTTGAGATCGCTCCAAAGGTGAACATTCTCCTCCGATGGCCGACCGCCACGCTTGATAGCCTCTTTATTTTGTAGGCACGTATTTGTAAGGTGTGCGGACAAGTCAACGTGATCGGAAGAATAATCTTCAGCGGAGTATGACGGAGAAGTGTACGGTACCGGTGCGAACAGGGCTAGCATCTCGTCAAACAGGTATACTTGTAAGCCACCTACGCAGAGGACATAGGCTCGCAGATGGAACTTCCGCCCCTGCCCCACTTGTGACTTCAGAAGCGAGTCTGTATTTGAAAGTACTGGGGGATCAAGAAGGAGAGGTCGTGAGATATATTCCTGAAGGGAGACCGAAGAAACAGAGATTGAGCAAATGCTACCACTTAAATAGTAAGACGAGGCTGATCGCAGCTCACCTGAATAACAAAATGCCTGAGCTGGCCGAGCATGCCATCTTCGTCATCGTGGCCGCCAGCTGCTCGGCCATCATCATTATCGCCAGCTTGGCTATCTTCCTCATCGGAGTGCTCAGCGTCCAAATGCTCGAGCTCAGCTCTCAGCATTTCGATGCTATTGAAGAGCCTGATTCCATGTCCTCGATCCGACATCCCTGGCTTCAAAATGAACCACCTTGTTTCCCGTCGCTCCTTAGCCTCAGATATGCTCTGCGCCAAGTCATAGAGCTCGTCAATTAAGAGTTCATCCAAATCGTCTGCATATTGTAGCTCAATGTGCCATGTTCTTGGCGTGCAATCCTCTGCAGTCTTTCCTGTTCCAATGCTCGAAATCGATTTCTGCTTGACCGAGTGCAAATGAAGAGTGCTTGCGAGGTGATGCTTGCGAATAAGAGCCTTTCGAATGACATAGCTACTGCATTGCGCTTGGCGGTTCGATCGCTGCACCGAATCGCTACTGGTCGTTTCGCCTTCCAACTCCTGGTGCGGCTTCGAGTTTACGGAGACACCAGCGCCGAGCAGCTGCTCGAACGGAATGAGATCGTAGTCGGTCAGGTATAATTCATGTGTCGTTTCAGGTCCGACGGTTATATTTTCGGCACCATCTATCACGGTCCAAGACTCTGGCTCAAGCACAGATTTTGCGGCCCCCAAAGCAGCTGCATGTGTGTAAGATACCGATGGTAACGTTGAGGGTGCCAAGCCTTTTGATGATTTAGGGACGTCCACGCCCGCGCGCGTCAAGGCCGGGAAATGAACAAGAGCAGTCGGCATGTCGAAAGCCGTGCAAGATGAGACTCGACAATTCCCCCGAGCACACAAGCCGAAATCCTTTCACACTTTCAGCTCGGGTCGCTTTTGCGTACTTAAGATCTGAAATTTGAAGTTGTTCAAGATGAAGATCAGGAATTCAGCCGAAGCCAACTTTCGAAAGGTTTGTTGCATTTCATTGCTTCATACTTTTGCCCCGAATCACCTGGATTGTCGGAGGCTCCGGCCTCCAACTTGTTACATGGGCTCAAACACGATCTTGACCTTGGTTGTACTTCATGGTGACTGAATCATTGAACATCATTCCTCTAGTGGAGTCAATCTGAGCTTGCCATATTGCAGATCTGCAGCTGGCATCAGCATTTTCGCCAAATCAGTGAGTCTCAACAATAGTAACAGCAACCAGCCGGTCCGAATCAACTGTGACCTTACGGGACTGGACGATAGGGCTGCATCAAGCCGCTGGAAGCCTCGCAATCCACAAGATGGCAACCGACACCTCACCATCCACATCTTCAAGCAGCCTTGCAGCCTCCGTCTCTCATGCTAAGATCGGCGGTACGCTGGTCTTGTCCTCTCACATGCTGCGATGGGTTCCGACTCAGTCTTCCTTGGCCTCTCAATCGATCACAATTCCATTGCAGCATATTGAGAAGCTGCTTGCATCGGTCGCCAAGCCAGAGTCCCAAACATTCAGCCTCAAGATTGTCTTCTTCCAACCAGAGGATCCTGAAAAAGAGAGATTACGCGTCCTCGGAAAGGGAGATGTTCTATTCACATTTACCGCACCAGAGGGTAGAGAAAGGGCTCTTAATGACAGAGAAGAATTCAAGACTAGACTATATGGGATCGCCCAGAATAACAAGAAGGAGAGAGAAGGGGCATCTGAATCTCTCAAAGAGCGCTCCAACGACCGCAAGGAGGCAGCTAATGGCTGTTCGTCTGCACCTGAGTCAGCCGCAAAGGACAATAGCTCTTCGAAAACAGTCCCCATGGCACCAGTGCCAGCCCCCTTGACGGCCGAGGAAAAGGTAAAGCGGCGGGAACAGGAGCTGCAATTGCGCATTTCAATTTTGCATGCCAACCCAGAACTCAAGTCACTCCATGCCGACTTGGTTATCAGCGGTATTATGAGGGACGCAGAGTTCTGGTCCCATCCGACAAGATCAGCCTTGCTCCGTTCAGAACGAGCGCTGATGCAGCAGCGACAAGGCCGCAATGCACGAATCGCGGACCCCAAGCCAACGAATGATGAAGAAGGAAATTTGAAGATAAATCTCAGTGCCCAGATGGTTCGTGATGTTTTCGAGCAGTACCCCGTGGTCGCAAAAGCATACAACGACCTAGTACCGAAACAGGTGGGCGTCCTCTTTCCTGGCACGCTGGCCCGGATTTTGACGATTGACCACATCCAACATCCTACAGATGGATGAGCAGACCTTCTGGACGCGCTACTTCCAATCTAGACTTTACCACCGGCTGCGCACCTCGGCGCGATCTGCAGCGTCACAGCACATTGTCCGCGCAGATCTTATCTTTGACCAATACTTAGATGACATCGTGGAGGACGACGGGCTCGAATCAAAGCGCGAATTTCATGCCCATGACAACTTCTTGGACCTCGCGGCTACCGAAGAAGATCACGGCGAGACAGGGAATACAAAGGACTGGCCCATGCGAGCAGGGGCGGAAAGGAGTGCGCTTCCTTTGCTTCGCCGATTCAACGAGCATTCCGGCAGCCTGCTCGACTCTGCTTTGGGTGAGCAAGGCAGAGCCAGCTGGAGTAGAGTCACAGGACCTTCTGGCGAAAGAACAGTCCCGGCCGCTAGCGCCAGCTCGAATCGAGGTCTAGACGAAGCTATCTCCCGTACACGGCAGCATTACGACCAGATCGTCATCAACCAGCTTGAAGAGGAAAAGCGTGGCGGGACTAGGGCGCTTGAGGTTTCTCAGGACAAGCAAGGATTCTTTCAAGGTACCCACGATCGGGAAGGCTCTGAAACTGGCGATGTTAGCCAGGAAGTGCTGGAGGATTTGTTGAGATCCGTTCAGGGCCAGCTTCTGGACTGGTCAGACTCAACTACGCGCATGATGGGCGGCTACGTTCCCAATTGCAAAGAGAATGAGCGAGCCATGCACACCATCCTCGAGCGTGTGAAACAGCAGGAAGAGGCCCGCAGTGAAGATATATCTGAGAGTGAGTACTGCAAATGCTCCTGCAGGCGAGCAGTTGGTACTGACTGCGTAATATATACTTCCTCAGACGACCTATCGGAAAGCATTCATCAGCATTTAATATCTTGCCATGCAGCGACAACCGAGTTTTTGCGACAGTTTTGGGCTGCAGTCGCTCCACAACCGTCTCCCCCGCCAGGTATGGCCATCAAGGCGGAGGATGAAGCGGAAAAGAAGCCGCTGACTCCAGCGCAGCGACAAAAACGAGCAGTGAGAATGCTTACACTCCTCAAGAATTCGGGCGAGCGAGCGGATGGGGTCGCCAAGCTTGCCGAGGAGAAACAGCCGGGTCGCGGCGCAAAACGCGTCAAGCTGGCGCTCGAGGAGACGGAGAAGGCGGTAGCTCGAGCTCTCAAGATTGGCCAGAGCATGTACCCTCAAGTCTTTGTTTCCCATGGAAGCAGCTGACGCGAGTACAATATAGTAGGAGCATCAAATACAACTTCGCGATATCTTTTGAGCCTCTATGCGGTTGCCGCGGTACCTGCTTCGCGTTGCTGATTTAGTGCGCGCTGCTCCGCCATTCTTGCTTTGGTACGCTTCAGGATGGCCAGGTTTAATGCGCTCTTGCCAGTCTTCGCACGTGGTGCATTCATACCGTGTCGGGGAGTCCATGGACCTCGAGAGTCATTTGCATAGAAGTCCATCGGGTAGTCCCCTTCCATATCTCCTTCCGATACATGCTCGGTGGCCCGCTCGACAGACCCTTCGTTCGACAAGCCTGCAGGGGATCGCTCCGCCTGTGTTTGAAGAGGCCTCCGCTTCATCCCGAGGCCATCCACATTAACGTCCCACCCGCGCGTTTTCCGGAGCGCGACAGCAGCCTCATACGGGCTCAGAAGCGGTTTCTCGAACGCACTCCCCCAATCGATCGATAGACGTGGACATGAAGTTTGTACGAATGTCGAAATGTGGGAACCAAAAAGAGCGAGTTTCTGAGGTGAGAGTTCGGAGAGTAAAATCGGAATGGAGGGGACCGCGCCCTTCCCAAAAGACTTGTTTGATCCGGTCTGCTTCGCATCGTCAGAGACACCACTCGCGAGCATTGAGCGGATGTGTGAGAGAACGGAAGTCGATCCCTGCCGTCCCAGCGTGCCTAGCACGACCGCCCAAGCCGGGTCCGCGTGCCTGTTTTTTGCGTTCCCTGCAACGCGAGCGTCGACTTTTCGGTCCGCGACAGCTTCGATGCTTGTTCTAGCAGTCTGCACAGCCTGTCCACGCATGCTCCGCATCTCCTTGTGGTCGTAGAGCTCGCGCATGAAGCGCTTCGTGTACGGGTCGTAACGGAAAGCGGGTATCCGGGGATTGGCGATCATAACACTCTCGAGGTGGAAGCGACCGTCGCCGAGGTAGATTATCGCGTCTACCCCGTCACGGTCCGCTGAGGATGAAGGCAGCCTGGGGGAGGTGCAGCCTAATACTTCGCCAGGGGAAAGAGGCTTGATCTGAGGCACCGTGATAATATAGTTCCCGGTGCTGAAGCTTGGTGACGTAGACGGATTGTACGCTTTTTGATCAGGCTCTTGAGTACCATCAGTGATTGTCAAAAGAGGTTTATCAGGTTGTAACAATGATCCTTGGGGTGCGCTTTCTTCCAGCGCATCCCTCAGTCCCTGGATGGCGTTGATAAACTGAACCGTGCCAACTAGTGCAAGATGTGTTGAACGTCGCGATCGTGTGTGCTCTTGAATTGAGCTGTGCTGTAAATTTTCTGCTTGTCCAGCTTCCAGGCCTATCTCAATGCGAGCCTTGCCTCCTTCTGGCACAACAGTCTCTGCACCGAGAACTGTTTGTCGGAAGTGCTCCTTGTCACTCGGAAAGTTTGCTCTGACCGTCTCGGCAAGATGTAAGCGATCGACACTGATCTCAACAAAGACGTACAGAGTCTTGATCTTAGTCTGGTCAACTGGGACGAGACAACTGTGCCCATAATGGACGAGCAGGTCGCAGCCCAAGGCTAAGGCAGTGTAATCATCGACACAGCACGCTCCATATGTCACGTCGCCCATGATGGTCATGTCTGCGCCGCTGAAGCGCTCGAGAATGTCCGCAATACCAGTGGCCCAAAGTGTCAGGCCCTCTGGCATTTGGAGCGCGACCGATCGACATTGGTGCGTTCGAATGTGATGAATCGTCTTGTGGATCTCGAAATTGTACGCCGAGGGTAGGATCGACTCGATGGCCGCATTGATCGCTGGATCCTCCAAGATAGAGGCTGGTATTGATAACGATGCCATCTGTGCCATCTTTCTTTCCCTATTGCAAGCTGGATCTTGATCTCGGCAAGTGTATTGCCGGTGACGGACGGTCCTGATCAAAGTGTGCCTCCTTGCTGCTGGTGTGGCAAACCGCAAAATGCTGGGGGAAGACGACAATGGGGACGCGGCGATGCAGCCCAGCGCAGGAAAGAGCAAGCTTGCGGCTGAAAGAATTTAATTTGGCATGAGGGCCTCGCAGTACAATGCTGAAACAAAACTCTGTATTGCAATTGGCTTGCTGCTTGGCACAGTTACGCAGGAACACACATCAGGAATCAGGATGAAGCGGTGGAAAAGGCAAAAGGTTGATCAGGCAAAAGTCACCTGTGAGCGACAACCCGGTAATGTAAATTACATAAGCACTACGCACCACAAATCATCTAGATATGCTTTCTTACGTTTGGTTTCGCCTCTCGATCCTTCAGTGATCACCATGCTGGGTTATACATTCGAGCCCAAATTGACAAGCTGATCACAGATATAGGGACATAGTACATGTGGCAGAAGATGAAGATCGCCCCTGCAGATTCCCTGTGTCGCGGTGCATTACCTTGATTGGTGGAGCAGATAGCATACGCCGCAGATGACGGATCCAAGGGCGCACATTGCGCCATCTCTTCCTCCCTCAGCAGCTCACCGCTCAAATGGAGTAGGGAGTAGCGCGGGTAGCGCTGTAGGAAGGCAAGAGCTTGTGCGTTCCAGTAGCATCTCTTCGGCATCATCAGCCGGGGGTCGACCTTCCTTCAGCGGACACGGTCCGACGGTTGCGGCCTTCCAATCAGAAGCTGGGATCCAAACACAGCCTCTGCCCGCAGCTCAACCACCACCACCACCGCCGAGGGGCGAGGCTCGAGGGGTTTCTGCTCAGATAGGGTCTGCATACTCCCATCAAGCAGGGCGCTCTTCGCATGCTTACCCTTCGGTGTACGTCCCTCCACCACCCATGGCTCTAAACGTCGGGGAAAGTAGCGCGCCTGTTAGTTACGCTCAGACTAGTTTTGCCACGTCCGCGCCTTCAGCTCAAGGACGTGGCGCAGGTACCCAGCATGTTCCTCCTACCTCCCTTTCCAACAGCGCGTCCGGACACCCCCTCTCGCTCAAAGTCATGCGCATCTCCCAACCATCGCTCGCTACATATGAACGGCCTTACTTCGAAGGCGAGGATTATCAAGCCGCGGAGGCTGCCTTGCTAAATTCTGGGGCTTTCGATCGGGAGAAGGAGCAAAAAGCTCTCTGGAACGCTCTTGATCCTGAAATGACACAGGAGGAGATCAATGAGTTGTTGCGCTACAGCTCTTATCATCACGCACCGACGAGCGCTGAAGACGAATCTCATTGGCGATCAACTTTGCGACAGGTGCAGGAAGCTTGGCATCAGGCTGCTCGTGACGAGCTGGTAGTCAATGAGCCCCCTCCACTTGAGTCACAGAAATATAACTCCTCTCATATCAACGATCAAAGGATGAGCACTGTGAGGGATTGGCCCATCTCAAACATACTTATGCTGCCTGCAAGCTTCGGGACAGTCTGTGAGTGCACGGCGCTTACCATCTCGCTTCTGGCATCCGCAATCTCTATGGACGAGGACTAACTCAATCCGCTCTGTCTCGTCAGACTTTGGAGAGACCTTTTCGGCTTTTGTCTGCGTAAATAACGAGTCTCCGTCGGATGTAGCCGGCGTGTCCTTGCGGGTGGAGATGCAGTATGGACCAGGTGCAGCTGCTTCGTCAGCGCAATCAAATTTGGATCCTGCGCAAGCCGCCCGAACATACACTTCTCTCCTTACTCACATCCACATCCCTCCTGCCGCGTTAGACGAAACGGACGATCCGGCCGGCAGCATTTCTATTGAATCCAAACGGCTGGAACAGGGCCAAAAGCTGCAAACCGTTGTCAAGCACGACATTTCTCAGGTCGGGCCACACGTCTTAATCTGCACTGTGACCTACTATACCCCAACCAGTGGTGCAAACGCTCCACTCTACCCCACTCATTCTTCGGAGACGCCACCGCAGCAGAAGCAAGAGTATCGAGAATCTACTCTTCGTAAACTCTACCGGTTCAACGTCGCCGAGTGCCCTCTATCTGTGCGCATGAAGACACACGTACCCATCTCTCCCGGAGAGCGCTTGCATAAGAGTCACCACATACGGGAAAAAGTGCTGCTTGAAGTTCAAGTTTCCAATCTTGGCGCTGAGGCGGCTGCGCTTCCGATGGTCATCGAAGACATACGCCTGTTCGATAGTGATTCAGATGCGGAGAACAGGACCAAGCCAAGTCGATGGTGTTGGGAGAGGGTCGATCGGCCAGAGCTCCGTAGCAGCAATTGGAGTGAGGGCCTCGATGTTTTGGTACACGGGAAGCAAGCTGCGACAACGAAGAAGCGCAGCGATTGCGGGCCGATCATGGTTTTACCGAATGAATCGTATCATTTTCTTTTCGCGCTCTACCCCTCAACAAAGACGCAAAACATTCCTCTGCCACCATATCCCCCGTCCTTTGCCAGCCCGTTGACACTACATGCAAGGTCTGGTGGCGTGTCCTATCGCTCATCATCTTACAGCTTCCAACAGGCGCCGGTACTGCCGCAGGGCCGATCCCACGCCGGCGGCCAATCGCGGTCTGCCGTCCCCGAGCACCTCCCAAACAGCCCCAGTCCCGAGGAGACATCCGTGCGGGCTGCATTACCTCCTTCTGAAGTATCGAACCTTGCGGGAGACATGACCACACGCGAGCAGCATAATCTTGCGCAACCGTTCACCATCTCGACTCCTCTAGGCAAGATTGATGTCCGCTGGCGAACGACAATGGGTGAAGCTTGCCACTTGCAGACGCCCATGTTTATGCATGAAGTGAAGCACGAAGCCCCAGTCTTCTGCTCGCCAGAACTGGAGGCGCTTGTCCCGTGCAGCGCTTCCATGACACCCCAGCCGGACGCTAGCGTACGGCCTCCGCCCGTGCCGAAGAGCATCGGAATCGAAGCGCCGATGCTACTTCAGTGTCATGTGCGCGTGGTTGAGTTGCCACAAGAGCCAACAATTCTCGAGCCTTTCTACATCCGCTTCCAGATTTGGGTGCGCGATGCGCTGCTCATCTGTACAGCTACTTCGCACTCGCGCCACGACGACGATGCGGACGATAGTGATGATGACCGCCCGCTAAGCGAGGTTGCCAAGAGTTCGAACATGTCCTCTCGCGCTTCGCTAGCGCCAGATAGCCGTCGTGGCTCACTACAGCAATCGTCCTTTGCCTCCCAGCACCAGCAACAGCACCAGCAACAGCACCAGCAATCAATGTCGACGTTGGTGACGAGGGTGACACAGAACCAGCAGCAAGGTCGATGGATCCGCCTTGCGGTGCAATTCACCAAGCCAAGCTTCCCGACGGCGGCCGAAGGGGTCCAAGCGGCTACGTTATCGTCGCTGCCTACTCCCGTTCAGCTGGCATGCAGGTCGTCGATGCCAGCGCAAAAGCGTGGCTACGCAGTGCGTTCTACGGGCGAAGCATCGACTATGTCGCCTTCCACCCCTTCGTCCTCGTCGGCCTCACCTTGGTCGTCACATTCCGCCAGCCGGCAGGCGTCATGGGCGACACGATCTACGTCTCTTGGATCAGATAGCAGACCGGACACGCCGACTGCATCAGGTAGCGTGCCTGCGAGTGGCGCTGGGCCGCCGCCTTCTACCGCACCAGCAGACAGGACGGACGTGCCGCCACTACCACCGAAGAGCCCTCCGCTGGGGAGGGGCATGGAGCTACCCCCCCTCCGCAGGACTCACCCTTCACTCCCACAGCCGCATGTCGACGTCACAGACACTGCTCTGGATATTCCGGATGAGGAAGTGCACAAGCTCGGCAACAGCCTCGAGTTCCTGCCGCCGCTGCGGCTCTCTGCATCGTCTGCCGTGCTCGACAACGCCGATGCTGATGGCGAGGGCGATGGGCAGCAGAATTCCATCGCGGGCGAAGCAACTGCAGAGCTCTGCGCGATGTATTTGTCCGAAGTGCAGGGCCTGGCCAAAGTCGGCGGGCTGCGCATCTTCCTGATGGGCTGGTGGAGCGACCGGGACCAGGCGCAACGCAAATCGGATGCGCAGCGGGACGATCCGGGACTCCAGCTCGCCGACCCGCTTGTCGTGAAGGACTTGGCGCTTTCGACCATCGCGGAAGTGCTCATTGGCGGATTTTGACGCACGTTTGACACGGCGGTATTGCTTGATGTATGCTGTGCTTTGCACAAAGCGCAGCCTTTTCTCAAAGTCGTGTGTGCATGTGTGTGTACTGCATGCGAGTGCTGACCATAGTTCGGCTAGCTAAGCTACAAAGAAAATGAATGGCTTCATGCAGTGACGTGAGACATAAGCATGTGAACAAGAGTACATGGGAGGCTGCATTGACGTCGTGAGGCAATTAAATGGTGCAGTCCGCCCATCGAGCGGTCATGAGCCCAGGGACGTGCATCTTTAGCAAAGGAAAGATGATGATATGGTCATGCGGCGTGAAAAAGAAAGCCCGAATGAGGAGGCCGAGAAAATTCGGCTGGCTATCCCAGCGCCGGCGCCTGTGTTCGTTCAAAAGTGAGGCTCGTGGATATCGCCGAGGTGAGATTCTTCGAAGGCCTGGCTACCTCACTCCAAGCGAAGTTTCCGAGGGCAGCCTGTCCCACTGTGATCCTTCCCGCTGTCTTCCACTTGTCCCCCCCCCCTCTGTACCACTCCCACCCTGACTGGTGGGTCCTATCAGTGGGGGACGACCTCGATATAGTTGGCCGGGCTGAGTTTTTCCTCATTGCTCGACTTTTCGCTGTGCACAGGCGCGCCTGCTGACTGCTTCATTTAGCTGCGGTACAAGTTGCCTGAGGTGTGCTCGGTGATGCCGACCATGTCGCTCTGGCCGGAAGGCGAGTTCGTCCGATGCGCTCGGCGTGTAGAAGTACATTGCATATGCCAGCCCTTCTTGCGGCACAGCAGCAGTTACTCAGCCCGGAAGAGGACTGTGGACAGCATGACGGCTTTGACAACGCGCAGGTTAAGGAACTGCTGTGAAAGGAGCTGTATGTCTTTATTCGCCATGAGGGGCAGGATTGGGTATTGCATCACCGATGCTCCATCCGCTTCTGTGCATCATCAACGTGGTTCGAGGCAGTCGAGCCGTCACAGTGGGGATGGCATTGGATTAGCATACGGCTCTTGGTCCACCACATGTGTTGAGGGTTAGGGGCACTGCCCACAGGTGATGATATTCTGCTCGAAGAGGTAAGTGATATCCTAGATGAATCGCCTGGCGACGTAGGAGGTTGCGTCTGCTTGTTGAGCAATGGCTGGTGGGGGTGACCCGCTCGGCTTCGACGCACGCCGCTGCAAGTGCCGAAAGGAACGGTGGACTGAACTTGTCTTTCTCGCTATGTCCTGTTTCTTGCAGTAGCGACACATCTGTCCACAGAAGAACGAGCAGGACGTGTGCAAGCTGCGCGATGTGCTCGCTTCGAAGGAGATATGCAGTGTAGATGGCTGACCTATAAGCAACCTCGAGCTTTGGTCCTTTGTTCTTTCATTAGGTGGTCCGCTCGACGCCGACTCATGACACACATGTGATGTCCACAGCCAATTGAAAAATAACGGTAAGGAAAAGGCTCTCTGTGCTGTGGACGTGCGCATATCACACCGGGGGACGATCTGCATGGACGCAAAGTCACCAAGCGTACTTGCTCTACTTGTCGCAGATCAGTCAAAAGTTGAAATCAACTTTGGGACTTGAATCTCTTTCTCTCGAATGAAATACTGAATTGTGGGATTGGGATGGCAGAGGTTGGAGATCCATTGTCAAGCGCCTGTGACTGTGGTTTGTATTAGTAAGACGATATTATAAGGATATGAGAGAGTCGGCAGTCGGGCATATAAAGCACGGGGATGATTCACGTGAAGACAAGATATAGCGTAGCAAGACGGAGAGATATTCAACCACGGGCAGCAACAAAGTGATAGGCTCACTGCGTAGAACTTTTGTTTCCTGTACGAGCAATCCTCCTTTCATGTAACCCCATCCTAGCTTTCCACTATTTGTGACTGGAGGGCATAGTTTCAACACTGTTCTTTGGCTTTGGCATTGCTCGTACTGTGTTACCGACTTTCACCCCCTGCGTCATACCAAGTGGACACGAATGATGATCAATTAAATTTTGTGAAGTTGGAGTGATTGGACCTGAAATGATTCCTGATTTTAAATTTGTTTCTGATTGGACAAAATAGTTCCAGACTAAGCACTACATGCAAAACATTTGGTTTACAAATACAAACAGACCAATGCACGCCAAACTGTTTCTCCCCCAGATATAGCCGGTGTGCCACGTGACACAGACTATGTGACCAGATGACAGCTCGCTTTGGCTTCTAGTCACGTGACCCCATCCGCACATCCCATCGCATATCCCATTCTCCGTGACAATATCTCCAACCCTTCCACCCCCGTTTGGCGGTTGACTAATGGAGAACATCAACAAGGTGTGTTGCTTGGTCGTCGCTGACCCGCGCTCTCCTCTCTTCGTTCCCTGGTCACCCGTCAGCATACTGTGCCGATTCTTGAACGTCTCAAGTCACGTCTCCGGATCATCAAGTCGTGCACGACGACGTGCAAGTCGCGACACGCGACTTTTGGTGGGCGAACACGAGAAAGAGAACTGACAAAGGGCGCTTGGATCTTTGTGTCTCGTTGCCCGGTCTTTTCCTCATAGCAGCATCAGCATCGGCATCGCTCTCCATTTGGTCGGCATACATCGATCATCTCTTCTCCGTATCTCTTTATTCGGTCCATGTTTTTATATGCATCTGACTGCTTGACGCGTCAGGTGAGTGTAGCCAAATACTTCTCTGTCCGACGTTGCGGCAGAGGGCGATGATGTATGCTGACAAAATGCCGGCTCCCCCTTTGTTGCCCCTCTTCCACCAGTGACAAGGCTTCCCCTGTAGAACAACCACCTCAGCTGCCTATGCCTCGAGCATTGGCTTACCGGTACGCAAGCCGCCATGTTTAGCACACCATCTGGCTCATCAACCAGCCGTCAGCAGCAAGCGCAGCAACAGCAGCGGCGTCGTGCGAACCCTGCGACAAGCCAAAGAGCCAGCAGCACCGTCTCGGCTTCCGCATCTGCCCCGCTGTCAAACAGCAGCGAGGCCTCCGGCCCACCTGCGCACGCCAACTCTGCATCCCGCTCACATACAGCGCATTCAGCACATCCAGCAGACCAGGCTGTGGACGAGTCGCGCGAAAGCCAACGACGCGACGTTAAGAAGCGCAGCTCGTGGGTCAACCTCTCCGTCCCGCAGCCTTCATACGCGTACGGCGCGCCCTCGGATGACAGCAGTCGGAATAACAAGATCACCGGCCGACCGGCATCCGACAGTCTTTCGCCTAGCGTCGCAAGTGCCGCCTTTCTGCCACAAGACGTTGACAGCCCCATGCATAGCTTTGACGTCGGTGGCGAAGGAGCGGATGCCGATAGAGCCGTGCAAGTCGATCGGAATGCCATGCCCGCCAAAGCGCGATACGCCGAGTTGCGCAAACGAAAAGAGGCCGCGGAGGCCATGACGGCTGAAGCTACGGCGGCGCCTGCCGCGAATCATCGATCGCGTACGCGTCGTTCTGGCACTGCAACGAGCGGGCATGGAAGCGCGGTCAATGCATTCAGCTCTGCGCTCATCGGAAGCCCCACAACAGTGTCACAGACAGGAAGGCCGCGCCGGTCGGTGCGTCTCAGCGACGCTGGCAGCCAACCCGGTGACAGAGACAGGGAGATCAAGGCCGAGTCGGACCAAGAGACACAAATCAGCGAGAAACAATTCTCCGGCCATCGGGACAGCTTGAGAAGCGGCATGATTGACGAAGAGGTCGAGGAGGAGGACGAGAGGGAAGAAGTGCGACACTCTCAGTCCCTACCAGCGGTGGCAGAGGCGACTCAAAGCAGAGATGCACAGGCGCATCGACATGCACGTACAGACACTGGGAACAGCGCACTCGGCGGTGGCGGCAGCGGAGGTGGGGGTCTGCACAGCTTCTTCATGCGCCCGCGCGCGTCTCCCTCGCCTGGACCTGGACCTGCGGACACTTCGGCCGATGCCAACCACAGTGCTTTGCTCAGCAGCTCGTCTCTGCTGCGTGGCGCACAGAAGCCCTCGCACGATCCGATGGCGCTGTACCGACGGCAAGAGCAGGGCCGTGCCAACGTCGCGGCCCAGAGCGACGCGATGGCGAGCAGATCGATGATGATGATGATGAGTCCTGACAGCGGGGCGGGAACTGGTGCTGAGGACAGTCAGAGCAGGAGCTACAGTTATGATTATGCGGCCGAGGACGAGATGGCGCGCGAGATGGAGGTCCAAGACGATGAAGATGGCCGCGCTGACGCAAGCAACGACAGTCTTCATGATAGCGCCAACTCCAGCAACAGCAAAGGCTGGATCGATGCCCTCCGCAGCCCCTGGACCGCCGTCATCACTGGGTCCCGCTTGCAGCCGCAAGCACAAACAAAAAGGCAGTTGTGCGTGAATAGCAACGGAAGCGCGCAGCAGCAGATCGAAGGCGACAATTCTCTGGACAGCCAAGCGAGCCAGCGAACTGCGAGGGGTGTCCGCCGGCGCCGCAGTCGTCCGTCCAAGGACAACCAGTCGTATCGTCCCGATCCGGAAGACTTAGACTCGGACGAAGATGCAGGACGGGGCTCGGACGTTGGATCGACAGACGGCCGCAAGCATACCCATCGCCGAAAAGCGCGAGGCAGTCGGATCGCAGGGGCTGGCTTGCATGATCATGGCGGGCGCGACGATGGCAAGATCTGGTCGACAAAAAGGAAAAGGGGTAAGGGGAGGAAGGGACGCAAGTCGGCCGACGGTGCTGGCGCTGGTGAAGATAGAGAAAGTAGCGAGCTCAGCGAGCTCGAGGACGAAAATGGTACTCATGATGACGCGGAAAACGCTGCTGAATCGAGGAGTCCAGCTTCTGCACTTGCCCGCCGAGGCGGCTGCAGTGCAAGCGGCCGTGTCGCCCGTGGCGGGGCCGCTGCTCGTCAAGCAAATCGGTATACGCGATGGTTCAATTCTCTGCGACATGTCATCGGCTTTTCTTCCACTTCTACCGCGCTCCTGACGGTCTTTGCAATCCTGCTGCTACTCGCAGCTCTCATCTATCCTGACGGTTTGTCAGCATTGTCGTCCCGACCTTCATCTTCGCTTTTCCGTCATCATGGTGGCGGTAACAGCGTGTTCAGCAATCCGGACCTTGCGCCCGCGGAATTGCAAGGCCTGATTGCGCGCTTGCGCAAGCTGGAAGCAGCTGTAGCCTCCCTAGGCGACATTGGCGCCGACATGCGCGGTGTCCGATCGGAGCTGACGCGAGCGCGTCAGGACTTGTCGAGCCGCCTCGCTGCTCTTGAGCGCGCTTCCACCAGCAGCCAGAAGACGATCGAGTCACTGGAGCAAAAAGCCCTGGACTTACGGCGCGAGTTGAGCCGCACCATCGACGGCCTCCGGCTCAAGCAGCAGGACCTACAGGATGAGCTTGCAGCGCTCACCGCTTCTTTGCGCTCGCTCGAGTCGAATGTGGCCCCTGGCACGAGAGGGGCCTCTGGAAGAGGTGCAAATGACGCGATCGCCAGTACCGAAGCGAGCGAAATACGCAAGCGCATCAGCAAGCTCGAAAGTGATCTGGACAGGAACAGCCGCGACCTTGCAAAGCTCAATCTCGCACGCGACAAGGCAGAGCAGCGGTACGGAGAGCTCGAGAAACGCATGGAGAAGATCGCCGAGCGTCTTCCTACGCAGATGCCCGTCCGTAAAGATGCCAAGAGCGGCCATGTGCAGATCGACCCTGCCTTCTGGGTCGAGCTCAAGAAGGTGCTCAAAGCGCGAGACGACCCGCAAGATGGAACAAGTGACACCGCAGCTTGGTCGCAGTTCAGGCAGGCTAACGAACAAGCACTGCGTGCCTTTATGCAAGAGGAGCTGAGCCGCCAATCAAAGGGAGAACCCTCCAAAGGCACGCTGATCAGCCGAGAGGACTTCCGCGGCTTGCTTGATTCCGAGCTGACGGTCATCAAGACAGAGATGGAAGCGCGATTCAACAACAACCTCGAAGGTCTCAAAGACGAAATGTGGGACAAGATCCGTAAGATTGGCGATGCGTATCAGTCTTCCGGTTCGCTCTCCGCTGGCTCCTCCAGCCTGCTCGGCAAGATCCTCGACGATGGCAAAGGCGTACCGCTTACACTGCAAGACGGAACGGATGGTCGCGAAGCCGTGCTGTCCCTTATCGACGCTGCACTTGAGAAGTACTCTGCAGACATGATCGGCCGCCAAGACTATGCGCTTTACTCTGCCGGCGGCCGCGTGCTGCCCAGTTTAACAAGTCCGACGTACGAACTTAGCTCCTCGAGGTCCTGGCTCGCCAAGTTGATTCCCGGCACTGCAGACTCGTCCGTAGTGCGCGGACGCGCGCCAGTCGTTGCGATTCACCACGATAATGCGCCTGGCATGTGCTGGCCCTTCGCTGGCGACAGCGGGCAACTTGGCATCGCGCTTTCGCGGAACATCGTCGTCTCAGATATCACCATCGAGCATGCGCCGCGCAGCATCGTCAGCGACTCGATTACCTCTGCCCCGCGCGATATTACCGTATGGGGCCTGCTGCAGAATGGAGAGGACAAGCACAAAGCTGCTGAATACCTCCGCAAGTTAGCCGAGCTGCCCAATGCTCAGCCAATACCTACCCCACCCTCGGACGACTATTTACATCTCGGCTCCTATGTCTACGACGTCTCGCCCGGCAGTCGCGCCACGCAGACGTACCCCGTCCCGGCCGAAATTCGCGCGCTGGGGATCAAGACTGGCATTCTGCGCTTCCGCATCACCAGCAACCATGGCAATTCCGACTTCACCTGCCTGTATCGTGTGCGTGTCCATGGAGACCCTGCGAGTGTATAAAGCATAACTGTAGTTAATCATGTTCTTCACAATGCAATTAATGTAATAAGCTACAGTGTCTGCTCCCTTAAATCATTCGGCGCGGTTCATTTGTTCCCCTTCGCTATCCTTGCTTCACTTGCGAGGGTGGCAGAGCAAAGATGTTGGTCTGGAGGGGAGCCTCGAGTGAGAAAGCGTCAGCCAACGGCATCGTCGCTTGCAACGCCATCTTGATGCAGCGCTCCACCCGTCCCTTAAGGGCCCGTGAGGCGGATGTGACCATCTTTGTGAAGTTCCAACAGGATGGCAGGGACACATTCAAATTAGCACACGTCAGCGCGTAAACAGATCCACAGCACAAACACTCACCAGAGACTCGACCTCAACCGCCGCGCATGCCTCATCAAGCCAAATGAGCAGTGCGTGTCTCGGCGGCCCGCGTATAGCCTGGATGGGTTCCAGAGCGGCAGCGCGCGGCTCCATATATCGACCCTCTTCATCATCCTGGGCAGGAGGAGCGGCGCCGTCCTCAGAATTGTCTCTTACATCTGGATCGGGGCCAGGGGTTCCGTTACCGTTCAGAGATCCGGTCGCTATTGCTCTTGGAAACCCTGCAGTGCCGCCGCCATCGAGAGAAGTAAAGGCAGCAGGACATGCATCTTCCGGCTCAGCTTTTGCGCGCTTCAACTCCCCCACCATCATTTCCTCCACCGGCCCGATCTGCGCTTCCAGCAACGCGACAATCGTCTCTGTCCGCGCCAAGATTGTGGCGGCGGTTACGAAGTCCATGTTGATGTTGCCGCCGTTGCTGGCCGACGTAGCTCTGGCTTCAGTTGGTGACTCGGCATCGAGACTCTTCAGGTTTGATTCGGACCTGCGCGCCTCGGCTGCTGCCTCGCTGTAAGGATGCGGAGCAGCAGGTGCAGCTTCGCCATCATCATATTCTCCCATCACCTCGTCCACTTCTGCCTTCGCACCTGCAGCTCTAGTCTCATCGTCATGTCCATCAGCATGCACATGGGCGTGTGGCTTGGTTGTCATCTTGATACTCGCACGGCTGCTGCTGATGCCCAACAAAAGCGCGCCCGTAGCGTCCGCAACCATGTCACTTGGAATGCTGCTGACCCACTCCATCGTGACCTCGTACTTGCCCGTGCGCTTGACATCCACGGCGTCCATGACACGCGCAGTTGGATGATCTTCGAGGTCCACACCCTCAGCGATCTTGCCGAACATGCCAGTGAGATGCCAGAGGACGAGCGGCCAGCTGACATGCAACGCAAGCCGTTGTCGCTGAATGATGGTCGACATGCTGAGACCAGTAAAGTCGGCCAAGTCGGACGGATCCAACACGGTGTATGCAAAGTCTTTGGAGACGAGCAAACCTGTCAGCGTCGAGTCTGGTGCGGGAGGTTGCTTCGCTAGCGAGCCAATGACCTGTGAGTAAGGGTGAGACATCAAAGTGAGCACTTCATATGCATGTAGGTAGCTTTATGTGCAGTCCGACACACCTTGGCAGTTCGATCTCCTCTGAAGGTCAGATGGAGCGGTTCGCAGTTCCTAGGAGTATGGACCTTAATATCCTCTTTTCGATCCTTAAAGCGTTTCTGCAACGCCGCTCTGAGCTTGCTCATCGTGTTCGCCTCTCCATGCACCAGCACGACGTGGCTCGCTTTGACCTCATCAATGAACTTGCTATTTTGCGCGTAATCGACGTGCGCAGAGAAGGATTGGTAGTCCACCGTACATCTCCGCGGGATCTTTTGGCCAGACATGCTGACGATCTCCTCGGGCTCATTTAGGATCGTCCGTGCCAGCGTGCCCTCGACGCTGTAACCAGTAATGATTACGGCATTCTTGCGATCGGGTGCCCAGCGTTCCAGCAGCTCTCGACTGACACCACTGTGCATCAGTCCTGGACTCGCCATCATGACACAAGGGCCTTTATCTTCGAACTTGTCCAGCGACTTCAGATTCGAAATGTGCTTGAACACAAATGGATTGTCTCGCCTGTTGAAGCGCGAGCGAATGTTGTCGTTCATGGTATGGATGTAAGTTTGGTATATTCGAATGCAACGTTGGGCTAGTGAGGAGGCGTAATATATCGGCACGTTGTGCAATTCCGGGTGCTTGGACCAGTATTCATCGAGGAGCAGCAAAAGCTCTTGAGCTCGCCCCAGAACAAAGACTGGAAGCAGCGCGCGTCCGCCGCGTTTGATCACTTGGTGGACAGTATCTTGTGAGCAGGAGCATAATTCTCAGGTCAGCTAGATCAAACATAAAATCCGGGTCCCATGCAGACCCACTTGTAAACCTTGCTTCCTTCTCAAGCCTTGGACCCAAGCTCTGTGTGCCGTAGGTGCTCTCGCAGATGAGTACATCTGGTTTAACAGGTGGTACCTCTGCTTGGACGAGATGTCTGTCCTCTTCTCTGCTATAGTCTCCTGTATAGAGGATCCTGAGCCCGGCAATTTCAATAAAGAACATGCACGCGCCAAGGACGTGGCCTGCATGATATGGTGTGAACCTCAGTCCGCCTGAGATGTTGACTTCCTGGTGATAGTCCACCGCCTCGATCTGGCGCCAGGAGGCAAGCATTTCTCCTTCGTCGAACAGCTGATCATCCGAGCCAGCATTGGAGATGCGCACAAAATCCGACATGAGAAACCGGTAAACGGCCTTGGTTGGGTGTGTCATGTACACTTTGCCCTTGCCGTCTTTGAAGTTTGTCTTTTCCATGATGTATGTCAGAGCCGCGGCGTGGTCGAGATGAAAACTGCCAGTACATGAAGCCAGATCTTCAGCTCAGCGATATCTAACTTATATGCCCGGCGCAGCAGCCAAACTCACTGCGTAATCAGAAGTGCATCAACGGTGCTCCAATCTAACTCGTCAACGAAGGGCAAAGCCGAGAGTCCCGTATACGCAGGATGTACGCCAGCGTCACACACGACCGTCTTGCCCTTATACGTCAGCACACAGCAGCTTCTCCCCACTTCTTGTCCAGCACCGAGCATCTCGATGCGCAACGTGTCGCTGCGCCCGCCATCATCGCCAGCATCAGATGCACCGGAGGGGCCATCGTGGCCTGGAGCCGCCGTTGCGGCGGGAGCCGCTGGAAGTGGGCGGAAGGACATGGCTTCTGCACAATTTGGCGTGCCACAGAAGGGAGCGGCACCCTTGTTGGTCTGTGCTGATCTATTTAGGCCTGCCCTGACCTATATTTCCCTCTGGACAACAAGAAATGCAAGGATCACGTTCCAAGAAGTTGATGGTCGCTAGATTGTGAATAAGGGCTTCGATTTCCTCAAAATTGCGATTTTAAGCAGCATTTCCGCAAATCCGGGGATTTGGGCACTATTCCGCTATTTTGGGCAAGATTTCAATTCTGCCCCTCAGTGCAACATGCCGGTAAAGCCGACTTTAAGCAAGCAGTCGAAGTTGTCACTGAGAAGGGAGTACCTCTTTAGAATGTTATCGTTATTTTGCGGTATGGCGCCCATCGAGTCTGGACGTCCTATTTATAGGCTATCTCTTTGATTCTGCTTCAAACGAGGGCCAATTGGTACCCCTTCCTATCCGAAGGCTTTTTGCAGAATATGCTTCGTTCAGGTTCTGTATTTTCAGGGTTAGGGTTAAATGGTTGCGAACATCAAATGTGCCGCGGCTTGCTTTATTTAAAGCGCGTCGACTGTTGCACCGAGCTTACTCGAAAATCGAGTGGATGGCATTTGTGCAATAGCAAGTACATTTGATAGCATATTACCTGGTCAGGCCCCAAGGTGTTGAGGAACGCATTCGTTATTTATATCAGAACACCTTCGAGGGTAGCAAGCCGTTCAGCATCCCTACTTCCCCCTCCCAGCCCTGTGCCTTTTCAAGTACCTGCCCTGGCCCAGCATGTCAACGCAACCATCTGCGCCCCCGGCGCCAGACGCTTCACGGTTCACCACAACCTCCCACCTAGTGCACATCCCTAGCGGCGCACCATTCTCGCCGATCCCACAGGTGTTCGCAGTACAGGTTTTGCACATGCAAGACTCCTTCCAAGTCTGGGCCGGTTTGCCAGCAAGTGGACAGGACGAAGAGGTCGCCTCGCTGCTTGCGAGAAAGCAGACTGTGGCAGAATCAGACACACAATCAAGTCAGTGCCTCCAATTGAAGACAGACGCCGCCAACGTGGATGAGGAGGAAGATGAAGAGCTAAAGGCAGCGCTAAAGGCAGCCGGTCGGGACGTTCCCGAAGGGAACAATTTTTCAGCCAGTGGAAATGTGGACGGAGGAGAAGACTACAAACGCCTTCCAGCAGGAGCCGTCGCATCAGAATGGGCGATCGCCATGGCAAGCGCTCCCACTCCATCAAGCGCACCCTCCCAAGCGCAAGGATCCTCCCTTTTCCGCACATCTGCTGACTTGGCGCTACCAATGGCGCTTCGGATAGGTACGTGTATGATCATGTCATCCTGGCACCCCCTTAGTCGGACGCGTGGCTGACCTTGCTTGTGCGGAAATCAGCACGGAAGCTGCAGATCCGACAAATCCATCTATCGATCGACGTACCAGCAGAGGTCATTCATGCAGCCTCTACAGCGCCCCCGACGAGCAGCGCCAGCAAGACGCTCGTGATGCTTGAAAAAGGGATTACAGACATTCTTAAAGTTTTTGTTCGATGACGGTGGTGTTACATCTGCCGAAAGGGCCTGGTGGCTCTCTCAAGGAACCTCAAGGGTTCGCCTGAAGGCTGAATATTGATATGCATGATGTGCTCGTGAGCACTCGCCAGCGGCGGTAAAGGGAACGTCACGTGAGCCGACCTGATCGGCACACAGAAAGTGTCGAAGAGGTGGAGTGGGGCAACAGATGCGGCCCACCATAAAGGTCGTTGAAACTCGTCGAGCAAGGTCGCTGCGGAGATGTGCACTTTAAGGATGCAGAACAGCAGGCCCTCCTGCAGCGCGCGAAGGATTGTGTCAGCGGTTCTTGAACTCCTGTCGCATTTCAGCGTTTACGGAACATTCTTTGGCACACGACGTGTGCTCTTCTGTGGGTAGTCAGCATCCCTGTCGCGTGTATGTCTGTTTGCGCACACTCGGGTGTCCAGGTCAGGGCCAGGGCTCACAGACGAGCTATCACCACACAAAGAGTGCCCACGACATTAAGCTCTTCAATTTGCTGCAACTTTCACCAACTGGTCAGAAAGTAACTCCGACATCCAGTGGCATGAGTGTGGATAGGACAAGTTAGGACAGTCTAATGCGCATGGAGCCAGGAAAACGGTCCGCTACAATACATGACGTTCTTGTATTACGTTTCCTGCTTAATCTCTGTTCGCGCCGCGGATCCTGCAAAGCCACATGCAAACGCCAGCTGATTTTGACTCAATCTGCCGTCCACCTGGCAGTCTTTACAGCCGGCTCCCTCTCGAAGCTCTTGACAAGCTGGTCAAGCGCAAGGTTGCTGGTGCTGCGCGTGCTCAGCCGAGGCTTGGAGATGACAGGCGGAACTTTGCCCTCGAGGAATTTGCCTGCTGCATGATGCCCTTTGGATCCGTGCAGATGCTGCGCCCGAATGCCCGCGGACGCGGATGCGCGCGCTTCCTCTAGAGACATGGACGGCGTCGCGCGGCGCATGTATGTTGCGGACATGGACGAGGAAGAAGACGAAGAGGTATGACGATGGCGTGAGGAATCCGTTGAAGGCGGTGCGGTCCCCGCTGCTGGGCCCTTTCCTGCACCTGCACCGGCTTGGAACGGGTATAGAGTCCTGTGGGTGACTGGCGATGACGGCTGGGTTCGACTGCACTGCGGCTCCGGCCGAGGCGAGGAACGGCGTGCATCGTGTTGCCCTGCGCCACGGCTCGTCATGTCCGTGACCGCCTGATTGTCGATGCCGAAAGCCTTCTCGGCCATGCCGAACGCGCGACGCGCAGCCCGACCTGCTGCAGCACCCACGCTGGGGCCAGTACCTGCACTGCTGCTCTCCGCCGCGGCCTCGTGGTCAAGCTCCCACTGCTCATCGTCTCGGTCCGAATCGCGATCCTCAGGGTCGCTAACACTCGTCACGGGCCCTTCCTTCTCGCCGGTGCGCGGCTCCACGCGCTCGCCCTTAGCGGTAGACATGTTGACGCGCATCTCCCTATCAATCTCCTTGCGCACCTTGTCGCTGACGTGCGAGCGCGTGCGTCCGCGCCGGTCAAGCGCAGTGCGAACAAAGTGCCGCGCGCTCTGCAGTGCCTTGCGAGAGGCATCAAGGAAGAGGAATGCTTGGAAGACGTGCACGCAGTCCTCGTACATCTCATGCCGGACAGACACGCCTGCCATGGAAGCTTTGTGGGCCAACAGCGTACCTTCATCACGGAGCACCTCGGCATCTCCGCATTGAATCAGCAGCGGTGGAAGGCCCTTCATGTCTCCGAAAAGAGCTGCATCGTGAAGCAGTCAAACATAACAGTCAGCTAGACGCCCAAGCTGATTTGCGCTAAAGCTGTCTAAAACTCACGGCTGGCATACGGGTGGGTGAGGTATTTGTCAATATTCTGTCCCAAGTAGGCAGTGACCGGATTCATGTGGTCGCCAGGCGCGGGACGGGGCAGGTAGTCGTACTGTGCGTTAGTATCCCACGAGTCGCAGGACATGGTCAAATCGACCCAGGGCTATGCAGACAAAGGTAACCATGACTATCAGCCAACGAGTGTGAAAAGAAGCGAACACTGGGAGAGGTCACACTCACGCTGAAAAGCATCGCGCCGGACGGCAACGGATAGCCATGATCGCGCAGGTAGAGCATCGTAGCCATGGCCAACCCGCCACCAGCACTATCGGCGCCGAGTACGATGTTGTTTGGCGGGATGCCAAGCTCATCGACCAGCCTGAAGTAGCTCGACACACAGTCGTGCAGCGCGCCTGGGAACTTGGTATCAGGCGCGAGGCGATAGTTGATGCCGAAGACGCGACAGTCGGTGTACTTGCTCAGCGCGATCGTCAGCGGACGATGCGTGGCGGCGGACATGACAAAGTAGGCGCCGCCGTGGAAGTAGAGGATGACGCGCTCACGGCCTTTTTCCTGCTTGCTCCGCCATTCGGCTTGCAGGCGCTTCCATGTATGCTTGCCGACGACCCACTCGCCGGTGATCTCGCGCGTGCCATCCTCCGCGGCGTCAGCCTCAGCAAGGAAACCCTTGAGCCCGCGCTTATTGACGCGGAAGGTGACGGGCGTTATGAGGCCATCCTTGGGCATGGGCAAGAAGCTGCCGAGATCGAAGAATTGCTGAAGACCTTGGATCGTCGCAAACTCGGAGTACTGCGCGCAGTCGCGCAAGATCTTGGTGAAAACGCTCAGCTCGACTCCCCAGCTCTTCTTTGGGGGGCCGTAGAAGGCATGCGAAGCGAGAGCCGAGCCGATAGAGACACCTTGATGGACGATGAACGGGAGGTACCGCCAGGCGTTGGAGAGCGTGATCTTGGTCGGTTGGCGAGTTGGCACGGTCGGATCGAGGCGCGCAGAGGATGGCAGATTACCCTTCTTGTACGGCTCGAGAAGCGTGTTCAGCGCCGCTTTGGTCGAGGTGGAGGTCTCACGCGGGGTGTAAGAGCCGTGCCGCTGTGGATGCTTCTCTTGGCGCTTTAGTCTCTCCTCTGCCGTCTCGGTACTTCTCCTCCTGTTGTCAAGAGGCGCAGAGACAGACAACTGCTGCTTTGACTTTTGCGCATTCGAAGGCTTGAGCGTGACGGTAGACTGCGCAGGACTGCTGCTTGTCACAGAGGCAGCCTCCACGCTATCGTCTCCATTCGGCCCATCAGCGAGCCCTGACTCAGCCGCGACCATGGACAGTGCTTTGGCGGCAGAGGCGGGGAGCTCAGCTTGCATCATCGGCGCAGGCGCGGGGGCAGGTACCGGCTCGCTGTCGCGCTCGGCGTTCACATTGCTGCCGTCCTTTCCACTGCTCGTGCTCGCGGCGCTGCTGATTGCCTCACCGTCTTTGGTCTCTTTTGGCAAGGATGGCCAGCCTTCCGGCATGAGCACGGACATGACGACCAGATCGACGCCCATCATACCGCTGCCGCCTTTGCTTCCCGGCGCCTTTGCCCCAATTGACGCTTCGTCGGGTGAAAGCGTCGCGTGCGTCTCATCACGTTCCACGCCCTGCATAGCTCTACTTGCGCGGCCGGCACCACTATCATGCGCAGGCGGTAACGCCCCGTGGTAGCCCTGTTCCTGCTGCACGTGCACCTGCGCCTTGGCCTTCTCGACCATCTCATCCAGCTCGTCTATCTCGTCGTCGCCATGTGGCAGGCTAGGCCCGCGGCGATGGCGCTTGATCGAGTCAACAATGCCACGTAAGTTCTCAAGGCTCTCACTTGGGAGCACCTCGTGGTGTCCCTCACGCAGCGAGTGGAGCTTGTTTAGATACGCGACGACTTCCATCGCCGTGATGGCGCGTCCAAGCTTCTTCTTCGCCGCGGCCTTTTCACCGTGACGCTTGGCACACTCCTTGAGACATGCACCGCGCTCGGCCTTCTCGTCATGTAGCTCAGGCAAGTTGGTGAGCCAGGGGTGCTGCAGCGCCTGCGCGGCCGTCAGGCGCTTCTCCGCGGGACAGAGACACTTGCAGATGAAATCCTTGGCGATGTCACTGATTTCGGACCAGTACTTCGGCTCGAACTCAACGCGCATCTCGACAATCTGCCGGAACAGCGACGGCTGGTCCTCACCATAGAAGGGTGTGTAGCCGGCCAGGAGGCAATATGTGATGACGCCCGAGGACCAGATGTCAACGGCAGGGCCGTAGCCTTTGCCCAGGAGAACTTCCGGTGAGACGTACTGCGGTGACCCGCATGCGGTCATCAGTAGTCCGTCCGCGGGAATGAAGCGCGAGAGCCCGAAATCGGAGATGACAATATCGCTCGGGTCTGCCTTGTCTTTGAGTAGGATATTTTCTGGCTTGAGATCGCGATGGATAATGCCTATCTTGTGCAGGTATTCGACGCCGCTGAAGATCTGCTTGACGACATGCCGCGCATCAAGCTCGTTGAAATGCACCTTTTCGACGAGCCGGTCGAATAGCTCGCCACCCTCGCAGTAGTCCGTGACGATGAAGACACCCTCTTTGGTCTCGTAAAGGTCATGCATCTTGAGGATATTGGGATGATCGACTTTCCCCAGGATGTTGATCTCCTCCTTGAGCATCTTTTCGTTATTGTCCTTGAGGGGCTTCTTGGCGATAATCTTCAGCGCACGCTGTTCGCCTGTCTGTTTGTCCGCGACTAGTTTGACGACCGCAAAGGAGCCTTGCCCCAGAATCTTTGGCCGGACATTGTACTTTTGCGACAGCTGATGCGGAAGCAGTGGCGTCCCGTCCTCCTCGGTCTGCGAGTATATATACAGCAAAGACGCTCTGTCAGTACCGGGCCGCGATAGCATGCAGTAAGCACAATGATCACTCACATCTCGAAACCAGGTGCGGAAAGCATGTGAGAGCTTGTGCGAGGTATGACCCGAGGAGTGCCTTTCCTTCTCGGAACCGGCCATGGTGTCAAAGGTCTGTTATTATAGACAACACGATGACGTGTATGGTGCGTCTTTGCTATATGATCTGGGGCCAAGTATAAAAGTTAAGTTGCAGGCGTCGAATCACAGGACTTGAGTCTGTACCCCTAACAGTCGTTCAATGAGAGATTAACGTGGCAGGGTGGTCGTTCGTTGCCGTCGTCGCTCGCGTGGGGGTTATGTGTGTTACGTTGCGTTGGACGCTGTGGTATGCTTGAGTTATATTGAGTAATGACAAATAAGAGAGACGATGGCTTGGGTCGTGAAAGTGCGAGTGCGGTTGCGATTGCCTCCGTCGATTCCGGCGCTCGGGGAAGGGAGCGAGGCCAAAGACAGTTTGCGATTGAATGTGGTCACGCAACGCACGTCGTAGATCCTGCCCAGAGCGTCGGATATCGGCCGGCTCCGCCGCTTGGTTGCGTGCCAGCTAGTGTCGTCCTGGTAAACAAGGCTATATGAATGATGAATGCTGCTGATGGCCAAGCCAGTGATGATGTAGAAACCTGATCGAAGAGCTCGACAAGCTCGCCCGCTCGCCCCCTCCACGGCGCTGTCCCCTGTTTTCCGTCAGCTAGCAAGCTGTATGCAGTTGGGCCACGCTGAACGAGTGATATTCCCAGCGGGCCTGCCAAGGGCGGTGGCGGGGGAAAGGATGTCGCAAGCGCGGAGACGCGGGTGCACAGAGGGCCACAGATCCGTCCCTCTACGACTTGGCTCCTGGGTCGTCAACGCACTAGCACCTCTCTCTCCCTCTACGTTGAAGCACGAGCAAATGCAATGCGTCGCCGATGTAAGAAGGTGGAACGAGTGGCGCAAGAGAGGCTGGCGGGAGGTCCCTCGACGATTTGCGGGGGGGCGGAGGTGTTATGTTCACGCGTTGTGTAACGGGAGATATAGGATGCGGAGAGTTGTGACTGGCCACGCGATGCGCGATGGGGCGACACTACTGTGGGGGGAGGCTTGGGCAGTGGGAGAAAGAGGGGCCGGGCCTCCTCTCAATCACGGACTCATTCTTCAGACACCCCGCCGGCGTCTGCGCGAAACGGCCACCAGACCAGAACAAGAGTGAGGGAGCACAACACAACACCCGCGCGCCTCTCAACCATTCGTTGACCTTACGAGAAGAGACAGCGAGATACGACACCCACACAAGCACGATGTGTGAATTGCATACACATTCCAACATGTATAACAACCACAACAGGAGCGCGTGCTGCTTCCAGTACATCGCCTGCTGGATGAAGAGTGCTTCCAGGCAGCGATCCGATACTTATGTACGTAATCAGAATCAGCCTGCTGGCTGCTGGCCTTTCCGGCAATTCTGCTCCGCATGCGCCAGCCCGCCGCGCAAGATCCAACATCACGCGGAAGGGATCACAATGTCCAAAGCCACAGCCACATGAAAAGAGCCACATCATCCGCGGGCAAGCAGATAGATGCCCCCATAGCTCATACATCCGGTCAGTCGATGACACTGATTAGGGTTGTCGGTATATCCGAGTACGTCCACTGGTATCTCAGTAGAATCAACGTTGTCACTCTTTGCACCGAATCTGATGTTTCCCCGACACGCGGGAAAAAAAGGAAAGTTGTTTCACGTCGAAGCGCACAGCAGAAGTGAAGTAATCGGCCACCTTTCTCTTCAGAGCTTCAAATGTGCGAAGGGTAGAGTCTGAACACACCTCAAAGCCCAATTCATAGCGTTTTGAGGCCGAAGACGCAACACACAGTGTGACCAAGCCTGACCGTGTACACGTCCCGCATCGCTGCCAGCATGGCTCGACACCGTTCCAGGAAGAGCGGCACCACCAAGGTCGTGAGCACGAATGGTGCAGGACCAACAGCCCCAGCGGCCTCAGCAGCAGCAGCAGCAAGTAGTAACAGCAGCAGGGATAAGTCTGAAGTAAATGAAAATGGTAAAAGCGTAGAAGAACCGGCCGTGGCATCAATAAACGAGCCTGGCCAAGCCGGAGAAGCAGATAGAGACACAGTCGCGCCCGCCACAGAAGAGCCACAGTCCGCAAGCAAGCGTTCTCGCAAGCGAAGCAAACGCAAGAGCGGCAATACGGAAAGCGTTGGCGAGGATCACAAGCTGTATCCTCCAGCACCGAAAATCCCAAAGGAAAAAGAAGAAGATGGCTCCGACTCGGACTCAGACGACGGGAGTGGAGACCAAAAGCAAATCAATATTGCAGGGACGAGCACGGCCGACGGGGAGACCAGCAGCAAGCGAAAAAGGAAACGGAAGCGAAAGTCCACTACTGGAGTCAATCAGGTTGTTGAGTGTGCAGCCGATACAGAACAGAACGCTTCAAGGACCAAGTCGAAATCCTCGCCATCAAAGTCCTCATCGATAGCAAAGCAGTCTGCGCCCGCCTCGCGTCCCTATACTTCCGTTCCCCCGTTGTCCTCCGCCCCCGACCCATTCTCTGATCCGCAGCTCGTGCAACGAGAAGGCGGGACTGATGCTGCGGGAGAAGAAGAAGAAGACGGCCCGGGGGAGCAGGTCACATCCAGCGCGCAGAACGCGCTAGCGTACGTCATTGCTTTTGCCGCCAAGGATGCCGAGGTTGGGGGCAACACGGGAGGCAGCAAAGCGGACAAGGAGAGCAGCAGGAAAAAGCAGAAGACGGAGGTGGCCGTGAACGGCACTGTTAGCACTTGGCGCTTCAATAAGGCTAAGCAGAATTGGCTCTTACGACACTTGCTCAATGCGCCTTCCTCGCAAACATTAGACGAATCGACAGCAAACGCGTCTGATGAATCTTCAGCCTCATCCGCCCAGGGCGCAAAGGCTGCTGGCAGAGGCGTGGCGATTCCAGACGAGTATGTGCCGTTCCTCGGGTGGTATTTTAAAGGCATTCAAGGCAACGCACGAAGAGTGAGTATGCTACTTCACCGCGCACGCGCGAAAGATCGCAATACCAACACCTGAGCCTCTCACTCCCTCTTCTTTTCACAGGTCTTGGTTAACGAGCTCAAACAAGCGCGCGATGCGCCTGCTCATGCGCAAGTGACTCTTTCCGGGCCTGGCAATGACTCCTCGGATGCTGCGCCTTCAGCTTCAGCCACTGCGGCAGCGCCATTGCAGGGAGCAGGCAGCAACAGCAGTAACCTTGCATTCGGTGACATGGCGCTCTCGATGGAGGCGAGCGCGGATGCAGCGCAAGCTACAACCTCGGTCGCAGCTCCTACGTCTGCGTCTGCGCCCGCGGCGGGGAGCGCACAAGATGTGGAGACGAGCAGAGCGAGGGCAAAAGAAATCCTCGCCTGGATGGGCGAGTCAGGATAGAGTAAGTGGCATTTACTGTAGCATAGTGCGATTCAGAAGCAACAGGTATAAGGGTCATGGATCCAAGCCATTCAGTTCGAGCATGCCTGCATCCTCTACGCCGACCTCACTCCAAGGCCCGACCCACCGCCAAACATCGAAACGATGGTTGAGCCCGCTCTGCTCCTGCAGCGCATATGGACCACCGTCCAGCATGCCCTCGCACGCCCCCCTGTCGCCAAGCGCCGCACCGCAGCACCCACCCGCTTTGGGAGCGGGCACGAGGAAGTAGACGGCGCGTACGCGCGAATGAACGAGGGCCATTGTGCAGTACACACAGGGCTCGTGTGTGCTGAATAGTGTCAGCGATGTCAGCAGGTAGTCCTGCCCATTCACAAGGCGCGGCGTAGGGTCGTCCTCCGCAAGCGTTCTGTCGCTGCTGCCTGTGCCGCTGTGCTGAGACGTCGTCTTGGCTCCTTTCGAAGAGAAGCGTCCATTCTCTCGCGCCTTCTCGCGCGCGACGCGAAGGTCCGCCACGCTGCGAATGGCATTCACCACACCATGCTTGAGCGGGTTGCGCTCGCTGCATCGTACATCATGCGCGTCCACCTCTATTCGCCATGATTCCTTCTGCTCGTCCTCCGAAGCTGCTGCACCGTCGCTACTGAAGAGGTACGGTGTAAAGTAGGCCGGCGCGCTCGCGCCAAAATCTTCCGTGACATGCACGCCGATCGGGAGTTCGCCTTTTTGTTTCGCTACTGCTGCCAGGCGCACGCAGCGTCGGAAAGCAGTCCGCACCCAGTCGAGTCGAGCGAGCGTCCAGCTTCGGCGGTCCGCAGCGCGGTCGATCATCTTGAGTGATGATCCTGTTGCAGCCTCGTCCGTGCTAGTCACATTTCCGCGCACATTTACTGGCCAGTAGGCATTCCACTCCGGCAGCCGTTGCCTGCAAGGCGCTGATGTCGTCGGCACTTTAACCACTCGCGGCAGCCGCCCATTGTCTTCCGAGAAAAAGGGTGCCGATCTTCGTAGCAGGTCCAGCACATATTTCTCCTCTGCGCCTGGATTTTTCAAGCACAAAAGGACGGTCAAGAGCGACCCATTGTCCGCGCTCGCGGTTCTACTTGCTTCGCCTCCAGCTTCATCAGAGAGGGCTTTTGATTCCGGCGCATCGGCTGCCCGAACTGCGCGCAAATGCCTGAGAGCAAGCCAACCAGCCTCGGCTGACTCCTTCCCCAGCTTTGCGGCGTGTGTTCTCGTGAAAGCTATCGCTTTTCCGCTGAGCTGAGCCGGGACGTCGATGACCCACGCGTCGGCTAGCTTGAGAGGAATGCGCATCGGGTCTTGAGCCGCCGTCACTCGCCAAAGTGGGCAGCCCTCGTTGATTTCGATCACAGGCCTGGGGACAGTTTCTTCTTTCTGCCGGTCTCGAACGCCAGTCTGAGGCAGGGGGCTGGACGCTCCTACAGGCACGTCTTCTTCCTGTTCGTCAAGGCCCAAATTAGCCATACGCTGCCACTCGGTTTCTTCCGTTGGCGGAAGAGATGCATCACTCGCTCGCCGACGGCCATTTCCGAATGCTTTCTGTGAATTGGCGTTGCCCTCGCCCTCCCACCACATTCTCCCAGCCCCATAGCTGATGCACAATTCTTCGCCGGCTGCAACAGATCGGACGGTGATGTAGCGTATAGACTTATGCTCTCGGTCAAGCGTGTAGCTGACGTTCGGGCTTGTAGGATGGTGGTTGAAAAGCGAGCCTAAAAGATGAAGTCTGTCAGTCTAGCGGCAAATATGCATTATAAGTGGCACAAGTGACTCACCCAAACCTAGCGCGAGCGCCATGTCATTCCGACTCCTTTCGCGCTTGCGCCAAACGAAGGTGTAGCTATCGAGCAGTGTATGCTGTCCATGCAGCTCATACTCGTCAGCCGGAAAGACGAGCACGGGGCTAATCTCTATAACCTCCCTTGCTGGCACATCTCGGGTCGCAAAGACTCCTCGCCCGGCCGATGGTGTCGAACGCACTTGCAAACCAAACGCATTAAGGTGCGGCGTGGTCGAAGGATATTCCGGCTCCTCCGCTTTGGCTGCCTCAGAGCGCGAGGCATCCACAATCACGCTTCCCATGACAGAGGCGGCGGCTGATTCCGATCCTCGCTATCAGAATTTGAACTTCGAAGCGACTCTTAATGCCTCACAGTGTGTACAAATCAAAGCGGTCACGAAGAGCAGACCTAGCCCGTATCACAAGAAAGAGATGTTGCGAATGAGAACAAGACGATGACCCAAAAAAGTGTTCGCCGATTTTCTATGCCTGCATACAACCACAAGGAGTTGATGCACAGAACACAGAAAGTGACATTAGGGACATTTTACAACTTCGCATTGCCTTGCTTCAGGAAAGTCGCGGCGACGTTGCGTCGCTGAATCTTTCCGGTGGCACTGATGTTGCAGAGCACATACCATGTCACCGTCTGTCTCTCCAGCGGAGCGCCTGCAGCGGCTATCACTCACGTCTTGGGGATGCGCGCAGTGATGAAGATCTGCTCTGGAATCTTGAACTTGCTCAGCTTGCCGTTGAGCCCTTGCTTGATGCCTTCCTCCGTGATGCTGGCCCCAGTCTTTAGAACAACCGCCGCGCCAACCTTCTCACCGTAAGTCTTGTCCGGTACCGCAAAACTGACCGCCTCATCGACGCCTTGCACGGCAAGCAGCGCCGCGTCCACCTCGAGCGGGCTGATCTTCTCTCCGGCACGGTTAATAAGCTCCTTGATTCGCCCGGTGAGGACAATGTAGCCATGCTCATCCTTCTTTCCCTGGTCGCCCGTGCGGAAGAAGCCCTCGTTCTCCTTGGGCGACTTGACAAAGCTCTCCTCATTTGCCTTTGGGTTGTTTAGGTAGCCGCTCGTCACATTTGGCCCACGCACGCACACCTCGCCTTCCTTCCCTTGCGGTACTTCCTTACCCGTCTGGTCCAGAATCTTGACTTCGACCCCTTGGCCGAGACCGACGCTGCCAGGTTTGCGCTTCGCCGGCGGCAACGGGTTCGACGTCATCTGGTGCGCTGCCTCGGTCATGGCGTACGCCTCTAGCACAGGTGCCTGGAAAGCCTCTTCGATCGCGTGAAACGTCGCCGGGCTGAGTGAGGAAGAGCAGGAGCGAATGAAGCGGATCCTCGGTAGCGGGTTGGGCTTTGCTGTTGACAACAGCATCTGGTGGATCGTGGGAACTGCCGTGTACCAGTTGCAACGCTCTTCGATGAACTGCTTCCAGAACGCATTGGCGCTGAATTTGGGCGGTATCACTGCACTGCCTCCCGAAAGAAGGGTCGCAAGAAGGCCACAGAGGAGACCGTGGACGTGGAAGAGTGGCATCACAAGGTATGTTCTGTCGTTAGGGGTGAGTCGATACTGACCGCAGTGAAGCATCTAAGATTTAGAATAGTGTGCCCCGCAAGTCTTGCAAGCAGAGATACGACTCACAGTAGCAATGATGTTGGACATGGTCCGACTGAGGTTACGATGGTTGAGGGGTACGCCTTTGGGCCTACCTGTCGTACCGGAGGTGTGTAAGACGAGCGCCGTATTGTCGGGTGAGGGCATTCGAACTGCAGCTGCACGTGGGACCTGCTGGCCATTGTCTCTTGTGAGCTTGATGCTTCTTTCCGACGCATCGTAGGTGATTTCTACGACAGGAACATTTATTTCGCGTGCCGCCTGGACTGCTGCAGTATTGGAGGAGATAGAGCCAGACGGGAGAATCAACAGCTGAGACTTGGTGTCCTGTAGGTAGAACAGCACTTCGCCCTTCGAGTAGGCAGGGTTGAGCGGTGCTGCAATCAGCCTGCAGCGAAAACAGTCACGGATTCCATTCGTGACGGAGCAAAATTTCAAAAAGTGAAGACGTCAAGAAGTGACCACAGGCGACGATGCGAAGTTAAGCCTGCAACGCACTGCTCGGCACCGGTCGCCAGAAAAGCGACCGTGAATTCGATTCCATTGACCAAGCTCGAGCTAACCGTCTGGCCTGATTGGAACCCGAAAGCGGCAATCTGCAGCTGCAGTCCGTGAACAAGCTCCTGAAGGCGCTGGTACGAGAAGATGACATGGTCGGATTGCTTGCCCGAGGTTGATGGGATGATGATCGCTGGCGAGACGGGCGAGTAGCCCTTGCGTGGCTCGAAGATGGAGAGGAGGGTTGGGCTCGCCATTGCTTCAAGAAGGTTCAAAAGTTGCTTTATCGAGCGCTCAGAGTGTGATGGTCTATCGACTTGGGACCTCAGCAGTCAATACCTATGAATAACGACGCATGATCTATGAAGACCTCCGTCTGAGAGGAATCTACACAGTGGCGGTGGAGTGTTGGGAACAAGAAGTTTCCAGTCTTTAGTCGGGTTTGATAGAGATTCCCGGGGACAACGTCACCACAACACCTAATTTGGCTATCGGCTTTTGTCGGATCCCTGGAAGTTGACGCTTTCTTTACAGCCTCCCACAAAACTTCGCCGATATCTGGCACATCCCCGCACTGCGGTTGCTGAATCATCGGCGACTTAATCACTTCCATCGCTGATCGACCTATAACAATCCATCCTATTTGCGATAAAACTTGATACGCCAGGCTTTACCTGGATCTTGCTTGATATGGGACGTGACGAAGCATTCGGCTATTCCCTATGGGTCTCCGTGATACTTGTTTACATTCAGTGAATGACCCGACCTTTGAAAGGCATGTGCGAGAGCCCTGCGCCTGCAATCGCACGTCAAGCGCTGCCTTGCGAGTCCCGCTTCCAGGACTTGCAGCGGCGGCAGGGTCCATTCTTTCCGGAAGGTGGTCGCTGCTGCTGGAAGACTTCGTTGCGTTATGCCTTGCTTTTCCAATAGTATTGCTGGAAGAATGCATCACTGACGGCACCCAGCATTTGATTGCAACAGCTCCGATACGACCAGCACTTATAAAGATCAGCGATGGGCTTGGGGTCGCTTGGTTCTTCCCTCTTGTGATTCTCGCTTCGCTTCTTTTAAAGCCAACCTTCGTCCAGAGTTGTTTCTGGATATGGCAAAGCCTTGCGCGTCAACAACCCAGAAGACCCACCATTGATCGAGATGCCAGCTTCTGACAAGTACATTGACCCGGAGGTCAGGTTCAGCACAGCAGCCAGCCTGATCCTCCCCCCAGGGAGTCACTCATGTTGTTTCTGTATCCACCTCTACAGCTTCGCAAGGAGTTGAAAGATAATATTAAACAGTCTAAGGTCTTCAAAGGCTAGTGCTTCGGAGGCAATGGTCGGCTCGCAAGGAGCAGCGGATGGTTCAAAAATACTACAAGCGTGGCGACGACCACAAGACGGGCAAGGCGACAAAGACGAGCCGCAGAAGCACTTGTCGCAATGGACAGGCCAAGGATGGCGGACCAAGGAGGGACAAGCGCACACGAAGAAGGAAGTCGGCACACAGAAGCAATACTTACCCAAGAAGGCGTGAGAAAAGATGAAAGGAGGGAAAACAAAAGACTGAGGACAAGAAGCAGGAGGGTAGCAAAGCCGGAAGCAGTTTGTAAACAACAAAGACAAAGCCAAGAATAGCAGGAAGGAAACGCAAGATGAGCAGAAAGGGTATGTGAATGTCGATTCCAGAAGCGGCAAGGATAGCAGCTGCAACAGGCAGCAGAAGAACTTTGGAAAGTCTACTTCGCCAACTCGCCGTTCGACCCGGAAGCGCCCCCAGTCAGAGTCCGGTGCGGGCGACAAGCCGAAGAAGATACTGATGACACTGACAAATTGAACAAGCAGAAGACTGGCTATAGGAAGTCCCAGAAGTCGCAGTAGCCGCCAATGTCTCTGAGCAAGACGGAGGGCAGCAAAAAAAACGGCACCTTCGGGTCCAGGCACGGCAAAGCTTCGCCGCCTGCTGGGACACAGCAGGCCTCAAAGTACATTCTTCATTTCACGGGACAGCAAGTCCATTAGCAACTTGTGCCCGGCTGGTGTCACGGCAAGGTACCCTTGAGCACATTGTAAGCATCGTCGCATCCCGTTGAGTCACTCACACCATCTCATCGCTCATCCAAAAAAATCATCTGTGCATGTCACCAAGATTCTGACAAAAGACGATCGACCACAAAAATCGCAAAGCTATGAAGGACAGCCCCATGGTCGTTTCCACGAGCAATGGACCGAGCTGTAAGTTTTCCGTTCATAAGGCGTATAATGTTTACTTTGAGGTCGCGGCTCACTAGCTAATAGGCATGAAAGGATGATACGGGTTTCATACGCTCGGTAGAAATTGGATCTCATGGCGCAGCATAGCGCATCACAATATACACGCATAGCAGACGGTAATCATTAGGAACGCACATCCTATGATTGGTTTTACACCTTTTTCATGTGGAGGACGAGAGAGGCTTGAAGAGATGCGATGAAGACTTGGCCTCTCGTGTACGACACAAGACTGAAACGAGCATCAGTGGTAAGACCCAGAACGAGATCAATCAGATGTGGAAGACATTGCCAGATGGATGGGAGCGTTGAACAGGGTTTCAGTGCCCTACATAGTCTTCGGAGGGCTTTCGTGACAAATATTCCGGGGGATATGCTCAGAAAATCCGGGAACACCTGTTGAAGTCCGTTTTGGCAATGCTTAGGTCACCGCCACCTTATTCCGCCCTCCAGACCGACAGGTCGCCAATGCGCGTCACACCGAATGCGCGCCTATTCTCTCGGCCGAGTGTCGCTTGGCTGCCAGAGACGGAAGCTCCAAATTTTTTGTGATTGTCGGTGTCTGCATGCCTCCAGTTTTGCGATGGTTGCTGATGCTGCAACTGCGTTCTACTGGAGTTATCCTTATGCTCTGTCCGATGGAGCTGTGAAGGACATTCAGCTGAGAACGGAAGCAAGGCAAGAGCTTCGTATAGGACGCGAACTGCAGCTCTGTCGTTTTGAACCGAGCTGCGTAGGCTTTCAACTCGGAGTATGGCTGGCGGAAAGGGCGGCAACGCGCCGCAGCAACATCATCATCGCTCCCAGCTGTCGCAGACCAACAAGGCGTTCAAGTCGAGGCATGCGACCAAGGGCAGCATCAAGACTGCTGCAAAGGGTGAGTCGGAAGATGGTTAAATGCAAGCATGGCCGCAAACCTTGGAGTTACCACTCACGCCTGGATGCCCGTTCCCCATGGCTTCTGCAGGTCGGCAAGAAGGCACGCAGCCCAGAGTGCACAAGGCTTCGCCGCTGGGCATAGCAGCTACACCACAAGGGGCCCGGCAGGCCCGTCGCAATCTAGCAAAGCAAACGCAACAATCCAAACGTGCTGCACTCGTCGAATCGACGCGCATTTTTGGTGTTGGCGCAGGGTCCTCTCTCGCGGGAACACTCGGCCTTGGCAAAGGCACAGCCGCTTCTGGTGGCGGCGCGCCTCGTATCTGCGCTGTGATCGACTTGGCAGGGGGAGTTGCATGGGATGCCGTGCGGATGATTGAAGAGGAGGGCGAGGAAGGTGGTATCAAGCCGGTGCCTGGACGGAGCAGCTCAGAAGCTCGACAGCGCGGCGACGCCTTCTCAGAGATCGAAGCGACGCGGTTCAGACAGACGATCCAATTTTTGCCTCTACCGTATGGTGCGCTATGGGCGACGCTTGACGCCTGCAAGTGCGCAGACTTTGTGCTTTGCGTCTTGTCATCCACCAAGTCGATCGAGCCGGGCTCATGGGGCGAACTCTGTCTGCGCGCCCTGCAAGCGCAAGGACTGCCGAGCGTTCTCATCGCTGTGTCGACCTTGAACCCTCAAGGCAACATCGGTGTCGGGGGAAGCAAGAAAGCAGGCCCTGTACAGCGCGCAGTCAACGAAACGCGCAAGAGCTTGCTCAGCTTCGCACAATATTTTGCGCCCGAGGTGGAAAAGGTCCATTCCTTGGACGACCGGGCAGAGCGCAGCGCGCTGATACGCACACTTGCTACTAGCACACCCAGGCGCGTGGCATGGCGAGACTTCAGGGCTTGGACGGTCTCAGAAGGTGCAGAGTGGGTGCCTTCACCAGATGCCGCCTCTGGCAGTGATGCAAAAGGGACTCTCAAAATCGAAGGATGGGTTCGCGGTACACCGATGAGCGCCAATCGCCTCGTTCATATTCCTGATTTCGGCGATTTCCGGTTCAGCAAAATTACGTATGCTCCACCCTCCACAGCTGCTCGGTATCCACGGCGAAATGGCAAAAAGGAGCAGCTTTCAAGTACCGACGGAATGGACGCAGAGATGGCAAGTGGTGAAGTGGAGCCGAGCGAGGGGGAGGAGAAGCCGCTTGAAGGGGGAGACGTGCTGGATGAGCGGGACGATGAGTACGCCGATGACATGCGCAGCACTAATGAAGTGGATGACATGGCCAATGAGCAGACCTGGCCCACGGAGGAGGAGATTGCATCTGCTACTGGTGCCGCTCAAGAGGGCGTCTCAGACGCATCTTTGTTGCCGCCAGCTGTGCCAGGCATCACCCCTAGATCGATCGCAAAGTACAAGGCTTCTACAGGTGGAGCGCCGAAGCTCAAAGGAGAGAGTGCGCCGAGCGAAAAATGGAAGGCTGCCTGGATCATCGAAAGTGACGAAGAGGACGACGAAGATGACGAGGACGACGAGGACAAGGACGAGGCCCATGTGGAGGAAGATGGAGAGCATGGCGCGGAGGCGATCTCAGCGCCAGCTATTGGTCCTGCATCATCCATGAAGCCGAGCACAAGCGTTCAAGTCGAGTCTACAGATGCTGCCCTGTCGGACGTAGGGATGGAAGAAGACGACTACGACGAAGACGAGGAACGCGCTGCATGGGAGGCTTATCAGGAACGCCGCCAGCGTGAAAAGGAAGAGCGCGAGGACGCCGAGTTCCCAGATGAAGTCGACACACCTATGGACATTCCCGCGCGTCAGCGTTTCGCTAGGTATCGTGGGCTCAAGTCGTTCCGCACCAGCCCATGGGACCCGTACGAAGATCTGCCGCGGGACTACGGTCGCATCTACCAATTCGACAACTATGGCAGGACGGCGCGTCGTGTAGAGGCAGCTGCATTGGTCGAAGGTGTGCAGCCTGGCGTTCGTGTGTGCCTCTGGATCGAAGATGTGCCAAGGGAAGCGGCCGTGCGCGCACAAGCCAGAGGAGCGGGAGAACTACCGGAGCTGCAGGAAGGCCAACAGGTGCCGTTTGTCGTCTTCGGCTTGCTTCGTCACGAGCACAAGAAGAGCGTGCTGCATATGACTGTCACTCGCAACACCGAATACGAAGAGCCTGTGCGGTCCAAGGTGAGCCCATGTGTCGGCTTGCGAAAGGTAATTACTTGTGACTAACTCGATTGTGGACTCGGCGCACTCAACTCATGACAGGATCCACTTGTGCTTTGCTTGGGCCCTCGGCGATTCCGAGTGAACCCAATTTACTCGCAAAACACACTCGGCTCCGGTAAGCGCAGCAACGGCGCTCACAAATTCGAGCGTTATCTTGCGCAAGGTATTAGCGGATCCGTTGCGACGGTGTATGCGCCAATCACTTTCGGCGGCTCGAACGCCCCTGCCGTCCTTTTCCGCGAACGCGACTTTGCAGCTGGAGAGTGTGGCCACGACCAGCGTGGCGTGGGCGCGCGGCAGACACCTCACCTCGTCGGTATGGGCAGTCTCTTGGGTGCCCAGCCGACTCGAATCAACGCCAAGCGTATTTTCTTGACCGGACACCCTTACAAGGTTCACAAGAAGACCGCCACAATTCGCTTCATGTTCTTCAATGCGGACGACGTGCGCTACTTCAAGCCGATCATGCTGCACACAAAGCACGGCAAGACGGGCCACATTCGCGAGCCATTGGGTACGCACGGGTACATGAAGGCCCACTTTGATGGCCCTATCTCGCAGATGGACACCGTTCTGCTGCCGCTTTACAAGCGTGTCTTCCCAAAGTGGGCAGAGCTATTCACCAGCAGCCGCGAGGAGATGCCGCTCCCACGCTCGCAAGTCAAAGAGAGTGAAGACGAGGACGCAGGCATGAAGATTTGATCGAGCAATGCCGTCTGTATCACAGCGCGGAAAGTCTGCGTATCGTATTTCAAAAGAGCAAACATAGTCGCTACGCACAGCATGTATTGCGATTATCGCGTGAGAAGCTTGCCAACCGTCTTCCAGTAGCTCTTGTCCTCCTCTGAGCCCTCAACCAATCCCTCTTCGATTTCTTCCTTTGTGAGCCACCCAAAATCGACATTCTTGTCCTGCTCAGCATTGCCCGCCAGTATGTGCGCAGGTAAAAAGTATGTCTGCAAAGCAAAGCCTTAGTGCATGTCCACTTCGAAAAGAATACCGACATCGAGGTTGTCCTCTCTCACCTTTTCTCGGTCTCCATTCTTGAGTAATCCGACCGGCGCGTTGGTGACCATCCAGATGTCCATTTCATTGCCAAGCAACTTGCGCACAGCTCTCGGTGCCGCGTGATGTAAGCTGTCTTTAGGATCCGCCCCGCCTTGCTCGGAGTCTGCTTCTGCTGGCGACGCCGATCGGTCCACCTCATCAGCGGGGAAGCGCCATCCTTTCTGTCCGGCAGCCTTGACCACCAGGTAAAGGGTTCGCTCGCCCTGCCTTTCCAGACTCTTCACGTCATTCGCCTCGTCTGCTGCGGTCCGACGAGGGAGGACAGCATAAAGCTCCTTATCCGGCGCATTTTCCGCTGATGCTCCATATACGACCTCATCTGCAGCATCTGTACGTGCGACAGATGAAGCCGCAGCTTCCTGACGCTTCTCTTTGCCTTTGCCCGCTGTGTCTTTGGCAGTTTCGGAAGAATGCGAAGAAGGAAAGGAGCTCGTCCTCTGTCGTTCTGCTTCAAGCTCGTCGAATTTACCCTCAGCAGCACTCCCTTTCTTGAAATAGAAATCCTTTGGGAAAGGCTGAGCGAGTAAGCGATGCAGCTTGGCGTTGTAGTCGAAGATTGCCGACTCAAAGGAGGTTGGGGTTCGTGTGAGGAACGGCGGCCGAGAAAGCAAAAGAGACGCAAAAATTCTCGGCTCTACCGCCTGTGATCCTGGAGTTGCTTCAGTAGAATGCTGTTCGGAGGCTGTGCTGTGTTTCGAAGGCGATATAGGAGCAGATTCTGAAGACCCAGAGGAGACCTGCTCGAGCCGGTCAACTCGGCTGGAGTGCAACAGAGCCCGCTGAGCTTGAGAGCGCGCACGGGCAGTCCGGCCGCCAGAACTGCTATTTCCAGCTCGTAGCATGCAGCTGCACAACGCACTGCTGGTCTGTCGGACTGTCATGCTGGTTGTCCTCTAGTAATGTCCTCCAACGAACGAACCGCTACGCCTTGCGTCTGGAACTGGAGCTGGGCTGGAAGAATAAACGATGTCGCCACGCGAAAAGCGAAGCAGGATCAAATGGCCAAGGGTATGTACAAAAGAAAGCGGAACGGCAGACTAAGATAATACCTGTAAACCCACATGCCCAGCAGCCTCGAGCGCGGCGCATACAGCCAGGCTCTCGTTGACAGCTCCCCCTGTCGATGCATCGTCTTGAACGGAGTCCACGAACTTCAGGTTCTCCTTGTATCGCATGGCCAACGTCAATTGAGCTTGAGTCGTCAACATTGCCTCCAGATTTGGGCAGTCAAGACAAGGAGATCTTGCCTTTTCATCATGACGAAGGATCCGCAATCGGCCCCTGCGGCCGCGACCGACCAGCTCATCGACAACGTCGCCAAGAAAAGAGCTGGCCCAAGCGGTGCCAACGCTGGCGCAGACAGGATACCCGCTCCCCCTCTTGTTCACATTCGGAACCCGTGGCTCGAGGAACTTACAGTGCGGATTCGAAGCAGGCCAATTCCGTGGGAAGGGTACCAGCGTGCCGATCTTGTCAGCGCCGAGGAGCTCAAGCTGATCAAGAAAGTGGACGCAAAGGGTAACGCAGCTGGCAGACCGGGGAACGGTGAACCTGCAAAGATTGCGGACAATGTGAGCTTAAACTGCAGAGACTCTGCATCTCAGGAAAATGCAACTGAGAGAGCTTTGCGCTACGTTCACTTCTGCCAGGACGCTTCCGAGTATGCTCTGCTCTACCTGAGGCTCTTGGCCAAACTGTCACGCACCGACACTTTGCAACAGATTCTCGTTCTAATCGGCGACATGCTAGTAGAAAGGGATGACAGAGCACATTATTTCGTTCACGCATCACAGCAAGCTTCAGCTGCGGGTGTAGACAACATCCATGGCTCACAACAGACCGTTACAAGTGCACTTCCGTGGGGGCCTTTCTTAAAGTGGGTTCTACTTTCGTTGCACGGAGCATCACAGAGAAAGATACGCTGATTCGTGATTTTTGTCTCGCAGGCTTCTCGATGCGCAAGACGAATTCGTGCAGCTGAAATCAGCGCAATTCCTCGTCCTTCTCCTCATTTCGGATAAAACCGACAGCGCACCGTCAGCTGCTCTTCCACGGCTGACCACTTTCCTGTCCACATTGATCAACGCACACCCCCTGTCGTCATCGAGTTCATCCTCCACGCTGGCGCCTCCCAACATGAGTGCTGCTGGGTACGCTGAGGGGAATGGTGCGGATATTGCAATTCAGCTCTTTGAATCCCTCTTGCGATCACCAAAGCACCGACGCCAGATCTGGGAAGAAGAGCTGCGCGTCCAAGGTCAGGAAGCACCTGATAAGCTGACAGACAAGGATTCGACGCTTGAACTAAAGCGAGACAGCCTGATCTATGGCCTGTTGAACCTTCTCCGCACCAGCAGCTCTGCGGGCAACTCTGTGGCTTCGGCTGCCGGCTCGAAACCGGGATCTGGCACGGCGACGCCGAGCAGAGCTGGCCGCAACGGCACCGTGGGCGAGGTCTTGGTTGCGGGATCTACCACTGCAGCAGCCGCAACGGCGAGTGGCACCAGAACGCCTGTATCAGGGCAGGTCGGTCCCCAGCTGCAGTACCAGTCCATCTTCTGCCTTTGGCTGCTCAGCTTCGATGACGAGGTTGCCGAGAAGCTCAATATGTGAGTTGAATCACCTTGCGCTGCGTTGCTTTGATAGATTCCATTAAAATGACCGTACTTGTCTTCTGGTTGTCGAAAGCATATTCCCCGTCGTGGCAACTTTGACAGAGGTGGCGAAAAGCGCAATCAAAGAAAAGGTCATCCGCGTAATCGTCGCGACATTCCGGGTACGCTCAGCGAGCATCGCCACCTCGTTTCTCTGAAAATAGCTGGCTGACCTCGGCCGTATCATTTATGTGTTAGAATCTGTTGCAAAAGGCGTCAGCGGCAAACGCGCCGGCCCTTCTCGGATCGAAGGTCTTGCCGTTGGCAGAGTCGCTTACAGCTCGCAAGTGGAGTGACGAAGAGATCAACGAGGACCTTGACTACATTGTTGAGGAGCTGAACACCAAGTTGCAGAATATGAGGTGAGGCATAGATCTCTGTGTAGCAGCACTGACACGTGATCCTGATCATCGATGCTTGCACTCGGACGCAGCACATACGAAGTTTACCTTTCTGAACTCGCCTCTGGTCAGCTAACTTGGGAGAGTCCAGTGCATGAGCTGGACGAGTTCTGGAGGGCTAACACGTCCAAGTTGCTCGAGAACGATGCTGAGCAACTCAAGCGGCTCATCACAATTCTTAAGGAGAGCGAAGACCCTGTCACGCTCTCTGTAGTGTGCAGTGATCTGGGCAAGATTATCTCATTCAGCGAGACTGCAAAGAAGTGAGTTTCTGCTTTGACTTGATATCGCTGAATGACAATGACTTGATGTTGAATATGTCATTATCTGCACTTTTCAAATTAGGTTTGTCAATGAGTCGAGCGCTAAAGTACGGATTATGGAGCTAATCAGCCACCAAGATTCAGACGTCAAATTTAGAGCTCTCAATACCGTCTCGAAACTCATCAGCGCATCGTGGCGGTGAAAGCGTGGGTCCTCGCAGCCATTCAATGACATACTTTGGCTGCACGGACGCGTTCCCACGTTCGATTTGCGCCTTGGAGCTTGCCGGTCTTTCTGTATTCTTAGCCTCTTGCGATGCCATGGCTTCCAAGCTACATGCTGGTCGTTCGAGAAACCCCGCCACTAGTTGGCCATCACTTGCCTTTTAGACGCATTCGATTTGCACCGAATCGGCCAGCCGCCTGCAGCCTGATCGCCTAATGGAAAGACTGGGGTCTGATTGCGTACCTGATCGACAGCATCAAAAATCGCCAGGTCGAACACATGATTCGGGAATGACCTTGATCCTTGATTCGTTCATCCTTCAAGCTTCTCTGGGCACACCTTGGCGTCACCCAATGATAATCGAAGTGCTTGACGCATAGCCATCATCATGCAGAGCATGGCCCCGTCTCAAGCAGCCAGTGGCCAGGCAGGTGGCTTCGACAAGGCTTCTCCAGGCGTTGAGCCAAGGATCGACCCCAGCTCAGCCACATCGAGTGGAACATCCGCAAAAGGCACAACTAAAGGCCTAGGGCCTTCTTCGAGCAATGTGGGAGAGCCATGCACTGACATAAATGGCAGCACAATATCAGCACTCCTACCTGCGTCCATCTCAGAGAATCCGTATTTCTCAGCAGGGTTTGGGCTGATGATCTTTGGCGCAGCCCTTGGAATCGCAAGAAAGAGCATCACGGTCGGGGCAGCGGGGGTGCAACGGCGCATGCTTGTTTCCCTCGAGATCACATCCAAAGACAGAGCATATCCATGGTTCCTGTACTGGATGGGAAAGCAGGCGGAAGCGGCCTCTCTGCGCGAGGTGGGCCTACTGCCTCCACTGCCGCGCGAGGGCGTTCTGCAATTGGCCGGAATCACTCGACCGCCACTATACAACGCTAGCAGTGCGGACGCCTCCAAAAGGAGTGATAAGGTCATACAAGTCGAAGGAGCGGAGAATCCACTGGCGCTCTCGGAAGAGACATCCTTGCAGCCCGTCCGCATCTTCAGTCACGAGCTGTCCGTGGAAACGTCAGCTGTGCAAAATGTTTATGGGCAAGACCATCGAGGCGGCGCGACGACATTCACACTAATCCCTGGTCCTGGAACGCACTTCTTTCGGTATCATGGGACCTGGATGAGGGTACGCCACACAGCTCGCGACTCTAAGGCTTCATACGCATAGCTGATATTTACGATTCATGTGCTCAGATGCAACGCGAGAGGGCTGAGAGAATGACTGATTTGAACAGCGGAAGGCCATTCGAAACCGTTAAACTTAGCACATTGCGAAGTGCATCCTGGGTCTTCCCGAAGCTATTGAATGAAGCTCGTAAGCTTGCAATGAATGCGACACAGGGCAAGACGACAGTGTATACCAGCTGGAGTGTCGAGTGGAGGCCTTTTGGCAAGCCACTAAGGCCTCGCGAGCTCTCCAGCGTCGTCCTAGCAAAGGGAACCAAGGAGATGCTTGTCCATGATATACGTCATTTCCTCGAGCGGGGAAAGTGGTACGCTGAACGAGGTAGGTAGCGAAACTGCGGAATACTAATCTTGAGCGGCAAGTTCACTGAATTCGTACGCGTACAGGCATTCCATATCGAAGAGGCTATTTGTTACATGGAGCACCTGGCTCAGGAAAGACTTCATTCATCATGGCGCTCGCTGGTTATCTCGACTACAACATCTGTTTGCTCAACCTCTCCGAGCGTGGAATGACGGATGACAGATTGACACACCTGATGACGAACGCACCGGAGCGCTCGATCATCCTACTGGAAGACATTGACGCGGCATTCACTGGCCGGCAAACAGCGGCAGAAGACGGCTACCAGGCAAATGTGACATTTTCCGGCCTATTGAACGCCCTTGACGGCGTGGCAAGTGGAGAGAGTAGGATCGTGTTCATGACGACCAACCACGCTGATCAACTAGATCCGGCTCTCATTCGTCCAGGGAGAGCGGATGTGATCGTAGAGCTAGGCGACGCGGAGTCGGAGCAGGTTCGAAGGCTGGTCACACGATTCTACAGACGCACTGGCGAAGTCCCAATAGCGGACTCGCCCGAGGCATCGGGCCAATTACCAGATGAGGAGATTGACAAGCTCGCTGGTCAGTTAGCCGAACTTGTAGACCGCGAGTCTCAGCGGCGGCGAGCGGTGCTTGGGCTTGATCCATCCGGCAGGCAACGCCTCGCGAAAGGTGACCGCGATGCAAGCAAAGATGCATCTCAGCAGATGCGGCAAACCATCGGGCCGGATCCCGCTGCTTCAGGAGGCGTGAGCATGGCAGAGCTGCAGGGCCTGTTCATCCGCTTTCCAGAAGATCCCAAAGCCGCTATTGCTGCATTCAAGGTGGAGAGCGTCGAACGTGGCAATCACATCGGAAAGCGCGCGTAAGCGACAGCAGCGAACGCAGGGGTAGTGGCACCCATGACAAGCTGCTTTGTACTTTTTCTGTTTGCAAAATAGTACCTGCTCTGTGAAGTTACATCTGGTTGCGATCGCCCTACTTTAGCTTGGTTTGTCGGCTCATGCCCCAACGCCAGCCATGCTTGCCTGTGCGCCGGCGGTCGCGGCTAGCCTATTCCGCCTGCGCTCAGCTTCTGCTTCCTTCTCCGTCTCAATTTCTTTGACGACCGCTTCAATTTCTGAGAGTTCTAGGTTGCGTACTTGCCCGTGGCCCTCCATGATAGCAATTTCAATGTCTGGAATGGAAACCAATTCTGCATTAGGCAGCAGCGCAAGCTAAGCCGCGTGACCATTAGACTCACTTTTTGCCCCAGTCTGCACTACCTCGAGCAAAGATTTGATAGCAAGCTTGATCGTGTCGTCTTTGTTCATCCCGTCCTTGTAATTCTTCTCAAGGAACTCCCGCACGGTCTTCGCGGATCGGCCGATAGCACAAGCCTTCCACGCATAGTAGATGCCGCTCGGCTCGGTCTGATACAGCTTTGGCGTTGCCTCGTTCGCATCAAAGCCGATGATGAGCGTCGAGATACCGAAAGGTCGCACACCACCTGATTGGGTGTAGCGCTGCTTGATGCTGCCGATGTGCCTCGTGATGTAGTCGACGGTCACTGGGTCTTCAACCGTCAGGCGATGAGACTGACACTCCACTCGCGCCTTGTCAATCAAAATCCGCGCATCCGCGTTGAGTCCTTGAGCAAAGATGAACGCGCCTACGTCAGCCCCGTCGTCCCAGCTTCACGTGAAATCTGGCAACATACCAGCGAACGCAAGGCAGATGTGATCGTCCAGCATGGCCGTTTTGCGAATTGTTCTTGCATCTTGAAGCTGCAGAACGCTCTTCTTCTCTACGCCCAGCACGACAACATCTTTACCCTTGACGCCCAATGCGCACGTACCCTTGCGCACGGCTTCATTTGCATAGTCGACTTGGAATAGGTGCCCATCGGGCGAGAAGACTGTCAGAGCACGATCATAGCTGCGCGACATGTTTGTCGATGCGTGGAGGCTTTGTCGTGCGTCGTTCGAATCCCACTGTTGACCTCTGGAGAGGTCTTATACCTACGTCAAGGACAAGATGTCTACAACGCGTCATAGGTCCATGCCCAATGAGAGGTACATCGAGTCTGGAGCAGCAGGATGATGCAGTGATGTGTTGGTTGCTCGCAGGGCCGAAGGTGACGCGGACTGGTGTCTTACTAGTTAGTCCTCAGTTGATGGAACTAGGTACCGGTTGAACCCCTCGGAGGGTCCGAGCGTTTTGCCGGTCTCGCGAAATGCGTTTGCGTCTGCGAGACAAGACACACCATACGAAGTACCAACTCGTGAGGTCGAGGGAGATGCTCGTTGAAACTGTAAGCGGGTGACTCTATGCTCGTGCCGACTGGGGGAGGCTGTTGACCAGGCCTAATTCAACTCTGTGTTCCTACGAAGCTTACTGAGCGCTGCTGAGAATGCAAGTGACCCGCAGTGCAACTGCGGCTGCTTCCACGGCTGCAAGTGCTGTGGCGGGCTCTAGTCGCTTTTGGCCTGCCAGGGGACGGATTCTCGACAGCTCTGCGTGCTCGAGGTATATTGTTCCGCCTCTCAGCGTTGGGAAGCCATCTAAGCCGTTCAATCTGTCCTGCAGAAAAGGCACTATCACTGCAGATTGCATCACCCCGATCAGGCTACTACAAACATCCGCTCGCAAAGACAAGGGAAAGGGAAAAGCAAATGTCCAAGATGGCACTTGTAAAGAACCGACTCTTTTCTCCGACGATGTCGTTGTTGGCACTATGCGACGCATGGTACAAGTTCGAAAAACGCTGTTGGAACAAGTAAGCTATGTGGTCTAACTTTATTCGATTTGGTTGGACAGGCCTGACGAAATACGTTTCGTTTATTCCGGCAGGCAAGTAGCAGCTCTATCTCGGTACAAGCATCGCGGCTCGTGAGCATGCTTGAAGATATATCCGCCCAATGGGATGTTTTCACAGCCTTGCACCGAGAGTATGCATCTTCTTTGACTTTGCAAGAAACGGAGAAGGACGAAAGCATGCGAGCATTAGCCGAAGAAGAATGTGTCATGCTTTTCGAGCAGATGGAGGAAATGCGCGACACTTTTCGTGTCGCTCTGCTGAAGGATTACTCGTCTTTCGCGCGCCTGGCCCGCGAACAGATCCTCTCCGCAAAACCAGGCGAAGAGCCCGATTCTTCGAAATCTGCTTCCCTTGCAGATGCAGCCGGCACTTCGAAGCCCAGGGCAGTCATCATGGAATTCCGACCAGGGGTCGGCGGTCAGGAATCTGGGCTGTTCACGTCGCAGGTGGTGCGGATGTATCGCAAATTTGCTGAAAACGTCGGCTGGGAAGTTGAGGAGCTTAGCTTAATTCCCATGGAGGTGAATGCGTCGACCGGCGGAGGAGATGGCGTGAAAGAAGCCATCATCCAGATCTCGGCTCGCGGTGGACGCGAGGATGCGGAAATCTATGACAGGCTCAAATGGGAGGCTGGTGTGCATCGCGTTCAGCGAATCCCAACCACGCAATCGCTTGGAAAACTGCAGACTAGCACGATGGCCATCGTCGTCCTTCCCTCTGATACGGACGACGGTGGCAGCGAGCAACAGAAGGCCGATGACGTGGTTGATCCCAAAGATGTCAAGACCGAAGTCATGCGTTCGCGCGGGGCAGGCGGGCAGCACGTCAACAAAACCGAATCCGCGATCCGCCTGACGCATCTGCCGAGCGGGATCACCGTATCGATGCAGGATAGCCGGTCGCAGCACCAGAACCGCACAAAGGCATGGGCGATCTTGCGCGCGCGGCTTCTCGACGCTAAGCTGCGCGAGGAGATGGCTGCCAATCGCGCGGTGCGAAAGGACCAAGTCGCATCGATGGAGCGCAGCGACCGGGTGCGCACGTTCAACTTTCCACAAGACCGTGTGACAGATCATCGTCTCGGTCTGTCACTCAGCGGTATTGATTCTATCATAGAAGGCGACTTTGACGGCGAGTGGTCCGACGGGCTTGGGAGGCTCATGCAAGGGCTCGCCCTCCAGGACGAGGAGAACCGCATCGCCGAGCTGCAGAGCCTTTGGCTCGAGGCTAGCACAAGAGTCGATGTAGCAAGGAAATAATCTGCAATTTTGGAGCGGACACATCTGGGAGTACGCAGTACGCATTGCGTTGCCGCGGAGGCATCTACGAACACCTTGCATGCATCATTTCCGATGCCGAGTCTGTCGCCTAAAGGTCATCGATGCATCGGAACCATCAGCACGAGGCCTTACGCGGAAAGGGACAGAGAAGATGTCGACGCGCATGTCCTGCGGGCCGGTGGCGATGTGGTCTTGTCGATTCCGACGGCCTTGTTACTCTGCTGCACGGTGAAGGCGTAGCCGCGGCCGCCATTGGGCGTGTAGCAAATGTCAAAGATGGCCGCGCGTGACTTTTCCGCGATGATGCACACGCTGTCCGTCACGTAGCTTTTCGGCTCGCCGGCGGGTTAGATGTTGAACAGGGTGTTGGAGGGGTTCAGGCCAACGGCGTGCAGGTTGAAACGTTGCACCCAATCGGAGTGGTCTGCGCTCGCCGGTGCGAGCATCAGGCTGGAGCCGGTAGTTGCCCGCGCCATGTCGTTGCTCTTGAACGTGAGGTAGCGGGCCTCGCTTGAGTTGCCGCGCAGCGCTGTGCAAGGTTGAGCGGAAATCGCGTCAGCTCATGAGGGGCGACGCAAGTGGAAATCACGGCTCGACGCCTCTCTCGCTTGAAGCCAATCTCGGTTGCGAGGGTGGTGGCCTCCGTCTGCGGGCGGTACAGCACCGGACGATAGGGTTCGGGTGTGCCGCCTCGCACATGGCAGCGCCGGTGTACTGACCTTGTGCGGCCTGCATCAGTGCGCAGATGTTAGGCAGATCCGACACGCTGGTGTCCTCGCTGTCAAAGTCAGACATGTTGACGAGGTCGCTCATCTCGCGCCGGCGCCACGGGTTCATCTCGGTCGCAGTGGTAGACTAGCCCCTTACGGGGGGCCCATTGCTCGAGGATGAGGGCTTCGATTCGCGCAAAACCCATTCGCTGAGGACGTTGCTGGGGCGCGTCCACAGGCAGACGACCATGAACGGCAGACGGAAGCCTGCGCTGGCAGGGGAGGCGCCGGTTGCCCGGCCGTACAGTCGGTGGCGAGCCAGTCGCCTTGTTCGCGTTGCGGCGCGGTCGGAAGAGCACGCGGTCGGCTCAGCCTCCGGTCTCATCGTAAGATATGAGGAGCGCTGTCTTGTCCCAACTCTTTCCAATTCGATGCCCGCGACGACCTTTTGCTGCAGCCAGTCACCGGCAGGTAGGGCGTATGGCGGGTGCTCGCTCAGGTCCGTATGGCCGATGATGTAGCTGACGGCGGGTAGCGTGCCGGGCTTGGTGCCTGCTACGAGGTGGTCGAGGCTGACGAAGGACGTGCCAGCCTTGCTAAATGCCGAAGAGTTAGCGGCCTGTTGGAACTGCTGGAACCAGGTGACCAGGCTGTCGTCATCGTTGTCCACAGCCTGGTAGACCTGGTAGCTGATACCGGCGTAGGTGAGGGTGGTCCCCGGTGTTCTTGTGCTTGAGCGGGTATCAGGGCACTCGCTACCCGCTGCCCCCCTGCTCACAGCCGGGCGACTCGATGCTTTCAATATAGTTTACGCCGCTGGCCACGCTGCCGTTGATACCGTGTAGTACAAGAGAGGCACGCCTGCGGCAGGGAGAAACGAAAGGGCAGCACCAAGTTCCGTGCCGCAAGCGAGTGCGTGAGACGTTTTGCGTGAATACAGGCGCTGGCTCACGACACGGTTGGGGTTCGTGCTAGCAACGACGTTCTGAGCGTAGCTGTCCGTGGTGGTTCAATCCTTGGCCAAGCCCAAGTGCAACGGGATGCCCTGGCACTTGTAGCAGCCGAAGCTGCACAGTGTTGGCAGTCGCCCAGTGGCCGATGCTACCCTTGTTCCATACGCAATGTGGTTTGCCTGCCAGCCGTTGCTCCTGGCGAGGATGCACCGCGTCGCTTCGTTGAAGGCGTGCTCGATCCAGAACGGAAATAACGTCGTCACACCGCAAGTGGCGCGGGCTTGATACCGAGTGCGACAGACTGGTGGAACACATCCTGGTGCTACTTGTTGGAGACGACGACGTTAAGGTCCTTGAAACCGCGCAACCCTACCATGGCTGAGCGCAGGACTACATGTCAGCAAATGCACCCGACTGCTGTGGAAAGAAGGTAGTGCGGCCAGCACGCACTGCCAACGTATTGGCCGAAGGCATGGTGTTCTTGCATGAACAGGACAACGTGCTCGGCCTGGCTGTTGGCGTTAGGCGCGGGTGGATGCGCAGCGTGGCTGGCGGGGGGGGGGGGAGATGTGGGGTAGCGGCAGCCAGGAGGACATCATCTTGTGCAGGCGTCCGTCCGATGCCAGGATTGGGAGTGGCTTCTTCTTGCAGGGTTGCGGGTGTTCGCTGGTGACGACTGGACGAGCGTGCGGGCTGGGCTGGGCTCGGAGAGTTGTAGGACGTCACGATCCTATATAAGGAGTCTGTCTACACGCTTGCAAGGTGCAACCAGCGGCAAGCGCCCCAGGCTGCTCCGGCCAACCCGTCCTCCCAGGCGTAGGGTCGGCGGTAACAGAGGGTGTAGAGATTATGTAATCTGCTCCGCCGACAGGCACTTGCCAAAAGAAGCATGTTCCCCGCACTCGGCCGAAGCGTGCCGGCATTGCATCTGTGCATCCATGAGTCCCTTCGTCGAGCTCTGCTCCATCCGCAGTAAGTGTAAATGTGCAGGCTCCATGCTTTCTTTTTTATGCATGCTCCTCCATGTTTTTGGTTTCTCCCGCTAGCGCCAACATTGTGCGCGGGCGGAATACAATCCAGGAACGAGGTTTGGCGAGGTTCTACATATAGACTCGTTGCATACTCTCACAAGCATGTGTGCGTGGCGCAGTCAGGCAGAGTCAACCAGCTTTGCTGTCTTGTCGGCCGTCGGATGGATGGATGGATGGACAGCCATGGGAAGTCAAGATGCCAACTTGCTAACGCCTACACACAGCCACGATGTCCAACTGCTTATCAGGCATACGCACAATTGTGACTGCCTGCTGCTGCATGCGATACTAATAAATATGCCAGGATCCGCTGGGCTGGGAGGTGCGCACCCGATTCGTGCGTACAAGGGGCTTGCCACATACATAAATGGCCCTCGTCGGCCTATGCCACCGAGACCGACGATTCTCGCACTACCCACGACAGCAGAGAGATGTCATCCCTTGGCATCTTCGAGGAGCATATCAAAAGCAGGGTCGCATTCTATTGCGCGTGAGAAGGGATCAGGTTAAAGGAGAGATCCTCGTTCTATTTCTATTAAAAGCTCATCAACGTGCTCCCTGGGCAAACAACACGGGCCACTTTCCACCAAATATGGGTTCAGCAGGGCATTACGCGACGCGAGCACGATCCTCGCACGAATGGCACGGTGCATAGCTTGCGCAGGGCCTCTTCCGCGCCTGAGTAATCGCTTACGCACGAGCGAGCAGCGCTCTCGTCACAGCGCCATCGAACCCGACGAGCAGCGCAACGAACAGAAAAGCAACCGCACCGAGCACGAGTCGGTCCTGCTCCCCGATCTGCATGCTTTTGGGTACCCTGCGCGCGCGTGCTGGCACTCGGACGCGTAGCTTATGCACGCGCCCTATTGACTCGTCGGCGTGCTCCACGTACAGGGTTTGCACCTGTGAAGAACATGCAGCGAACGTCAGCGCGGCCATGCCGTAAAAGAAGAAAAGCGCAAAGGCAGCTGCATCCGTGCTAACTCACATTCTCATCAATACGCCACGTCCCGTCGCTGAGCTGCACTTCGAGCCTTTCTCCCTCGAACAGGTACGTGGGCCAGAAGATCTCTGTCATGCGCGACAGCTTGTCCGCCTTGTCTAACGGCACAGTCGAAGAGTTGCTCCAAGCTAATGTAAACTCCCAGTTGTGCCGGTCCCAGTGCGTGGAAACCGGCAGTCCAGCTACTTTGGCCGCATAAGGACGCTGCGCAGAGCGATTTTGAGCATCAACATGGTCCCCATCACGAAATGTTTCGGCTCCAAAGTATACATTTGTACTCACAATCAGCGCTTCCAGCACGCGACCACCCCTATACAGCTCATCGTGGTCGCCCTTCACATTGGCTCTATCTCTCGAAGGCAGGTCGAGCGCAATGACGCTGAAATCTTCCTTATTCCACCCGTCGCTGTAGCGAAATTGCAAGCGGTTGCACGCGCGTCAGCTCCGGTCCCTGCGGCTTTTCTCTGGCAAGTGCATCGTCACCCAGCACATACCCATATTCAAAGATGCAGTCGGGGTTGAAGTTCCACCATGTAAAGCTCTGCCAGTTCTTCTCTAGTGCGGAGAGCATGCCGTCTACCAGTTCGGCGTGTTTGCGGTAATCGCCAGTACGGTACGCATGCGCGTCGTTGATGTCAAAAGGCAATCCGATCTCCCCAACTAGCATCGGGACCTCTCCCATCGAGACGCGCCCCCACTTGGCTTGCGTGGTCAGCTGATGCAGGTAACTGCGCCAAAGCCATGGGACGAGCGTCAGTCTCCCGTTATTCAATCACGTGGAAACACGGCTCACTTCTGTCGCGCGCCTTGTTCGCCCCAGTAGAGAGCTTTCATGAAGAACATGCCCTGTGAACGAAGCATCGAGAAAAGTCAGCTGTACGCCTGGCAACCCGCATGAGACGATGCACACTACAATGACGCACCCGGCTGAGCCCTTGCACATCTACGGAAAACGAGCGCCAAACCTTGCCGAAAAGCACGTTGAGGTCGTAGAAGTGGGGTGCATACACAAAGTTCTTCGGCCGTTCTGTGTCGATCAGACCCTTGACTGCATAGTTTTGCCTTCGCGCAGCTTCTTCTAGCTCGGCCCTGTCTTTTTTGTTGGAAAGAACATCGGCGTCTGGCCAGACGGGCATGAACTCGTTCGGGATCTGTTCGACCAGGATCAGCTTGCCTGGGCACTTGCGCAGGAGCCGCTCACTGAATTTCTTGCAGAACGGCGCATAAAAGTCACGGTACCACTCGACTGGACGCCCGCCTTTGCCCGGTCGGTTGTCCGAGGAAAAGTAGTTCTCCCACAGGACCACAGGTTTCTTGTTCTTCTCGTCCCAGTCCCACACGCCGTGCGAACGCCAAATGCAGTCACCCTTGCTCTCGTCGGTCTTCTTCCAGACCGTCTTGCCCTTTGGATCGATGTGACTGGTATGAGACTTGTATGTGGGCCACGGCCATGATTTCACATAAAAGGGCACGTCGGTAGCGTGGCCACTTCCGAGGGCGAGCGACTGAAGTAGGGATGGGTAATGGCCAATATGTAGATCGGTTTGATCTGTTGGACATGCCCGTTTCAGATTTCATTTCTTGGAGCCCATCATCTCGCTTCAACTTACAGTCCCACTTGTGGAATGAATGAAGATTGATGAATCCTCTGTGCGGTTCGTTCATGAGCTGCGAGTGAGATCGCCCATGAGCACTCATTGCACATCTGAGAATCGAGACGCAACTCACGTCAAAGCCAAGACACCCCTCCATATTTCCTACGACGTCCGCGAGGTAGCCGTACGCCTCTATGTATGCGTTCTGCAAGAACTGCTGAACACTGCGTGTGGTAGGGTCCTTAAATTGCCCCCCCGCGATCTCTTCTTCGGGTAGTTGGCATTTGGTGTTCGGAGCGAAAACGTCTCCTCCCCAGAATAGCGTGGCCATCGTTCCTGCAGCGAGCTTTTGGTAGCCGGAAGGCCAAAGAAATGGTCCACTTGGTTCCTTTGGTGATGAAGAGTTGTCAAGACTATGAATATAGGCTGCCCCGCAATCTTTAAAGTTGAAGCGGTTCAAACCGACGGCGTCCAGTGTCTATGAAGAGGCAGAGGAAATTCGTCAATTGCGATTCCTCACAATAGTCGTGACGATAGGCTCACCCAGCCAGGGGCGCCACTACCTCCTGTATACCGACTCCAGACATCTTGATGGGCACAGATGAACGCTTTCATGCCGTGGTCGCCAATGAGCTGCATGAGTTGTCGCAAGTATTCAACGTATTCTCGGTCAATATCTTCGATTCGTGGACCCTTGTGGGAAATACTCTCCCATGTGACCATGAGACGGATCAGCGGGTATCCCCATGCCCTAAGCTGGCGCAACCGTAGCGGAGCCTGTGGCAATGACCGTGTTTATCAGAAATGCGCATGGACAGCAGCCTTCATTTGAAACCAGTCAATCAGACTCACCTCTTCCAGTGGAAATGGCCTGCCAATGAAGGTCACGGTGCGATCATCTGAAACGAAGCCCTCCGGCAAGTGTGACAAGCCGTTCGGAGTCGTTGGACTGGATAAATGAATGAAAGCCAGCTCGTGTTAGCCGTGACTATTCAGCCACTCAGCCCATCTCGCACCACAACGAACAGCTTGCTCATGCTGCTAACATTGAGACCGTGCAGGATAAGGGTTCTTCCAATCGAGTCTACGAATCTGCGACCGTCAATCCGTATGTCGGCCCCGATGGCGTTGACCGAAAAGTCGACCGCACCTGTTGGTGGGGGACTTCTCATTTTCATTGCCGATCACGACGTTTTACGGATCCCACGAGAGGCGGCGAACTTCGGAGAGTGAGTAGTCGGTCGTTCCAGGAATATTCGCCCGACAGTTAATCAATAATCATGGACGGCACCTATACCCATGAAGCCTGGAAGTCCTGGAAGATCGAAACGAAGACCTCACGGTCGTGTCGGTGTCACTTTCGTTGGTTTCCGGTGTACGCGACGCCTCGGCTCTGCTCATTTGTGCGGCACTGCGCCTGTCTCCACGCTCTCACCTCTCTATCTGTGCCTCCTACGCCTTTCGAACCACTCAGCTCGCCAACGCATCGCTCATGTAGATACACCGCTTCGATCCGACTTGTTTTAACCTCGAGGCTGTAGTTGACCACTGTGGGCCTTGTAATAACCAGCTCTTCGCGGCAGAGAGCTGTTCAGAGCCGAAAGAGAAGCCCCCAAGATGGCGGAAACAGAGGGGGCCAACAACAGTGAGTCATCTGGAGCGTCGATTGGTCTTCCACATACGCACACGTCACTGATACTTTGTGCGACGCGACTACCATCATGCAATCCCTTGTCCCTTTTAGATCAACGTCTGCTCTTCGCAGCCCGCACAGACAACATTGAGCTTCTGCAGGAGGTCCTGTCAGCCCCAGAGGGTAGCTATGACATCAACTTCCAAGACGGGCTGGGCATGACGGCGCTGCATTATGCCGCGTCCTCGGCTTCGACCTCTGTTCTCCCTGAATTGCTTGAGCAAGAGGTAGACGTCGATTTGCACAGCCGTCTCGAGGGAAATACACCATTGCACGAAGCAATAAAAGTAGAGCATGAAGAAGCACGCAATTGGATCGGTGAGTCTGCGACGATCTTATCTCTCGGCGCTTGTCTCTCGCTAAAACATACACACTCGTCACATCCAGTGGAGCAACTTCTAGAAGCTGGGGCAGATCCAAGAGAAGTGAACAAGGAAGGTGACAAGCCGGCGGACATCGTCTCGGCAGCGACGCCATTGGGCCAACAACTTAAAGATACATTGCGGAAGGCCGAAGCGATAGCGTCAATTAGCACAGCAGATATTGCCAACGGTGAGTACTTCACGCTTGAAGTCGCCTACGCGCCTCTCTTCTTTGGCTCACTTTGCTTCCTCCCGCGATAGACGATGACGACGATGACGATGGGCCGCCGTCAGACGAAGACTAGTTTGTGCGGGAGCAAGCGAATAGATGCCAGCTCACGTATCGTCTTTGTAATGCATTTGCGTGTTGAGTACCAATTGAGAGCGACTATACATACAGAAAGAGCCTGTATCTCTCCTTGAGCAGCTTGAGCACCTTTGCCCTATCTCGCAGCTCTACGGGCGCGCTTTCATCTACGATTAGTGCGCACAGCTCGGGACACGGTGGAGACGGTTCAACATCGATGTCCATGGTGTTAAGCCCCACCTTTAGCTTAGGCTCAAAGACGATTGACGCCCAGCTATTCTGTACTCCGTCTCGCTCTACTTTCTCATGAGTGCCGTTGATCTCGCCGGGCGCTTCTATGACGCCGCGCCTAAGCTTGCCGACCTGCGCACCGTCCTGCATCACATTCACTAGGAAGTCAAGCTTGTTGCGATGCTCGGCTGGGTCCTGGGCATTCAGGCATTCAATGCTGTTGTTGTCATCCTCGCCTCCCGGTCCGTTGGACTTCGGCCGCTCGCTGATGGGCGTCTGTGCATCAGGGTCGTCGAATTCGCGGAGCACAAACCGGATCTTCACAGAGGCCAATTCAAGCTTCCCAGGCTGTCGCCGCCGTGTTGCCACGTGTTGCCCTTTGCGCACCCGAATCATGTGCTGCTTGAGGCGGCTGCTGTCGACAACGATGGTCTCGTGGACGATTTCTGCGGTGTACTTTTCGAGAGTCCGCGGGGCTCCAACCTGTCGCCATTGCACGTCGATCAAGAAGAAAGGAATGGCGTGCGGTCGACGGATTCCGTTCAGCGCCCATGGTACGACAGGATTGATGATCTGTGCGAAGTAAGATGCTGGTCTGAGTGCTGGCGGCGGCGCTTGTGCTTGCACTTCCTCTGGAGGCGGGACATCCTGATCCATGGACAGACTTGCCATTCCGGGATGCCCGGGAGTACCAAAAGGCGCGTAGCCAGGCGCGCCGGGGGTGGCCTGGGGCGAAGAAAATGACATCGCATGCGCCAAGCCGGATGGCCCAGCGCCGTAGCCATGCAGGGATGGAAAGCCTGGCGGCAACATGCCCGGTCGTTGCTGCCCAAAGTGTGGAAACCCATGCATTGGTGTTGATGGGTATGATCCTGGTTGCGACGCCGATCCTCCGATGGGCGACTGCCCAAAGGGAAGTGAACCGGTCGGGAATGTAGTGGGATGCGAAAATGGAGGGCCGATGCCAGGGACAGGAGGGAATTGCACGCCTGGCGGCAGTATGGATGTGTGCGCAGGGTAGGGGGATGGCCCTGCGCCGTGGATCATCTGAGGAGATGGCACTGGCAGGAGACGCTGGGGCTGAGCGCCGACCACGGTGGTCGTATGCGGTTGAGGCGTCTGTGTGGCCGACTTCTGGCGTTGCATCTGCTTCAGCTGCTGATGCGGTGGCGGAAGAGGCGGCTGTGGCCGCACCGCATACTGAGGCGGAAGCTTGGACGGCGACATGGAAGGTGGCAGCAACTGTGTCGGGGACAACCCACCGATGGATGAATAGGAGGTGTCCCCAGGTGTCGTGGGTGTACCTTGCCGTTCCTTTTCTTGATTCAGGCGATGCAGTCGCTGCTTCAATTTGTGTTCCGAGGAGTCGCGGCTCTTCGCATCTCCATGCCGCACCACCCCTAGCTCGCCGGGGACCGCAGAGTTGCGCACGTCTTCCTCATTTAGCGTGAAGCCTTCTGACAAAAATTGTGGAACGGCTTTTTGCTCGATGTGCAGCTACGAGGGCCGGGCGTGCGCACCTGGTCAGCCTCGAAGCATCACCCTAAGGTTCGAGGCCACTCACTCGTATCCTTTGAGCGTCTAACCAAACCAAGGAGCCCTCCTCATTGTAAAATTGTGCGTTGTCCAGCATCTGCATAAGATCCTTGTGCAGTGCATAGCCGTTCATGAACGTCTTGGATTGCATTTTGCTCTGGAATTCGAAGGAGCGACACGGAAAGCACATTTCAGACATGGACCCTGTGGACCTGACACGCTACCAACTCTCTCACCTCGATCTCATACAAGGACACTGGCTTGGGAATGACCTTGTAGTAGTCCGGATATTCTGACTTGGATGGCAACGATTGGAAAAATTCTGTGACGGACGAGCCGTCCGGCCGAACCAGGTCTTGAACGCTCTTGAGCCAAGCCTTGAGCGCAACTTTGAGGTATTTGCCCCGTGCGACATTGCGCGACATTTCCTTCTCCTTTTCCTTGTCTCTTTCCTTTTCCGGATCTTTCTGCTTCGAGCCGAATCCCACCGAGCTCACAGCTAGGCCGGTGGAGGCCAACTGAACCCCTTGTTGCACTTCTTCTGTGCCGTTCTTCTCCTTTCTGTCTTGGTTACATTCGCCAGCGCTGATAGGGGACGCTGCTTGTACCTCCAGAGCCCCGAGCTTCACCTCACGGCCAATGTCTTGCTCTGAGAAGGAGCTGCCCTCAGCCGGAGCGATTGCCGCACCCCTTGCTGGGTCATTCCCTTTGACTTTCGCCTGCTCTTCTTGTGCTTTGAGGCCATCCGCGCTCGCAAAAGCGCCTGAAGAAACGGCAGCCGAGTCCAAGCTCTTCTTCGGCGGACGAATGGTGATTTTTGTTTTCCCTCCAGGTGCAGTGGCACAGTCCAACACTGCAGACATGTCCTCTGGCTCCTCCTGTATTTCCTTTCCTTTCGCTAGCTTGCCTTTCGCGCCTTTTCGCCCTCCCTTTCCTTTGACTTCCCCGCTCTCGCCTTCCTCGTCTTCTGCATCGTCTTCCATGCCAGCGTTAGGATCAAATTTGCGCACTACTTGAAGATCTGAAGGGTTGTGCATGACCGCGGCAGGTCTGAGCTCCGAGGGCACAGCGCCGTTCTCGACGAGGCCAGCATGCGCATCTTTGACGAGTGACTGACGGATGTCATCAAGCGAATCAAATCAGCATACCTCAACCCGTGTAACCAATACGCTGAATACGACCCACATGCAAGCGCTTGGCAAGAACCCAAATCGTACTGTCCCTCAGGTTGTACCGCTTGGCGTTATTGCAAATCGTCTCGCAGTCGTGCTTTAACTCGTCCAGGCTCTTGTAGCTTCTTTCATGCAGTTTGTCGACAATCTCCTCAAAAGCAATCGGGCGCTTGATAATCTGATAGTAATCAGGGTAGAGCTCTCGTGACGGAAGCGTCATGAAGGGCTCGGCAATGAGGAACCGATCAGGACTGCGCGGATAGACCATGTCAGCATCGACGAGCAACACCTCGGCGTACTGGGGAAGCACTTACTCTAATGCATTTAGCAGAACCTCCAGCAGCTGTATTCCCTGCTTGAATACTTTCTTTGGGTCTTCGTCTGCGGGTCCATTATGTGCATTATTCACCTCGCTCACGGCCGATGGCGCCGGCGAAGCTGCAGCAACGGTGGAGAGTTTGGCCGATTCCACGAGCCGAATCCGCTTTCTGGGTCTTCCACCATCCAAAAAATGTCGGACTACGTCCGGATCTGATGGGTCGTGTGTGACAGTAGCGGGTGTCAGGGCTTCCGGCACCGCTCCATCTTCAACAAGGGAAATGTGCGTGTCTTTGACGAGGGCATGCAATCTCTTCGCAAGTACCCAAATAGTGCTTTCCTTTTGGTTGTATCGCTTGGCGTTGTTGCAAATCGTCTCACAGTCTTGCCGCAAGTCGTCGAGAGACGTATAGCTGCGCGCATGCAGCTTGTCGACCACTTCCTCCAATGACAGCGGCCGCTTGATCACTTGGTAGTAATCAGGGTACAACTCCGAGCTGGGAAGCCGCATAAAGGGTTCTGCGATAAGGTAGTTCTCCGGGCTGGTGGGCAAACAGTCAGCAGGAGCTGGGAGGGTACATGGATTTAATCTGAACTCACTCTAGTGCGTTTAGAATAACTTCAAGCAGCTGCTTGCCTTGTATGAAGGCTGTCTCTGCATCGCCCTGTGCCCCATGCCCGCCGGCTCCTGCCGAGGACGAGCCAGCTGCGTCATTGCTTGCTATGGAGGATGAGCTTTGATCTGCAGCAGATGCGTCCCCCTTGTGATCGACAAGCTTGATTCGCTTTCGTTGTCTACCTCCTTCCACAATCTACATTTGCAACGTGGTAGAACCAGTAGGTCGCAAGCGATGGGATCAGCACGCGGACTGTGAGATTCCAAGATAGCAAGGTTTATTGGGAGACGGAGACAATTCCATGCATGTCGCAGTCATACTGCGCTCCAAGGACGACGACGGCGTCTCCTTGCTGCCACTCGTCATTCCCAGCAGGTCATTGTCGCCAGGCATATCACACACCTGCTCAACCGCATCGATGAGCAATATGGTGCGTGCATAGTCACACGTGAGCATTTGCTCGCGTCCAGCCAGCAACAGTCACCAATTCAAAGGATGGTGACGCGTTTCAAGGCGAAATATCCTGCTACCACCCTCCTTGGAGCATCCCAGAGACCTGGACGCGTTGTGGCGACCAACGAACACAAAAACGCGTCGCGGGATGGACGATGCAGACGCGCAGCACTCACATTTTCAGCGGATAGCCCACTTGTCGGCTTGGGGGGCATATTGACTATGGCAGCTCATGCCGCGTCCTCGCTCGACGGGAAGCAAGCTCGTCGATTCAAGGCACAGTTTAGCGGCTTGGACAAGCAGAAGTTCGTACCAATGCAATATGTAGTGGGAGTAGCGTATACGCTGACGAGCTTGTGAGCTGTGGCCAGTACTTGTCGCTGTTCTCGCAACTCTTGAGGCAGATATGTTGTAAAACATGTCACGCCGCTCAACAACACGCCTTCGGCGCGGCACCCTTTCAGCCTTTCGGGACTGGTGTATGCCGTATGCATAGCAAGGTTGAGTGCATATGACAAGAGCTCTTGAGTTGTATGTCCTTGCAACTGTCTATCTGTGAGTATTTTGAGTGGTAGGCTCTTCGACAACACTAGGCAGTGAGCGCACACGCAGCGTAAATTCACAAGCATGGCGGATCCATTTGCCGACCGCAACGCGCTGGACGCAAACCCGTTCGCGGACCCGAGCGTACAAGGTGCTCTCTCATCCGGTAACCGTGCCTACGAAGATGTAGGCAGCAGCAAGTCGATGGCTTTCGAGGAGGATGGGTATGGACACAGTGGTAGCGGTGTGGATCTTGGAAGCGGCGGTGCTGGCCAAAGTGATGCCGCGAGACTCGCGGAAATCGAGCGGAGAGAGCGCGAGCTCGAGCAGAGGGAGCGAGACTTGCAGAGTCGGGCGGACCACATCAAGAAGCACGGACGGAATAATTGGCCTTTTTGTAAGCACGAACTAATTCATGGGCATACTTCTCTCTTTATCTCGTGCTGATTGGATGCGGTTATTTTAGTCTATCCGCTGATCTATCACGATATCGATGTGGAGATTCCTCCTGAGTCACAACAGGTCGTCAGGCACCTCTACCTTCTTTGGATGCTCTGGTCGGCCTCGTTGTGCATCAACATGCTCGCTTGTATCTTCCTACTCGTCTCTGGCGCGCGTGACGGTGCGAGAGACATGATATCAAGCATTGTCTACTTCCCCATCCTCACCACCCTCGCCTTCCTGCTGTGGTATCGACCAGCATACAACGCTTTCAATACGGAAAACTCTTTGTGGTACTACGTGTACTTCCTCTTCATGGGCTTCCACCTCGCATACTCGGCGTACTCTCTAATCGGGATCCCATCGACAGGCTGTGCAGGAATCATTACCGTCATCTCCAGCTTTAGCAGCTCTCGCATCCTAGCTGGCATATTTGCAACCATCAACACTATCATGGTCGCCGTTCAAGGACTAGGGAACCTCTGGTACTTTAGGGAGATCTGGAAACACAACCACGAGCAGGGCCACACTTTTGCACAAGCCAAGCAAGAGCTCGCTACACATGGCATGGTGTGTACTCCGTGTTCCACATCCCAACTACCTCATCTAGTTCGGCTGACATGCGCGCTTCTTCATGCCTGCCTGAACCCCACAGAAAGCCTACCTTACCCGCGGCTCTCAGGTCTAAGGGTGTTTCAAAGCATGTTTAGCCGAGGTCATTTCAATGCGCTTTGTAAGAATCCCCCCTCCGGGCTTCGAAAAAATGTATGAACTGCAGAATTCGATTGATTCTAAGACAGCATTCGATGGAATGCAGGGGTGAGCTCCGTACGATGTGTAGTAATAAGCGTGGGAATTGGAAAATCTCTGAAAGGCCGAATGCTGGCGGCGAGCATGATCTAGAGACATGCAACAATCCGCGGCACGGTGTTATGCTGATGACATCAGGATTGCACCTTGACTTTCGATCTTGGTGCTCCCTTTTTCGGTGGCGGCGCACCTGGCGGCCGCGGTTTTGCGCCAGGAACGGCGGTGGCGGAGAGAGTAGGCCCGAAAGCGACATCAGCTGGAGTTACTGGCGCGGCCTTGGGACTCTGAGTCGCTTGTTTCGGCGCAAAAGCCTTAGCGGCTTGCTTAAAAGAAGGCTTCGTGTACATATGCCCATGCCCGTTGACCTTGGCCGGGTTTCGCAACGCGTCCCCTTCGCGCACTGTCGCGCTCTCCGCCAACTCCTCACGCTTGTAGAAAAGCAAATACGCCAGTCCTTCATGGCCAGACGCGCTGCTCGGTCCACGTTGCACAAAATCGTTCGAGTCACGCTGCTTGACGCGCCGCACCTGGTCCACCTGGATCGGCGAGATGTTCGTGTCGTCGATGTGGACCCACTGTTGCGAATCCTGGCGCAGAACGTCGACAGTGTAATGCCCGCCGGTTGCGTAGCGACCGTGATGGTAGACAACTGTGAAATGCAGCGGGGCTAGTGAGATTTCCGCATGTCATCTGGAGATCTCTTTCCGTGATTCACCTCCAAAGAGCCTATATCGCGTGATAGTATCAGCCCTGCGTGTAGGACTGATTACCTCGGAAGCAACATCCAGCACTGTGTCATACCCAATTTCCTTGCTGTCCTTCTGCACCCCTCCAATCTCATCATACACGAACCGCTTGAGGTGCAGCACCAGCACCGGCGGCAAGCTCTCGATGAAAACCTGCTTCGTGGCGTCGACGATCGCATCGCGACTAGGTGAGTACACCCCAGGGATCGTCTCGGGCTCAGTCAAGTTGCGCAATGCATCCTCGATCGTGTGCACGCGCGCCGGCTGGATGTCCAGCTGCAGCGGTTGGTACGGCTCGAGCGTGACGCTGTCCTTAGCTCCAGGCGTGCGAAGCACCGAGCGGAGTTTCCCGCCGAAGATGTGCGTGATCGGTGAGTCGCTCGTTGAGGTCGTGCGCGTAAAGCTCGTCTTGCCTTTCTGGCCGACTTCCATCCACCCTTCCTCGGACGGACTGACGGGGCGGACCACTTCGCGCTCGCTGATGTCGCTGCTGGCATCATCCCTCGATGCTAGCCCGAGACCCATGTCGGCCAGTTGCTCGTCACTAAAGCCGCTGAGCCCATTCAGTGTCTTTTCTGCGACCGACATCTTGCTGAGGATGCCATTGGCCGCAAGCTTGGCGTTGGCTCTCTGGATAGCGTACAGCAGCTCCTCATGCAAGGAATCAAGGAAGAATCCGAGGAACTCTTCCGCATCTTCCTGGTGCCCTCGCTAAAATTTAGAACAGCCATTGTAAGGGCACAGTCAGCGTACTGCAGACCTTCACTGAGCGCACTCCATAGGCTTACCCGCATAGCATCAAAGCGCTTCTTCAGACGCATGGCTTCGTAGATATATTCTGGTGCGAATGGCTCGGATGCTGATACCAGCTCCTGCGCCGTACTGTCGACACTGCCAATGACAGGAAATTCTCTGACGAATTGGATCCTGTATGCGACCGGCAGAAGGAAGACCGGAGAAGTGAGCCGTGAAAAGCTCTGCTGATAACAAGACTTCGTCCTTACTCACGTTGCATCAATCAGGGGGGTGCGATTGGCAAAATCGTGCGGCAGCTCTTTGCCAATGGTAATAAGGAGGTTGTAGAATGGAGCGCAGAAGACTAAAGCTTGGAGGATCTGCGCGAATCAAGGAGAAACTCCGGCGTCAGCATGTGCACCAACAGCGTCCTACTCCAGCGCATGTCGCAAACGTACCGAATTGGCAAAGCAGAGATTGCCGGTGTTCACCAAACCCCTCGGGAGGGTGACCGGCGCTCTGAACTGCAGGTGACTCTCCACAAGCGCAGCTTCCAGCCCCATCTTCTGCCTGACGTTGTGAGCGCCGCCCGGTGCACGATTCGCGCCGCCAGCCTGTGGCTCGTGGATCGATAGCGGCGGCACGAGCATGGCCGACGCGGACATAAGCACGGGACTGGTGACCGCGCTGCTCGCCTGCGAGTTCGCGTTCGTGTTGGGCGTCGTTTCAGTCACGATAGACGACGCGACGGCCGACGCAATGGAGCACGCTGGTGTATTTGCACCCGTCACGGTCCCGGCGCAAGCACCTGGATTGACGCCGTCGTTGAGCGCCGACGAGCTGTTGCCCAATCTGGCTCCGACGCCGCCGCCTGCTCTCCCCCCGCGCGATGTGAGTTCGGCCCACGATCGCGGTGCACCCCATGCGGAAGACTTGGGTGCAGCAGCAGCTCTTGCGCTTGACGACGCTGTCGAAGTCGGACTGGACAGCTGCGAAGAGGCGGTTGGTTGACGCTGCTGTGAGTAATCGCCCGGCAGGCTGTGTGTGGACGCAGACAAGTCTTTGACCGTGCCAGAACGGACCCTCTCCGACTGCGCTCTCCGTCCGAGACGTTTCTCTTGCGCTAGTTGGATAGTATAGCGCGACAGGGGCTCTTGGTTTGGGATCACCTTGGGGTGAGGGCGGGCTGTATGTGATATTGTGACGCCTAACGCGCGGCTGCGTGGTATCGGCGCTTTTTCTGAAATGGACAGGGTGCCTGCCACATCATTTCCTCTTCGGAAGGTGAGTGTGGGAAGACTTTCGGCATGAATCTCTGATAAATGATGTGAGGACTGGCCCGCAAAACTCGAATGTGGCGATACAGCTGCCAGGCTGGAGGCCCGGCTTTCTGGGCCGCGAAGTGCGGACTTTTCCCTCTGTCGAGGTGTCAAAGACCTGAGCGGAGGGTTCTCGGGCGTGAAGATGATGTTTTTAGCTGAGGCAACGCTCAGTGACAAGTGCGAGTCGTCGAACCGAAAGCCGCTGGGATTGGTGCAGTTGTTCGCTGAATATGCCAGCAGAGATGGCGATGATGCGGCTGTCGCGGCATATGGATGTGCTGGAGGCGGGGTCGATGGCCCTGCTACGGGCTCTTGACAGCTTTTCTCTGGCGCCATAGAGCTTGCCACTGCCGCGGAGGCCATGATGGGCGATGCGTGTCGAGGTCGTGTGAGGGTGGTGATATGGCCTTCTGAAGATCTTGTTCAGCCAAACCCGGCGCTGGAGAAATGGCAGGAGCTGCGGGTAGAAGCCCGTTTTTCCAGCGAAGCGCTGACGACGCTGGAGCCTCGACACTGCGTGCAGACAAGAGCAACGCACCGTTGGACCTGGAGGGAGATGACCGGGCAAGAGCAGAATGCGCGAGGTGCTGTTGATGATGGCGAGGTCATTTAGCTGCAAGTGATGTCGACAGGTCGCATGAGCGGAAAAGTGGGAGAGAGTCTGGCTGGGGGAGGGCGGGCGGAACGGAAAGAGGCAGTAGAGCAGTCACCCGTGCTTCTTCTTCTCTCTCTCCTGACTTCCATCAATTGATCGATTGAGGGAATCCCTGCTTCACACTCAGAAGGACCACACCATCAACAACATCATCATCACTTGAGTTTGATTCAGCACCGGCGAGCGCCGCAAAGATCCACTCGTATCAAACAAGGGCCAGTCTCCTAGTTGGTTGCACTGAGTTCGAGCGTGCCCTCACCTTTCCTACTCCTTGTGCCGCCGCTTCACCATCGTAGCGGACCAGCCAGCGACTTTTGCTGCAGCTGGGTGCGGTCTTTCCACCGCCAAGGGCCAGGCTTCTTCGAGAGGGTTTCCTGTGTGCCTGTCGACAATCAGCCCGAACTACCACTGAGACGTCTGATATTCCAAAGACGTGTGGGACTGTGGGCTGTCGCTGGATCATGCCGCGCCGATAACGCAAAAACCTCCTCGCATGCAGCAGTGGGCATTTCTGCCTCTAACCAACCACCACTCTACCCGCTCCCACTACGTTGGCCCGGCTGTCATGGACATTTCAATAGAATCGGGGCCGAGCACAGCGGCCGGAGCTCCAGATGGCATCATACCCCATGCATTCGAGCACACCCAAGCACACGCGCAGGTTCCTCCCATCTTTTCGATGGCCGCGGCGGCCAAGCCAAATGCACTCAAGGTCCTGAAAAGACCGCAGCCGCCAGATACTCAAGCTCCATCTGCGCCGCTTCTGCTGGAAGCACAGGTATCACTGGGCGCAGGAGAGGCGTCGGGCGTAAACGGACAGAGCCAACCCGGTCCAGCTACAACGAAGCAGCCACCTGAAACCTTGGCGGCCTCGGGCGGTGGGGTGGACTCGAGTCAGCTGAGCAATGCTTTATCTGCTTTGCGACTACATGGCGACTCTCAGGAAGGTGTCAAGGGCTCGGATAGCTCGTCAGCGCGAAGTCCTTCATCGACTGGCGCGGCTATTGTGCCCGACCAAGCACCTGCCTCAGGGGCAGCCACAGTGACAGGCGTTCCGGAACTCGATCCGACGCTGATAAGTGCTCTGCGGAATGGAAGGGACAGAGCGTTTGTCATCAAGCAGGAGATCGACATGATCGGCTTTGTCAGAGACGCCGAGTAAGTTTACCAGAGCTTGGCAGCGGTGGCTCCGACGACAGAAAGGAAATGCTAATGTCTCACTTTTGCGATGTTTACAGACGAACCTCTTGGGAGCTGCCTTTGATGAATTCGTACCAGCGCCTTCTCGTACATCGCCTTGCGGACCAATTCCTCTTGGTACACTCTATCGACCCGCACACGAAGGCTGTTTGCTTGACCAAGCGAACTGATTCTAACATGTGAGTATCAATGTCGTGAGAATGCAAAAAGATCAACAAGCTTAAGTGCGCTCGTCTTCCTCATTGCTATCGGAAGCCCACACACCCTGCCATCAGTAAGAGCGACAGCACTGGTTCCTCCTGAAGTGCAATCTGCTCCCGCCACCAGGCCCCAAGCCTTCAAAATCATGCGCCGCGACCCGTCCGCTTCTACCACTCGAGCCCAGTCACCGCATCTCTCGGCACAGGATGATCTGTCACATGGTGGCTCATCTGCTGCCTCAGGCAGCGCGAATGGGGCCAGGCGCGACCGCAGAAATATGACCATCGAAGAGCGGGAGGCGGCGTACAGGGAAGCCAGGGAGCGGATCTTCCAGGGCTTCTCGGAGGCGGAAGCAAAGGCGAGGGCGAGTCACAAGGGCAAAGAGGTGGACGGCGAGCAACAGACACCGCTGCAACAGCAAGGGGCATCGGTGGCAGAGGGTACAAACGCGGCTGCGCTCTTGATGCCATTCCGGGGTGACGTGGAATGGGCAGGTATGACCAGGAGACAGATCACGTCTAAGGCAGCTTTGCGGCCATCAGCACCTGCATTCGATCCGTCGGCTAGATCATCTGGGAGAGTGAGCGCCGAGCCGAACGGCAGCTCGGGTGCTTTGGGGCATGCCGCCTCAAACGGCAATCGGCGAGTGCCTCCGCATGTGCCAGAGGCTCCTCTAGACGGTATCTCGCCTTCAGAAGCATCCTTCAGTACAGCATCCTCTTCCTCCCGCTGCTCCTCCCGTGCCTCTTCCAGCCGGTCCTACCAACAGCAATACCCACCGCACGCGGCGCCAGGGATAGCTCCGCCCGGCTGGCAACATCCCGGCGGGCACCCCCTGCATGATCCGCACGCCGTGCAGTACAGCCAACAGCCGATCGGCTATCCTCCCATCTCCAATGGCGGCTCATACTCGGGACCTAGCCCTGGCCCAGGGGCAAGCCCGGGTGCCGAGGGTTACTATCCTGCTGTGCAAGGGCAACCCGGATTCGATCCGACAGGTGGGACGACGCCGATGCAGATCCCGCAAGGGATGTACCAGGCAGGCATTGTGCAAGGTGTCCCTGTATTCGCAATGACGCAGACACATCCTGGGTATCTGCAACAGCAGCAGCAGCCGCAACAACAGCCTCTTCATGCGTATGCGCATCCGCAGGGAGCTCCTTGGCTGCATTATCAGCAGCAGCAACAGCCGCAGCACGCTGGCCCTCCGGGGCCGCTGAACGGCCATGCGCAGTCTGGATGCGCCGGAGTGCCGCCTTACCCACACTCGCAAGGTCGCAGCCCAATGCAACCTGGCACGCTTGCGGACCTATACCCGGGCGGCCACGCTGCTATGGGCGGGCCGGCGAGTAGGAGCAGGAGCAGCCCATCATCTGGCCTCTCAGTGCAGGGGTCAGACTACAGCGGAAGAGCAGCGAGCCGTTCCAGTAGCGCTGCAAGTGGTCTCGACCTTTGTCTAGTTGCCAAGAAAAGCCCTTCGCATGATACTTCCTCTGTTGTCGTGAGGATATGTGGCCGTTTGCAAAGACCGGCGTGTACCCCCAACACTGACTCATTCATCTTGGCCCTTCGCTCTTCCTTCCAGTCCTCTTCCTCGGCCTCTTCCCGATCCTCCAAACCAGGGTCGGTAGCTTCGACATCTCACCATCCTCTTCCTGCACGCCCCGACTGGGTCATGCGCCCGCCTCTGGCGTCGCGTGCGAGTTTTGACAGCAGCACCTCGAGCATCGCACCGAGCGCCAGTGCCAGCGTGAATGGTGCGGCCGAGGGCCGCACAGGCGCTGCAGTAGCCGATGCAGGATTCTTTGATGGCACCGCGGCAGAGTTACACGTGGAGCCCACGTCGCCGCGCAGCGTGGGTACCGCATCTCCTTCGCTTCGAAGCGTCGGTACTGCCAGTCCTACATTTGCCAGCCGCTCCGTCGTCGCTGGAGCGGGTATCGGCATCCCGAGCGAGACGGGCATGACGCCCATACACGACTTGCCAGTGGCCTCTAAGGCCGGCGATGATTGAGGCGCACGAAATGTATGTTCACTGTAAAATTCTTCGTTTGCAATGCATTTGCACAGCCCTGCATACCCAGCGTCATCTTGGAATGAGTGCTCGATCGCGATGGTGAGAGGGATGCGATAGGTCGATACAGTCTCTGGCTAGGATACATGAAGCTTGTCATAGAGGTGCATTGTCGTGAGTGGAGGTATAGATATTAGGAGCCTGTCCGCTGGAACTGGTTTTGTTGTGTAGGGGGAGTAGAAGAGGGGCTGTCAGTCAGGCGGTTCGGACTCATGAGATGTCCATTGATGAAGTTCTCACAGCTTGCGCCGCTTTCTGGCAGTGCTCAGTGTTTGCGGTGTCATCGATGGCGTAGCAGAGGTACAGCGTATCGACCCTACGCAAAGCAACAAGCCAAACGTCAGTCATTTCCACGGAGCGGCAGCAGCCTATCGCTCTACCATGTCATCACTCACGCATTCGTCAGCGTATCGGCACAAAGGCGCAGAACGCCGTACGGCAGGAGCGTGCACAGGAGCGCCACGAGCGGTGCGTCTGCGGGTACGTGAACCTGGTGCGCGGAAAAGAGGAAGCCAGCCACGCCAGCCAGGAGCGCAAATGCGAGCGCGGTGAGGTTGAGGATGAGGTGAATGACGAGACCCTCCATGATGCCCGTCGTGCCGCTGCGGCTCGCGAGCCGCGCCGCGCGCCTGG